AAAATGCTATGGCTTCTTTGGTTTTTTATAAAAGATTAAATGAATCAAGATCCTCCGAAGATCAAGCAGCAATAAGTTGATAAATTTTTTAAATTTGTGCCAATATTCCTCTCCATTTCATTGAAAATTTGCAGAGGTCATTTCCTGGCCTGCCCTGTGCTGCCCTTTTTTTCTCATGATTACCCCCACCAACTATTTAATCCTTCCATTAATAAATTGAATTATGGACTTTTGGAATTATGGAATTATGGAAATTTAAAAAATTGCGTAATTTAAACTTTCTTTTGTGATTTCCTGAAATTTTGAAGTGCTTCCTATTGTCATTCTGTAAATATAAGCAATTAACTTTTCTTTTTGTTTTCATCAACTTGACGTGGCACTGTCGCAACATTGGCTTCCATTCAAATACTTTTGGGAGGGGAGTGTTTATAAATACTGAAAAATATTCATGTAGCTGGAATCATAGCAAAGCAAGCTTGCTATATTCTGAAAGTCTATTCCTTGGACTATCAAAAAATGTTGGAGGTTACAATTGCAATTCAAGTATTTTGAGCCAATAGAACCTTACAAAATGGGTACAAGGTCAAGAAATGTAAGCAAAAACAAAATTTTATCAATGGTTATACCCCATGAAATACAAAGAGCTGCAAAAAACATCGAATCAATCATTATTTCAATTTTCAACATCACAGACAAATTAAAAACGGTCTTTAGCCAAGGAAAAGTTGAGATATTGTTTTATGGTCACTATAGCTGATGCTGTAAGTTTGACCTGTGATAGTTTTGGGTGAATCGATTTTTCAAGACATGTGCAAATTTCTGCATGGCCATGTAAAATTATGAGGGGCTGCCGTGTAAAATTATGAGGGGCTCCAAGTGGGTGCATGAAGTTTATTTGAAAGTCCCCTCCATTTTCATTAATGTCAGAAATCATGCCAACCCACCACCTATGGTCATATACGCAAGCAACATACTCATTCCTTTGAGCTCCAATGCCATTTTCTGGGGCAAAAGAAAAAGTTCCTGCAAACTCTGTATCATCAGAAATATATTTGAAAGCAATTTTTTATCTGTGAATGTGGAACAAACTGGTGAAACGTCTGGTTTTAGGAATGGTGCTCCCATGGGCAAAACATTTAAGCTGCTGCTCTCTAACTTTCACCATGGAATCCTTCGATATGAAAGAAACTCAATATCTTTTATATTTTCTGTGCAAAATTTGAACGTAGCAGAAACTGTCAAAATCTGATTGCTATAAGGCCTTTGCAGACTGGCTCTTGCTGTTAGCCTTTTTACAGTCCATCACAAACTGACCTCTCAGGGCTGGAAGCAAAAAAGTTCTCAGAGATGTCATTTCCTAATTCAAATCTGCTTAGTTGGGTGCTTGGCCAGTCCTTCCTGTCAACAGGAAGTAAGTATGTATTGTGTTCTAAATCATCTGATAAGAAACAGAACCATAAATGAACAAGTTGGTTATCCCATGCCCATGGGATGTAATGTGCAGTTTTGCTTGTTCCAGTGGGCAGATTGCATTTCATCTTGGGTGAAAAATGCATAGTTTTCAGCAAAGTCGACCAAAACAAGCAAAGAATCATATTCAAGTTCCCCCTTTTCCGGTCAAGGTATTTTGACTGACATACGCTTTAGCAGCTCAACAATCATCAATACTCATACACCTTTTGACTACCTCATAACACAAAATTACGGGTGCCACTTTATTAAGAAATGCTTCTTAAACATTCCTTAAAAGAACCAAACCTTAAAATCTGGATATCCTTCATTTCTTATGCCTTATTTTTTGGTAACCCTAAATTTTCGATTTCTTAATTTGTGTATGTTTATACAGTGGAAATAGGAAAAAGAATTAAGACAAAAACAGTATTTTTAATCTAAAGTAAACTCGTTTTCACTTAAAGCTTTAAAAATTTTTCATAAGTCTAACATTCTTCACATTCATCATCTTCTTCCTCTTCTTCTTCTTCTTCTTCCTCTTCTTCTTCTTCTTCTTCTTCTTCTTCCTCTTCTTCCTCTTCTTCTTCTTCCTCTTCCTCTTCTTCTTCTTCTTCTTCTTCTTATTCTTATTCTTATTCTTCCAAACCAAGGCACTTTAAAATGTCCTTGCTTTCATCTACGTACGTAATTAAGTCTATACTTTTGACCTTTTTTTTAAGAATGGATAGCTTTTTAGCATCATCCCACGCCACCAACACAACAATTGGAATCTCGAGCCCTCCTTGCTTGCGTGTAGATCGTTATGGTTGTGTACCCACCACCTCACCAGTAGTTAAAGCTCCAAGTTAAGAGCATACCAAATGTAGCATGGGATGTGACCAACAGTTGTTGGAGTAAACTTCATGCACCCACCTGGAGCCCCTCATAATTTTACACGGCAGCCCCTCATAATTTTGCATGGCCAAGCAGAAATTTGCACATGTTTTGCAAAATCGATTCACCCAAAACTATCACAGGTCAAACTTACAGCATCAGCTATAGTGAACATAAAACAATATCTCAACTTTTCCTTGGCTAAAGACCGTTTTTAATTTGTCTGTGATGTTGAAAATTGAAATAATGACTGATTCAATGTTTTTAGCAGCTCTTTGTATTTCATGGGGTATAACCATCAATAAAACTTTGTTTTTGCTTACATTTCTGGTGACATTATACCCATTTTGTAAGGTGCAAAATATTTGAATTGCAATTGTAACCTCCAATATTTTCTGTTAGTCCAAGGAATACACTTTCAGAATATAGGAAGCTTTTTTGCTATTATTCCAGCTAAATGCTATTTTATTATTTATATAAACCGGTATTTATATTGGAAATGTTTCCAAAACAAGCCATACAATTTACACTTGGTTATCTGCTGTACCTTAAGGAATTGATAAGTTTTGATAAAATACTTGAAATTTACAGTATCAAATCCATAGTTGATATTATTTCTAAGCAAATATGCACAACTATATAGAAATTACAGCTACTGATAGAAAGCCCTGCCTATCACTTGATTAACTGGGTGTGGCATATTTGGCTAAATTGGGTCACTTTTGAAACATCAATGAAACGGAAAGCATAAGAGATATAAGGCTGAACTTTTGTATGCGATATTTTCTTCAAACTAGCTTTATGTGACAAAAAATCAGGAAATTCTAAGACCATGGGTTACAAAACTTAAAAATATCTGATCATTTGAGGTGGAATGACCCCACAGGCTCGGATCTAGACGGGTTGCACAGGTTTAAAAAAACGTGTCAAAGTCTAAGAGCTATGTTTCTCTGTGAATCTTGAATATCTATCCAAAATGTCAACTGCAACAACTGCTGCATTTCCCCCAACTGACTACAGTTATTCTGTTTATATACTGAATTAAACTCCCACAAGATTCCGACAGAGTTCCCAGCTTCCTATTTCATCTTTTGAGTATTCCAAAGTATCAGAGGATTCAAAGACGAGGAGATCAGTCGTCACTGCAATGACAGTTTAGAGTATGCTATCTATACTGCAATATTGAAGCCGGTGGCTATTGTTTTCTGAAAACCTGTGAAAACCGGTGCCCATATGTTTCCCTTATGTGAAAAAACCAGTGGCTAAAAAGCAGATTGGATATCGATATGCAAATAAGAATCTAAGGTCTTGAATTCAGGGACTAGACTTTCTTTCTTGGAAAAATTATGAAAATTAGAATCAGAGTTGCAAGAAAAGGATTAAAGGCCATGCTGTACAGAATAAAATTTTGACATTTTAGAAAAAGGGAGGGCAAATTAATCACAATTTAATAACCTCATAAATTTTCACTATCAGCAATATTTATGTACCATTAACACACAGGGTCATAACAGCGTAAAGAACCCGTAACGGGTCAACATTTTTGCTAGATCTGTGCCTGCCCTATATATATAGATTATTTTGACATACTCATATTTCGTCTTTTATATTATCAAATATTTGTACTGTGAAGAGTGTCAGACAAAAGTACTTTTGTATGCAGTTTTCAATTTTCCACATATCTTCAATATGCTAAAGATATCTCCCATTAGATGCTGAAATATGCCAAAAAATATCTCCCATTAGAAATTGTAAAAAACATGTATACAAGTGTAGTTGAACAGCATTTCAGAAACAGCTGCTTGGTGTGGGGTTGTTGTGGAGAAACCCTGCTCAATAAGCTGGAAAAGCTGCAAAACTGTGTCGCACGAATTGTTACTAACAGCTTTTATGATGCATCATCTTTTCCATTGATTGGACGCATAGGGTGGTTAACTATAAAAGAAATGATTGAATTTGAAACTGCAATTGCAGTTTGCAAGTCTCTCCATGGATTAGCTCCTGAATATGCTAATGTTTACAAAATGGTCAGAAAACAGTTCACAGTCTCTCTGTAATACCAGCATGGATCTTAGAATACCTCGCTTTGCAACTGCTTACAGGCAACGTAGTTTCCCATATCAAGGTGTGAATGTGTGGAATAAACTGAGCACTGAAATGAAAAATGCCCATTCACTGGCGGCTACTTTCAAAAATTGGCTGAAACAATCTTTGAAAAATCAAAGGGTGTGAGAGTTCTTGTACAGCATCAAACCTTTTATTTTTTATTTTGTTTTACCTTCCCAGAATATCTTGTATATTATTTTTCATTTATCTTTCTCATTCAATTGTATGTTAATTAGCTTAGGTTTTTAGACAGGGCACATTGTAAATCAGTTATTATATTTTCATTACTGAATGTATTACCCTGTATAAATAATTAAAAATCAAACCAAATAAATTTTTCAGTACCAAAGTTTACTTTTTAGTAAAATTATTCTTCTTTTTCGTGCAATCTTGAAATTTTTCATTCTCTTACAATATTAGTTGCTAGAATTTGCTTTGCTTCTTTAAAGGTGTGTCTAATGAAATCCTAGATTACACTACCATCAATGCACAAAAAAGATGAAGGTAGCAATTTAACAGAAGCTGTAGATACTTTTTGGATGTTAAAAAGTCCTATGGAATTTGAAAATGTTGGATTTACAAATGCTGTTAATAACATCAAGTACCTATGCTGTGCTGATTGTGAAGTTGGACCTGTAGGACTGGTTCTTGCTGACCAAAGAAATGAGTTTCTTGTAGCTGCTAACAGAGTTGACTATAGGTAGCATCTATTTTAAACAGAGAATTTAAAATTTAGATAGATGGCAATATCCTGGTAACATGCATAAATGTTTTAATGAAATAAGAATTAAAAGGTTGATTCTTTTGAGGATTTTCTATGAGAAGTTATTCTCCATTCATTATGAGGGCCAACAAACTCATGTTAACATTTTTAACAAATTAGAATTGAAGGAATTGTTCTGGATACTTTACCTTTGACAGCACAATTTCAAAGTTTTTCTAAAATTATTGTCTAATATTACTTTCTAATGTACAAATATTATTCAAACCATTAGATATGATATCCTTAAATATGTGAAATGTCCCTTGTATCTATTGAAATAAAACAATTAGCTTAAGTAACATTTGAGGTAGCATTTGTGGTGCCAGAAGCCAATACCGTCTTATTTAAATCATATAAATCTTTGCCTCTGTCTAATGTAGCAAGAAGCAAAGCTAAGGGAAATCCTGTTTGCACTCGTTGCTAAATAATAGCTGGACTGCATTGAAATGCAGCCTACATATATACAATTAGTTGCAATTGTACCCATATAGGCTGGTTCTGTCTGTTTTTACTGTGATAAAAAGGCATCTTTTGGAAACAGAACCAAACAGTTAATATTTGCTGAGAGAAAATGAAAGACAGTGCCATGCTAGGAAAAGGAATGAACATATCATTGAAAAGTTAGGCCTATAACTTTAATGCTACACTGTCTTACATAGTGCACAGAGTTTCTTAGTTTTCCACTCTCATCTCAGGACTATAGACAGTAAGCAAAGAAGTTATCAAATATAAAAATGTAGCATGGGGAAAACAGTCTATAATTATTTTAATTTTAATGTCTTAGTGTATAACGGGTATTTTGAAGACTTGGTAGTACAGAATCAAAAAGTAACAATTCGCTCTTTGATTCCTTCAGAAACATTAAACTAAAAGCATTGAAACAATCCAGGAAAATTAACCCTGGTTGCCTTTTCTATAGAACTTAAATGTCTAGGAATTGGTAGTAATTGAAAACACAAAATTATTCGATTCCTTGCAATTCTAGCAAATACAGACACCCCTTGTCCAGTAAAACACACAGGGCTGTCAGCAACTAATGTACTAAAGCGGGTGAGTTCCATTATTGAACGACAAATTAAAAGTTTGCCGGCTAAGCATCCACAAAAGGCTCCACCTTTTTGCAACAGAATTTTTTTAAAGGGGGTGTCACACTACTCACGCACCCCCATTAATGATGGCCTTGAAAACACACTTTTAAAGTCATTTCTGATATCATTATATTCGGGCTAACTTTCATTTGCTATCAAAGAAGTCAAAAGTTGAGTCAAAGGTTCGAAATCCGTGAACAGTGCTGTCGCTTTTAGCTCTCTCAACATACTTTCCAGACCCTACGGATAGCTTATGTTTGTTTCTAGAGCTGCACGCTGCATCCAAATTCATTGTCTCTATTTGGTATTGCAATGCCATAATTTGATCTTTAGCATCATTCAGCTCAAAATTTATGGACTGATATTCGTGCTTGTCAGATATATGCTGTTCCTTTAACATCGCATTTTCTTTTCTTAACTTATTCATATTTTCTAATAAGGCTTCATTATCAGTTATTCTGTTTTCTAATTCTTCATTCCTTTCTTTAAGTAAATCTGTCCTTCCATCAGGATCATGATGATCATCACTGAACGCATCTTTATCAATTTCGTCAAAATATCTTTGCTCCTTCCTTGCTTTTGTGACCATATCATTCAATATTATTACTTCTCCTCGTAGAACCTCCACCTCAGTGGCTAACAAATTCTTCTCTTCCCTAGACACTTTCATTTGCTTTGTCAACCGTGTGATTTTGGCTTCAGAAGCCTTGAGTCTTTTTTGCATCCCCCTAATGATGTCCTTTGACAGCTGGTCCCTGAAATAGAATACAAACTGCTTCCAATGGACACAAGGTACTCGTAAAAAAACTATAAGACATGTCAAAGTACTAAAATGTGGTTTTTATAGATAATCAAGGCCATAAAGAAAATATGATGTATCTTTGATTCGATATCAAGTTAAGAAGGAAAGTTGTAACTGCTTGCGTAGTGCACATGCAAGAGAAAGCTGAAAACAAAACAGTCTCTTTGCTTCTTTACTCTCAGTGCTATAGATTTAATAGGAACCAGGTTTATTGCTATAGACATGATATTGAACTAGATATTGAAGTATTTGGAAAAGCAAAGAAAAGCTATAAAAAGTTACTAAATGTAGACAAGCAAACATATACTCACACACCAGCCCCTTCCTTCGTGTTTTGTATTTCAAACAGTAACATGTCATGAGCCTCGTGTAGCTTTGCTTCCAGTCTCATGCATTGCTTTACTTTATCTTCAAGGATACCTTGATTTTTCAAATTTAAAAATTGCAAGCGAGCCTTCTCATTACCAACGCTTTGTTTGTGTTCTTCTCTATCATATGCTGATTCTTTCAAAACTTCAGACAATTTCTTCCTTAACCGGGTATTGGTCTCTCGCAGCTCCTTGTTCCGCTCCCGTAGCTTAACAATTTCATCGTTCCTTTTACAGTTTTCATTCGGGGAGATTTCCTGTTTAAAAATAAATCCAGTATACTACAGACAACAAAAATTGATTATTTGATTTCCTCAAAATTGGCATCAGATTGTTAACTAGCAAAGCGTTGGTGCTAAATGTCTCCGATAATCCTGCTTTGGATTCAATACAGTTAATCCATGTAGATTTCCTCATGTCTAAAGGCGGAAACTAGCTGTTGATTCGATTTCCTGATGACATGACTGGAAACTATAGACACAGTTACTCTGATGTCAATAACACAACAAAACTAGCTAAGGATACAAAAAATACTCAAGTCAAGTTACAATTTTTAAAAACCATTTCTCTGGTCAACTGAATCAATTAGCAGCACTTTCTTTTTGCATCAGTACTCATCTAACAATTACTTAAAGGCCCTCTTCGGCTGTTGTTGAATACTACTTATGGAAATTTTTCTTTTATACAACTAAAAAGTTGAGTATACAACTAATAAGTGTCACAGTTTCTAACTCTATATCCCTTTTCTATGAATAGTCACATTCTGTGGCCCCAACAAGTCTTCTAGATGGCCTTTTCCCTGCTCCCTAATATGCAAAATTTTATTCTGATTAAACTAACAGCTTATAAAGATTGATGTGACCCAAACCTATTTCGCGGTGCCAAATTGTCAGTGCTGCGCGTGCTGCGTGTGCAGGACCAAGTGTGTAGAGCCATAGGGCTCGGAGACGGGGGCCTGGGCCCCACTTGTTAATTCCAGACGATAGCTCTTCTAGTTTTTCTTGCTATTGTGTTTTGAGAAATCCTTTTTGAGCCCCCATCCCCTGGTTGTTTTAAAGCACTGCACCCCTGGCAGAAAGGATAGAAACTTGGGCCAGTGGCATAATGTCCTTTTCTACACACCCAAGTGAAACTGGCATGTTTAAACAAATTTCCTACAAAAGAACATTTTACCTGCGTTTGCGTTTCTGCGTCGACAAAATCACATTTAAAATCTGCAGTTTCCACTTTTCCTGCCACTGTTTCGTTTTCACTCTTGCATTGCAGAATGGGGAACTCTTTATCTATTTCCTTCTCTCCTATGCTTTCGGTCTTTGTTTCGTTTCTTGTTTCTCCTTCTGTTGGTTGTGTGATCTGATCAACAATGTCTCTTTTTTGTAAACTTCCAAACGATTCTTGATTCACAACAAACTCACTCCCAGGTACAAATGGCGTTGCTTCTGAAGAAACAATAGAGTCAACTTTCTGCAACGACTCCAGAACAGGGGTTTTTTCTGTCGATTCATGTTTTCTCGCACTATCAGCGTCTCTTTTGGTAACTTTTAGCTCTATGAACAAGAATAGTTCAAAATTGGTAATTTTTTATGTTAATGCCAATATACAAGAAAAAAAACAGTTTTGAGTAAAAAGATCAACATCAAGCACTTAAAACAGTATCACTTTCTTTTTTTATATATATTCAGTATAAAAACTTCCGTTCCTCAGGAAAAACTCATAAAAACAGGAAAAAGTTCCGTCATTTATGAATTTACGTGCCAGTGTGATTCTGGCTACGTAGGACGCACAACCCAAAGATTGGGGGATAGGATAAAACAGCATGTTCCTTCCAACATACGAAACAAAACTGCCCCTCAAAGAGAACAGCCTCCTCGATCTTGTAGGTCTAGAAACACTGTTAAAACAAGTGATTCTGCCATTGGTCAACATCTTTTAGACAACCCAGATTGTGCAAAACTCTATAATGTCGACATGTTTCGGATAATTGGCAGAGCCCGGTCGTCCTTCCATCTAGCAGTTTTGCAGTCAATCTACATAAAAACGAAAAAGCCGCCATTGTGTAGACAAAAGGAGTTCGTTTTCTCTCTTGGACTCCATTGGTAATTTTTCTCTAGGCTCACGGCACTGATTGGTCAACTATACCGGTCTTGGGCTTGCGTTTTTCTGATTGGCCTATTTCGATCCACAACTGGGTATATATTTTTCCATCGTGTTTTTTCGGAACCTATTCTGACGTTTTATGCTCTGAGGAGTGTCAGACGTAAAAGCTTTTAGTATGTCGTAAAATGTTTGCTTTTTTCAAAGCCATTTTCAAATTCTGTACCGCAAAAAAATTGTTCATATACTAGATTATAATAATACATACATAGTAAAATACAACATATACATATACGGTAAATACTTAAGCCCGTTTCACATTGGACGCCATTGCAAAATACGTTATAATGGTCGAGGTTTATACCTAATATATAATTGAATCAGAAGATTGGTATGGAGTCAAGAGGGATAGTCATTATTACTATAATAAACCTAGTGTCAAATGCGAAATGGGCGAAAAAAGAAGTAGGCATACGAAACTATATGAAAAGAGACTTGGTGGCAAGTGACAGTATTTCTTGATCCAATCCCTTATTCTTTGTAACTATTTGGCTGACAAACAACAACTTCAAGCACTACTCACTGAAACTTTCATAACTTAAACTGGATGCAGACTTTAATCGCAAAAAAATTCATACCTGGTGTATAAAAAGTAACTGGACTTGCAACACGAGCAGCGTCTGGTATAGCAATCTTGCTCTTGGGAAGCGTTTCAACCTCTTCTGACACTGTCGTAAGAAAGGCATTGTGAAGCAACCAAAGAGATCAGGCACAAACGTTTATGATTTTGTAGCAATTATTGAAATCCTCATCTACTCGTGCTTATTGAGGAAATCCACATAACGTATGAATTTATAATACAAATGCCACGTTAGGTTTAAATGTCCAGACTTATTCTAAAACTAAAATAACGATGGGTTATAGATAAGGATATTCATTATTTTGCAGTCCATTATAATCAGCCGTAGATACTCATAAGACACATGAAAGATTTTCATAAACAGGGACATGCATTACTCAAAGAAAAAAGGCTGTTAAAACTATTTACAAAATTTCTAACAATTGCAAATATTGTTCTGCAAATACTTACCATTCGTTTCCTGGGTATTAAAAGTTCTTTGTCCGATAGCTTCCTTCAAAATCTTTGACATACTGTCGGAAATTTGAAGAGAATTAACTTATGTTTATTACGAACAAAATTCCAACAAATTGCAGTTTACCTGCTGCTTATATATGAGAATTCAATGAAGATTTTGTGCTTTATGAAGTATTTGTTCTGTAATAAACATCTTTCTAAAAATTTTGCAGACTGAAAACTGATAAGCAAAACAAAACAACTGTAGATTTAAATAACTGCAGTTTTGTCAAAGAAAAAGTCAAAGTCGAATTGATTATTTTCGTTGAAGCATGCAGAGTTGAATGAAATAAAGGAAACGCTTGATTGGAAAAGTGATTCTATGGAAAGGTCCAAAAATACTTTTCCCGTCACACCACATCAAGCAAATAATATTTTCCATCACAAAAAAGACGGTTTTGTAACGGTAAATTTAAATAACTGCAATTTTGTCAAAGAAAAAGTCAAAGTCGAAAAAATCTGTTGTGCGTCTATCTGCTATATTCATTAAGGGGCAACAGTCAGTCAGTCAGTCAGTCAGTCAGTCAGTCAGTCAGCCAGTCAGTCAGTCAGTCAGTCAGTCAGTCAGTCAGTCAGTCAGTCAGTCAGTCAGTCAGTCAGTCAGTCAGTAACCCAAAGATTTACTCGCATTCTAACACCAGTAAATGAATTTCGTTTCCTTTTAAGTTGTTACCTCACAGACTGTGATACAGTTGTTATTGAAGAATAAAACAAAAATTGACACTCACGATTCTGATTGGTTTTGAACAGAGTAGTAGACAGCTGTATGACCGAACTGGTCCTTCAAAGACGGATCAGCCCCATTTTCAAGCAAAAGTCGAACCATTTTAGGAGTGCCTTCGCATGATGCTGCCATCAGTGGGGTCCTGTAAGAAATGATATTACATCGTACCATGAGAGTTGTTTCGTTTTGCAGCTTTAAACTTTGTCCAACTTAAAGAGATATCAATGGACAAAGCTGTGCACCCCAGACAGCAAGCTTCAGATTAATAGTGTAAATATTTTGATGAAGGATGGATGTTCAAAACTCTTTTGCGAGTTGTACAAGACATTGAGTAGAGGGAGGCACTTATCATGAAGTTGAACCTTTGCAAGTGTTACCAGGCAAAAATTTCTATCAAATAGACCAGTTGACTTTACCTGAAAGTAAAATGGGTGAATCTTTGACAGGGTTAAAAGTTTTGACCATGAAGCAATTTTCATTGACACTATTTTTATATTTTCAGCTTGCCTATTACTTGGTGTGGTGAAGTTTGCAAAAGATTTGTCTTTATTTCTATTTCTTTATTGGAGCGGAGAGAATTTATTAAACGGATTGGTATATTTGTAGCTAGTCGTTAGATTAGAAGAAGTTGGGTTTTGGGCAAATCTGGAGGCATCTACTTCAACTGAATTTTGATTACATAATGCAACTTTCTTGTATTTGCGATTTGACAAAGGGACACTGTTGTACTAAATTGTCGATTATTGCTTACAAAAGTAATAATCGACACACAGATAAAAGTAATAAACAACCACATTCAACAGAAGTTGGTTGTAGTTCAGGTTGTGGTTCTCCTACAGAAAACTCTCATGCCATCGTACCTTGGTAATTATCATAGGCCTATAGTATAGAAAAGTGCTCCACATATAAAAGACGCAACCCATTTTTTAAAACAAACTTTCGATATGCACACTAGCATCCCACTGAACTCGTAGTCGGTCACACTAGATGTAAAATTACTACACACAAATATTCCTCAAGATGAGTTTGTCGAAGCCTCGATGCCATCAAAAGTCATTATGGGGACACCACCCCGCTGTATATTGAAAACATCAAACAAATTCATATATTCATTCTCAAACATAATTATTTTACCTTCAATCGTAAGTTTTATCGACAAATTCCAATCATCTCAATATGGAGATCCTTTGCCCCAAAATCATGCCAACATATTCTTGACAACAACAGATCAACATATCTTGAACAATGCCCTGATGGGCGTAGGCCAATTATTTGTAAAAGATTTAAGATGACATGAATTAAATCTGGCCACACACGCTTTAAAAGCTACAATAAATTATACAATACACCAAAACCATCCACAAAAATAAAATTTGAAGCAAACCCGAATATAAACTTTCTAGATATAACCAAAAATTTACAGAAAGATGGAGGAATCGCCACCTCTCTGTACCAAAGGCCAAAAGGCTCCTGCAACCTCTTAACACTGCGATTCTTTACACCTGTGGAGTTGTAAAGCTGAATCGTTTCATCCAAGCTTTATGGTAAAAGAGCTTTTTTCAAAAGTACAAGCATCGTGAGACTGTCACAGTCACAACTGCCTTTACCGAAAAAAAGAAAACAATGGTCTTGCACCGTCAAAGGGCCCAATTTTACCCCTAATAATACCATATGACAATCGCACCATCCATATCAGACAAATTCTTAAAAAACACTGGAAGAATATGGCAATGTACAAATAATTACAAAATAAATGTTCGCAAATCCCCATTCTAGTTCTACAGATGCACAATTATCTTGGCGATTAGTTAACCCAAATTAAATTTTGTGTCATACATTTTATTGCAACCCATCCCAATGCCATAATACCCCTGCAACACATATCAGAATATATCCAACGCAAGTGTTTCACACGCGATATATCTGCAGAAATTACTATTTTGTATGTACAGAATTGTATGTACCTCTACAGCTATATTATATCAATGAAATCATACAAGCATACAGTTGATCAGTTGGAATTCAGTTGTGTTATATACAACGCTACAATACATTGATACACCTTTGTTGGCATTATCCACAGTGGCATAGATAGAGTGTTCAGAGGGGGCAAAACCCCCCACCCCCTGTAAAGCTAAACTGCCATTTTGTCGAAAAAAGATTAATTTTTTTAGGAATTTTAAGGCAATATGTCTCGTTGTGGATTGGTTAACGAGAACAATAGCTGGAACAATAGCCTAAACACGATTCCAGCGCTCCGCCATATTTTTTAAAATGCGATAAATTAAAGGGAGACTGGAAACAGTAAAAATCCCTTTGTTCTTATAACCAATCAACGTCGTGCCAGTTTGCCTTTAACATGGTTGTCTATTCTTTATCTGAGTGTTACATTTCAAGAGCTGTAAATTACATAACAATATCTGAACATATCAGAAGAATGTTTCATTTCGGTTCTGCTGTCGTTATGTTTTAATCAAATATATAAAAAATGAAGCTTGTCAGTTTTAGTCGGAAGATCTAAACTTCTCGCTCCTCCTATGAATTTGCTATCTAAGCCACTGATTATTCCTGGATATGGGACCCAGTTGTAAAAAAGCACACTGATCATAAGTCCCGAATGCTCTTCCAGGGGAGATCTAGAACTTAAAAGCACAACATGCATATTTATGTGTTTATATATGAAGTTGTAGTTATAAAATAGTTTGTTCTGACACACGCCCCAGCTATTTTGGCACAATAACTGGATCACAGAACTCTACCGGTACAAGGCTGTGTGACAGCCCCATTGGTTTTACACCATTTCCTCGCTGTTTTCTGACAAGCTGTGCTTGCCTTTTTGTATAGTTTAAAAAAGAGACAGATATCGAACTCAATTAATTCTGCAGTGCGCCCCTGCCCTTTTCTTTACAAAAAAACATTGATGTGTAAAGAGCAGAAACGGTGTTGGTATGGTATCCGATTTCACTTTCGCTTTTTCTATATAATATCCATAGTTGACAGTTGACGGACGCGCATTACATTACATTTACATATTCTGTGTTTGAAGGAAGCCCCGTAGGACACGCACCAAGGAAGTTGATCAAAGTGTTCAAGCCAAAATGATCACGAACAACTGTAGAAAAACTTTCTTCTTGGTGACTTTGTTGACTGGCTTTGCAGCAGCTACTACAATTTATCGTAGTCAAGGTAGGTTTTACTACGTATAGTAAATAGATACCTGTCCATTCTGGCTTGTGGCTACCAACAGAACGGAAGTCATAACCACGTTGCTTTGTAGTTTGATGCCCAGTCCGTTTGAGGGTCTTACCAAATGGCTACTAAATGGCCCGTTTTCGATAATAACACGACGGCTTAGTTTAGCTTGGGGTTTTCTTGTAGATAATGAACAAGATTTTATCTTTCCCGAAACAACAACAGTCAATTGTGAAGAAATTTGTCAAAAAAGGATCAGGGGAGCACAAAAAATGGATGCTACCAAGGACATAATTTCGCTTCTATGCTACCATTCGAGGGTTACTGTCAAAAATACTACCATTTGAGGGTAATTTGTTAAGATTTCAGCGTTGGCCCTCTTTGACCCTGACCGAGCCCCCCTGTTAGGCCGTAATGGGAGTACCCCCCGAGGGTTTGATACCATTAAAATGAAAAAAAACTGGTTTTCATATCGTTGTAAGCGACGGCACGCTACCCGGCATGCTTTTCATATCGGATAGCTGAGACCAATCCGATATGACAAGCAATCCGGTATCGTGTAAACGCAGCTCCAGAGAGTCAAAGGATGAAGAACGGGGGCCCTTTGACTCTCTGAGGCTCTGACACCCAGGGTATGAGGACGCTTGCGAGGATATGAAAACATTTTTTTTAAATATGTCCCGTCACGACGGGGATGGTTGCAGTGGCGATTATCGGGGGGGGGCAAGGAGGCCACGGCCCCCCACCAGAAATTTTCTTTGCCTCTTCCCCCCCCAGTTTTTTCAAAAGTTTCTATTAAAAATTTTATGTTTTCTGCCGAAGCTGTTCAATGGTTTTTTGACTTTGTTAGGGTTGCTCTCTTTATTTTCCTCAATGCTTTCTTTATTGCATTTATTTAACTACCCTGGGTACCAGACTCACTATATATCAAATAAAATATATTTTATCTATCATTTTATATATAGTGAGTCTGGTACCCAGGGTATTATTTAACCAACTAGGGGCCCCGATAAGCGTTTTGGTTTGTAACCGAGATGGACATTTATGAAGTTTTGTCTCCTTTCTAATAAGTTACCAAGTAAGAACCAAGTGTTACCAAGAGTTCTGTAGTTATCAAGAAAAATTCATTCTTTACAATCATTTAAATTCTATATTTGCTATATATTATCACGAAGATCCACCTTCTTGCGGTGGGTGCGCAGGGTCAGCCCAATACCATCCCAGTATACCTTGGTAATCTACTATTGCTTATCAAAATTGTATGACTTGAACTTCTGTGAAACAGAATGATTTGCTCGATCTCATGGATATAAGACATAACTACTATGGAAAAATTTTACCAATCCAGTGGCGGATCCAGACTACCGCCATTACCGCTCGAGCGGTAGTCATATTATTAAAAAAATTATAAAAACAAGGATCATTTTCATGTTTATCCTACTACTTTAATTAAACCATAGTTAAAAATTGAAAATATTTGATAGCGCTGCAAACCAAGCATTCCTTCCTAGAAACATGAGACAGAAATACATTTTAATCCTAATCACTATGGAAATTGCGTGTCAATTGGCCGAGTTACATGTTTGCAAATAAAAAGCTAGCATGGCTTGCTAGCTAGGGGGGTTGAGTCGGTGTAGAGCGGATTCCAGCTGAACTGAGCGGTAGTCAGCCTGCCTAAACCAATCAAATCATCAGAAATCACAGCCAACCTGAGGGATGCATACAAATTTTGTTGACAACCAATGAACAACCGAGTTGACTACCGCTCAGATGGGGGGTTGAGTAGTAATGCCGCTCAACACGGCTCAAACGTTACAGAAAGATGAGGGGGATGCCTACATATTCTCCAAGTGGGCAAACTGTAACTTCAAAGCCGATGTGACCCATTATTTTGTACAATACACAACTATTCGTAGGAATATATTTTATAAGAATATTTGAACTCGAATATTCTAAAATTTAAGAAGGCGTCAGGATTTAAAGTCAGGCCCACAATGTTCGCCAAAAGTATGATTCTTTGTTTAACAAAATTTGCTCTCAATAATTGCAAATTTTATCTGACTTTTTAAACTTATAATTTCCAACAGGTCTGATTTTCATAAGTAATTGTGCGACTAAATGCGAGCTTTAGGCGACACTTCAAAATTCTGCCAAATGTATATTTTTTTCTAATTTTATGGTGTTCCTCGGCTAAATGCCGTACATTTTTTTAGAATATCCATCCATATTGATTAAGATTATTTATTTCTTCTTAAGCTTGTTGTAAGGATACATGAAATTTCAGTAAAGCACCGCTTGTCTCTTGGAAACGGTCTACATAAGAAATTATAGAAAGCAATAATGATTTTAGAAAACCGGGTGTGGCCAGGAAATGGGTGTGGTCTAAAGGGGATGGTCGACCCTCCATTATCTCATTTTGGCGGAAGTCAGATTTTTGGCTGGATCCGCCACTGCAATCAACCTCACAAAGCTATTAGACTTTTATTTTTTAGAAGTTTAGTTCTTCTGTTGAAAATCATGATCATGATGCATTATTGTTAAACAGATAAAACTCAGTGGAGTAACAGAACAAAGTTACTTTTAGTCAAATAACAAACGGTCCCGAACCTTTAGGGGCCTCCAGCAACAATTTTTCTTTGTTATTTTTCCTAGGGGACACAGCTGCTCCTTACACGACTGATAAAACTATTTGGCATAATGATAACAGCCTTGATAGTGCTGTACCAAGGACATACTTATCTATGGGGAGCTAAGAACCGGTGCCTTGTAGCTAGCTAATTTTGAGCCACCATGCCACTGCTTTACATTCTACTAGTTCCCAAAGTAATAGCTCGCCTTGGCTCCTATAACTGAAAGTTTGGCCCCCGTTTAGCCCCCCCTTCCCAGTTTTTTAAGGCTAGAATCGCCACTGGATGGTTGAAAAACGTTGGAACATGTTCAATTTTTTGATCGACGCCGTCGCATTCCGGTCGCATCCCCGCTACTTGCGATGTATTGGGGACATATTTTTCGATATGGGAGCATGTTTTTGTTTCATCTGTTTATTTGAATTATCAACTGTATTAATTAACTTTTATTTGTAATTAGGAATTTTATAATTGATACTGAATGGATGTCGTGATTAAATAAATATTAAAAAAACTTCCGCATGCCATCAAAAAAAGATTGTCCCAATCACCCCCCCCCCCCCAGATATAAACTGATCCTTAAAAGCCTTATCTATCGATTAAGATACTAAGCAATCTATAGAAAATACAACAGAAATTTACCAAACACGCTCAGTTCTGTACCATTTCTCATTATTAGCCTCAATGAGCAAGTGTGGGACATATAATCAAAGAAGAAAACGAGGCTAGATGTGACTACTTTTCTGTTTCAATAGGGTTTTTTTCAGCGACAAAACTGTTTTGTTTTAAAATTTTTCTAATGATAGCGTTGTTTCCATTTTCAGAGGTTATCATCGACGATGCTGATCACTCTCTTCGTAACGTCGAGGACACCCACTTCCCGGTGGATAGAAGTCCAGCAAACGGTTGCTCTTGCCAGAACAACGTCTGCAGCTGCTGTGCCAATATTTATATCCCCTACATCTTGGACAAAACAGGTAAACACATTTAATCTTAATTCTGTGGTATATTCTTTTTACATGACACAGGTAAATAATTTTCTAAATGTTTTAAGTTTTTCGTTGCTGTTTAATCTTGAAAATTTATAATATCATATTGCATCCTGGGGAGATAGGTACCCTTGGTGCCAGAGCCTTATGAATCCGGGGATAAGGTACTGGGGCAAAGAATGGGTGAATATTAGCTTCTAACTATATTTCTGCGACTAAATAATGGAGACTCTGTTACCCAGGGCAGGAAATAAGCTGCGAAAAAACACAATCCAGGGAAACAAGGCTTGTCTTGAGCTTCAGTTGTTACCTTTTTGTGCTTTTTGACAATCAATGTCTGAAATTTGACTATCTTTCTCATATACATTTATTGGCATTCCTCAAATTTTTTCTATCGATTCTAGTGTGCGTCAACATCAGCTACGTCTCAGCAGACCTGGTAAAAACGTTTTGCTTAATCTTCTCGTTGTTTAACAAAAGATTGTAGGGATTGGTAATTAGTTAATCTATCATTCAACTTTCTTTTGTAGTTGATGTATATTGTTAATTTCTATTACAGTGGAACCCCGCCTTACGGCCACTTCGTTAATACGGCCCCCTCGTTATAACGGCCACATTTGTTTGGCCCGGAAAAACGGCCATACATAGTCTCATAAAAAAAACCCATTAATGCGGCCTTCTGTTAATACCGCCAGCGGCCACATTTTGCGACCCCAAACAGCAGGATTCTTCATAATTCCACCCCGTTAATACGGCCATTTTTATTCAGCAAAACTGTAATAAAATCACAATAATCTCATTCGTTTTATAAAAGAACTTTTCATTCTCAAAGTCGCTTGCTTTCAGGTGTGCTTGCCCACGCTCGTGACTGGCTGGAACGCAGAACGAACCAGTTAACAGTCACTGATTTCCACCCCAAAAACATCTACCCAATAAACTCCAAAATTTGACCCTTCCTCGTTAATACGGCCACCCCGTTAATACGGCCAAATTTTCGTGGCCCGTTTGTGGCTGTATTAACGGGGTTCCCTGTACTAATTTGTCAATTCTGTATTCATCAAAATGGAGGGCCCTTAAATATTGGGAACAACCCTCATTGAAACAAAATTTTTACTTTAACCGTTTACCATCGGACTTTTATGCCAGGTAATTTGTCTCCTATTCATGGTGGAAGCGTCATTTTTCAAAAATAACTGTGTGATGGACCGGATCTTTACTAGGGAGGGATCAACGGGTGGGGTAACCCTGGGGGAGGGGGCTAAGTCACTGGGCAAAATTCAACAAAGCCTGTACTCAGCTAGAAATCAAAAGACGGTACCTAGCCTGACATGTTTCTGTTTTTTTCAATTATCACAAAATAATCAACCGAGCATTACTTTATTGACATATTCCAAAAGTCAAAGGCGTCGATTAATGTTACTCTTTTTTCCTTCACCAACAAATTCATTATCATGTGGTTTCTCTTCTACAGGGCTTAAGACTTGACGTCAGCATTGATGGGAAAGTTTATTACTCGAAGGAAGTTTCAGGTTTGTTTATACTGACATTCATATCATAAGTTGTTTCAAGAGACAAGAGAGAAAGTTTATATTTTATTAACCCTGAAATGTTACTGTTGAACATTTGAATGGATAACATAAAACGCCACTGATGTGATGTATAAGAAGAACAATGACTAACTTGTTAAAGTCTATCGCCTTCAAACTATAGACCCCAGCAAAGAAAACACTTTATGATTAAAATCCATTTATTGTCAAACAAACAAAAATACACATGTAAGGTAGGCAGTAGTTGGATAATTAAATTCTAGTGCTTTCCTAAACGCAAAGCATGATCATTATACAGAGGTGATGACAAGGTTTAGGGTCTTTTTTTAAATGAAAAACAGGGTGCAAATGCTCCCAGCCCGGATTTTATTCCTTGTTTGACGTAACCTATTATAATTCCCTTTTTTAAAGCGAAGGGCCCCTATTTTTAAAGCGAAGGGTTCCTAGCTGAACTCCCTTAGAAAAGAGTATGCTAAATGCTCTGTGTCCATAAAGGATTATGATAACGATTTGTGTGTTAATATAAGTTGGTGTGATGTAAATGTTAGGCTCTCGAAAGTACGATAGGTTTATCAAGGGTAACCTTCCGATTCTTAGTCACTTGGCAAGGTTCTAGCAGCGATGCAGTCGCTGGGTGAGCTGATGGTTACAGACCCACCCTGTATTGCACCTTGCTATTTTTTTCGGAATATTTAAGCAAAAATTGCCTTTTGCCCCTCCTTTCCAAAAAAGTAAACTCTTACTGCATCCGAAGGTTCTAGCGGCAATAAATCCTGAGCTTTGCATTTTAAATCATGGCCAAACTTTAACCTTTATATTGCTCCACGGCCATGAGTCCTTAAAAAGATATCTAGATACACTCTTTTTATATAGAATACTATAAATTTTGTCCAGCCTCAATGTTCTTAACGAAATTTCATTTTGAGCCTGGATATATTCTTAAAGTATTCTTTTTTTCAAACCTGATATGTTTTGATATGATACGCTTTCAAAAGGCGTCAGGAAAGCTAAATTTACTGCGCAGACTACAACCACAGTTGACGAAAAAGCTGCATGCATAACCTATCAATATCGATCTATGATCATCTGAGTCTTCACCTATTGCTCTATCGTCATGATGCACACCAACAACACCTTTAAACAAACATTTATAACGCTCGAGAGTCGTGCAAAGAAAATAATGTGGAACAACCAGCAAACCGATTCAACAAAAACGTCAAAGATAGAACATCTTTTCCGAAAGAAATTGTGTGAACAAGTCTTTAAATGTATCCATGGGGATGTCTGTGAGAATTTTGCAAACTACTTTGAGACAATGACAAACAATACAAGGAACAAAAATATAATATTACGAGTGCCCAAATTTAATTTAGAAAGTAAAAAAAAGAGTTTTTATTTTGAAAAAAGCAAACATTTTACAACATACTTTTACAACATACATACATAGTATGTTGTAAGATGTTTGTTTTTTTCAAAGCCATATTCAAATTCTTTACCGCAAAAAAATTGTTCAAGTTTTTATTTTACAGGATCTCAACGTTTCAATGAGTTACCTCCATCCATAAGAAGAGCAGAGACCCTCTCATTTTTCTTAAAACATTTTTATTAATAAACCTACTTTATCTATTTTTAAATATTTATCTGTTTTTAAAAAAAATGTTTTTCTTTTCGGGAGCAGGACCCAATGGTAGAACAGAATTTATTTTATTCATTCTTAAATATGTAAATTTGAATTGGTTATCCTGTAAAAACATTCGATATAATAATAACAAGGAAAGTAAAACCACCCTTTTGGAAAAACGAGATATGTCAGTTCTGAAATTCCCTGTTATGACTATAACAAAATAGGCAACTGCGGAAAAATGAGAGACAAATGTGCAAGCTGAGGTTGAGCAAATTGGATGATTCTGAGCCTGAATATTCTTATAAACAATATCCTTATATAAATGAGCGTAGCTGATGAAAATTAAATTGTGTAATTTTGTCTTTTAGTAAAGAATCCTCCGCCCATTTGCTTCCAAGTTCCCGTTCTCAAAAGTCTTGCGTCGATATGCTTGGAGTTTTACAATCTCTCATGGCGTGAGCACGTTGGTGGGTGCTTGAGACTCAAGTTCAAAATGCTGTTTGTTTTTGGGAAGTCTTTTAAAATCGGTTGCTTCCACTTTAACAATCTTGATGCCGAATCCAAGGCTGGCGTAGCAGCTATCTTGCGCGATCTTCACAGATTACAGCAGTCAAGAAGATCTGGCACCCCAGATTTGGATTACATCAGATTTGCATAACATAAACTGAATCGTTCCTTGTGAGAACTTATTAGTTTTAGATCCCTATAGCTTTTTCTATCTAAATATCTATATCTTATATTTCACAGATATTCTTTGTTTTCTTGTATTTACTCTGCCCGCAAAAGAAAAATTGTATTTTCAGCAAATTAATTTTTCTTGTTCTCGTGTTTTTAAACTATCTGCCATTTCTACCCAAGGAGCTATTTGTAGTATACACTGGTGTGTTTGGTAAACAAAAGCCAAAGTCAATCCACACAGAGAAACCCGATCTGGTAAGAATTGAATATGCAGCAGACCTAAGATCAGAGACGTTGTAGAGATGGACAAGGAAACAAGTGCCTGTAGTTGAATTTGTGATTACCAATCGTATGCGTGGTGGAACTCGTTGCATGGGACTCAGAGTTGCACCGAAGAATGCATAGCTTTGCTTGTTCTACATCGGTCGCATTATGACAAACAGTAATTTCATATCTGGTAAACAGTAATTTAATATCCGGTTAACAGTAATTTTCATATCCGGTAAACAGTAATTTCACATCCGGTAAACAGTAATTTCACATCCAGAAAACAGTAATTTCACATCCGGTAAACAGTAATTTCATATCCGGTAAACAGTAATTTCACATCCGGTAAACAGTAATTTCATATCCGGTAAACAGTAATTTCATATCCGGTTAACAGTAATTTCATATCCGGTAAACAGTAATTTCATATCCGGTAAACAGTAATTTCATATCCAGAAAACAATAATTTCATATCCGGTAAACAGTAATTTTCATATCCAGTAAACAGTAATTTCATATCCGGTAAACAGTAATTTCATATCCGGTAAACAGTAATTTTCATATCCAGTAAATAGTAATTTCATATCCGGTAAACAGTAATTTTCATATCCTATTTCAAACAGAATCGATCTGTTTATGATAACTACCACAAAAATTGAACACAAAGGTGACTTGGAAGTCATAACATACAATGTGCACTTCAGTGATAGATTTGTTCCCTATTGTGTGCAATCTTAAGGAGAATATTGTGAGAAAAAAGGGATTACACCCCTATCAAATTTATCAGATGCCCCTTTAAAGACGATAAAAACTGGTATGTTTTTAATTTTTCATAGGTGCATTGTTTCCAGCTCCTGACCATTATATGTTTCCTGTGGTTTGTGATTGGAGATGTCTGGCAAAAGAGGGGGCCCCCTTATGATCATTCTCCCCTGGTGCTTTTCTAGGAGCCACAACACCCCTGGAATAGGGTGATGATAATCAAGGTAAAACTGAGAAAAATTTCAGGTATAGAATATTTGGTAAATTTGATAAAAATGATCCAGAAAAATGCCACTTGTCTAGAAAAAAGTATGCTGGGCTAAAGGCACACGAAGCTGTTAACAGTGGCAGTTCTCTTGTTACAAGCCCTTAGATTGCCAAAGGTGAATAACATAACACACATACCTTCCATGATTGTCCCTAGAATTGACATCTGCACCACAGTCAATGAGTTGCTTGCCAATTTCAAGGTATCCAAAAGCTGATGCGACATGAAGAGGGGTGTAGCCCATCTGTGTAGGTATTATAATATATCTTTTAACTTTGTGATAACAAAGTCTAAGCAAAGTTGGTACTAATCTAGGCGATGCAAACTAAAGGGCAAGCAAAATGTTCTTGTCAGCAATGCAATCCATGTTGTGTTTTGAATCAGTGCTACTTATTACTTTATATTGAAACTTTGCAATTTTTGAAACTTAGCTTTAAAAATATATTTCTTGGTTTTATAAAAACTGTTTGCGAAAGCCAAAATATATGACAAACATAGGTCTTTTGTTTGTTATAAGTCTCAGCAAAGGATTGAAGAAAACATTCTGGACTAGATGGGATGAGAATGAAATCTGTAGCACAGACTTTCTTTGACTAGATGCTTAGTGGAATACAAATTACATTTAAATTTGGACAGATCTCAGATTGACTTTCAGTATGGGAATAAACTTTCATGCCGATTGAAGTCTTTTATCTTTTTCAGCATATCATTAAATTGCACATGTAATGATGTAAGCAAATGTAGATGCAAATAATAAATGTATTTATTGAAAAAATGTATTTTTATGACTCATAAAAATGATGGTACAAAAAGCTGAACATTTATACACATATTCAGCTTGTTCCCAATTGCAATTTTTCTTAATTATTTTAATTCAAGAACTGTTGCTAATAGAGGAAAAACAAATTGGAAAATTGAGTCAAAATAACTTTAGTGAGTACTTATCTAACAATGTATTCATAATAGCTGAAATATTGAGAACTAACTTTGTCTTTTATGTTGATGTTCCCATGTGCATTACTAACAACAGCAATGATCAGTGGCTTTTTGTTGACAGTAGCAATGTGTAAGGGTGTGGATTCATTACAATCCCAAACATCAGTTGAGGCTCCATGCTCGGTTAAAATCAAGACACATTGGTGGGAGAAAACTTCAACAGCCTAGTAAGATAAAAATATGGCACAACAGGTTCGAAATTGTAGGAAGATGAGAAAATATTTATAGTTATAATAAGATAGTGACAATGAGAATAATAATTTAGCATACAACCTTTAAGCCAATATAGGCTTGTAACACATCAAAATTACTGGTTAGAGACTGAAGGACTGAAGTACTTCTAATATCAAAGGTTTAATTCAATACAATTGATACTAAAGCTATTCTTTGAACCATCCAAAAAACTTTTTCTTGGCACATAAGTATTCTGTGCCCAGTAACCTTCAAAGATTATGAAAGAACTGTATTTGCATTTGAGTGTTTACTTTCATGAAACAAGAAGCTATAGAGACACTTCTTTCCTAAAAGAAACCAGGTTAACATTGGCATTCCAGTTTCTGAACACAGTGGAATTTTTGAAGACCTGCTGTTATTTTTATCCAAAGTTTTATACCGAAATTCAGCCAAAGTTTTATATCAAAATATACCATATTCCAAATTACAATTGTTATTTAATTCCTTTCCTTCAAGTACTTAGGTTTCTTTTCTTGGGTTTTTCAAGTACTTGTTTCTTAAAAAAAAGTCTCATGTAAAAAGTAAAACATGATTGCATAATAAAAACAAAGTCACAAAATATGGGAAACAAACAAAGGATACTGACACAAAAGGTGCATGAATTACTTAATGGAACCTTTTCAAAAGATAAAAACAATTATACAAACCAAATTTAATGGATAGTCAGTGGTGTGTGGCATTTAATAGCCAGTGGCGTGGCAAGACCTTCAAGTCTAGGGGGTGGAGGGCAGGGACAGTGGAAGTGGGGGCTGAGGGGGGTGCTAAAAATGTACTTAAAACCAAGCAAAATATTGTTGTCCTTTTGGTTTTAGCATGTTTACCTTATCAAAACGTTTTAGCTCCTCAGTCTGTTAAATGCCCAACGTGCCTTGGGGAGTGTCATCAATTGTAATATTTACCAACGAAAAAATAGATGAAGAAAAAATTAAGGTGCTGCTGATAGATTATTTTACTGCCAGAATAAGGATTTTCAGGACCAACCGAAGATATGCTGATAAACTCATGAAGTATTTGGGGATCACACTTCCTACCATCCCTCCGCTCGCTACACCCCTGCCGAAAAAAGTTGAAAAAACAATTTAGAATATTTTGTGAAAAAAACAATTTAAAATTCAATGTGAACAAGAACCTTTACCTTAAACAATGGTGTTTTTCCATCCTCATCCTTTGCATCGATGGCAATGTTCAGCCCACTTTGAAGCAAAATAAACAAGGCTTTCTCGTTACATATTGAGGCTGCAAGATGCAGTGCAGTCCTGAAAAATACTAAGAATTATTAACTTAGAATATGATAGCATTTTGGGTACAGCATAAAAATTGCCAGTTGCATTTGTGTAAACAAAAGTGCACATTCGAGGTTGATTTGATCGCACATTGGGTAGTTTTTGTCTTCTAGGCCTAGCCTAGGTTTCTTTCAAATTAATAAAAGTGATGACATAAAAAGACATGCCTCCCTTGCTTATCCTTTTCATTGATGCTAGCTGCGTTCTTTAAAATAAAATTCTTGAGCTTTGATGATTTATCGAAACTGAACACCAGTTTATGCAAGAACGGTAGGTCACCCTCCTCGACATGCTCGTAACTGCAGTCTCTGATTGGAGTTTTATCTTTCCCGCCTTTTTTCCAGAAGAAAGGCATCGTTTGTATCCAACCAGGCGCTAATATTGTGCCTTCCAACTGATGCAATAACCACTGATTTTGTCAGTTTCATTAGTTTCGACTTACTCTATTAAATGAATAATTTTATTCGATAATCTTTCAGACCATAGACTATGTTCAGACGAAAGGGACTCAATTCAAGCCGCACTAAAAGAATAGCACCAGCATTTCCATGACAACAAGGGTTGTTCATATTTTAACGGTGATCAATGTCATTTCAGTTCATTGTTTAAAGAATAAGCTATCAGTAATATATCAAAGAGTGACAATTTCCTTGCAAAGCGGTGTTTTGAATGAAAAACTCTTTTCTAAACTGTATGATTCACTATTTCAAAATCAATCTTCAATTAAATTTTGTACAAATGAATTTTCGCTTCAAAATGAATTTTCAATTTTATACAGAACTGAAATGATCTCTATTGTTGGCGTTTTGCAAATGGCTTTTAATCTAATCCAGATGTTTGACGAAGACCTTTTTCTCTTATAACAAGATCACAAGAACATTTTATTGCAACTAAATCATAAGTGTAAACATTGTAAGTCTTCTAGAAATGCATATCTATAAATTCAATACACAATATAACATAATGTACACTTACAATACGTTCAAAAAGTATTGGGATAAATTCGATAAACGAATTAGGGCGTTGCGTTGGATTCGGTTTTGCAACGGAAACTTTTTCAGATTTTGGCAGCCTTTCTCCAAATAATCTAGGGCTACGCATCCCCAAAATGGAATTAACAGTTAAAAGAATACTTCAACTTTTGAAGCATAACCATAAAAACATAGAATTTTTTCGATTTTCCTGATTATAACAGCAAAATATGCAGAAGGGTTGTATGGCCTAACAATGACAAAGTCACATGACCTTCCAAAAATTTTAGCGCTTTCCAAACAAATACACCAGAATTTTTTAATTTCACTTTTGCATAACAAAAAAATTTGTATAACAAGTTACAAAATCAAACCTTTAAACTTCAAATAAAATTTATTACATAAACGAAAACGCTACAATTCAATTAAATCATTGCATTTATTCAAGTTACTTGTCAAATTGCGTAGCATTTTTACACCCCAAAAAGCTGCATTCATTGAGCAACCAACAATTGACACAGTTTCACAAAATCCATTTGCTTTATTTCAGTAGAAAGCAATTTGTAAGCGCTTCTCTTCACTCAGTTCTTGAATTTCAAGAACTTCCATGTTTTCGTCTCGAGGCCTATAGAAATTTTATGGTCGATATTTTTTTAATTGTTTGGCGTACAAAAAAGGCTTCAAAATATAAACAATGTCTTGTGAAAAATTTATGGAAATAGCTGCTGTACTTATTTAATGAGAAAGATTTTAAAAAAGTCTTTCCAAGTTTGTTGCATTAAATGTCTTCGAAAGTTCAAAGTGTGTCCCAATACTTTTTGAACGTAAGTGTATTTCAGCTCCAATGTACTGTAGTATATATATTTCATAATGTATTTCACTTTATTACTTAAATTTGTTTAGCCTCCAGAAAGTGAAAGAAACTAAGCCCTGTTTATTATCTGGTGAATTTTACGCTATACCTGTAGTAATGATGTATTTGACATCAATACATTGCCTTGAAACTCACCAAAATTTACGCCCTTTTACATGTAGACATCATTAACAAGAGAGAAAAAATATAATTTCTCTTGCTGCGCAGTATCACATGGCCTAACGATTTAGCGATCTCTGTGAGATCTACATAAAGATACGTTCGTTCGTTTGTAAGAAATTCCCGAACTCTAATAACTACCCTCGAAAAAGCCATTGTGAAATTAGCCCCCCCCCCCGCACAAATAAGCCTGCATATTTTCAATGTTTTTGTTGCTGGTCTTTTCAAGATTCTAGGCAGCGAATACTAGAGCATTCAATCTGCAGGGTATCTGTCTCAGCTGCATAAAGAAAACATGAATAAAAAAGCTTTTCTGTCTATTCTGGTGATTCCTTTTAAAACATACTGCATGATAAACCAATATAAATAGTAAGTAACGCAAAATTTGAAATTATAATTTCTTAGAAACATTAAGAAAAGCAACAGTCCCAGATAACACATCATTGTATAAAAACAAAGGTAGAATATATCGATATAAACAAATGCAAATATGTACTATTATTTACTTTTAATTATGAGTACAATAGATGAATGAGAATTAGCGATTTTTGTTATACTTGTTAAACAACTTTATTTGGAACTGGTCTCCTTTTATTAGGTCATATAAGTACTGAGGATATTCCTGAAACGTTGGCTATCAGCAGGCATAGGACCGTCCATATCTGTATTGAGTAGCAAATGTTGACAGGTTTTGGTACCATTCCCATCATGTCTAGGAAAGGATATAGCTAGCCCTGTCTCGCTGGGCTTCTGTAAGTCTCACTGGGTCAGAGTCTACCAAATCATTTCTTTGTTCTTCATGGATTTTTTTTAAAGTAAATATCGATCTTTATGTACATTGAAAATATCCAACAAAATAGTTCATTTAGCCCAGCAGGTCTTGAGAGAGGCGATGTCACAAGAGACACGGAATACCCCAGAGAGACCAGTTATAAATTTATTGGGAAGTTAGGCTTTCCGAGGTCTGGAATCTAAAAGTGATACCCCAATTTCTCCAGCTTGCAACTACATTGGAAATTCAAACCAAAGGCCATAAAAATATTAAGTCCATGAACAAATTACGCACCAGTGATACTAAGTGTATAATGATTGTCAGTAGTTTTAAAAAAAAACACGATTAGCAAAAAGGTGATTATTTGAAAGACTGGTAAATAGTGTCTTTAAAATCTTAAATAGATCTTTGCATAACAACAGAGAATGATGCGAAGCCGCAGAAAATACATAACAGCCAAATGGGGTCTTTTTGACTGGATGCTCAGACAACGCCCTGTTTTCATGGTTTCTCTTAAGAAAATTATCAAATCTTGGCTTATTGGCTAAAGAACACTTTTCCCTGATAGAAACCCATTTCCATTTTCTATAACTCAAAATCCTAGCTCCATCTATGCAAAAGGCCAGCTTTCAAAGAAACATTTACACAAAATGCAAGACCTAAGTACTATTTTATATGACCCACTGAATGCAACTGCATTAAAGAAACACGGCACAAGTGGCCAGAAATTCAAATTGACAGTACATTATAGACAAAATTATTCAGACGAATAAGTTAAAGTGCAATACCTTTAAAACCACACACACAAACAACCTGCGTCGATTTATTTTTAATGTTACAATGCAATAGTAAACAAAGTCCTAAGAAAATTAATTATCATTTAAAAATGACTCTCTTTGATTTGGACATCGACTTCTTCTTCAGACGAGTCTGTTTTTCTTACCTCGCTGTACCAATGGGATGTTAATCTCTGCATTTCATCGTGTGCATCCCGCCAGTCCTAACATCACAATAATCATATCAAAAGCCCCACTAGGAAATTAAGCACTATTTGTTCTACAATCTCGGAAAAAAATAGCTAAGATATTTCAAGAAGAGATGATGTTTTCTACCTAAGATATTCCAAGAAAAATAACTTCCTAAATTCAATGTTGAATGCAAGTTTTTAAAGCACAAAAAATATAACTACTTATCCAGCAATGATTCGGGGGAGGAGGGATTCGCATTTACAGGGGGGAACGTAAATTAGGAAATTGAATAATTTGCATTTTGTCTCAACAATGTTCAGGATTGTAAGCAATATACTTTGGCTAACCTGTCGTGTCATTTTTCTTGAAAAGAATGGCAGCAAATACCGGGCATCCAAACGAACAAAGCCTTTTAACCTTGATCTAATGGTTCCCCTATACTCATCATCGGTCAACTGATCAGCGTCTAACGCCGAGCCCTGGCGAAAGAAAGGAAAAATGTTAAAATTCGAACAAACCCAAAATTGGGACAAAGAGCCAAATCATGCAGTTGAAAACTAGGAGGGGCAAACGAACAGGCCAGAGATATCACATTGACAAAAAATCATGTCTGCTAGCTGTGCAGGGGTTTTTAGTGATACAGGGCCACATTAATGAAACATAAGTAACTCTGTGGGCTACTCAATTAACAAAAACTACTGGATGAGTCTTTAATCCCAGGCTTATCGGGTGACGAGAAGATTAAATTTATTGAAGCTGTTGCTGCAGTGTTCAGATAAAAAGTCAAGAAAATCAAGCTCTTTATAACCATATTAACCTTCTGTTTGATGCAAAAAGCGTTTCCAGCACAATGTGCTATAGAATCACTTTATCCACGAAAGTTATCTGAAACGAGACTTTTCACATTATGTAATACAAAGAGTAAGAAAAGTCAAACAAACCTCGGCTTGAGTTTTGCTCAAAGTTAACCCTTCAGAACTTGATGAATCATCTTCGGCCCGCAAGAACTACAAAAATGAGCATATTTCAACGATTAGAAAACTGTATTTAAGGTATTATACAAGGAATTAAGGAATGGTAATTTGCTAGATATTGATTAAAGAAAGCAACAAAAGAATCGATTTTGAAAAATAGCCAACAAGAATACTTGTTCAGCATAAGTGAGACCAGAACAAACACTGGGATATGTAGCAATTTCCCACAAGAAAATAGAGGCACTCTTTAAAGCCTGAAGATATTATTCGACGTTACAAGCATCAAATATCAATACAAACGATACAAACGACAGTCGAATATCTACGAAACTGTTTGTGCAGAGGAGCAGGATTTTTTTAGGGAGGTCGTCAATTCTCGATAATGTTCTTTGGATTTGGCTCTCGGATGATAAAGAATGAATGCTCCAAAACAGAGACAACGATTCAATCTTCATTTATGAAATATATACTTCACATTAGAGTCCAAAATACGTACGTATAATTGAGTTTAAAGATATAGCAAACACCAGAGTATATACCAAAGGAAATGGGTTAACAATTAGGAACATTCATTTAGGAACGTATAAAATTAAAACTTTCTAAACAGCAATATTTCAAAACTGGAGGCAAAAATGAAATCATTGCACACAGAGCAACCAGAGCTCTTTAAAAAAACCTGACTGTTTGCTATATTTTTTTCATTTATTTCACCTATCCTTTATATCAATGATTGTATATATTTTTATCCGGGGACCTTTCATTTCTAAGCAATCTGAAAAAAGATAAAACTGACAAATGAACGTTTAAGGTAAGATGTGAAAAAATTCAAATACCTTTAGCAGCGGTAAAGTCGAACCACCCAAAAAGAGCAAGGTGAAGAGAACTATGATCAATGTTGTTGTAATCAGCACGTGACGTTTGTCTTGGTCGAAATCAAGATTTATTGACAAAGCAAACGCAATTGCTCCACGCAAGCCTACGATTAGCAAGATGTGCAATCAATTTAGGTTCCGAATTTGCAAGTTAAAAGATCACAAAGCAACACAACTGCATCAAGAGGTAGTGGAAGAAAATTTTAAGCATTAAAATGACCACATTATGACACAGTTGTGACAATAACCCAAGAATACGTATATTGTAAGTTTGCTATGTGATGAAAAATAAGATTATGGACTTTTCTAAGACAATGCGCCTCCCAAGCACATCAACTGCACAAACATAATTGAAGACGAGCTTTCACTTGATTTTTTATGTAGGTCCTTGCAATTTTCAGTCAATAACTTTACATTTCGTTTGTAATGATAGCACGGATGAAATGGATGAAGACGAATTCTTGTATGGTGATTCTAATCTGTATACAGAAGAAGCAGTCAAAATGGAGTCCCAAGAAGACGATTCGACGTTGTTAGTTTATGCTAATATAGAGCAGAGGAATCTTACTTTACTGATATTTTGTCTGCAGTAGTTACCTCTTTACTGTTGCTGAAAGGGCCTATTTGATCTTATTCGGACCGATTTGGCGACATTTCTCCCAGGTGTAAGGGTTGAACAGAACAGTATATCAAGTGCCACCGATCCAGGAAGATATTAAACTGCAGTAAGAACTATCGGTGCAAAACATTAAAACATCCGTAATACTGTGCACAGACCTTCTAATCCGACTATTGTACAGAACTCATTCAGGTCGATTCAGAAAAAAACGTTGTTGTATTTTCAGATGGTTTTGAACATGAAAGGGCGAAAAATTTGCTTTCTCTTAAAGGAACTGTCCTTGAATTGTATACAACCGATCTCAATCTGTCAAAGGAGTGCAGAATCTAACGTTTTCCGACCACAATATCATCTTAAAGGCAATCTGTCACGACGTTGATTGGTTATAAGAACAAAGGGATTTCTATTGTTTCCAGTCCCCCTTTAATTTACCGCATTGTAAAAAATATGGCGGAGCGCTGGAATCGTGTTTAGGCCATAGTTCCAGCTATTGTTCTCGTTAACCAATCCACAACGAGACAGATTGCCTTTAAGCCTAAGAATGAAACACATTTGCTTTGAAATAAAAGAATGCAAGGTTTCTCGTTCTTGGTTAGCAGTGCAATCAAACAAAATGTCTTGACTATCCTGCATAAGGTATCGAGGTTTTTCAAATGTATATTGCGATCTTAAGACATACCACTGTACCACATAATAAACTGATTCTTCTTGCTTATTTTTGTCTCTCTGAAGTAGTTTAGAATATAAGACAGTGGAAAGATATTCACCGCCCGCCCGATCAAGATGAGTATCTACAAAAGATGAAATGTCGATTAAGCAGTTATTTGTAAGGTAAAAAAGTTATGACATCATTCTTATGATTTCTTTATATTTGTTAAGAAATATCAATCCATGTTGCAAGATTAACTGTGAAAGTTTGGAAGCAAAAGCTGAAAGCTTGAACCCAAAGAATGAATACTCACTATGCTCCATATAACAAATGAAAGTTCTAATCTGTGCTTGAAACTAAAGATAGCCATTCCCAGGTAGGCAAACACTAATAGCTCTAGAAGAAACCAAATTAAAAACATCAGAAACTTTGCCGTTAAGCAAGACCTAGCACAAGTTCAGTATTCATTATAACTGTAGATAGTTTAGTACTAAAGATAACCACTTGAAAACAGTAAATTTGACGATCAAAGATGCGTTGGTCCTAATCGTGACAAAAATGCTTGTTGAGTAAATTGGAGACATAAATTGATGCAGAAAAAGGATATAAATTGGGGAAGGGTTTAACAGTGGATTAGAAAATAGATAGAACATATGTTGACAAATTTGCACCCCTGATTCACAAAAGTAAAGTATAAAAGTAAGGGTGTATGTAGGATTAAAACAGAGTTACATATCCTCATTTAGCAACCGACTAAAATTCTGAACACGAAAATTCGACTATTAAGAACTTTTTAATATTCTCAATTAGCTTTATTTGGAATTTACATGGTATAATCGTGAATCCAATAAAAGCGGAGATGCCCATGCTTCTCGTCAATTACAGAAACGGGAATCATTTTATTTCTTCATAAAAACTGTGCTCAATTCAACATTCACTCAAAAATTTTAAAATCTGGCCGTGACAAAAAGGTGACAAGATAAAAACCTTCATATTGGCAAAATCGAAAAGCGCCAGTAGGAAAATGGTGCATTTTGGCTAGCCAGCTCAGAGCCGTCTAGTAGAAAGGCCGACAGAAAGCTGCTCAGCAAAAGAACAATAAAAAGGGAGACATTTTTTTAAAAGCTCTAGCAGGCTTTCGTTTTGTTAGACAACTGAAAATTAGTCTTGAAATTTATTGCGAATCCCACTCCCGTCAATATCAACTTAGGCCTGGTTCAAACGTCGCACTTCTCATGTGCCGAACCTAACTCTGTTTGGAGCGACACTTGAGCATGTTAAGCGCGACTCCTGTTTCAAACGTCGAACTTAATCATGTCGCACCAAATGGGTTTTAGGATTGTTACATGAAGTATCTTGGTTAAAGCGCACAATCTCAAATATTTGTTTGAAACGCATGCGCCCTCCAAGAAAGAAATGAATTCTGTGAAGGAAAATAAATTAAATATAATTTTGCATTGAGTTCGGTACATGACAAGTTCGACGCTTGAAACCGTGCCGTGCTGGAGCCGTGCAGCTCGGCAAGCTCTGCCGATCCAAACTAGTCTGCCGCTCCCAACTAAATCTGCCGTACCAAATTGATTCAAACATCGCGCCCCTCATGTACTTAATTCTCGAGTTAGGTTCGGCACATGAGAAGCGCGACGTTTGAACCAGGCCTTAACTTTCCAGAGACTTGCTATGTCCGTGAACTTGATCATAAAGATAAAACACGAATAACACAGGAAATATAATAGAAAAGGTCGCGGCACCTACCCGCAAGAAAAGCTGCAGTTCGAAACAATTGCTGGACTGTAATCTGCGTGACTGGGGACAAGTTAAAATGGGCGTAATGCGACATAACGATGCCACAGAACAAGATTGCCATAATGCCTAGAACAGAACATATCATTCATATTAAGAAGGTACTTCTACATATAAACACCTATATATATACATCTACATATATATTCAAATTTTTAAAGAAAACTCCAGATCAGCTGACAAGTTTCAAGTGGTTCCAACTAAACCGCGATTTCTACATAGACAGAGTCCAATTTTATAGGGTTGTTATACATAAGGTAAAGGGACATAAAACAAGCGTATTGACTTTCCTAAATCACTGGCTTGCCTAAACAAAAGGAATATTGAGGCCATATATCCCAGAAAAACAAAATTGACCCTGCACATGACAGTGCTTAATATTCTTTTAAAAAACACCAACCAATCACAACTCTTGCTTGTAATTTAGCCATTGTGATTACTCCAAAAGTGAAACAAACGACTTCGTGCTATACGTTCGTCGGACCCGGTGTAAACGTGATCTCAACTGGTTCTTCAGCACCACCAGCTATCCAGCTCAGCCAGTTCTCCAGCTAGACCAGTTTTCCAGCTCAACCGGTTTCCGGTACTATCAGTTTTTCAGCTCAGCCGGTTTCCCAGCTAAGACGGTTCTCTAAAGTAGAACTACATACGCAAAGTTAATCTTTGCAGCTGTTAATCATTTGTAAAGACCTACCCGAAAGCTTGAGTCCTTCTGCAAGCCCGTAAGGAGCATATGAAAACACTATCATCATACCAAGTTCCAGTGAAGGATGCTGCCGTAAATCAACGTATTTTAAAATGTATAATTAAGTCAAGGATATCAAACGACAAAATCTTTAAGGTTCTACAAGTAGTGAAACTAAAGCTAAACATGGCGAATAGAATAAGCTTCAAACGATAAAAGGCAATAAATAGCAGCTTCTAGATCATAGTGGTTTTAGCATAAGGTTTTAAGGAAAATGAGCTCAATTCTTCACATCATATAACAAATAAAAATGAAACTGTCTATTTACATATTGACAATGCTAGCATAATCTTGCTTGTTGTAAGAGGCGATGTATAAAATCAGCTTTTAACTACCCTTTATTAAATAATAGGAGCTACAAAACTAAATACCCCGGGGGTTGCCTCGGTACAGGGTATACTTTTCCGATTAAAGTTATGTGGCAGGGTACCATGAATTACTTCAAAACTCTTGGAAAGGGGTATCAAAATCAAAGAAATTGTTTTGGACAAGGTCTTTAGAAGCAGATAATACAAAATTTTCCAATTATCTACTTCAACGAACAACACGCGCTTAGGCATAGTGCAGATCCCCTTTAGGTATATTTTGGCATAATTGTGCCATTTTCATATTTCTTATGGTACAGGATATGTTTTTGGCATATTTTCTTTATGGGAAAGGGTCAGGGTGCAAAAGTGTTTTCTGTACATCCACATCACTTTCCTAGTGAAGTGCCCCCCCCCCCCCTCCTAAATAGAGAGCTTCAAATTTTTTTCGAAAAGATATCAGAGCAGCAAACAGAGCAAAAACGACACCAATGGCGGCCGACCCCAAGAAGATTACCAAGAAGGAGCCAAAAGCTTGGAAGAAGGAATCAGTGTGCGCTGTTACAGACCTGCAACGAGAACAGAAAAAAAATAAACTTCTCTAAATGATTTATACAGTCAACTCTCCTAATCTCGAGCTGAAAGGGGACCGATAAATATGTTTGAGATAGAGAAAGTTTGGGATAAAAAAAGGACTAAAAACTGAGAAAACAGACCAGAAATACGAGAAAAGTGAGAAAAGATTGGAGGGTACGTTCATTTCTAAGTGGAAAAATTTGAAAGGCGCTTTAGTAATAGTAACAACTGTTAAGTCCAATAACATAACAAACATTTGTTATCACTACTTGTTCATTTGCTTGGATGATTTCGTTTGTCTGTTGAGAATAACTTCTCGAATTCAAAAATAACTTGTCTTGGCTTTAATGTCTTTTCCTGTGCTGCAATAAAGGGTAGCATTTTCCAAAATTTTAAGGGAATTTGATGCTTGCTCAGGCGCTTTATCATTGATTATGAAAAAATGTTCATCCCCTTCTGTCTCCTTTGCAGCAAAAAATGGATTTCGGGAAAGTCTATTTCTAAATCGGAGTCTTGCTGAGGTTTATCAAACTGTTCTAAAATGCATTATGTGAACTATCTACGAGGCTCCCAAAGGGAAGATTTTCTGGTACCATGTTTGGTTCCGAAGCATTGTAACTTTCTTAGAGTTCCTTCAGGGTCTTAGCAGGCCACCCTTCTTAATGCCCTTATAGTATTTTATTATACATTTATATCACAATGCTAAACAATAGTCTAACATGTATGCACTATGCTCCATAAATCATAACGGGGTTTGTCCCCAAGGTACCGAGAGAAAATTAGATTACAGCAACGGGAGATGTCCAGTGGATTGTACTTTCAGCTTGAGCTGGAGAGAAGTTTGAGACAGAGGAACGTCAAGATAGAAGAAAGTTGATAGAATATTATAAGAGAAAAGTTAATAGGGTTCTCATAATGCCAAGCCTTCATTTGTGTATCCCTGGCAATATTGTACGAGTTTGTAAACAACAGTAACTAAATTTAAAAAACAATCAAAATTTGGCATTGAATGCCATAGTGGGCCACTTACTTTGTAAGAACAATGGCCACAGCATCGTTGAGAATACTTTCACCAAACACCAACATGTTTAAAGTTGGATCTACATTCAAAGCATGAAAGATTGCCAGTGTTGCTACAGGATCAACAGCTGATATCATCGAACCAAATGCAAAGCTGAGACAAAACAGACACATCTCAATAAATACATTCTATTCCATATATAGATTACAGTTTAATTACTAAGCCTGTGTAAATTTTGTTTTTAAGGCAATTATTGGTAAAAAAGTCAACACAATTCGGGAAAGAAAGAAAGTAAAGTTTTGCAAAAATCTCTCTTTTCTAGAAGATAATAAGAGGCTATATAATCAAAATCTGATGGTGTTGAGGATGTCCTAAGTCTAAAGCTGAAGAAGGAACATAAATTTCACAGCATTTTTTAGATAGACCTAGGTTACAATGTGTATCTGATACAACATTTTTACTCAACAAGTCTATAAAATTGTGTTATAAACTGTATTAAACTTAATCACTATAAGGCAAATTTGATAGAGACCAGTTTAATCTGATATGATTACTATGTATTTGCTAAAACTTTATATAAAACTTCAAAAAAGAAAGAGCAGTAAGAAGGAACTTTCACCGCTCATACTGAGAAATGTTATGTACCTTTCAACAAGGGTTAATTCAAATGCAATACCAGCCTGTAAAACAATTCAAGGAAAAATTAATCCTATATAGTGTTTATACTACCGTCTATCTAAATAAATAATGCTTGCCACCTAAAGGTAAAGGCTCTTTATGTCTCACAGGTCAAAACTCAGTTCTTCAAAACTACCTGATCCCATTTTATTCATTCTATAAATTGCAAATTTTCTGCCCAAAAAATGTCTTGCCTGAAGTATAACAGCACTGATAGCTTGAAGGAATTCAGACAAAAATGGTTGCTGGAAATGTTCAATTGCCCATCAACCTCAGAACAGAAATAATATTATATATTTATAAGTGTATATCAACATTTAAATCTACAGCCTATTTCCTATGTTTTATTTGCATCCAATGTATTCATGTCAAAAAATATTTCATCAAAAGACAGTGAAACTATAAATGGCATTTATTGATGTAAGCTTTATTAAGCTATATTGCTTGTCAATGATCAACATAAGTTTATATATATAATCTTATAGCTGCCTGATGATGGCACTAAGTGGAAAACTCAGAGTGGCAATTTAGAATCATCTGTTCCTTACAGCAAAAGGGTATATTATAAAACATACTCTTCCAAATAGATAGATACCACCACCAACAGTAAGTGCTGACATTATTGTCCCAAAGATAGCAAAAACACAAATTGATCCAATGTTTGCAAAAAAATTTCCCTAGAATTAAAAACATCTCAGTGTATTAACAAATCAAAAATATCAATTTTACTTAAACTGTACCTTAAAAATTATCTTCTTCATTTCACCATTCAAGATTTTTAAAATAAAAATTGTGATTGATAATTTTGGTTTAAGTCATAAATAAACATAACAGCGATCATAATCAACAAATGTCTAAATCTCACCTTGTGAAGACTGTAACCAGATTCAAAGATGATTGGTGGAAGAATAATTACAAAAAAGACAGTAGGGTGGAATGCTTCCTCTTTCTGCAAAGTAATTAGGATGATGAATTTAGTTAAAAGTGAAACTACTCATGTTTCAGAGAAGAAAACTGAGATCTGATAAAAAGAAAAGTTATGAAGAGAGCCTATAGTCTAGAGAACAACTGCTATCTTAGACATGCCTCATAATTTCAACAAAGGGACTAAACAACCAATGCCAAGCAATATTGCTGAAGCAAAGATTATTTACAAGTAGCTTCTGTAAAATACACATAAATTTTAGAGAAAAACAAGGAAAAATGTTAAACTTTATGAGTAACCAATCATCAAGGATATAAAATAGTAATTGAACTTACCTGCCAGTTAGCAACATTACTATTTTTCAGTAATTTCAGAAATAGTGCCACTATTGCACCCAAAAACACCACACAGACACTCTCAGGGAGGTAGGCAAATTTTGATTTGATCAACAAATGTATAGCAAAGATGCATATAGCTGAAAACAAGAAAAAAGAACTTTAAAAATTCAAATGTTCAAGAAAGACACCGACTAAGAGATGTGATAACAGTACTTAATTACAACAAATATAAGTTCTTAAAAATGTCTTAACGAGTTAAAAAAGTGTCTTAAAATGAACATGAACTTGTTAACTTGCTTAATCCAACATAATACAAAATAACTAGCTAGTTAATTATGATCTTGTGTGTAAAACCGGATGGTTTAAGTTGCAACTGCATGTTTCACGTATAATACAGTCATCAGTTGCATTAGTATGATCCCATTCAAATGCCACCCAACCAATGGCTAATGGATTGATTCTAGAAAATGCTCAAAAATCATTAAGATGATATCTGCACATTATTTTGAATATCTTTTACACAGGGATTTTTCATAAGACCTGCTAGATGGAATCAAAACAAATTTCAATGCATGCACACTAGAAGGAAAGATGACATAGACTAGATCAAAACATTACACTCACCAACAACAAGCAAAATAAAAAATATTGTCATTGCAGTTGCCTCTTCTTGTTCTTCTGGTTCCTTTGGGATATAAGGTGATTCTGTGGCTTTTATTGTAGTTGGTGATGCTTTGGTTGTTAGAATTGTTTGATTTCTTGTATGATTGGTGGTGTTCTGTGTAGTTGTTGATGACCTTAGTTATGACAAAAAAGAAGAAGCGTTGGGAAAAATCAAAATGACCACATCTTCTTACTCACACTTATTTGATGTAAACCTAACTTTTCAAATTTAGCAGATGTTATAACCTTGCAAGACAAAAAACAGGTATAAATTTGAATATTTTTTGTTCAAAAGAAGTGAAGCATTAAAACAGTGTGATTAAAATCATGAAAGCTAATTTTGGGATAGCCTTTTAGGCCCATATCATCACTCAATCTATTAAAGCTACAAAAGAAGAACTGGCCTATTTAAACAATTAGCATCAAATTAATTTGCTTATTTCATGACAAAACGTACTGTTGACTTATTGATCTTAAACAATAAACTTAAAAGGCAATTCTCGGATTCGAGTAATTTGTATCTTCACATTTGGCAAAAATGGATAACAATTCAAAGCAAAGAAACATGCGCCCGAACGGTCCAAACAACATGAATTTTCAGTATAAACTAATTTAAAGATGAAGATTTTAATTCTGAAGTCCATTTTCGAAAAAGATCCGTAGATAGCGAGATACAAAATTGTTGACGTCAACTTGAATCCATCAATTAAATAGTTTGAGTGATTTTTGTCACATGCAACAACTGAACCAAGATTATTTCAAATCTCGATACCCTGGGTCTTTCAATTAACAGTAGATCAGTTGATCAAATAAAAAATGTCTTAGATCGATTGTTAGAATTTCAGTAAAAACACCTGCATCGCAAGCTTGACAATGTAAGATTTTAATATATTGAATCGAAATCGGCTACTGCAATTATGTTCGATCAAATATCAAGTTAAAATTGGAATAACTGCCGAACATTTAACTTTCTACATACATTTTTGGAGTGGTATTGGCCAACGAATCTCCATTTTCACCTGCATCACAGAGATGTAAGATACTGACACAAATGCTGAGAAAAAACCAAAACCTCAAAATTAGGTTTTTTGATCTTCTCAGACTGTACTTGGGCCAACAAGGCCGTTTGGTTGGAGACTCCATTTTTCTCATGATTCACTCATATCCAATGACAAAGTCTTTTCTAGAAAATACCTTTGAGCACATATAACTCAAATAATTGTCGATATTTAGATAAAAGTCCTCAAACTTTGCTGTGAACTGGATAAATCGAGGTAATCGATCGTTTTTATCAAATTGTTGTTGTCTTGCTTGTTGTGGATGACGTACAGTGCCACATGAAAAAGAGACTAGCCCATCTGGAAGGCGCTAAGGCGTTAGCCCATCTGGAAGGCGCTGGTCGCTAAAGTTGAAGGGAATTCGCGAAAAAGTATTTTTGTCTCATTGAAAAAGTATTTTTGTCTCATTGCTAGGGCCGCCGAGAGCTAGGACAGGCCCCTGGACAGCTAAATAGAAACGGGCCCCTTTTAAACTTTTTTAATTTTCAAACAAGATATTTTTTATCATTTCAAGTAGATTATCAAAAACGGAAAAATTTGCTATTGACTAAGTTGAGAATTTCTTAAATTTCATAAAATACATAACTTTAAGTCTTCGCTTCAATATCATCATAAACTATAACAGAATAAAACAGCTTCATCTTTCACGGGCCCCTAAAAGAACCCTGGCCCCGGGGCAGTTGCCCCGGCTACCCCCCCCCCCCCTCTCGGCGGTACTGCTCATTGCCAATAGCTAAACTAGTTTCAAAATTTTGGAGGACTAAAAAGCTATCACAGCGCAGTTCTTTCAAAAACTCAAGGAAAAAGACATTACAGAGTCCACTTTTAAATTGTTTTGAAAATATGAATTGAGCAAAGACAATGGTACCCAAGGAACGCGAAAAGAGTTCTCGTAATTTCAATATAGACATCTTCAAATGCATACTTTTCTCTAAGAAAAAGTTCTATAATAATTATAAATAGAAATCAAACAAAGACAGGACCACAATTTTTCTGATTCTGAAGTTTTCCAATATTTCTAAATCGATTGTGCTACAATTCTATTGTTTTCATTCAGGGAAACTATTTTGGCTCTACTGTGATTTTGCAGCAGCGCAACCCATTCTTGATTTGAAGGAGCTAGCATTCCAATTCCAGTCGCCAGTTTCTCTAAAAAATACATTTACTGGGTAACCTCAAAATAAGATAATACGCAAGGACAAACTTTGATATTCATTTATTTACAGAAGTATATATTGACATAAAATAAACAATCTTCTGCTGCCAGTATGATACACGTCGTATAATATTATCCAGAAGATTCTTGTACCTAGAGAGTAATGATCATTGTCACTTTAAATAATAATAAGTAACACATAAATAATAATGATAATCAATATATTATAATCAATATCAAAACAATGGTAATTATCTTAAGCCCCCTTATATAATTTTTGCGTATTAAATAGGCCTGATTTCATGACAAAGAATAAACGAGATACAGTTAGTTACATCTAATGCACTCTAAGTGCAATGAATTTATGCATTGCTAACTTCAAGCATTCTAAAGGATGCTAAATTCGTACTACACATTAACAGCGTAAAATTACAGTTGAGTAGTAATCGAGAGCACAAAAAAATTAAAACAAATCATTGCGTTCAGGAAAAAGGTCACGTTCTGAGTGAAATTACACAAATAAAAATCACACTGGATGTTCTGAAAGATGTTAGATTGAGCTCTGACAGTGTAAACTCTAAATGCGCATTAAATTAAAGAGGTCTATTAATGCCTATCAAATAATGTATAAATTATCCAATTGACAACAATTTTCCTTGGTTTTATCAAACTGTAGGAATAGCTATGATTTTATTCAAAGGGGAAGCATCTATTCAAATATATTGAGGTATTTTATATAGTAATGGCCACAATGCTGCACAAATTTTTGCACATGAAGACAATTTTTGACAGCAGAATAATGGCGTTGCAAGCTGATTATATATTCAGAGAGGATAATGTTTAGTGATATAAAATCTATAAGCATGTTACGGAATAGATTAAATTCAAAGATGACTATCTCCATAAAATTGCAAAACAATCGAACATAAGTACAATTTTGGCTGCAATGGTTAAAATAGCCTCAGCTCCATCATATTTTCTTACATTTTTTAAAAAGCATAACTCTGCTCAGTTGCCCCTTTTTTCGAACTCAACAACCTGCAAAAAAAACAGAACGATTTTAACAAATAAAGACTTAAAACTTGAGTTTTGCATTCACGAGAAAAATCGGACAGACTGCATATTCATATTAAAAAAAAGCGAAGGAAAAGCAAAGATGTCTGAATTGAAAACACTTTTCTCTCACTTTTTCACTATATCGAACATCATTGCAACACAAAGCAGTTATATCAAATTGTAAATTTTCCCATAAAAGTTCAAACACTTTGAACTAGCAACATCAGAATGTTCAAACTTTAAAATAAGTATTAACACATTCAAATAACATACAATCTTCAGGAGAAGCTGAAATCTTCAAATCTAAACAAGTTGCAACGTTTGGTATGCATCCAGATAATATGTACGTGAACGAGACGATTACAAATTTGAATTGTCGTATTATATCCATTAGGTGGCCCTACAAATAGACTTCCCCCACGAAAAAGCACCCCCTCGAATGAGCACCCCTGGGAGCTTTTTAATCTTGGATTCAAATCTTCTCTTGCCTGCTTCATTATATCGTTTTTCTATTTGTTTGCATCATAGTTTTTTGAATATCAGTTTTGTCCATCTGTCCACAAGATCGAATAAAGACCCCTTTAAATTCTGGCTTCATAATATAGCCCCCTCGACTGTGCAACCCCTCAAAAGAGGATACATGCGCACTATGAAAATGACGAAATACTGTCATCACTTTAGGCACTCATATCCCTAATGACGTCATAAATATAATTCTTATGAACCCCAGCTTACTGCATTATCCTTCTAAGTCTTCGTCGCTGCTCTTTGCTTTGAAGCAACATATCCTTAAATTAAAAAAACCGAGTAAAGGAAGCAAACAGGTGGGGGGGGGGGGGTTACCTGCAGAACATTACACTTTGCAATTCTTTTCATTTCAGCGGTTAGCCCTTCCGATGTCTTGAGGTCCTGTTTAGATAAAAACAAATGAAAAGTAAGATAGTCAGATCAAATCCAATTATATTATTTCCTCTAAGCGGTCTTAAAATTTCCAATACTGAAGCAGATAAAAACAAATTACAGGTAAGAATGGCAGAATTAGTAGCAGTAGCAGAATTACAGGTAATTTATACAAAGATGCAATTATTTCTGCCTTCACCATACTCTAAATCATACTTAACATTCAGGAAAAAAAGTAGCTTTTGGTTATAACAAAAACAATACTAAATTATCCAAATTAGCCAAGAAAAAAGCAGTTGATCTTTCACATGGTAATACAACTACAAATTATCGAATAAAATCTTTACATAAAATATTGCTACGGCCAAGAATCATCACTCACTTTTAAAAAACTTTTACACAACGTGAATAATCTCGTGACACATCTTTCAAAGACAGGATCCTTTTTATCAATTTTTCCGTATTTTTGTAATGTTCCTTCGCAAATGATCCGCAGCCTCTAAGAAAAATACAAACAACTTCCCATCAAACTACGTCAGTTTTCTATGACCAGACAATGTAAAAGGAACATTTTGATTGGTCCAAGCCCTTACGTGGTTTTCATTCGCCGTTTCAATGGACAAGTTAATCTTGACAAAAATAAGTCAATACTAGGTTCTTGGCAAAAATCACGTGCATATGTGATGGGTAACACAAGGCATACTTTAATAAGTTTATCATTTAGTAAAAGACTGAAAAAGCAAACTAAAACTAATATTTCTATATTGAATTTTTTTCGTTGCTAACTATTGGCTACAGTTTCAACCTATAAAAATTTATCGTGAGACATAAAAGTACGTAAACGCTAGATCTTTTTCAATTCGTAGGGCAAAAATTATCCCCAACTGTCCTTGCCCACTTGCTAACCTAAGATTGAAAAGTACAACAAAAACAGAACAATATCATATTTGCTAGAACATGTCGAACGATTCGCTGGTTCTCTGTTAGTCATTATAATTTAATTGGATGAGGAATCTAAGAGATTCAGGAAACCAGGCAGTATATCGAAAGGAAATGATATGAAATCCCAATAGCAATCTTTTAAAACAAATATACAGTAGGTAAAAGCAGAAAACCTTCACAAACATTCACAGTTAAAACAGACAAGCTCTTGGTAAATCAATAAAACAACAAACCCTTTGATGGCGTTGTGATCTTGTTTCCTTATTTGCAGTGCTAGTAGAGTCATCAACATCAGAATCTGTAAAGGGTAATAAGAGAATTGTCCTTGGTTTGTTGGAATGAAAGAAAAATTTGGGGAGAAGATGATCATCAAAAATTATTCAATAAAAAGCCAGATGATTTTCAGAACAATGAAATGATATCCCAGTCTAGAGAGACCTTAAAAATTTTTATACTTAAAAAGTTTTTATACTCAAATATGGCTACGTTTAATACGTTGAGCCTTGCTCCTTTAAGTGTTTAAAAATGGATATCTTTGTAAGAAGCCAGTAACTCAATTTACTAAGTATAGGGAATCCATGATACAACCTTTACTAGATGCAAACATATAGCTCCTTAATTGTTCCTGGGGAGTTAGGTATACCATTCTAAAAGGTTCACTCAGAAAACAACTATACCTTTAACCTTCACAACTTTTTTCTTATCGTCTTCGAATTTTTCTTTGGAATTTGAAGTATTGTTATTTTTATTCTGGGATGCTTGTACTTTCTCCTTCGAGGGTTTTTGTGGTGACCGCTTTTTTCTTGACTGGCGATTTTCATCCGAAAGTATTCCGTTTTTAGACACCCTTTTTAGTCTTGAACCTTTCCTTTGTATTTGAGTCAATGTGCAGCTGGTATCATCTGATATGAATCGTTTCTGTATCCTGGTTATCTTTGCATCCAGTTTCAGTGAATTGTGCGAATCCAGGCAATAACTGAAGTGAATAAATTATATTGTTTATCTATAGTTACAAATATTGTTAAAATAGATTAAGGGAAACGCCTGCGAACATACGCGAAAAAGGCAAGAAACAAGGAGATTAGAAATCCTAAATTGCGAAAAAGACCAGTAAATTCTAGATGGAAATTTGTAGGGCTATCAATTGATTACTACTTCACAGGAATCAACTGAACAAAATTGTTCATCAAAAACTGAGGGTTCGGGAAATATATTACTTCAAGTGACCTAACCTTTTGCTTGCAAATACAGCCTTAAAAATTATTTACTTTTCATAAGAACATTGTTAAACTTATCTAGAGTGGAAATATTAAATCACTTATAAATCACAAATATTAAATGTTTGCCTTGAAATTTGGTTATACTCACTCAATCCCATGACCGAAAAACTGAGTTGCTTTTGAGAATGGGAGGTTTTTTACATCATCTAGAATAACAATAATTTGAGTTAGGTTACAAGAAAAATAATGGTTGTAAATCATATCCATTCCCCTTTGCTTTCTTTAACAAACTCAAAATATGACAATGTGCTCATTTACCTTCGGGTGGTAGCTGTTTGAAGAGACGATCGGCCTGTCAATAGAATTGACTTCAATCAGATCAAACAATTGAGGCAAAAGGTAATAGTATCTTAAAATACCTTTTCGAATATCATCTTTAACAAACATATTATCACGATAACGAGCAAAGGTGAATCTTGATTAAGAAAAGGGATAGAAATAGCGAGAAGGTTATAATTTGTCGGAGTCAACAATAAGTAATACCCTATTCCGAAAGTATCGAGGATAATTTTGGCAAGTAAGGGGATCGGAAAGGATATTTATAAACAAGCATGGGACCCGTTTTGTAGTATATGATATCTCATGACATGAAACAGTTGCACCTTTCCTTTAGACAAAGGACCTCCAAGGTGTTACTTGAAGTCAGAATATTACAAATTTGGTAAATTTCACTAATTTTATAAGGTGTTCCATTCCTATACACATGAGTGAAACAAATGCAAAAAAACGAAGCGTGGTGCTCTGGTGCTAAAACTTTTACGTACTTTTAGAAAGCGAATAACACAAGTGCCTAGCTTTGAATCCTGAAAATCAATTCTGGTCACCCATCTTAAGGGTGGTCCAGTATGGGTCAAATTGAAGGAGATGTAAACTAAACTTACGACTAAAGGAATCCTTTTCATCTCTGTATTTGCAGGTCCACCAAATTCATCGAATAATTTTTGAATCTGAGAGAAGTTTTCTGTTACATCTGTAAATATTTATCAAAAATTTCATTAAAGAAATTAATAAAAATTTCATTCAAACAATAAATTTGAAGTAACGAGAGTAGTTCTATAATAGTAAAGTAATATACCATTCAAAGTATAATATTGAGCATTTATAACTTTTTACAATAAAAAATAGTTTGATAATCTACTGACAATTTATCAAACTCAACAACTGAACCTGCAGAAAAAAATCTTATTTTAACAACAATGCCCGCTAATGGAATTGCTTTCAAAATAATTTCAGGCTACGTTAGTATTGGCTTGAAACAAAAAATGAAGTAAAATCAAGCGAAAATACTTGGTCATTAAATTTCAGTGGACAGGAAACCGAGAATCTACCTTGGTAATGACTTTCAGCCGAGACGGGAATGCCTTTCAATTTCATGTGGCCTTCTGCTGACTGAAACCTTTTAAGGGATCTGAAGAAAGAATAAATTCCTTTGTTAAATAAAATGCAGAACATATTGGTATTTTATTCAAATAACTGATAATAGATACATCCATCAAAATTAGCATTCAATAAAATTGACTAAAATAATTCCACAAAACTATTTTGCGCGAAACTGAGTGTGAATTGGGCAAAGAATAATCAATATTTGAAATAGTGCAGATAGACTAAATGACAATAATACAGGTCTGAATTACAAAAAAATTAAGGTAGCATTTTATTTAATTAAAAAATTGATGGAAAAACTTTAAGAGGAGGATTAAATTTACTCAGAAATTTGGCATTAGGGTAGAATTGTTATAACTTGCTACGAGCATCAGAAATGTCAATGGGACCAGTGAAAGAAAAAGTGACTATATTCTATGTTGGGTAGATTATACCTGGTTTTAATATCTCTACAAACACGATTACAATACGTAATGTAGTAAACATCAAAAAACTTAAAATTTACTATTTTAATTTACCAAAAATTGTAGCAAAGGTGAGATATTTACAAATGTTCAAAATCATCTTGATAGCATAATGAGAGAGTTTGAGAAATTTTTTAAGTAGTTTTCAGCCGGTATAAATTTTTATGTAATTCAGTTGTGCAATCTGCTGTAGCTGCAAATGATACATTAAAAGTTTTGTAATTGCTGGAACAAAATAGAAATAAAAGTGCAAAAGAAAGTGCTTCCTAAAATCCTAACCCGTATGATAGTAAACCAACATTGTTCTGTAGGGGAGAGGGGGGTGATTGATTCTGACTTTGGAAATTGACGTCAGTGTTCCAAGACTTTTGGCAGACATTGTAGTTGAAGGCAGTGTGTCGCGCCCTTCATTGGTTTACAGAAACAAAGAATTGAATTTCTATTACAGTGAGTTTTCATTTTCTAATAAAGGGGGTCTCTTACTTTCTATTGATCATTTAAATACTAATTTGTAACGCTTCTCTAATTTTGAGGACCCTCGAAACTCAACAAACAATAGCCAATGAACAGTGTGCCTTTAATTCGCGGTTAATGGTAAAGCAACTACGGATACATACCCTTTAATTAAGGCTGAAGCTGAAGTCTCCTGGTTGCTCCAAGCAAGTCTTTCAGGCCACAGTGAAGGACTAAGTACCTCTACAAGCAGTTATTTTCTTTTACTTAAAGATTTAGGCTATTTAGTGTATACAACAGGACGGTTCTAAGTTGCTACAAGAGCGTGTACAGCTCTGCCTATGCAGTATCGAGCACTTAATGAGAGACCTTCAACAGTAATTTTCATTGCATAAAGATTTATATGGAAATATTTGCTTGAGAGAAAGATTGGAATTCTCGTTAAATACAGCAATGACTAAAATTGCCTCTACTCTCAATTTCCCAATGTCTTGTCGTTTAAAAAGCAAATCTGGAAATCTTAATCTAATAAAAAGCATAAAAAATTCACATTTGACAAAGCACCCGGGTCAAAGATTATGACGTTTGCTAAAGTAAGCAAAATGAAATTATAAAATTCTGGTTCTGCTCGTGCATAACGTAAAAAGAACAATTTATTTCTAAACCAAGTATAATCTTTTTTTGGCAATGCAGTGTAAATTAACCATCAATTCTCCATCAAGATAAATCTCTTTTATCAGGTTTTGCACCAATACCTTAATTGATCTCAAATTTTGCAGAAAATACAATGCTTACTTGCTGCATGATATTCCATTGCTATTTCTTCGCCGTCGTTTAAGTGGAAATCTCTGTGAAGCAAATGAAAATTTAAATATAAGAAGGTAGCATTGATTCAAAAGCAACTGTACACTATTCTCTTTAGATTACTCTAGCATAAAAATATTCCTGATATTTGATGCCTATATTCAAATATCATCTTTAAAAACATTTGATACTATGAAAGATAGGAAGAGAAAACAAAGAAGTATGAATATCTTCGTTACCTGATATATTCCTTCTCGGTTTTTTCCGAAAATGATAAAAACAAGTCACTCTCTTCTGTCTCTGGATCTTTAACGAAAACAAATTATATCACATCTGCGTTAATATTTCAACAGACATCAAATAGTTATAATAATTTTAGCAAGGTTCTGCTACTAAGGTAGCAAGGCCTCTTTGAAAACTAAGGTTCTAGCAAAATTCAAAAGCTGAAAAAATTTATTGGAAAATAAAGTAATCGTTACCGGGTACTTCCAAGCTCCGACAAAGTCTTTCATGAAACTTTAGATCTGCCTTTAAGATATCACCGTCTGTAATTATCGCCAACTTCCACTTAAAGTTGGGTTCAAAAAATTCTGCAAAATCATAATATACCGTCCTTAACAATACCTTATGAATAACATCATGGATAAGATTTTGTTTATATATTTTTTAAACATGCCTTTGGGTTGAAATTTAATATGGAACTTCAGGTCTAGGCCAGCATCTTTAAAAAAGCGTCAGAGCATAAGAATCATTTTAATTATTGTTTAATCTTTTCAACTAAGCATCGTTTTTAGGCCTTGTGTTGTGATGACCTGATTTTCTTGCATGCAATTAAAAGCTACTATAGAGATCTAGACCCCCTCCGACAAAACAAAAAGATAGCATATAGTTGAAAGGAACAACTACAAAATTAAGGTACAACCGAAAATATATTTACGTAATAATCACGTTCGTACCAGTGTTTTTCGATAAGGAATGTTCGTCACACAGGAAACTGTAAAGGGAGCTTCCATTAAAGCAATCTAGATCTTTAAGGAATATCACATCAACGTCATCTCCATACTCGGATCCCTTAATGACAACCATACATCTTTTTGGCATAACTTTCTTTAGATCTTTTGGGACTAAAATATAGGAACACATCGTGAACTTCAAAACTGAGAAGCACGTGATAGTATTCTACTGCATCGATATGTAACGCATTTGCATTCTGAATGTGACACACGTTGATACTGAGCTAGTAACAGAGGGGTATGAACAAGCTTGTTTTTGTGCGTCACTTTTGTGCAAGTGCACTTTATATTCAAAACACATTATTTAGAAATGATTCATTTCAGAACAATGGGAGACAAAAACCAAAGGTTTCATAAATAACGTGGCTGGAAAAGCCATTTCAGCTTGAGCAAATCTGAAGATACCAAAAATGCTAATTTACTACAAGAGTGGGATCAAATTTTGGAACAATTGTTTAGAGAGGGCAAATGGTTCAAATTTTCATTAGGAGCATAAATTAGGTACAAATAATACCGAGCGTTTTCGCATATGGTTTCAAATACTATGATTGGCACTAACTCTACCCTGTCTTCCTACCCTCACTAAACACTACCCTTTGTATGTAACAAATTTTAAAAAACTGACCGAGGTATTCAGTATTTTTATCATTCACATAATCGAACCATTTCTTTGTAGTCAGTGGCTGATCACTTTGGTTTCGTGACTTTTGCAAGTCGTACAGTATACAGCCAAGAAAGCAGATATTCTAGAAAAAGAAACAGAAAGTTAATCCTACAAACAGGGAATTCTATAGGCGTTCCACAGAGTGTGAAACGTCGGCTAAGGAACATATATTTAATTGTGATTTTTACTTATGTGTGAATCGAAAATAAAAAAGAAGAAACAAGTAATGTTTGGTTGGTTCTTTGCTGATGACCGTGAAGAGAATGTTAAACTGCTAGAAAACTCCTTCTGTCTATATAGATCTGGAATGTCGACAGATTCCAAAACACCGGAACAAAAAGACGAGTTGACTGGTCACCTGACTCTAAATCAACCAGGAATCATCTTACTTTTGTTCCAACCATATGGAACATTAATTCTAAAAAAAAACTCATGGAGGGTCTTGGAGAAAAAAAAGCCATTAAAGAAAAATGCGTATTAATATATCTCCTTTGACTAGGGTTAGTAACATCCACAGTTAATCAATAATCACCTCTTGGCATGCTTTCTGAATTACATTCAAAAAGTAGTCTGTAGATTTTTCACGTTCTTCTTTTGCGGTACTGAGCATGAGTTCAGGAAGCAAAATTTAACCATGAATAAATGGTAATCTTTAGCTATATATTCTGGCTACTTTATGCTGGAAAAAAGGAATTGGAGAAAAAAGCAGAGATCCAAATAAACAAAAATATAAAAAAAGAAAAATTAAAAAGTAGAAATCCTGATTCAAAAAGAGGTAGTAAAATTCAAGGCTTTTTTACAAAAACAACAACTGCAAAGGATACAGTCTTAGTTTATGAGCACAGCACACGTGCAGTGGAACCTCGTGGCATTCTATGGCTTGGAGAACCTCAATTTCGTTGTTAATCAACAGTCTTTGTACGCCATCAGCATCAGTATCCCTATGAAATTGTCAAAGTAGAATTATGTGAACATGTTGCATGGTATGGCGGAAATACATTGTATGTATGTTCCATCCATGGAGGTTCACATACTTTCGTGTACAGAACAGGACGATTCTAAGATGCAACTCTAAGTTTCACGTTCAATGTGATCATCAGGCAACGGCTGAACTGTTTATAGAAAATTATATATGCAATATAAACAAGGATAGATGAATCCACTCAACAAGAAGCATAATTTACTAACAATACTAAATATGGTGCATCTATCCCTAATTTAGACGACCATAAAAATCGTACGTTTTTCGTCGAATTTCGTACAAATTGACTTTTATTATCTTTTCTTTGAAAACCAAAAACTAAATAGCACTGAGAGAGCAAATCTTCCGAATACTAAAAGAATAGTCAACAAAAGTTCCTGACAAGGAGTTTAAAGACAGCTTTTCAAAGAGACGATAGCAACGATAACTAAAGAATATATGGTCTAATTTGAATTTAGGTACAAACTCTGCTCTATCTCAGTAAAGCATCAGATTCACGACAAAGAAAAACTTACGTACTGAAGGGAAACACAAGCTTGAAAGTTAGCATTACTACGCAGTTCAAAGCCAGGCACACAAGTATGGCAGCCATTCTGAAAGACAATTTTTATTCAATTTGAGCTAAAAAGAAAATATAAACACAAAAATTTATTTCTGTTCAAAGCGGTTTGAAATTGTTGATATGATCTGTCAATGAAACATTCTCACGAAACTTAGAGAGCCTTATTCTTACGAGTTATAGGCAAATAAGATAAATAGATACACGATTTTAGATAAATACAAAATTTAACACTTTTCATCACGTTGAGTAAGTTAATGGTTATCAACCATGCTCCGTATCAATAAAACATTTATCAAATGAAAAATGTTGATATTCTTCACTATACTTTATGAAAACAAATAACTTTAAAAAGCCAAAACAGAGGAGTTTAGAACTTAAAATTGTAAGCAAACCAAAAACAAGATTACTTGGTTCAAATCTTAACCTGCAAATACGACAAAGTGCTGAAATCACACGAAGAAGACACTTATGCAAGGAAAAAACGTAAACATTAGCTTTCCATTTGCCAAAAGACAAAAAGAAACTTAAGAAGAACTTTCAACAGTGATTCATTTGCCATGTAAGTTTGTGCATTGATAGGAAGATGAGGAGATATAACATCTAAAGGAAAAAAGAGAAAATTGGACATCAGACCTCATTGCGTAAGATCATATCTCCATTCCATAGAATTGATGGTCTAAGTGTCATGCTCTTGCAGGATTTCTTTATCCTGCCAATTCTAATAGCATCCTTCCATATTTCCATTGCTAGACTGTATAGCAGCAAACATAAAAAAGAGAAAATCGCTGTGCTAAGTCTATAAAACAAATATTGCTAAGGCAATAGGCATGAAAGGAAAGTACACATATCATAATACTCATTAGAGTGAAGCAAATCTTACTTATTAATATTACATATAAAGAAGCCAAATTGTGACATAAAAATTTCATGACTAGATATTTTTCCGCTGCCTCCAAATAATTTATGGTATCCTCAAAAATGGTAAAAGGAGTCGTCAACACAACCCTTTGATAAAATTTGTACTGGTACAAGAATAAAGCTACAATAAAATGACTAATGAAGGAAAATGTTGCCACTGTCAGATAATGTACAAATTTGACAATTCCTATAAGCAAAAATATTTCATGTTGCATTTGCAACAATATTTCTTTATCAAATGCTCTATATTTTGATGAAAGCATTTGTACCTGTTTTTTGTACCACCACTTTCCAAAACAAGCTCGTCAATGTCAAAAAAGTTGATTCTGGCATTGTGCCAAAGCTCCAATCTTTTTAGATATCCGTAAAATGACAAACAATCCCTAGCAATAGAGAATAAGTTGGTTGATATATTATTTACAGAAAAATCTTTATCGATTAATATTATGCATGATTTATTGTTTTTGCATACACTGAGAACCTAATGTTACCATCAAGCCCGTAGTCAGGCATGTGGAGTAGGGAGGGGGAAGGGCAAACTTCTCGTGTTCAATGCAGGCAAAGTTTAAAATGAAGCTTTGTAAGGGTAGGGGGTGGGGGGGCAGTGGCTAGAATTTGTGGAAACAAATACTGATACCAACAATATCACTGTCGGTTCTGACAAAATCATCAAAGTGCTTGCGAACAAAGGCCCTTCATTGCTGAATGTTGCTGACCACTAATTATTAAAAGTGAAATTAACAATCTACTGCCTTGCTAACTAAAAATTGCAAATATAACTAAAAGAGCAATCAGAATAAAAATGTCTAGAGCGTGGCTCCCCTCATTGTTATTTGCAGCACACAACTAAGCTAACAATTGATCAGCTAATTTCCTTCTTGTTGGCATGAAAGAATGTAAATATATCAATTAAATATCTTTTTAGCATTCAACAGATTTTAAGAATTAGAGAATTAGAGAGAGAAACAAAGGAATATGATACCTAAACAGGCTATAACAATGAAACCAAACTGAAAAGAATAAATAAAAACAGGAAAATCATACTCCGGGTGAAGCATATCAGAGCCACTTTCTACCAAGATAACTTCCAATATATATGACCCTACAAAGACAAAGGCAAGTGGCACTTACAAGTTTTACTTGTTCATTATTCTCTGAATTTGGACTACCAGCATCAAAGACTAGAAGATTTAGACTTCTTTCATCCCTCTTTTTCTCACAAACTCAGAGGCATTGTGGGGGAGGAGGGGCGCAGCACTGGCACATTAAGGATTTTCGCCAGGCGAAAGAAGCAATTTTTGTACTCACTCTGTAACCTCTTTGTAACAACTGCAATGTATCAACATATCTATATAAGCTGTAATTTCAAAGTATGGCACTAGAGTATGAGCTTTGAAACAGAAATACACAAAAACAGCATATAAGAGTATTTTTGTCTTTTGATCACACCCTTAAAGAGTGAGACACACCATTTTGTCAGCAAAAAGAACTTCTTTACCCCCTCAAAAAATCTTTTTGGCTTTGCCCCTGCACAAACTTTTTCTTCAGGTCAACAGAAACATCTTCCATTCAAGGATATAAATCTACATCCTAGGATTTATTATAAAGTTCCTTCATTTCCATTGGACACAGTCTTGGAATACATAATTGTCAATACCAGTACTGCAAAGTAACTCAATATAGGTTATACAATAATTCTAGCTAGTTTTCCTAAAAAAAGATAGCTACGGTATGTCACCTGCCTGTTTATGACAAATGGATTTTTTACAGCTTTGTAACAAGTAAAAAGAGGTTGAGGCTATGAACAATCTAAAATTCCTTGAGTTAGCACCATGTTCACTCACCTTCAATAGGCAATTTGTCAGCCAGCTCATGCAAATGATCTACAGGATCATTAGAAATAGTTGGATTGGACCTAAAAATGAAATTCATAGTTTAGAAATCTTATCATAAATAATGGTATTTTGAAAAAAGAAAGCCATTTTGATGTATTCATAAAAACAAAAAAGATAATACTAATACTGCCACGGCCACAAATTAGTTAACCCCATTGAGCACCAGCAAAGTTTCTAATGGGTGCAAATAGCTTCTATTTATGGCTTGTGTGTCCTAAATCATATTCAATAAACAGAACTTATTTCTACAAACAGTGATATTCTTTGAAAATTCTAGTGGAAGTACATTTGTGAAAAAGGAGACATGTCAGATTTGGGGCTCCTTAACTTCTATTGGTTTACCTGCAAGCTAAGCTTGCAATGCATCATCATACAATTATCATAAACCAAAACAGTATTGATGCATGAGGGGTTTTTATCAGTTGACAATGACATAAAAATAAGATATTTTCTCTACAAGACAAAATTCTCTAAAAATTATTTAGAGAATCACTTGCTGGCTCAAGGAGAAGATGCAGGCCAACAAATGATGATTAAATGCATCAACAATGAACAATGTTGTTCTTCAATTCCAACAAATAAATTGCTACATTGCTTGCACTTCTATCAAGCATATGACTGTGTCAAAAGAATGACAACCTCGTCTCAGCACATTTTGATTCCTGAAATTCTTTAGCATATTCCCAAAGCAGATACAAAATCAAATTCCCATCATTCAATTCTTCATTGATAAATTGACTGGATATAGAATTCCATTGACATTTTGGCAGTTCCTGAAAATATATGGCTTTAACATTGTAAAAAAAACCAAACATGAGCATCAGATAAAACATATTCCAATCTTTGCATGAAAATATGTTTTTAGTCAATACTTCCTTAACAAATTGCAATAAAACAAATAATTTCACTGAAAGACTAAGCAGAAATTATATTTTTTGCTCATTTGTGTACATCTATATTCAAGGATGCAGAAATCAAATATACAATCAATCAAAGTCTAAGAAGCGACACAGTAGCTTTTGAAAATGATGATAGATAAAGATTAATTTGCTTAAATTTCATGAAAGGAAACTGCCACTTACCAAACCACCTTTAAGACTGTCAAAAGAGTAGAATGCAACATAGGTCTTTTGAACTGATGTTATTCCAGTGAGAAATGATGAGTCTAAACAAGCAGTTAGCATAAATAAATTGTCATGTCAACATTAACATCAGTCTTTTTCATACATTAAAAGAACAATTTCCATATTTAGTGAATTATTCATGCATTTGCCAGAAAAAAAAGAACTATACACTTTTTAGTTTCAAGGTCACAGGTTTACACCATGCTAACTTGGAAAAAGTGGCAATAGCAACATTGAAATTTTTGGAAAATTTACTGTACATAGCAAGAGACAACAGAAAGGTCTATTATAAAAACTCTAGTTCACGAACAAAGTTATCACCACTTTGATATCACCTTCAATTACTGGTTGAGCAAGTGACTTCCCAGATTCATTTATTCCTTTGAAGTCTTCATTCAAAGCTATAAATAGAAAATAATGTCATCACTGTTTTCTTGCTCAATCTCAAGAACATAATATAAAAAATGTAAGATATGGTCTTAGCATGTAAGATAAATATTGCAGATATATAAAATAATTTCTAAACTTTCTATTCTTCAATATTTAGTTTGTTGCTTCAAGCTTGCATAAACTCAAGAACTCAACTACCGAGTCAGACTGGCAACTTTGTTGCATGCCCACAATATTGCCAATGAACACATCTGCATTCTTTTGCAAAGGCCAGTGTGGAATCAATGTAGCTTACGCCAAAGATATCTGGTGTGAAATAAAGATTTCCCATTGTTTTTCTATTGTTTTTTGGCGTATATCAGGTGTGAGCTTTACCTGGATTCCACACTGGTATAAAGGTTCAAGTTGGACTGCAGAGAGCATAAATGACTTATGGACTGAGTGTTTTGCAACTGTATCCAAATGTGCTGGTCTTTTGGTTTGCAGAAGATGCAAAATTTGCATATGTAAAATCATCTTAAAGAAACTTCTCTTCGCTGACAGATTTTGAAAGCTAAACATAAAATACAAATGTGCAGTTTGTTCATTTGAAGGTCAAAGATAATGGTTTGCCTGTTACTCTGAACCAGATAAGCCTGATTTGGTGACTAAGTTAAATGCACCAGAAGTGAAGGTTCCGTTCCGCGCGATTGAAAAGGTTTTGTACCTAAAGATGGACAATGAGTACAACTGAAACAGAGAATTACTAAAAGTTGTGCAACTCAAAGCTAAAATTGTTCAACTGCACCAGAAAAATTTGATCTTTTGAACAGAGATCAATCTCCTGTTTTGCGATGCAGGCGCAAGGCCTGAATGTCGCTAATTGAGGATCATGCACAGCTCTCTGTCTCTCATTACAAGAACAATTTTACGTGAAACAAATAATATTAATTAATACTAACCTGGCAAACATGACAAGACTTGGCTGTCAAATAAAATAAGTGTAAAACGTTCCATCTTTCCTGATTACTGAAACCATTGAGAAACAACTTTCCCGCTCATTTACCTCGTTTCGAGTTGACCTCTCAGCCGTCCGTTGTCGATAACCCGAAGAGCCCGGGCTGACTCGGCCCGTCTGATGCTGCGTACTGCCGAGTGAGGCAAATTTGTTTACTTCCGCCATTTTAAATAGTGGCAAAAAGCGAGCTGCAATAGGGTTCAGTATGGAAAATTGCTTGTTTTAATGAATGATTTTCTCGTGGCTCACAACTATTTCATTGCCTTTTCTGATGCAGGTAGTAATAGGAGATATAAATCAACAACACATAGCAATTTTTTGGGGGTTTTTAAAGATAATTTTAAAAATTATGGCTCTTTTAGTTTACGCAGTTACAGGGGGAATATGGCAGTGGCTTGTCGTGGTTTTATGAGTTGAAAATGTATATGTTTGCAATTTTTATCTTCAAATAGATTAGAAATAACTTTTCAAGTCTATTACCTAATAATATAGACCATTTTAGATATAGAATTCTTGAATTTTTCTGTCTGTCGTTTAGAACCTAATATGGCATGAGTAGGACAGTGCGAATGTTTTATATTTAGTTTGTCAAATTGAATTTGTAGAAAAAGAAATTTGATATGAATCAAATTTCTTTCCTCTTGGTAAGGCCAAATTAGAAATCTTTGTCGTGAAAATGTACCCAGAAGGTATTTTATAGGCCTAAAGATACGGGGAGGGACGCATTGTGCTGAAGAATAATTACAAGCAACGAGTGTGGTCAGGGGCGGTCTGGCCCGGGTGGCAAAGTGGCGATCGCCACCCGGGCCCTGTGTACAAAAAATTTACGAGCCTTCCCGTGTTGGAGAAAATTTTTTAACTTTATGTCAAATACTTAATGCCCTAGACTGATTATATTGCGATTAAAGTCCCAATACATGCGCTTCAAACCACCCAAACCCTGGTTTCCGTTATTTCAGCAACGTGTTCAATCTTACGTGTACCCTGGGTCCCAGAGCCACAAAATTTCGAGCGCGTAAACAGAATGCCAAGCAGAGATGCAAATGAGCGTACTCTTATCTTCTATTTCCGCTCTCTAATTTATGTGGCTCTGATGCCCAGGGTATCTGACTGTCAGAGACAGTGCTGTGGGAACGAAATTCATATTGAGGGGAGGGGGGGGGGCGGCTGCTCATTGTATTTATTTTCACTTAGTACACTATTATACAGGACATAAGGCTTAGGCTGCAATTATTGGCAGGGGGCTTCAGTAAATGTAAAATAACGTAAAATTTAAAACAGGAAATTCAGAAGAGAGATGACAAGGGGTCGTCACTATCATCTGGTTACAGAGATCTGTATCAGGATTTAACAATGCTAAGATGATTTGTTGATACAAAGAGGAAGCAAAAGAGCAATAAGAGCCTTTTTCAAGATTTCAAGTTCATAGAATGTCAGAATTGCTGGCATTTGCAAATTGCTACCAGCAGCTTATCGATCAAGTGATGGAAATAGAGATCCTGAAAACAGATTATCTCAAGGAACAAGCTCTTAGAGAAGAAACATATGGAGAGAAAAACTATGACTTTCAAGGTGGGGATTCACAAAGAGAGAAAGGACCCCAAAGTCAACATCGACACCCTTTATCAAAAGGGTAAAAGCTTGCCAACTGTGCATACCCTGCGCATTCAAAACTTTGTACCGACGCTCATTTTTATTTTTTTTACATATTTATATCTTTTATCATATATAACAATTTTATAAGAATATGAGCATCAAAACTGGCCAAAAGTTGAGATCAAATTAGGAACAAGCTAAGGCTGAGTTACTGTTTAATGCATTTTTGCACAACATTTTATCCCAAAACGAGGATTTTTAATTTTAGCCATGTGGTTGCTTTTCGGTAAATATTCAACCTTGTCGTCAAATGAAGGCTGTCCCCCTCACTTTGTTGGCACATAATGCCTGAACACCTCCCAAGAGCGAAAAAGCTAGCAATCGCACTGCTTTCACCCTATAAATTTAAGAACAAATTAAGGACAATCCACCCTCGGATTTTTGCGAAAATTAAAAACCTAAATTTACTGGTTTTTATAAAGAAATTAGTGAATACAACATGCACCTAGTAGCATACCCTTCCCTCTACAACGCGTATAAATGCTTGATGACACTTGGCTGCACCCAAGTTTCCTTTGAAAGATTATTCAGCGCTACTGATAATTTCAAAAGAAGAGAAAAATCCACTTGATTACGAGCAAGTCATTGCTGGTTCATTTGCACTTCTTCGAAAAGAGTTGAAACTCGAGAGAGAATTTAAATAAGTTTTGATTTTGATTCTTAACTCTACATGGGATTTTAAAGCCTGTTTACACGAGCGGAAAGGTATGGATTCAATTGGGTCCGAATTTACGAATTAAAGTCGATATACTGCTGCTGTTTAGCGTATTGCTTTATTATCAATTTTTATTGAATCAATCGTATTCCAAGCCACATTTTTAGTGGGTGTGGCTCAATTTTTCCCGCCACGCCCTAAACCGGGCCCTTGGGTTTTCTAGCCATCCTGCGATTTTGACGCCTGAAACCGCCCCTGGTTTCGAAGCTGCTTATATCTTGGCCATAGTGCTGGATCTCTCTCAGCCCGTCTCTTTGAAATTCTTGATGCTTTGAGAAATTCATGGTACATATGCATGCCCCGTTTTAGCGGTCCTTTTTTTCAACGGGGCAGAGGTTGTTGGGTCTGTTTGAAGAAAGGTGATCTATTAACTAAAAGGTTTTATTAGGCTCTTTATCTTTATTTTAGTTATGTTAAGTGAGACCCCGTTTACACTGTCCCGTGCAAGTTTGGAACCGTGACAAAACTGTCGCGGTTCGCCCTTGCGTTTACACTAGCACTGTGGAACCGTGACGATTTTGCTCTGCTATCCGGAACAGTTTTGACCCTGCTTTGAAAGCGAACGAATTTTGTACCGTCACGGTTCCGTTTTTGAACGGGACAGTGTAAACACCTATCCGAGACGATTTTGTCACGGATTCACAAAGAGGTCTTTTGTATGGCTGTTTCAGGTAATCGAGGCTTTGATTGTGGCGTAACCACGTTCTCAAATTCTGAAGAAAAGGAAATTCTGAAGAAAAGACGACCACAGAGAAGGCTTGTAGTGTTTGCAGTCCAAGCCTTGATTGGACTTGGCAGTTTTGTAGTCTAAAATAACACTGAAAATTAAAGCCACCTTGTCTTTCGTCCAAGTAAAGTTTTAATCGGCCTTCCGCTCCATTTTAACTCACAATAAAAATTCGATTGTTGACTTCAGCGGCAAAATAAAAGCCTTGGTTGACTAAATACAGCTTCTTCTAAACAATGTTCTACCATTAAATTAAGGTCGTACCGGTACAGTGTAAACGGAACGGCTAAACGGAACAATTTGGAACCGCGACAGTGTAAACACTTGCGAACCGTAACGGTACAAAATTGTCCCGGGACAGTGTAAACGGGGTCTGAGCTTCTGCTAGATGCCCAGAGCATGATAGGGCAACTGATAAATTATTACTGAATGTTTTTTCTTCGACAAGATCAAATTACGAAATTTACAGCAATGCTGACATTTACAGGACATGTTTTGTTTTTGGTTCTGGGAATTTCGATTTGTTTTAAGTTTTGATAAGAGAGTCTTTCCGATGGTTATACGATAATTACAATACATGAACTCTATATCGAACTGACAAGGAAAATTCACATTTTCGAACAAAGTAGGAATCTGGGATAGCCGCAAATAGACATTTTCACAAATCCCAAAATTCAGTACTGTACAATATCATCTAACTTGCATCATTTATTGATCATTATGACCGTAAATATTTGTGCGAACCCCCTCCCTCCATCTTTGATTAGGTAATATGTGAACGTTTCCATACCCAACTGCCAACGCATCGATAATCTTATCCAGATACAACCATTCTGAATGGAAAAAACATAGGATTGTACTCAGTTAATGCTTCAAAAGTGAGAACCCTCTCAGCTATTCGATATCTGGCATTTGAAATAATTCGCATTAGTCATAAGTGAAGAAACTAATTTGCGCTGGTCATAAGTCTTAGTTAATCACAAGTCTTGGGCGTTTTTGAAGATTTCGGAAAACCATTCAATAAATTATACAATTACGAGGAACTAGGAAAAACTGGTGGAAATTTGATACATCATTGATATTGTTTTACTAAATTTAATGGTGAAGCTAAACTAAACTGTAAAATCTATGACGCCGAAACCATAACCACGGCGAACTTTTTATGCAAACGTTCTTTCGAGAGGTCAATTGATGGTTGTAATCAATTTTAGTTCTGTGCGAATATTGATAACTGCCTTTCGAAAGTTCTATCGATAACTCGAAGCAAGGGCGTACTGGTAAATTTCGCCGTGTCCTGGTGGGCCGAGGAGCGATGGGTGGAGAAAAACTGGGGATAATTTTTTGCAGGTAGAAAGGCCAAAATTTGGTGTATCCTGCAGAGCAGTGAGAGATCGCTTCTAGAATATTTTCACCAACAAAAAGTCCAAAAATAGAAGAGAAGAAAGTGCAAGTGGAATTAATCCTGAGCACACAGAAAAACATGTTCTCCTTGCAAGATAAGGGAGCTTTTTGATGCAGCAATTGCTGATCAGCAAGCAGCATCCCAGCAAGTTAAAGAAAAACAAACAGCAGAAATGGAAAAAGCTGAAGAAATGAGAAGGAAATCAGTAGAAACAATGGGAGAAAGCAGAAAGAGAAAGGAAGGGGAGGTAAAAAATGTAAGTGAAAAGAAATGTAACGTTCGGCAGAAAACCTTTCAAAATTATTCAAGAAACAATCAGAATTGGCAGTTGACTCAATCCGGGCTGACTCACAATTGCGTTTGAAAACCAAGTTTAGACCCACTTTCCGTTTAGAATACAAATTGAACAGAGTTTACCCTGGGTGAACTCAACACAGGTTGAGCCCGGGCTTTCGAACCCGGGCTACAGCTTTTTGTAGTGAAAACCGGGCTTTCGATTGGAAATAGTTTCACTCGCTTTCATTATTAAGCTACTTTGAACTTTATTTTTTCCTTGTACTCATATTGTAGTTTTCTAAATGTATTATCAGTCATTCTATCAGTTAAATTTTGATTAGGCAGAATATGCTCAATGCATTATAAAAAACAGGTTAAACCATTCAATCTTTTCCTCTCTTGGGTACAGTTAAATTTTAGCTGTAAGTCAGTGCTGTGAGTTATTTTTCTCCCATCGCAGTAGCTGCTTAAAAAATTAACCATATCTTTGAAACGCGTTCAGATTTGTAAGAGTTGTTAGTTTTTATAGACTAAACACTGAAGCAACGAACATCGTAGAGAAATCAGTTTTGTTGATTTTTTTTAAAACATATAAAGCATATATAACATATCAAACAAAAATAGATAAAACATGAATCAAAACTATGGACGAAAATTTGCATAAAAAGAAGCATAAATAAAGGATATTCCTGGGAATTCGGAGCCTGGAGAAATCCCGAACTAGGTAGGCTCAAGAAGGTACCTTTCAGAGTTGTTTTAATGTTCGCAACTTTTTAAAATTATAATTTTTGCAACTTTAGATCTGCAAAAAAATTTTTATGAAAAAGAAATTAAGCTTTTTTGCTTTGCTCTACTTTTCAAATGAATGTATAGCGAAGGTCGTGGGGGGGGGATTGTGAGAAGTGACGTCATTGGCAATATAATAGAGGGGTTCAGAGAGATGGTGACACAGGGGGGCTGAGGGCGAAACAATCTTTGAATTATAGGTGATATTATTTATGTATGACCCTGTCATGAATGTCAAATGTCTTGTCTACACTATACTATCGAACCTTGTTTCAGCCTGGGTAGGGGGTAGAGTGAACCCAAATAATATTTTCTGTAGTGCAAACACAAAGTTACCGGGCTGACTCGGCCCGGCCCGGGCTGACTCGGCCCGGCCCGGGCTGACTCGGCCCGGGCTGACTCGGCCCGGGCTGACTCGGCCCGGGCTGACTCGGCCCGGGCTGACTCGGCCCGGGCTGACTCGGCCCTGGCTGACTCGGCCCTGGCTGACTCGGCCCGGGCTGACTCGGCCCGGGCTGACTCGGCCCGGGCTGACTCGGCCCGGGCTGACTCGGGCCGGGCTGACTCGGGCCGGGCTGACTCGGCCCGGGCTGACTCGGCCCGGGCTGACTCGGCCCGGGCTGACTCGGCCCGGGCTGACTCGGCCCGGGCTGACTCGGCCCGGGCTGACTCGGCCCGGGCTGACTCGGCCCGGGCTGACTCGGGCCGGGCTGACTCGGCCCGGGCTGACTCGGCCCGGGCTGACTCGGCCCGGGCTGACTCGGGCCGGGCTGACTCGGGCCGGGCTGACTCGGCCCGGGCTGACTCGGCCCGGGCTGACTCGGCCCGGGCTGACTCGGCCCGGGCTGACTCGGCCCGGGCTGACTCGGCCCGGGCTGACTCGGCCCGGGCTGACTGGTTGGTTTGAAATAATGTATTGTTAATGTGAAAGAGGGTTGAACCCTGTTAACTTTTCTACTGCGCATGCGGAATAAGGCTGCGAATTGAAAATGACGCCAATTTTTTCGGCATCTTTTCGCACAGCTTGTGCTTTCTATTAGACTTTAAGGTTATGGTAAACGTTTGCTGGACGAAACCATTTTTCGATTTCTCCACTTTCTAGAGCCGAACTTTTAAGGCACACACTTATAATCATGTTTTAAACTAGAAGAAGTTTTGAAAATGCAAAAAATTCCATTTGAACGGAAGTTTTGATAACTTCTTTATCAAAACTACTAGTTGAGTTCTGAAAATCTATTGACCTGTTAAGCCGATTATCGTTGCTTTGCGATTGTGGTCGCATGTCTCATTTACAATATATCATGGCACATCCATTTATCCAATGTGTGACTCTGTTAATTCAAACCGGCCTATTCATCAAGCTTCAAGTGACTTGACCCGGATTTCACTGTGGTTTACGAGTGCACTTTGCAAGTGTGATCAGTAAAATTCCGTTTTCTATGGACTTACAACTCCTCTACATATAGGTAAGAAAAAGTTATTTTGTACACAAGGAATTAATCGAATGGCTTAAAAATTTGCACACGGCTAGGACAGATGTCGGGTAAGCAAAGTGTGTCTCAAAGTTGTGTAGCTGGGAATCAGTTTACTGCAAACTATGTCATAATTCAATGAAACTAGGAATTATACTTGAAAAAATTAATAAAAGAATTAATAAACGACGTTTCGAGCATAGCCCGTTATCAAATTAGTATATTAATGTCATAATTCATTATTAAAATCTCATGCAATGTATGACGGAATGGGGAATTATATTGCAAGCAAAACGGAGGCTTGTCCCCAGGGGTGGTGCCAGAAAAGTAATGCTGGGGGGCTGTAATGTCAGAGTGCCGACATTGAGTGAACCACCAACAAAGATCTAATATAACACCATTTCCGCTGTGGTGATTCCAGTTCAAAAAATGAAAAAAAGTGAAAAAAAATCAAACAATGAAAAAAAAAATTAAAAAAATCACGAAGCGGAAGTTATGAAAGTGCCGACATTGCTTAAAATTTTTCAAAAATTGAAGTGCCCACGGAGGGGCTCAAAGCACCCCCGGTGGCACCATCCCTGTTATCCCCGGAAAAATATTTTAAATCACGCTCTTTGGAAATTCAGAAAATGTCGAAATTTAATGTCTTTTCTTTTCACAATTTGCTTTGGGAAGAAGATCCTCGGTCAAATTGACTGTATTTGAAACTCTGAAAGGGTGGCAAAATATTAAGGTGTTAAATGATGTAAAGTGGTTTGCAGATTTTGAAAGTTAGACTAAAGCCCAAAGCCTAAAGTCATTTTTCAGTTAGCGCGACACTATCTTCTAAGATTTTACAGAGAAAGCAACTTCTCTTTCCAGCGTAGGAGACGAGATTATTTTCGATTAAACACGCAATCTTCTGAAATTTAGCAAAATAATGACTTCATTCTCATCAAACGGTATTTTATGAATTTTTGAAAGTTTTAAAGCGTTTCTTTGAAAAAATAAAGACGGGCTTTAGCTCCTACGAGCCTAGTATGATGCCCGTACAATTATGCGTAATTACTGTCAGGCATTGAACATTGAACAGTGCTTATAAAACTGTTGACTTTTCAGAAAGATATCTAACAACATCATTTGGAAAAATGGGTTCTAAGGGATTCTCATGCCACCCGTTTGTGCAAATTGTTAATTTTGCAGATTGAAGGGCTCCTTCTGTATGAGAAAGACATGGTAAAAAGGACAAAGAATCTTTTAAGAAAAAACACAGATATTATTCAGTAACGAAAATTATTTAAGTTTGAGAAAAGATTGGAATACTTTAATAAGTTATTTTCAAAACATACGGCTTATTCTTCCATTAATACTTGTAGGAGTTTCATATTCTCCAAGCTCTTTCTGTAGAATTCCAGGTTTGAGGTGTTTCTGCCAAGTTCCAAACAAGGAGAAAGGGGGGAGGTACGGCTGGTCATTAGTCAGGGGATAAAAAGCCCCGTTTGTCACTAGACACGACTTTTAAATAAAGATGGACAAAATTTCTTTTTAGTACAAAACGCAGGAGTTTTAGCACTTCAAATACAAAATCAAGATGCCTTTGAGTTCTTAGTTGAAATGCAAAATTAAATAGCCTGTCACAGGACGTTTAAAATTTTTCATCCCTTATAATTCCTAGAGCAGACTTAACTATTAAGGGATATTTGATCGTCCAAGGAAAGAGCCAGGGCCTATTTTAAGAAATTTTCAATACTGCACATTTTTAAGAAAATTACAAAACTGCACATTTATAATCATATTTGTTATAGGAAATTTTGTTGTTGCAATCAGTGCAAACCCCTGCAAACCCCAGGTATCTTAGCCATGCAAGTGTAGCGAGGAAATTGCCCGAATTTTGAACACGTGTATAGGCCATGACGGAGAAATCACAAACAGATAGACGATAATATACACAATCAATAATAACATTTCAAATCAGCAACAAAACAAACAGAAGCTACAAAACCTGAATAGAAACATAGTCATTTATCTCTTGTAAACGGAGTCACTATCTCATGTTTTGTCTGGACAGTGAAACAAAAAAGTTTTATTAGGCTCTTTATCTTTATTTTAGTTAAGTTAAGTGTGCTTCTGCTAGATGCCCAGAGCATGTTAGGGCAACTAATAAATTATTATTGAATGTTTTATCTTCGACAAGATCAGATTACGAAATTTACAGCAATGCTGACATTTACAGGAGATGTTTTGTTTTTGGTTCTGGAAATTTCGATTTGTTTTAAGTTTTGATGAGAGAGTCTTTCCGATGGTTATACGAGAATTACAATACATGAAGTCTATATCGAACTGACGAGGACACTTTTTGAACAAAGCAGGAATCTGGGATAGCCGCAAATAGAATTTTTTACAAATCCCAAAATTCAATACTGTACATTTTCGAAATCAATACTGCACGCTTTTAAATTAATACTGCACAACGTGTGTAATACTGCACACTGAAATAGGCCCTGGGAAGAGCATTATCATCCAAGAAAGGAACATGCACAAATAACATAACAAAATATAGGCAACATTGGAAAAATCCTTTTCCCCCTCGGCTTGGCCCGGGCTGACTCGGCCCGAGTACTGGTTTCTATAAAAAATTAGTGAATACAACATGCACCTAGCAGCATACCCTTCCCTCTACAACGCGTATAAATGCTTGATGACACTTGGCTGCACCCAAGTTTTCTTTGAAAGATTATTCAGCGCTACTGATGATTTCAAAAGAAGAGAAAACTTTCCACTTGATTACGAGCAAGTCATTGGCCAATTTGCTGATTCATTTGCACTTCTTCAAAAAGAGTTGAAACTCTGAGAATTTAAATAAGTTTTAATTTTGATTCTTAACTCTACATGGGATTTTAAAGACTGTTTACACGAGAGGAAAGGTAGGGATCCAATTGGATCCGAATTTACGAATTAAAGTCGATATGCTGCTGCTGTTTAGCGTATTGCTTTATTATCAATTTTTATTGAATCAATCGTATTCTAAGCTACATTTTCAGTGGGTGTGGCTCAATTTTTCCCGCCACGCCCTAAACTGGGCCCTTGAGTTTTCTAGCCACCCTGCGATTTTGACGCCAGACCGCCCCTGAGTGTGGTTTTGAAATAGTTTAAAAATATCAATGATTATGTAAAATCAAAAATTGGTTACCATATTTAGATTGGGTTATTAATATCCAAGCATTGAATTATGACCTATTTTCGGCTTTTTCTAGAGTTTGGCCTAGATAATTCATAGCAGTTTCTGTAAACAAACAAAGAAAAAGTAACTAAATCCCATCTTTGTACAAATGTGTTAAGAAATTTATGCATTGAGTGGCTAAACATTGTTGCTGGATCCGTTTTAAAACAGATCAATAATTATTTTCTGGAATTTCGACGAGACAGAAAACACCACAGCAAGCACCGCGACTGTAAATGCTTGGAATTTGCGAACGACGGCTTATTTTTCCAATATTAACATCAATGCATAAATTTAAGTGCAATATAAGGCCACTCACCAAATTTCACATTGATATTCGAATTAGAAGTGAACGAAATCAATCCTTACTTTTACCAAATTTATAAGGGCTCTGTATGGAGCAAGTTCCTTTTTGACACTATTCAAAATGGTGTAAGTAAACAAATTTGCCTCACAGCGGACCTGTGAATTAGACATCTAGCGCCTTCGCACTTATCAGTGCGCCTTCGGCGCTTCTATATCATTGGTCTCAAACCAATGATACGGCGCTTCTATGTTATTGGTCCCAACGAAGGCATAGAAAATCCTATGATTTCAGATCTTTTCAAGATCTTGCTACTGTCGCTTTAAATCAATAAAGCATTGCAAGAAACATACTAGCACAATACAAGCTTAACAAAATTCTTGCTCGATATGGTCTTAAAGAATGAAAAGCAAATTGTTGATGAAGATTGAGCCTGAATTCTTGAATAATTTGTAAATTTTGCAAATTTCGTGCCTCAACACTCTTACAAAATTTATTTTTACAAAATAGGATGCAATTGCATTAATTTTAACCACGATAATTTTTTCTTTTACCAGCTGATTCTCTCCAGCATGTTGCTGCCAGACCTATAAGAGCTAAAGGGCGTCGAGGGAGCTTAGCCCCAATAATGTTGGCCTGATCTGGTGATAATGGGCTGGTTATCAGGCTACAATAATGCTCAAAGTTTGGTTTCAAGCATTACATATATATATTGCTTTAAATAATGTGATACTTGTGTTCTTCTCTTGTGATTTCTTAACATGCTTTTGGGCGATACCAAGAGGTAGACGCCATTTACAAGACAAAAGATTACAAAAAGTACGTAAACCAGGATTCATTTGAAAAGGGGGCCTGTATCATTAATAATAAGAACAAAGATTCTAAGTACTTTCGACACTGTAGATACTTTTAACTATTTTTATCTCTTCTTTTAGTTTTTTATTTATAAAAAGGTAATTACGCTTATTTTTGTTTGTAGCTGCAGGTCGACATCAACATTAGTTGCCTTTAGGTAAACCTGCATTACCAAATAAAATGTCAAATCAGTTTTCTGAGACCTTTTGGGTTGTATCGTATTGGAGTCACAATTTTCTTTAGAGATACACGTCTTAGAAAACTTTCTCACTGCAAAAACCATCAATATGATACTTTCATTTATTATTTTGTAGTAGCCAAAGACTTTTTATCTACATACTTTCAGTTTATGTATGCTTTTGAAGTTCTGTGGAAAAGCTACAAAAGAGAAAAAGCATCTCGATTCTTGACACAGGTTTTCGAAAGGACCTGGATGGTATAAGAATTTCCAATCAATCTACAAGTGTATTGAAAAAATTAAATATTTGCAGACAATCGAAAGCTTTTTTAGCTCTTTTTCTACATTTGAAAAGGCTTTTTTAGATAAAAGGTTAAAGGATTGAAAGAGAAAGGCAGAAAAGTAAGAAATTCAATGCAGTTGATGATAGGTTTTTAAAGACATATATACCTCTGATCATGTGATTATAGTATAATTCTAATGATACATAGAATCCATACTGTCACGGTGATTGTGATCTACATACATACATAAAACTTCATGAGATATTTTATAGAACGTTTCCCGTCTTACTACACATCTAGCTATCTTATAAGCATAACTATATTCCAGTATTTTATCTGATAGAACTAAAATGGCTACAAGGGGGCAATGAAGCTAATTTAGAAGCGAGGCAGTATTTTCCTTAATATCGAGCCAAAACAAAAGCACAGTACGAAGCAACACAAACATGGTCGAACTTTTCACTTATAATCAATTAGTTTGACTCGGTGACTTTCAGGCGCGCGAAAGTTTGGTAGTACCCATGAAAAGTTCGTTGAAGATTTTAACTCCATTAAACAACTTCGAACATTATCGAACAAGATTTCTCGATATCTTAGCAAGCTGGTCAAGCGAATTGAGCTTTTTCAAAAATTCAGTTCAAAAATATTGTTGGATGAATTGCTTGTTATGTTCGAAAGTGTCACTACACGGCAAATGGAGCGCTAGTTTGATAGTCATAGTGTCCGCTATACCAGAATACAGTTTATAGCATTTGCCCATCCTTGTGCTATGTAAATTACTTAATTATATAAATTTCTCTGAATACTGAAAACCAAGAAAGTAGCCAATGCATGTGTGTCAAATGTGACCTTGAATTTCTTCCCCCTTTTTTAATTACTATTGCTTTTAAAACTGCTTGAGTCATTTGCTGCATTCTTCAAAAAGCTGCCACAGTCATAAGGCGAGCAACAAATACAACCTTCCCGCCTCGCATTCAGCAGCACAGGGATCATTCGTGACCCAGTACAGGCGAATCGATTTTTACACAAATCTTCCATACGCATCTGATTGGCGTTTCTACAAAAATCTTCCACTCTCATCTGGCTTTCGCAATAGCATGGCCTGAAGAAGTTGTGATGAGCGTTTTCTTGATGGAGTCTTTCAGTTGTTGCTCTTTTGTTCATAACATGTTTTCTCCATTTCGCTCTCCGATTTTGAAACCAAACCTGAGTGATAGATAAGAGAATGATTGTTCTAATTTGCAGTGGTTCAAATGAGAACCTGAAATTATGATCTAAAAATTCTCCGACAAGCATATAGTTTTGAAGAGAAAGCACGGTCAGTGGCGTGACCAGAAATTTCTAAGGGTGCATCTGGAAGTTTCTAAGAAGTGAGAGCTTTATAAAATGGCTCGCAATGCATTCTTGTTATTGATTTCAACCAGGGAAACTGCATTAACAATCAATAAACTGGAAAAGAGTGGTGCTAATGCAACGCCTTTTGAGTATTCCTCGCCAAGCCATATAAAGACTTACTAATCACAGGTTTGTACAATCCCCTTGTTACGCTACTGGAAATGAGAAGGAAAGAGATCTTCCATGACAGACAGCTATCTATTCGTTTTGTAATCTCACCTGTATTCTAGCTTCGTTTATCTTGAGCCTAACCGCAAGTTCATCTCTCATCATTATATCCGGGTAATGCTTTTCTTGGAAAGCCTTTTCCAGTTCTTGGAGCTGGTGTTTTGAAAAGGTTGTTCTTGCTCGTCTTTGCCTTGATCTAACGGCCCACTGATAATCTTCGGAATGTTTCGAGCCAACGAAAGAGGACACACCTAAAAATGAAACAAAAATCTATTTAATACAGAGAAAATCATGAAAAGTAATCATTGAATGTCTACAGCTGGAATGATGTGCTAAATTTAAACTGAGATTCTCTTAAGCATGACTTAAAAGCAAAGAGGCATACAAACATGCAACGCATTGCTGTGAAGATAATGCAATACTCTTTGAATCCATGCCAGTTGCAGATATGCCTTTGAAAATCTTCCCTTAGCGAAATAACTCAGACACAGCGAATTATAGGTTGTTCATTTGCCAAAAGCAAGCATCAACCATTTCACCTGCCTTTTTATCACAAAGGAGTCATTACATCATACAATTAAGACGGTTTGCTAAGTTGACGATTACACTGCTCAACAAAATCCTTGAAGAATTTCCGACCCAAAAACGGGGGTTGACAAAATGTTATAAATCACGATGGATAGCAGTATAACACAATACCGCTTTCCTAGAGATATAAAGATTATTTTATATACATCGTGTTTAATGAACAATTTCATTGCAACTATCTTCTTGTTTTATATTATTACTCTGTTAATTTTTTCATTTGAATCGAGTTGATCATTTGTCTATATTTTCCTGTTTAGCTATAACCGTTTTAACTTTCTGGACTTGAATTTAATCGATGATCTTTATTATCTAATGTGTCCTTATCTGATATGCCACCTAAGGTAATAAACATAGAAAACTATATGCAAGTCATTGGAAACTTCTTCTAGTATTTTTGACAGGATAACGAGAAGAGAGTTTGCAAGAATTACTTGTGCACATTGGCCTTAGCACTTTAACACTTTTTGCACGCTCGAGAAAGAAAATGGAACTCATTTTCGCAAGATATCGAGCATAAACCTATGGAACTGCGCTAGTTTAACTCAATTTATTGATCTCTTATGTAACCACATACTCTTATCTAAACACATACTCTTATCTAACTTCGTAAATACTCCTATCTGTTCATACTAAAACATCACATTCGTAGAAAAATCATTTCTTGGACTGTGGGGTCCATACAAAGGTTTTGCTTGTCTTTCTTTTCTTCAAAAACACAAAGGCCCTTTTTTCTATAGCCAAAACCATTTCATGATAATGGAATGGAACACCCTTTGAAAGCCAATATAGAAAGCAAAGCAATGCTCATGACACATTTGAACCCCCGTGTAACAGGCCAGGTGTCTCGTATAGCAATCAGCAATCAAAACGCCATTACAAATTTACTTTTGTTGCATAAAATATATAGGAGACGTTAATAAATCTACTGCAATTACAGTAATATTAATGACTTGTTTGCCTAGCGCTTAGAAGTCGCTTTTTACAGTAATAAAAAGCTACCACTGTACAAAAGTAATAAGAACCTGATTGACGTTTTCAACTAAGTCTTAAAACTTAGGGCGGAAACTTATTATCACGTGTACAAAAAGGAGCGAAAATCCGCTTCGCTTTAATTGCATTAACAGAGTACCTTGTTTAATTATAAATCTAGTTCAAACGAAAATCAGTTCTTGCACTGCTTGTGCTAACAAGGGATCGCTGGGATTTGCATGATTTTGATTCGCTGCCTCGTATTCGAGATCAGCCATCAACCAGAAAACTTATACCTAAGAGAAGTGAACAAAACAGCCAAATGTGTTTGTGATAATAGTGAGTGCGAGGTTTGGAATTTATTCCCTTACCTTCTTTCACCCTTTACTGTGGACTAAGTGGAATAACGTCGTCTGGAAAATACTTGCAGCTATATTGTTGGGAATTCTATAAAGATTCTTCTTTTCTCTTATTCTCTTCTCTTCTCATCTCTTCTCTTCTCTTCCCTTCTCTCTCTTGTGTTCTTACCATAAATGCTATTGGCTAGATCAAATTGTTACAAAAATTTAAAGTGTCAAGGTAGACACTGGAATATAAAGACGATGTAGTTTGATACCTTTAACTAATCTAGAAAACAAGACAATGCTGGACCATGTTGAAGTAAAAGTAAACGCTTACCACAGGCCACTCAAACGAGAGGAGGCATTGACACCCTCCTTTTATTAGTATATACTGGTGATATTTGATAGCGAAACATTTTTCAATCTTTTTTTGTTTCCTCAGTATAGGATTAAAAGCACAGTGCTTGCTTTCGAGACAGAAGAATGAATTGCTATAAACGGAAGCAAGCATTAGAAGCAAGCATATCAAGCAAGCGTTAGGAACGTAGGAACAGACAGACATACAAAGCATGGACTGCAATTGAAACGAGTAATAAAAAACAATAACTAGAAGCATCCACTGGAAGCATGAAGTGGAAGCAGCACTAGATAGAAGCAAGCATACAAAGCAAACATCGCAAGCAAGCGCTGAACAATGCAAAAACTAGTAATATCTCTGCTAAATATCTGCACGCTTTGCCATACAAGGTAAGGTTATTCATTTCGTATTTTAAATTTTTTTAGGGTTTTAAGATTTTTAAGGTCTAAAGTTTGTGAATCTTTAAGAGTACGACGCTTTGGAATCGCAGATGCTGTTCCAGTGGACCAAAAATATTGAAAACTTCACAGTGTCGCTTGTTTAAAGATGAGTGAAAGTTTATGCCACCGTTTGTACCCATTGAGAGCTTTAAATATTCTTTTGGACTAATCTCTATCCGAAACTTACATTAGCAAATATGAGCAACAGCTTTCAAACTTCATTCCTTTTACTTTGCAAATCTTTGCTAAAACATTAACAACCTGTCTGTACATGCTGGAGTTTATGACTTTAATAAAACCAAGAGCCAAACTGAGTTCTAACCAATTAACCATCTAGTGTCAAGAGCATCAAAGATGTACACTCATTTATAAAGGTCCGCCCATCACTAAATTGAGTAGTTTTGCTGGATTGTCTTAACTATCACGCATGGCGACTAATAGTCCTGCATATATTTTCGTGAATTTAAAGACAGTCAGCAATTAGTACTAACGCGACTAGAAAACAGTATTCCTACTTGCCTAAGCAAAATGTCCATAAGGCATCCATATCTCCATGCACATCATTTACCGTTCAGTTACGCAGTTTGCACTTTCAATAATGTTGCTACGAAAAATATTTATGGAACCTGGGGCAATGTTAGAAATCGCAAATATCATGTCTTTACTATTTTGTGGCTGGCTTATAATCATAGGCTTTTCTCTTGTCAGTATTAGTAGATTAACCGTTTCTAGTTGAATATATTTCTGGATACATCTGAAACTACCCATCGCTAAAAATATTGTAATAGAAGTCTTTGAAATCCTAAAGAAAGGACGAAGCAAGATATTCTTAAACGATTTTAGTGTGCTATAAATACTCATCACAATGCCATTCTTGCGGAGCATTTAACAAAATTCATTCGCAATATATACTACACTAGCATGATATCCTCTACAACTTGATCTCGCAAGAACAGTTATTAGCTACAAATTTCTTCCGAGTAGAAAATCTGAATTCGGTCTTTGGTAACATCTTTGCCACAAAAGCGTGGTTGGTATAATGTGTAAGAGGAATTTGACGAATGAATAAAAGTATTCCTTAGAACGCGCAAAGAATGTGTACACTGATTTGCTGCAGTATATGTCTCCAGAATTGCAGCTGATATGAAACACAGTAAGATTTATGCTGTGGACACTGCATCTACAACGCTATTATCACTGTCTCGTTAAATCATTTTATCTCCATAGCCACTAAAAGAATATAGTTTTACAATTGCAAAAAGTATTACGTACAAAATTATGTCTAATATATGCAAATTACTCACAATATGTTTGCTATAAATATAATTGCTATCAGGGAACAACCAAAAGCAACAAAGCTCTGTGATACAAAAACCACAATTTATGTTTTTAGAATGACTGTTGACAAAAACATTGTCGTAATGGGAAGAAATAAAGCCTTTGGTTGTACCAGTTCGGCAATTAAAAAACAATATTATAGTACAAGTAATTATATAAAAAGGGAATGACTGCCAAGACCATGAAAATCCAAACAGAAAAAGCACAATTTCGGGATTAATTTCAAATTTTGTATAGCCATTGCAAAAACGGACAATATGTCGATGCAAAAAAACTAAATTGGACCAAAGAGCAAAAAACAGTTTCGAGTCATGCAAAACTAACTTAGTACAGTTACACTTTGCAAAATTAAGTGAGCATACTTAGAAGGAGGCAAAGGGCAATTTTCCTGGGAACCGACGCCAGCAAGGGGAGCGTATAAATGTTAAAGGAGTTTTTTGTCAGCTTGAACTGAGAAAACCATTTTGTGTAGGGCATTGTAAGATTTGTCTTTTTCAAAAACAACGGAAAACCAATTTCGCCTCGTTTGCATGCCGAATGTGAGGGGTCATGTGATAATTTGGCAAAGTCGAATAAAACAGGACCGGTGTGTGGGTACTTGTCGTACAGGGTAAATCACTCAATGATTTTGATTCTGGATTGCATTGCACTGGGACTAAGTTAAAAAGTGATTTCTGAAAATAGGGTTGAAATCTCTAGGAAAAGCCAGCATTTGACAGTTCAGCTTCATAAACATCATAAAAACCTAAAATTTAAAATTAATATATTCATAATTAAAATAAGGCTATTCTTAAAAGTATTTATTGTTCAGCTTGCGGTATACGCCCAAATAACTTTGATTGACTTAAATTGAGCACTAGCCGAAACTAGGTTCAGTTAAAAGAAGCGAACTATTCAAGACCAAACATAAAACACCTAAGACGTAACGAAGAAAGCCTCTTGACTTGCCTACCTTTATGTATCCATTGACATCGCCATAACAGGCTAAGGCCCGAGTTACACGACACCGGATTGGGTTCACTCGAAGCATTTCGGATTGCCAAACCGGAGTCAAAGTCACTCTACTCAGGAGTGTAGTGAAGATCAACCCGAAGTACTCCGCTACGCATTTTATCCAGTGTAAACGCCCCAGTAATGTTCACCCCACTGCCTTGCCATAAGCAAGCTGCCTCTTTACCTCTCATCTTGCTAAAAAAGCGTGCACTTATTCCAGAGACAAGTTCCGCTTCACTTTCCGTCCAAACAAAAACATTTTCTTGATGTTTCTTTCCATCTTTAGATCCATTTTAACAAAGGAAATTTCACTTTGTTTTCTACCATCCCCGTTGTTTTATTGTGGCGCCAATATTTTGATGTCAAAGAAGCTGCTTCGCCCAATTACCAAAAAAATGTCTCTCACCTGCCCAAAGTAAGCGGCGTAGTGTAACACGAAAGCAAGAAAGGGGTAAATGTCAAATCATAGCCGTGCAAACACCCCCAAAAGCGGAGTGCTATCGCCTCGGATTGTGAGGGCAATCCAAAATGAAGCCAATCCGGCGTTGGCTAACTCAGGCCAAAAAGAAAACCGAACTAGAAGCATAAAAGATCAGCTCAGCAGTAATCTTGTGTTAGACCGAACACGATAAAAATACCCTACAACATTCATACTGATTAATAATACGAGCAGCACTAGCTGACTGTAGCAGAACTCCACTGATAATCCTTGACAAAATTTGATACATTAGTAAAACCATTAATTCGATTCACTTTAACACTACTAAATGTACAATAAAGTTCTTTCTAAACTCGACCCTTTGTTATCTAACAAGCGATACCCCAATTTATGTAAAAAAACACGTCGTGAATTTTCTCTGAACAAGAACCGCTGTTTAGTTACGAACAAGATCGACAGATAAACAGACACTGTAGACTCTACCATTCACCACAAAACATCCTGAGGCCAATGACACGCAGTTCTGGCAATAGGTAAGCCAATCCAGAAGAAACAAGTTGATCGAATCTGTAGAGTCAAACAATAGTTTTTTTCAAGCTTTACTTGTATATTAATCCCAGAAAATGTCATAAAGTTAAAGAAGCAATATAACCTCACTATTGCACAGAAAAATTGATAATTCAGTGATACAGTCTGGCTTATTAACTGTAACATTTTCTTTTTAAAATCTGTAGTGAAGTTAAACTGAAATGAAATCCAGAAGTCAACGGCATGCAATATCCAACACGGTGTTCCAGATTCTGTTTAGTGAATTAGGAGTAAGTAAACAGTTCTGGCAGATCATCTCTGCATGTTAAATGACAAGCAAAGGACTCAAATTTTGCTGGTGTACACTTAGAGCATACCTCTAAAACCAGCAACTTGGATCCACTCTTCTATTTGTCCTTCTCAGAGCCAGCTGAAGATGTCTTCTTTTTCTTGCCAATAAGGCCGCCGAGCGAGATTCTTCTGCCTTGCTACAAAAGCAGTAAACACGACTGATATATAGCAGTAAAAAGAAAATATGAAGGAAAGTTATCAAATCTCGTCAAGGAGGTTTGGAATAGGAAATTTCTGACTGAAGAAACTGAAATAATGGGATCAATCATGTCAAGTGATAAAAATTTTCACCCTTAAAGTTGAAAAAGTCAAGTAGTAACTTCAAAATACTGCTTTTTCCATTTTTCTGTACGGTATTTTCTCCTTCCCTCTTTTCGACCGGATATTGGAAGATTCCGCGTCTCGATCCGATTCCGGCGCTAAGATCGTCATCTAGAATTTTTTCAATTTTTGTTGACCCTAAAAAGTGTTGGTTAATTTACTGTGATCCAAATGAATGCCAAAAATACCTTTTTAGAGACTTTTAATATCTGAACAGAAGCAGTACCTAAGGAATAAATACTTACTTTTTTCTGTTTCTCTTTGGTTTTCTCCTTTGAACTTTCTGAATGTTTCTTTGCAGGGAATGTAAATTTGCCTCCGGAGTTTCTTGATGACGGCGGTGTACTTGCCGTTAGACACGGCGTGCTCTTTTGCAGCATTTCTTTAGGAGACGAGTGTGACAGTGGTGGCAACTGCGTTACTGAAGCTGATTTCCCCCGGGATCCTGATGGCGCTTCAAAGACATCTCCATCAATACTACTGGCAATTTCCGTCTCTTCATCAACTTCATCTAGCATTTTGGGTGACGAAACCTCAGATTTTCTATCCGTTGCAATGGGACTAGAGACTGTTCGACTGGTGGTTTCCTTTACTATAACGTCAATAGGGAATTCAACATGAAGCGTCCTTCGCTTGATAGTATTTCGAACAAAACTTGCATCGTATTCACTTTCCCCCGATCTAGTGTTTCTAAACGGCATATCAACAAGAGCATAGGCAGTTTTGCTGCCTTCCATATCGACCCCATCTTTAGTCCATTGAGACGGGGGTTTTCGAGGTAACGTAAAAGAGTTAGATGATTTGACTGCATTTTTGTTAGGAACTGGATCATTTCTGTTTGCATCGATTTCAGCGCTCATGTCGTGAATCCCACTGGTGTTTGCGCTGCCAGAGCTCACCCAAGACAGGCGCTTGTTTTGGTTAAACGGCTGTGCGTCAATTTTAGGCTGGCTGTCAGTTCGAGCTCGCGAAAAAACTTGGGTTGTAGCAGGGTAAACAGATGAAGAATTTTCGGAATAGAGTCCAGAGGGCTGGCTTTCTACACTGATTCCTGTAGTTGCCTCTGAACGTGAGTAATCTTAAAAGACAGAACGAGCACCATGTTTAACACCAATGAAAGTAGATTCAAAGTAGAAATTTTATCCGAGAAATTAGTAGCCTTAAAAGGATTCAAATATTCATGTTTTTGAAAAATTCATGCCTGATCGTAAAAAATAAGGTTAGCAAAATACGGTTGCATTAAACTACGGTTGCATTAAACTACGGTTGCAACGAAAGCAAACGTTTGATGAATAACTTTACTATCGTTAAGGGATCACCGAATTAATTCCTATTAAACAAATTCCACTTCTAAAAAAGCCTCACTTGCTATTTTTAATAGGCACGACATATCTTTATGCGATACACAGAAGAAAAATGAAGAGATAGGCGAACGAAAAACGCCCTACCCTTGCTTCGTTTTAAGTCGTTCAGTAAAAGCTTTCTGATATCAGAAACCCAAGCGTCTTTAATTTCGCAACTTGACGCCTGAAAATAGATTAAAAAGTTTAAAGTAGAGAGGTGTTTATGGGCAAAGCTGATATTAAAAATGGATTTCTCGATAGGAAACGAAACCAACTTAGATGAATGAAATACACATGATACCGTACGCTAAATCAACAATACCTTTTTTAATTAATGCATTTTGATTAAAGCCGTATAGGTGCTGTTGTGACAGAAGATGTGAAACTTCAATGGGAATAAACCTTCATTGGCTAACTATAGGGTGAAGGAAAGCACATAACAGAATCACTGGCTTTCCCAACTTTAAAATATGAGTATCAACAATATCACTTGCTGCTTGCTATGGTCTCTACCATGGCCTAGCGACTAGAAGGTCAGGCTTATTTTTCATATCACAAAAACGGTTCGATAACATTCATATAGGAGAGGGAGAGAACAGCCCCGATGCGACAAATGGAGAGACAGCGAACAGCCCCATTGACAGAAATACAGGCTCGATTGCCTCGGATGCTTTTGTACAAGATCACAATGAAAAGTTGACAGATATGGTAACTTTTTCTAAACTGACAATCACCTGAAGAATATATGACTCTGTCTTTTTCGACTTCCGCCATCGTCTATACCAAACTTCGAACCGAAGACCTTTTTCACCAATGTTTTCTGTTAGACCAACGTCAGTAATCTACGTGATCAACATAACCACAATTAAGCAAAAAAACATACTGCATACTAGCAGGTAGAACTCGCGTTATAATATATCAATTTAGTATAGTTTATAATGTCATAGTATATCAAAGAGTTGAACTCAATAAACCTATTTTGCATATATGGACTCCCCGCCTATTCAGAGATGGTTTATTCCCTATGCGAGCAGAGCTGTGACCGGGTGGGGACTGAGTAGAGGTGGCAATCACACTCCCCTCCTTTTGTTGGGCACAATGATCTTCACCAATGTGATTAACGTTATAGCTAGAATAAACTTTTAGACCGTTTGGTTTACTCATACAAACTAAATGGTATTTGCATGATCAAATTGTCACGTAAATGGCCGCTTCTTTCTTTTTTGCACTTGAATGCTGGCCAAGGGGCACGCCCTTCCACCAGAAAAAAGGAAAGCATTTCGAGACAATGACTTTGATCTTTATCAAGCTAGGAAATTTTCTTCGAGTGGTCAAAGAAGCTTTCAATATGGAGATGTTAAATTATGAAACAACTTTCAATTTGGGAGAAGGTAATGTCAAATAATACTTCCTGCTTAATATAATTGTATTTACTGACAAACACTGACAAAAGCATAAACACATAAATATGCGATAAAACGTCAGCCAAAGTCATTCACATTTGAAATCTCTTCTTGCAGCTATTATGACAAAAGCAGGTAATCCTATCCATGCTGAGATAATACCATATAACGCAGCATTTCTTGCACACAATTCTACTCAATTTCTTGCAAAATTTTCACAATTCAATTATTTCTTATTAACAATTTACAGTACAAGAACCTGTTTGACGGTACGAGGCAGATATAACATCGAAACAAAATCTCAATCTACTTCAGTCAGAACTAACAAATACCCCTGAAAAAAACCAACAAACCTTTAAAGAGTTTTTGTAGACAAAACAATCGCCTTGAACAGCCTGTTTTTTGGCTTTGGAAAAGAGAATAAATTCCTCAAACAAGAAAACTCTTCTTGCGTGTTTCTTCTTGTTGCTGTACACCACGAACTCTCCCTAAGAACAAAAATGCTCAACAATTGACTAATAAACAGAAATAACACCATCCTAAGAAAATAGGCAGAGCAGGCTTTTACCAAAATAACGTAAGATTTTTAAGAAAGTCTAGCTAAAATCCCTCGATTATCTTTCACTTTCCTAGCCTGTTTATCGATTGATCAAGCGCTGCTATCTTAAATAAGACTATCTGATCAAGCGCTGCTATCTAAAATAAGACAAGAGAAGCCATTCTCTCATAATATTTCTTAAGAATCATCACTAATGCCTCATTAAGTAGATCAAGCTACATCCATACACTGTTTTATTTAAAAATAATATCACTTTGCCAAGCTTTTTTTACCAAAGTTAGCAAACCCCCTCACCTGTCTCAAAAGGCAGCCCTGAGCACGAAGATTCACCTGAAAATGAGGAAGGGTGATCTCATAAAACCGTAAGATTGTTAAAGACAACTACAATACATACGACGCCTAAGTTACTGTTTGAAAAATTCAATTCAACTCTAGTGCAAATAGCCAATGATAATAACAAGGTGCTGTAGCATTGCATTATAAATCAATTTTATCAGCAGAAAGGGTAGAAGTTGTTTTGAAGCTTACATCACATTCTCTGATCGAGTCCATTGCTAACAGATCATTTCCATGTCTCAACTGAAATTTTATCATATCTTGAGCAGCCTGTCACAAAATGAATGTGAAACATGGTTGTAGATTGTCGAAAGAGGGTTTTAAAATTTGACTAATGTACTGAACATTGTACGGATATCTATAAAATTGTAAATAGGGAAGATGATTTAAGATGCTAACAAGGATAACATATAGATACAGAAAAGATATCGGTCCCTGGGAACTATTTTTTCAGACAGTTTAAGAACTGACCAGATCTCAAAATTAACAAATTCCTAAAGTTGAAAACGCAAGCCAAATTTAAAGCTATGATATATAAAAGCTTTGTGTACAATTTTTGCGGAAACCATTAAATGTTATATTTTCATCTGGCATTAAACTTGTTTAACAGGCTCTATGAAAGAAAACATCTTGTATCCGATGCTAAAAACAAGAAAAAATTAAAACTGAGTGGAACAGAAAAGTATCTCTATGTCAGAAACTGGCTGTTAACAATGAAAATTAGTCTCCTTTAAATGTTTTAAGGACACATACTCACCAGAAGTTCGCTCATTCGAGGATCGTTGGCAGAGCAGCAATTAGCCATATCCTACAATGGGAAAATTATTTAAAACCAGGCCTTACTTATGATTACTTCTGAAATCCTTACAATATATATTGCAAAAATACTTCAGATTAAAAATCAATATATATAAATCAAAAACAGTCGTATTACGAAGTCAAGTAGAAAGGTAGATTTGATTGTAATTAGATTTCACGAAGTAATCATATTACCCCACCATCCATTGACAAAATAAACAACAAAAGGCTCAGGAAAAATATATAAGGAGAAACAACTGCAAGTAGTGTACTGAAAACGAGCTTTTGAGCAAAGTTTCGGGAAACAGAGCCATAAAAACACAAAAATGTTCAATTAGTTACTTACCTTAAGAAGCAATGCATACTTTCCGAGTCGCTGTACGGGTTTAATGAGGTAGCTTGCGAGGTTAAGCTTATCTTTGAGTTCGTTTTGCTTGGCCTAAAATAAATGAAATTGAAAACAGTCAAATGATTAGCCGTCACCAGACCTCTCCGGACAATCAAAAGATTCAGGCTCACCACTGCAATACAGTCTATACACTGGAATATGTAATAGCAAAATTAAAACTTTCGATTTAAAAGATACAGTTGCTTTCAGAGCCGTTATATGGCAGTTGGGACTGTGGAAATAAGTTTTGTTGGCTCGATCTAATCATAATAAGATGCCCACGTTTTTCTAACTCATTACAAACAAGTTTGTTAGTGTTAGTCTATCTATGGCATGAACTAGAGACATCAAAGTACTCACCGCAAAGTACGAATTTCCAAAGTCGTCCAATAACTGATCAGATTTTGGCTTATTCTTGTTGTACAGAGCGTAGATGTAAAACTGTCGCTCCTTCAAAAACAACACACAGATAGCATTGCATGAGTGCTTATATAAGGTGATACTGCTGATGTGGATAGCCTTCGCTTATAAGAAGCTACTGTACGTTGTGAGATAAATGGGGGCAAATTCTCACCAGGTTTTAAAACTTAGAGAGCTTAGAGTGGCTTTGAAACATGGACCTATTTTCTCTGTAATCAAACGGAAAAAAGAACTTAACTTAAGAAAACAGGCAATTCGCAGCACTTCATTACCTTATCCAGTTTATGGAATAGCTTAGTTGAATCATCTGTTGACAAAACATGCGCATTTCATAAAGAAATACAAATCTCCAATCACAGTTTCTCCGCTGGTCTATCACAGTAGCTATTTTCGTAGAGTAGAGCCCCATTAATTTAAACACTTGTAAGCCAAATGACAATGCTCGACAAAGAGAGTTTAATGTTATTTGAAGATTGCTGCCTTTGATCACCGCAATGAATTTGTAGGACAAAGTTGCGTGTCATATCCTTGGAGAAGTCCAACTATGGCACATATTCGTTTCACTGTATAGTGTTCATAGTTAATCAATATAATCTTCATCAATACTATTGATAAATTCTTGAAAGGAATAAACATACCCATCTAAGAAAGCACTTTCCCACTTGCAACGGTGTGTGCAGGTAATTCTCTAGTTCTTGAGAGAAGTACCTGAGCAGAACAAGGTAAGTCTTTAACAAATGCACAGAAATACCAAACTTAAATCTATGGAGATCTGATTTTTATCTTCTGTAAGCACATGACCCACCATACAGAAACGTCGAAAATTGCCTCTGGACATTTTCGAAAGAAAAAGCAACAGAATGCAAGCTACACTGCCTTTTAATCGTTACATATTTATTCTATGACTACAAGTTTATAATCTACAAAAAGATCAGAACCAGTGGTTTGCGTGGTACAAAAGGCTATGAGATGGTACAAATAACCTTAGGTCTATATTGGTTCCAACAGAATGTACACAAAATGACAACGAGTCTAAATTTGATCACAGAATAAAGTAATAGCTTAAGAAGATTCTCAGTCAACAATAAAATGAATCAAAATAGGGTCACTGTCAAATTAATGCATAAGAAATGCGTTTGAAATAAAAAATAGTTGTTGCTTGTTTCGGAAGATGGCAAATTTGAATGAATAGATACATAGATATATTTAATCTATATATCAAACACGCAAACCTTTTATGAAAGTCGTGTATTCTCTCAATATTTCCAAATAATATATTCTTTTTTCCAACAAGTGTTGGAGGCAGAGATGGCTTTTCAAGCTCAGGAATGTAGTTCTAATGGTAGAATAATAAGCAATATAATGGGGAATGATACAAAATTTTACAATCTGCATGATAAAACCTTCCTTAAAGAGCTAACAACGCTGCTAGAAGAGCACACTATGAAACCTTTGTTCTCTCACCACTCAGAAACCCGGAAGTAAAATAAACACCAATCATCTGATTAACAAAAAACCCTTGCTATAAATTCTGAAGATTATGTACGAAATTCGATTAAAAAATATAGATGAGAAACCGGAAACGATGAAAGTTGTCCGTTTAAAACAGAAACCGGAAACAATAGTTACTTTCTATAGCCCACAGGATAATAACTTCCTTATCTCAAAACCAATTACGTAGAAATGAGAATCTTGACAAACATTGCCGTGGTATAGATTAATTACTTTTGAAAACTTTTGAAAACTATTATATGATTCTATAGGAAACGACATCAGAAAAATTATTAATGTGTTTGCAAAAGACAATACCAAGACCTAGATCTTATTATTGGAAAATATATATCATGAATCTAAAGATCCTTCACCCTGATTTCAAAACTGCTAAATTCAAAGTCAGGAATTGAAGTTAGATCTCACCTTTAAAATATATTCAAGTGACGCTACGTAATCATTCTCCGTATTGATCATCTCTTCGGCAATGTAGCATAGTTTCCTAAAAAGGAATTAGCAAAAAATTTCAAAAGGCAGACATCCCCAACAACAGTGAAATAATTTTTCGTCGACAAATACAGTATCTTTAGAATAAATTTTTTTAAAAATTTTATCAGAAATCAAGCAACAAGTCAAAAATGCTTTTGTTCAAAAGCGTCTAGAAACTACGGATATGCAAAATCTTGAATATCAAAATGAGTTCACTTGAAAATATGTTTGACTCTAACATCTTGTATAACGTTTAGGAATATATGACTTATGCGGGAATATAACTTTGACGAATATTCCTGCATAATAGACAGCTTGTTTCAAGAACAAAATAGATATGCATTGGCCTTAAGCTCAAGGTCCTAGTAATCTACTGCGCCAATACCAAGCAGGAATCGAATAATCTGATGCTACTAGCAGATAGCAAAGAGCTGTTTTCAGATCAGAACGGCCAAAAAAGCGTATAAATCGTCTCAAATCACTTAGAAAATTTAAATTTTTAAGTTTGAAAACAAACTTGACACCAACAATATTATAATCTTACTCTTTTAATTTTGAGGAAATCTGCGCATCATATGCCGCTAGTAGCTCATCATTTTCATCATAGCCTCGCTCCGAATCACTTTTCCAACTAAACATCGGGCCTACGCTGTCATCTTGCTCCTTCACATCCTCGCCACATTCAGTTGCAAGGTCCTCATCTTTTCCTATTCCACTTGAAGATTCGCTGCTTGCGCAGTTCAAGGAATTCTGCAAAGAAAGAGTCAACACAATATATGGAAAGTTTTCTGAAAGAATAGTAGGGAAAAGCTAAAATATCTATTTTAAGTTTTGTTTGAGAGCATCCTCTTCTGCGTATGAAACGTTGATTCGTGAAATGTTTTTGAGTCATTGTATGGATTGCTATGCGTGAGACTTTTGAATTAAAACCAGTTTAGAGACCAGATCGTTTCATACCAAATCAACCATGTTTTTTAATACATCTTCAAGCACCTTTATGAACTGTTTGTGTTAGCAGGGTTACCTCGCAGATATGTTACCTGACATCAAATTGCAGAAAATTTGGTTTCTTGATTTGAACTTCAAAATAGTGTAAAAGCTGGGAAAACGAGCTATTTGTATAATGAATTTCAAATAGTTTTTATAAGCTACCAACCTCGTTTACGCATGCCTCGAATAAGCCCTCCTAAAATCAAATATCAAATAACAAAGAAAAAAGGCCTAAGGATGCTAATTCGATCAGATACAGTAATGCAACTTGGAAACCAACCTGTAGTCTTGCTTCTGCTGATTCTACAGTCTTGAACTTCTTCTTAATCATTTCTTCCACTTCACTGCACCTTGTGCTTATCTGCCCAGCTTGCATTTTTAGACGCTCGCTCTCTAGGTGATGAGCAAGCTCTGTCATTCGAGCCATTTCTTTCTCCCCAAACAGAGAATTATCTTTCAAGAAAGTCTCAAGTTCTTCTTTAAGCTTTTGTACGCCTTGCAATGTCTGCAAATCCTCCATGTTCATTTGTGCGATGTACCGAAGACTCTGCAACGACCAGTCAGATGCCTGCAGAAACGAAAGCACCAAATTAGTCCAATAGATAAAATTAAAAGTTAGAGAATGGAAAAACTCACAAAAAAACATAAAAAACAGGGAAAGCAGCACCTAAAAGCAGTTTTGGGGTCAAATTAAACTGCTCATTTTATTGCTTCGATTTTATTCACAAAACACATGATAAACAAACAAAAGGAATGGGTTGGCAATTTGCAGGCACGATGAAGCAAACTGCAGTTGCAAACTCTAATCATAATTCAGTTCACTAAACGTCAAGTAAAACGAATGTTTAGAATACTATACCTTTTCAAAGAGCCTGTAGAACTCAATTCCCTGAGACAACTGTTTCCTTCTATCCTCCAACTTAGAAGTGAACTCAGTTTGGGCGCTTGCTAACTTTTCTACCCTTTCCTTTAGCCACGACATCTCTCTTTCATTGAAATCCTTCAAATTCACAATATCTTCGCCAGCTTCAATCATCTTCTTCGTTTCACTAAGTGTTTCCTGCAACAAACATTATCATCTTTTGAACAAAAATATATAGTAACTGTCAAACATCTTTGTTTAATAAACATTGCAATCGACTATCTTTCTGGAGTAGCATAAAAATGTACCAAAGAGATTGAAAATGTCACTGTACAAGGAGATGCCATACGCACCTAACCAGAAGTACTTCCTCAAGGAATGACCAAATAGAGGCAAGGAGATGAGATCAGAAAACAAAACTATTGGATAATTGCAGACGAATGATTGAGCAAACACTGGTGCTGACCAAATAAAAAGTATTTGCAAACCATCAATCATGTGAACTGCTAGTATGGGATCAAACATATTAACAGCCCGTAACCTAGTCCTGCTGCAAAGTCTAATCGTCCTAGGGTTCAATAAAACACCTTTACGATCAGATGCATCTTTTATATTGAAAATCAATGGTTAAGACTATATAGTATGACTTTAGCTACGCGATAACAGAACATATTTTATTACCTCAGCTGATGTTTCAAAATTTAAAAAATCTGCTTGCAATGACGTCACATGACCTATCGAATCACCTATATCAATGTGCGACTGCAAAAACGGCATCCCTTCGCGATCAATCCAGTTCAAAATCTTGAATTTAAAAGAGAGAAATGACGTCATTAACTAAGCTCTGATGAGGAGCACCTTTTATGACAACTTTCCAAATAAAAAGAAAGCATAAAGAAACTCTAGTACGAATCAATTATTAACTAGCCGACTATTTTTTATATAAAACATGTGGACATAATACAAAAAGCGAGGTCAAACCTGACATATTTTAATCAAGGAAATCCAAGGTCATATTGTATGTAAATGGAGTATAATTGTTGACATGACATTTTCCTAAAGACGACTGAATTTTATATTAGAAAACCTGGATATCGTTAAACAGCTACGTGGCATTCATAAAACTTTTATGATCCATACTTTAACTTCTAAAACACTGGGGAAAAATTTCAAGAAAAATGCAGAACTTACCTTTTCACTGTTTTCATCAAACGAAAAAATCTTTAGCTGAGTTTCCAGCTTTTGCGACTTTCTACTCGATATTTTTTGGAACTTATCAAATAAATTGTCCATTTGTAGATACAAATTTTGTACACATTCCTTAGTATCCGAATAGTCCATGGTCATAGGAATATCGTCAGTCGGCTGTGAAAGCCTCTCCAAAATCTTTTTACCTTCCTCTTTGAGGTTAGTAAGCCTAGAATCATCTAAAACGCTACTAATAACTTTCCTATGCTGTCCCAACAGCGCCTCACACTCTGCCACCGAATCTCCTAATTTGATTTCAGCCAGTTCCTTGATAGAAGCCATGGCGTGCTTCGCGGCGCTCCGACAACTTATCATAAACGGCTCAAGATGCTAAAACGAAAACAACACAGGCTCAACATCACGAAATTGAATACTCGTAAAGCAGCGAGTGCATAATTTAGCGTGTATACACTGAATAAAACCAAAACATAACTTAAGAGTTGTCATTTTTTCTCAGTGGCGAAAACCAGCACAGACCCAGGATTTTCAAATTCAAGATCGATTTAGAAAAGGGAACTTCCTTGTCTTTGGTTCTTGTGCCCGAGCACAGAAAAAAAATCGCACACATCTTGAAGACAAGAGGCGTCGTTCCCGGTTACAGACTGGAACACAAAAGGTGACATGTTGCAAAAGTACACATTTGCAGTTTGCTAGAAACTTGCATTTTAATGATTTGCAGCGACTTAACCAAACCGTGACCTAGTTAACAGATTATTTCTTGGAAAATGAGACTAATTCAAAGGGTTCCAAGAAAACAGATCAGTGAAAATGTCACCTAGGTGGTTAGTGCAAAGGACTGGTATAAGACAAGATATACTAATTTTCGGCTGCGACCTGGAGTATGAATTAGAATTAGTTTGAAATCGTGGATACGTGGCCGGCGATAAAGTTTCAGCCTCTCGAACAAATATATGTTTCAAAACTGCTGTGTAACACTATGGCGGTCGGTAGTTGTTACCAACCCCTGCAATATGTCGCTACGGCATGTCACCTAGTATTTTCCTGAACAGAAAGAGCATCGTGCAGACATAAATTAACATACTGTTCTAAACTTTATCCATTTCTCGTGGTTGTACAACAGAGTCCCACCAAATTCAACTGGGAGCTGATCCTGTGATATGTCCTGGTATAGCTTTTGCAAATTGGATATCATCTGAAACTGTAGGCAGTAATAGATGATTAAATGTCAAATAGGGAAACATAGGAATTCATGATTCTCGAGAAAGTTTGATTACTTATAATAAGCATACAGAAAAAAGAGACGAACGCAAAAAACAGAGCGGTTCAGTTTGTTTTGAAGAAATTAGACGGGGTGCTGCTAAGCTTCTCGGGTCAGGTCATCGCTTTAATAGAGATAAGCAGAAAAGAGATGGGGTCGAGGAAACGATGTTGCCTTGGGGCATGTTGAATTGCTTGGGGTATGACAAAGCAGTATAACGCTGCTGTTTTGGCAATCCTAAATAACTTGTGTTTTTTAAATCGAGATAAGACAATAAAATTACGGATCTCTTGTTTCCAAAATGGGAGAAACAACAAATACAGGATACATAAAGCGCTTCCAAATGTTGTACAAACGGTTGAAAGTTACGTAAGAGATGCTATGTTGTAAAGTTTTCAAGAACAAGTCCAGTGAGACTTATGCCTAGAACTTGTTCGATTATATGGGCAGACGAAAATATGCGTAAAAACTGTACCTGGAAATTAAGCTTGTCACGAATCCTGCCTGCGCCAATCATTAGTAGAAGTGAATCAGTTCTTGTTATAACGTAGGCCATGTGGACGACATTTGGGACTTTGTCCTAAGGGAGAAAGGTTTACACGAGTTTTTCTATTTTTCTATTGAATATGATGTATTTTTGCTTTTATTTTCTTTCCCGCTACCATTTTATGGTCACTATCACAGAAATACATCATTACTTACTGAATACATTTTTCGATCTTTTTTGAGACCCCTTCGCCGTTTGAAAAACAGAAGTGAGAGGAGCAAAGTAGAAAGTCTTAACTGAATAACTAGCATTATTCTTAGAAAAGATATTTAAAAGCAACCCCCTATGAGACCATGAGACATGTAAATAACTGGCTACACGGCATCAAACATGACAAAATAAGAATAGGTTCCAAATCTTTGATTGGCTGAGCGACCAAAATTCTCTATACCCCATTAGCCAATCAGAATTCAAGAATATGTCAACAAACGTGTCTCGCAGCTAGATTTAGGCCTCTTTTGGACGTTTTCACCACTACCCATCAAAGATTTGGAACCTTTGCTGACAAAATAGTGTAAGAGACTGAAAAAAGTTATAAACGCTAATTTATCTTAATGTATTATTAAATGAATTAACCTCGTTTTGTTTTGTTTTGTGGAAAAAAGAGGTTGCCCCGTGTTTTGTGTTGAATGTATAATTGAAAAAGGAAGCTTATTGATTGTGCTCCCTCGTTCCCGATAAAGAACCCGAAAAGAAAGTGTTCACAGACTAACAATAGAACCGCATAAATTACAAATGCAAAATACCGTACCTGGAAGAGAGTGATGGCTTCACCAATACATTCTAGAACATACTGGACTTGCTTCCCTTGCCTTGCGTCAACTACCAATGAGCAACCAAGTTTCTGAACACTTAGCCTAGAAACAAACGGAGAGTCCTATAAAAACCATCAAAACACCTGAAATATATAGTTCTATTAATGCATTCCTGATGTCATAGTAGTTGCACTCCTTGATTGTAAAGCCTTAGCTTTAATATATATTCTCCTGTATTTACAACTTCGTAAATCTCCAAGACAAAGATAAAAATAATGAATTATCTTATATACAATTAGCAATACAATATATATATACAATAGTCTTAGTACCAAGAATAAACAAGACTGCGCAGCTTCGAGCATGTACTCGTTGTCAAGTGAGTCGCAAAGAAAGGAAGCGAGCAAAAAGCCTTAAAGCAACATATGCAACCAACATATTAATCTTATTTACATCTCTCTAATGGGCCTATATTTTAAGAGAAGATCTTAAAAAGGGATACTTCAGTATGTATTTTTTTCGATTACGGTTATTTGTTGGTTTCAACATGAAAAAGCTGAAATGATAAACATTGCAGGAATTTACACAAAGAACGGAAATAAATTACCTTGGTATCTGATAATAATATAAAAATAATTTTGCCAGCTCAGTGCTTGATACATCAAAGTTGTCCCAGCAACTTCCGTATGAGCGAACGACAATTACTGCACCACCGCGCTTGTCTCTGGCCCCTAAGAAAATAGAGCTTCATCACAACAAGCAAACATACAAGTTGATTTACCATCTCAGGCCAGGGGCGGATCAAGAGCAAATTTGAAGGAGGGGCAGTTGGTAGTGGGGGGAATGAAAATTTTCAAAAACTGGATACGAGAGGTACGCTGTATACAACAATTTCAGATACCTTTCCAGAATAAACAACATAACATTGAGATAATCCTTAAAGCAAATTAACCTATCGGTCCCAAAACCTTTTTCAGCTGATTCTCATTCTTCAAAAGGGGCGCACAATTTCCAAAAAAGGGGCGCCAGACTTGCTTCAACTCGTTAAGGGAGGGGCAACTGCCCCTAATTGCCCCCCCCCCCCTTAAATCCGCCACTGTCTCAGGCAGCTATGGGAAGATAGTTATAGAGAAAACCAATCGATAACTATTTTATGCATAGAAAAAGTAAAAATTGTACCTTATTTTCAGGAAGGCTAAATCTAAACCATATTGTAACCTACTAGGTAATTTTTGGTATGCATGTTTAAAGTTTTAACAGGTATTTTCGCTTAGCTTGCAGTCCGAAAAAACTTATACAAGAACAGATGAAGAATACTAGTAGCTATCATAAATAATACATCGATACAAAAATTACATTCCAGTAAACCATTTAGCAATAATATATTTATCCATTTCTTATCATATTTTATCAATATCGTTTTCAAATCTTACCTGGCAGGTAAGCAATTTGACTATGAATAATTTCAAAATCGAGCTCTAAAATGTGAAGTGGTTTTTCTTCTAGTTCCGTAAGCAGCTTGTCTCGTTCTTCCATGTCAAAGGAAACTGAATCTTCTGTAACAAAAATTTATATAAATTCAGAAAAAACAGAGAAAATATATTGGAAGAACAAAACAGTTTACAGATAATACAGAAACACAAAAGATCAAAATACGAAAATTCGAACCCCGGCCAACTTCTTAAACAAACGATGATCTGAAACAATTTCAGGATAAGAAACAAACAGGAAATATTTTATCACAATGTACTTTCAACGCGGCTTACCTCGTTGTATTGAAATTTGAGTGCTTAGTTCGCCAGGCCTGGAATGCTGAGAGAAAATACTTCGCCATGGCTTCCGTTCCAAACCCCGAGATGACCAGACAATGCAGTTTGAAAAAACGAAGCGGCTTTTCGCTTCTTTGCGTAAACTATCTGCCCAGTCTTCTGAACACATATAAATGCAATCATCCGTTGACAACGTTCGTGACTGCGTAGTTCCTGAATCATAAAATTTTAGTTGGAGCTTGCGTGGAAGTGTAGAAGAGAGATGTACGTAGAAATCGCCTTTGTGGAGACTCAGTTTCAAGATCGTTGGTTGAATGATAGTCGATACAAGGGTCTCGAATCTTGCTAGCCATGCCAAGTCCGCCTGGTCATTGTCGAGTTGCGAATAATGGTGCTGTACAAAAGAAAAACAGATTGTTTCAAACAGATACTCAGTTTCAAGACCAGTATAACTGAAAAATTAGAGGGGTTTAACCAGTCCTTGCTAAAATACATAATTAATAATTGAACACGATTCAATATTACCTCAATGGCAGATCTGATGGAATCAAGCAGAATCACAAACGGTCTCAAGTAACTATTGAGGAATTCAGTGTCGTTGGACTTGAAATCATGCTGATACACCTTCTCAAGTGAAGGAAGGTGGTTCTTTATCAGAGAGCCTTCACATAACGCTTTCCAATCTTCATTTTGCTGCAAAAAGAAAATAATACGTATTAGCTTTTCGTGATGTGTTCATTTCATATCAGAAAAAGGCATGCATTTTGGTATTGGAGTTTCTTGCTTTTCTTTTCAAATACAAATTCGCAGATGCGATGTTATTACCACCTGTCTAACTTCTTTACCTACGAAGCCCCCCTTTCCCTCATTATTATGTACCAGGAAGCTCATTGAAAGAGAACGCATATGATTTTCCTCTAACTCGAGGAGCAGGAATAAATATCAACAGAAAATCTATAACCTTTTGAATTCATTTTGTAAAGGCATTTTCTAATAACACACCACTTTCAAATTGTTTTCTGAATTTTTGCGAGATGAGAACTGGCTTTTATTAACTTTCTTGACAACATTATTATATTATAATTATTATTATTATTTTTATTATTATTATTATTATTAGTATTATCTATTTATTTAAGGTAGGCGTATAAAAATTGCTACAAAATATATCTAACATAAGAAATAATTAAGTATAAATACATATATGCATATTTTACAATGATATTATAGAGAACCAATCTATGCATATTATAGAGAACCAATTTCTCACTGGCAGTTATTTGCAAAATAAATTAATGGACTCAAAAATGTAGCTGTTCTGCAAGTAGAAAAACTATTGGTAACCAGACGATGAAATGAATGTGTTTAGATGGACTTTGGAGATGGATTCGATTGGAGATGGATAGTTTATAAAAAAAACATAACAGAAAATCATGAAAGGTTTTAGCTTGCTTTGAGTGAATGCATAAACAATCGAAAATTGTGTTGCTGCCTAAGCTTTGCCTGGATCGAAGTCACATACTACAATTTTGTTCTTTAGGCTTACGATGTAACTATAGAAACTAATGGCTGTCTGGGAACATCAACAAAGAAATCATTTAGTGGTTAAACGCCTACGATATTTCTGTCGCGGAAATGAGTCAAATCTACATATAGCAATCTGACGAACTGTGCTGTCAACCAAAAGATCACATTAAAAACGCTCATTTAACTTTTACATTCAATGTCAAATTTTTACTCGATTTGAAGAAGAGACGGTATCTATCATTGAACTGGGCAAACATGAACCTACAATTCACGATCTATCCACGCATTCTCCAATAAGAAGTTCACACTTTTTTCATTTTTCCATCATAACTAATATTTAATGAAAAATAAAACTAAAATTCGCCTTTTACGCTTCTCTTCGGTAAATTAGACATTTGTGATTGAGGAAAGCACGAAACAAGTAAGCGCAGAAGAACATGGCCTAAAACAGAATCGATATATCTATGCATATTTCTGCTATGAACGCCATTACTTATATTCACTAAAAATGCTATTGATAAACGACTATCAATTATGCAACTACCCAATTGAGACGTCAGTCTCTCCTTGCACTGAAAAGCTTATTTATTCCAATATAATTTAGCATTTGACCTCTCAATGTTGATCAAAGCTTATTTTGTGGAAACGGTGCTTAATTCTTGTTGGCCCGCATTAATCCCTTGAAGAAATCATAAATAACTGCATTTTACTTGTTTTAAGGACATCTTTACCGCTTCCTAGTATGATAATGTGTAACCCCAGGTCTTTGGCGTTCGTTTCGCGTAGCATCATTCTTTAGAATACAGTTCTTATAATATGTTGAAAGCATTTTTCCGTAGAGGGAACCATGAACACTTCGAGTCTCGTGTTCGTATTTAGAGCAATTTTTACACTTCCAACTAAAAAGGCATCACCATTTTCTAAATCATATACATAAAATTTCCGCTTCGTTTTAAAGAGAAATACAAATAATACTGTGTGAATAAAACCATTTGGAAACATTTGGGAGACGCCATCGAGTCACCTGATGTCAAGAACTCTGAGGGCCTTTGTACACTATTTCACAGACATATCCATGGCAACTTCCCAACTATTTAGATCCTCCAGATCTTTACGAAAAATGCGGGTATTACCATAAGGCTTGAAGTATTAAAAACGATCTAAACAAGTACGAAATACCGCTACCGGGGACTTAATCGATATATAGGATCTCTGGGAAATTCCTTTTCCTGAAATTGTTCCTTAAAATTCATACAAACATTTTCTCTACATTTTTTATTCATGGCTACCAAAATGAACAGCTCATAAAATTTTCTACAGTTTTGTCTTTTGCAATTTTAGTAAGACAAATAAAACTCTTCCTGGGCCTCGATACAGACAATGGGTTCAAACAGCTTTTGTGTTGTTTCCTGGTGCAAAAATGTTCCTGCTAAACTTTTAACGTGGGACTTTTTTTGGAACTGCAAATTCCTGGATAGCAAATTCCTTTCCATGCTAAAAATTTTTCGGTAACAAGCTATGATTAAAAAAAACAAGGTTTTATTACATCCATCCAGACAGAGTTCTGTCAACCTAGTTGGAACGGATTGGCCTAAATGACGCATTTGATTGCTCCATAAAACTAACATGATCTGAAATTGAAACAAGAATGACTCTGCAATAACGTGAAGTATCAAATATGCCTTTGAAAGGTCATACCTGGTCTCTAGATAACTTTTTGCGTTGTCCTGGCATACTTCGGCATCCACCTATACTCAGTCACCGCTTCAGTTTAATCGTATTTGAAGGCAGTCCCTCCGAACCCCGATAGTGTTTCAAAACAAACAAATATTTGAAGAATCAAATGCATTGGCTTTCTAAGTTGAAGCATGGATATACTGTGTTTGTCTAGTTGTTTAAAGATCTGGATAACAAAACATGTAAATCACATTTGCTGCCTATGAAATAATCCACCGATAAACAGAGCAGATGTACTCTATGGGATTTTGTTGGAACAAGGAAATGGTCAACTGAAAATGCTGGAGACCTCCACTGTAGCGGACCAGGGAGTCACACAGAACTCAAGAGAAGGATGTATGAAAATTCTGGGGATCGCGACGAACTCAAAAAGACAAGAGACAAAAGCTATGCAAATTTACCTGGAAAAACGATTCAGTGCCTTCAACTGGAGGCTAGGCCCTACTGTATGGCCAGATCTGACGGTAATGAGTGAAATGTTAGAAACTCTTGATTGACATAAAGGAAGGCAACGTCTCCTTTCAGCATGAGGGATTTTGCGCTTTTCGTTGTAAAAGCAAAATACTTTTAACTAGATCGCTATTCCTTGACAGCATGCTTATTCTGGCTATCCTAACCTTCAACTAGAATTTGCTTCGTCACAAAATAATTCTTAAAACCCCGTCTTGTCGTCAGGATGGGCAATCATGTACTATTCGTTACGATGGACAATCATTTACTAGCTTTTAACATAACACAAACAGCAGAATCTTCGTTATTTGCGCACACGAAACTCTCTACATTGTTATACTTGGGAGTGTCGTGAAAATTTCCTGAGCAATGTCACACGATCAAATAACAATAGAAAACAATCACTGTACAAATAGAAATTCAAGAGTTTAAAAGGGGTGTAAACGCACAAACCCTCTTTTTGACGACGGCCATCAAAACTCCGGCTAATCATTTTGTTAAGAAAATACTTTTCGTGAAGAATATCGAGACTCTAGATGCTTGCAAGTCATAACTACCAAACAGTGTGCGCCGTAAAGCAATGGCTGATATTTCAAAGGCAAGAAATTTGACTCGGTTAGGTTCAAAGAAATTCAGAAAGAGAACGGGTGCTGTGATCAGTATTTTTCCAAATGATTAGGCATAGACAAAAGCTACTTTGAAGCTTAAATATATTCTTAAACAAACAAAAGGACAACAAAACACACTACTCTGGGCCTTAATAACGACAACAAAGTATGAAATGCAAATTAATCTGTAAAATAGAACATCCTTTTTAATATCGTCACACAATTTGAAAATCGTGCTATGCATTTGGAAAAAGCTTTTGAAAAATTTAAGACGATCAACAAAAACAGAGAAGCGAGTTGCTTTTATTGATCTGACTGATTTTTATAAGATTGGATAAAAAAATTGAAGCAAATTACTTCCTGGGAAATAAAACAGGCCTACATTCGTTGGAAGTCTAGTCCTCCCCAAGAACATGGCCTACGCTTATGGAATCGTGACAGGAGTGAGGTGCGTTACAAAATCATCGTCTCCCGTTATGATCTTTTCAACTGGATATAAACGTAGTGAGCGAATTCAATATACAAATGTCAAATCGAAGTTTTTTTGAATTTTTTCATCGTTTGAAATACTGCTAAAAGAGAGCACAAAAAATTGGTTGGTTTAAAAGATTTCAATTCAACTCCAGCGGCAGGCAGTCGAACTTCGACCAAAGTTGATGACGTCACAAAATCTCGAAAACAGTTTGCAAGACCCTTGTGCGGACCTTAATATACAAAACTATTTAAAAGAATCCCATTCAAAACCAAAACCATTTCATCGAATATCGGCAAGTTAATTTCAAGCAATGGAAATGCCCCCGCAATTACCTTTCCAAGATGACGTGAAACAAGTGCCAACAAAAAAGGAGCTGTAGTCTGGGACATGATTTCGACTCTGTCCCAAACATTCTATACATTTCATCTCCACAACAGCCAAATTGTTGGAAGGTGACTGTTGAGACAGTTTAACTACCATGTCCGGCATTTGTCTGTTCTTCCTGGACCATAAGATTGTTTAAATTTGGCTTCAGCCAAAATGGTTAGATAATACTGATCGAGATGTTAGCAGATATCCCTATAATAATGTTGTCAAAATAGCCCTTTTTATCTTTCTTTTTATCATCTTTTGACGATTCTGGTCATCCTTATCATAGTCTTCAAGCAGAACTATGGAAATATAGAGAACTTTAAGCACAACATGGAAAAACCTGGGACAGGACCTTTCTCATAAAAAACTGAATTTGAGATTTTTAGAGTTGTTTCTGCAGAATAATATGACAAGGAAATTAAGGGAAAAAAGAAAGAGTAGTCTAATTCACTTTATTATCTTGTTGCAGTATTCGTTTTATACTGAATTAAGTAAATTACTGTCCTGACCCAATATAGGCCAGTAGCCTGTAGACCAGGGTGTTTTAAGATGTGTGATTGCACATTAAATCATCAAAGCTTTACTATCAAGCCTGAGATCTAGTGCGAAGCTGCAAAATTACACTGCTGTAAAGAAACATTCTATACATTTCACCTCCACAACAGCCAAATTGTTGGAAGGTGACTATTGTGAGATTGGAAGATTTATAAGGCGGCCCTTTAATTTAGGCCATTTGTAAAATATAAACACCCATACTTGCTGACAGGAATCTCCTCATTTTTCAGAAGACATTATTTTGCTGTCTGTTGTCACAGAAACTGAGAAGTATTATTGTTTTACATTTGATTGACAGCTAATATTTTAGGATGGATATGCCGAGTTGAACTAAGCTGGTTTTTGTTGACTAGGAGTAGATTTTAACGTTGATGCTCATGTTGAGGAATAATGGGTCTAGCCAGACCCCTTTAGAAAAAATTAAGACTATCTAGCTAGCCAATTTAGAAGCAAAGTGCTATTATTAAGCACATCTCTCTAAAGTATGGTAAATGAATAATTTCAGTCTTCCTTAGATCAATTATCTGTGGAATTCTTTTTAAAAAAGCTTACAGGGGATATGTCAGTTTTTATTCTCTATCAGATAAAGAATTTAGGGAAATTTCAGAAAACATATGTTTTTCCAGTTTTTTTCATTTTGGAAAACTTGCAATACCACATTTTCTAGAAAATGGGCTAAACTTTGAAAATAAGCTGACAGGTTGCAAATGAACTATCATAACATACATGATATCCAGAGCATTTGATAAAGGTCCTGGTGTGGGGGTTTGTCAAAAAACTAAAATAAAAAGCCTATAGAACATTCTATTAACAGAAAACAGCTCAAGAATAAGTTGATCAAAAATCAATCCAAAAAGAAAATTGAACATCATACTTTTAAGGAAATACAACATTTTTCAAATCTCAAACTGTTGTTAAATATCAGCTTCTGCTGCAGGGAACCCTTCATTTACACAACCTTCCAAAAATTTATACTTGCAAAAACCTTTTCCAACAGCATACAATGAGAATCAAGTGCAAAGAAGATGCAAAACTCTCTTAAAAGTGGCTTAGAAAAATGCAAACATTTTACAACATATTGGCTAAAAGCTTTTTCATCTGACACTCCTCATAGAAAACAGCATAAAAGGTCAGAATAAGGGTCTGAAAGAACACAATGAAAAATAATTGTAATTGTTTACACTTTTCAAAAACTCTCTAAATACAAAGTTAATAATTTATGTAATTAACTGTGAAGTATGAACTTGTTCAGTGATATGCATTATGCCATCTTGAATAACTGGTGTTTATATTCATGAATAAGAGGCTAAATAATTCATCATTGATAGATGCTCAAAAATGAGGTAGCATAGTCAGTAATATAAAGATATGAAAGGGAACCATAATGCTGATCTTTGCCCCAAAAGAAGATGGATTCCGAAAAAACGATATGAAAAGGCATTAAGACAAATCTAGAGTTGCAGCATCATATCTAATTTTGGCTGCCCAACAAATTTGGTCTTTGCCCTGCCCTGAATAGTTGCCCTTCAGATTAACTTACAATTCATTATAAAAGATAAAGGTTAGGTTACACTTTAAAGAATTAGCAATTGTGTCACATTCCGAATTTTTGAAGAAGACCCAGATCAATGAAATTTAGTAAAAATCATTCATCAAATCCAGTTTTAGCATTGCTGGTTTCAAAAATTCTCTGAGTGCCTTTGTAACATCTTCAGGTCAGGCATAACTAGATATTGGATTTAATTGGCAACTAAAATTCTTTATACACATACCTATAACTCCCTTAGGTTTAAACATCTTCTGTCCTCATAAAACAGAGTTTTGTTTTTCAGCTTAAAGGTCAAAATTTGAACTATTGCTGGGTCTTTGCCACAAAGTTTCCAATTTAAAAAAAATATGCCATAATAGGATTAACTAAGTACTAGCAATTTCTAATTATGAAAGCAATATGATAACTTCCTTTTAATCTTATCAGAATGTTGTTTCTTCCGGTTATTAGTACAAGTATTTTTTAGAGTATAATTTTCCATGTGTCTAATCAGGTTCTCGATCACGATAAAGATAAAAACAAACAAAAGCACAAGCAGTACCTAGTTAAATCAAGTTATAATGTGGCTGTTGAAAGGTCTTAGATTCAAGTTGACTTTAAGCTACCTCCTTACATTGGCGTCGTCATGCTCACTAGCGCTGAATGTTGACGTTTTTGTCCATTTCGTCAGAAAACAGTGTTCACAAACCCGAGTTATCATATAGCCCTTGTTCAACCAAAAATTAGCTGTAAATCTGAAGTAAAACGCCTATATATCTATTTGGTCCCTCTCTGGACTAGAAAACATCTTCAAGCGACGTGGTTAAAGGTTTAAGCTTTAGAAAGGCATGATGATTAGGTAGGCCGCAACTTCTTGGAAATTTGAATCCGCAGACTGTCATTCAAATAGATACGGCTTTCTAGCTACGTAATTAAAGGCTAATAAACAATAACATACCTCTTCGGTTTCCATTTTAGTTTAAGATTAGTTTAAGAAGGCATCATAACGACATAATTGTGCTTTTTTCCATCAAAATAATTGCCGCCATTGCTGGGCGCAGCCCTGTTGGCCTAGTATTGGTTTCTACTCTGATTACCGCAACGATTGCGCAAAGAATGTCCTGACTGTCCTGATTACAATCAACCTATTCCCAAAGTCGGAAGCACTTTACTGAAAACAATAGCGGCGCCATCTACCTGGGACTAGGAGCCGGTTCATGTGATAAATTGCCCTGATTCCCCCGAATGTCAATTCGGAAACGTAATTATCTGATATTTTCAAACTTTTTTCGAAATTATCTGCCTAGAATTGTCTTTCTGGATTTGATTCAGCATTTTTGCCATTGACAATTTTATGGTTTTTTGCAGTTTGACCTATCAAAACATTCTACGTACGAATAAAATTAAGTGAGTGAAGTTGCATTTACAAAGAAGGGCAGCCACGTAGCTGCAGAGGGCACGGGGGGCTGTGTCCCCCAAATGAAATTTTGGCAACAACTTGCCCCCTCTGGCTACAGTTTTTTCAGATGATATTTTTAAAAGTTGGCATAATTAAAATTCCGCTGGATTATTGCTTTGGCAAGAGGGGACACTTTATTTCTGAAAAGAAAGCAAAATTAACCTGTTTAATTTCAAAATATTCCATATCTTGAAATATACAAATGTGATGTGTGCAGCTGTGGCGTTACAGAATAGAGAGAGGTGGCATGTAGAAGTGCAAGCAGACCAATGACATTGGCAATAAGATTTTGCTGGAGAATTGTGAAGTGGCTGCTCCAGTTCCGATTTACCCTGGGTACCAGAGCCGCAAAAAGTAAAATTAACTCACTCTCATAATTTTTTAATTTTAATTTTTTGCGGCTCTGGTACCCAGGGTAGTTCCGATTATGACATACAGAATTGCAAGCATACCAATGACATTGGCAATAAGTTTGCAATAATTTAAAAAAGAATTGCAAAGACGTGCGATTATGCTTTAGCAAGGGGTAGGTTCCTTGTTTCATCTATGACGTACATTGACGGCACAAGAACACGACATGCACTTTTTTATAAGAACAATTTTATAAGAACACGCGCCTCAAAATTGGTCGAAAGTTAAGAACAAATTAAAAAAAGGTAATGCTGAGTTACTGTAAAATGCATTTTAAACAACATTTTATCTCAAAAACTTTTAGCCATTATTAGGTGCTTTTTTGGTGAATGTTCAAACCTGTTGACAAATGAAGGTTGTCTCACTCAAAATAGCGATAAGATAGTTAGCAAATAAATTGAGTACCAGAATGAAAATATAATAGTTTGATTGTTAAAAATACGACAGTTCGAGCATGCACTCGTACGTCGTGTTTTCAACAATCAAACTATTATATTTTCATTCTGGTACTCAATTTATTTGCTAACTATCTTATCGTTATTTTGGATGAAGCACCACACGCAATGTACATATTGAGTTGTCTCACTCAGGGGCGCAAATGAGGGGGGTATGGGGGGTGTGATACCCCCAATATGTGGGGGGGTCACACCCCCAATAATTTCACCAGACGGTCCCAGATGAAAGTTGATAGCAATAAAGTCGGTCCCGATCTAGCCCTCTGCTTAGTATTTCTGTCTATCACACCCAAAGCTGAGCTGGTCTCAATTCTGCTGGTACCATGCTGTATTGCAGTAAAGTAAGGCATATAGTGGGCGCATTTTCCAGGAAGGGCTAATCACCAAAAAATGACAGGGGACAGAATCGGTCCAGTCCGGTCCCAACTAGCGCTGCTGCGTTTTGATCAAGACCTCATGGTTTACGTGTGACATTTGATGATAATGCCACCATTGTAAAAACATGGCAACACTCATGGCAACACCTGTGTGGGCTACTCTCATTTTTTTTATAAGGAACAAAGGTCGATGTTGAGTACTCCGGTTTGTTAATGTTCTGGAAATTTCAATACTCATTGTTTCTTATGATATCATGAATACTGTTATGAAATGTTCATGACGTTTTTTATCACGTCAAGAGATTCGCTACCGTTTTTGATGCTGTATTTAGATGTGGGAAGGAAATTTGTGTCTTAAGTTCTAGGCCAACAATCATGTTCTTGGATTTTACAAAGTTAGATTCACAAAATGTATTGCAGAGGTTTGTGACAGCAACTATATAATTTCAGGTAATCATTTTTCAATCAGGTAAATTTGTATCCTGCCTCGCAACGGCCCTGGAGAGCGGCCCCGACAATATCTATACCGCAAAAATCGGTCTGTCGTGGCGAAAACTCGGTGCCTTCAAACAACACCCCCTCCTGAAAAAAATTTGCATTTGCGCCCCTGGTCTCATTCACTTTGTTGGCAAGTGGACCTGAAAACCTCCCTAGAGCGATAAAGCTAGCAATTGCACTGCTTAAACCCTGTTAATATAAGAAAAAAATTAAGAAAAATCCAGCCTCAGATTTCCTGCCTGAACTTAAATTTACTGGTTCAACACACCTTTTCATTAGAGTGCCTCGACTCGCCTTTTTTCGACAAAAAACCTATCTCGAGCTATATCTTTTGAGGAATTTTCAACTGAGTCGCTACGAAAAACTTGCAGTTGTTTTTTTGACATTTTGTAATTGATTCATTCTTCTGTTATTTATTTGTTTTCCGTTAAAAGCCTGGCCCCCTCAGGTATGGTTCTTGCTCGAGTTTACCAACCCTAGCCGAAATCTATAGCTACGTTGTTGAAGCAATGTACAGTATGAAATAAAAACCGACTGCGATTTAGAATAGGATTGAAAAAAATATTTGCCATTGGATTCTTGTTTTACTGCAAGACCCAAATCTGTGGTCTATCACGTATATTTGATCGGTTCCCCTGAAAAGCAGACAATCGAGAGGGGGGGGGTCTCAAAGAGAGACGAATGCCTCTAAGCCCGTAAGCAAAGAGTTGCCAATTGAGCTGTCTCTATTTGAAATATGACTCTTAATAACATTGTCATTACAAATCATATCTGTACTCAGTGACCTACCCTGGATACCAAACTCACTATATATAAAATAAAATAGAGAGTCTGGTCTAGTGCGCCCCATTCTCGTTCTGGTGAACTTACTGGAAAGAACTGTAGTCAATATAACAGCATAGCGGTCAAATCTTTGATTGGCTGAGAGCTCTGTTCGCTACCATGTTCTAAGCCAATCAGCACACAGGATTCTTACAACAAAATCGCTTCGCAGCTAGAATTAGGCCCATTTTCGCCATTTCAGCGTGTTTTTACCACATTGTCAACAAAAAACATTGCACGCCTCTACAAGGCGAATTTCCACCTTAATTTTTGTCCAGTTCATCACCATGCGTTGCTTTTTAACCTATATTGGCGCCACTGTTCGATCGCAAAGAATAATATAAAAAAAACACCTTGCAAATGATCGCTAAATTTCGTGTCGAGATTCAGGTAAATTACGTTTAAACCTCTCCCCACCCAAAGCGCTTTAGACATTTCACATTTAGACAAAATCAATTATATACTTACCTTAAATCTAGGAATGGTTCATAATCCCGTCATAGATGCACTCACTGTTCAGCCTTAGATTCGGCGGTGATCGCCTATGTAATTATCACAACGGCACGAATGCTTTCATATTCACCCTTGAACTCAATAAATGTATCTTCGTCCTCTGGAATCAAAATTGATTTCATAAAAGTAAAAAATTTTCAGCAACAGCCCAAAGTAATTTAAATCATGATTTTCCAAAGACAATCTACCATGATTACCAATTTTATGTGATGAAAATGGCGAATAAACTCACGCGGTAAGACTGGGATCTAATAAAATTTGAAAACGGCGGGAAAATTTCGACGAAAACGAACGAAAACCCACCCTCGAAATAAAGTCAAATTACGAAATTTACAGCAATGCTGGCATTTACAGGAGATGTTTTGTTTTTGGTTCTGGGCATTTCGCTTTGTTTTAAGTTTTGATAAGAGAGTCTTTCCGATGGTTATACGAGAATTACAATACATGAACTCTATATCGAACTGACGAGGAAAATTCACATTTTTGAACAAAGCAGTAATCTAGGAAAGCCACAAATAAACATTTTCACAAAATCCCAAAATTTTGGGTGGGAGGGGCTGACTCGGCCCGGGCTGACTCGGCCCGGGCTGACTCGGCCCGGGCTGACTCGGCCCGGGCTGACTCGGCCCGGGCTGACTCGGCCCGGGCTGACTCGGCCCGGGCTGACTCGGCCCGGGCTGACTCGGCCCGGGCTGACTCGGCCCGGGCTGACGCGGCCGGGGCTGACTCGGCCCGGGCTGACTCGGCCCGGGCTGACTCGGCCCGGGCTGACTCGGCCCGGGCTGACTCGGCCCGGGCTGACTCGGCCCGGGCTGACTCGGCCCGGGCTGACTCGGCCCGGGCTGACTGGTTTGAAATAATGTAATGTTAATGCGAAAGAGGGTTGAGCCCGGTTAACTTTCCTACTGCGCATGCGGAATAAGGTTGCGAATGGAAAATGGCGCCAATTTTTTCTGCATCTTTTCGCACAGCTTGTGCTTTCTATTAGACTTAAAGTTTAGGGTAAACGTTTTCTGGACGAAACCATTTTTCGATTTCTCCACTTTCTCAAGCCAAACTTTCAAGGCACGCAATTATAACCATGTTTGAAACTAGCAGAAGTTTTGAAAATGCAAAAAATTCAATGTAAACGGAAGTTTCCATAACTTCTTTATCAAAACCTCTAGTTGAGTTCTGAAAATCTCTTGACCTGTTAAGCCGATTATCGTTGCTTGCGCTTGTGGTCGCATGTCTCATTTACAATATCGCATGGCACATCCATGTATCCAATGATTGACTGTGTTTATTCAAACAGTCTTTTTCATCTTAAAGCTTCAAGTGATTTGACCCGGATTTCACTGTGGTTTACGAGTGTACCTTGCAAGTGCGATCAGTAAAATTCCGTTTTCTACGGACTTACAACTCCTCCACATACAGGTACGAAAAAGTTATTTTGTACCCAAGGAACTAATCAAATGGCTCAAAAATCTGCACACGGCCAGAACAGATGTCGGGTAAGCAAAGTGAAAAAATAAAGAGGGGTTTAGCATCTACTAGCCTAGTATGATGCCTGTACAATTATGCGTAATTATGGTCAGGCATTGAACACGTGCTTATAAAACTATTGACTTTTCAGAAAGATATCTGACAACATCATTTGGAAAAATGGGTTCTAAGGGATCCTTATGCCACTCGTTTGTTGGATAAAATTTCTTTTTAGTACAAAACGCAGGAGTTTTAGCGCTTCAAATACAAAATCAAGATGCCTTTGAGTTCTTGTTGAAATGCAAAATTAAATAGTTTGTCACAGGACGTTTAAATATTTTTATGCTTTATCATTCCTAGAGCAGACTTAACTATTAAGGGATATTTGATGGTCCAAGGAAAGAGCCAGGGCCTATTTTAAGAAATTTTTAATAATACTGCACATTTTTAAGAAATTTTCAATACTGCACATTTATAATCATATTTTTTATAGGAAATTTTGTTTTTGCAATCAGTGCAAACCAATGCAAACCCCAGGTATCTTAGCCATGCATATAGGCCATGACGGAGAAATCACAAACAGATAGACGATAATATACAAAATCTATAATAACATTTCAAAACAGCAACAAAACAAACAGAAGCTACAAAACCTGAATAAAAACAAAGTCATTTATCTCTTGTAAACGGAGTCAGTATCTCATGTTTTGTCTGGACAGTAAAACAAAAAAGTTTTATTAGTCTCTTTATCTTTTTTTTAGTTAAGTTAAGTGAGCTTCTGCTAGATGCCCAGAGCATCATAGGGCAACTGATAATTAGTACTGAATGTTTTATCTTCGACAAGATCAAATTACAAAATTTACAGCAACAGCTGACATTTACAGGAGATGTTTTGTTTTTGGTTCTGGGAAATTCGATTTGTTTAAGTTTTGATAAGAGAGTCTTTCCGATGGTTATACGAGAATTACAATACATGAACTCTATATCGAAGTGACGAGGAAAATTCATATTTTGTGAACAAAGCAGGAATCTGGGATAGCCGCAAAAAGACATTTTCACAAAACCCAAAATTCAATACTGCACATTTTGGAAATCAATACTGTACGTTTTTAAATTAATACTGAACACTGCACACTAAAATAAAATAGTATTACACACTAAAATAAGTGTGTAATACTGCACACTAAAATAGGCCCTGGAAAGAGCATTATCATTCAAGAAAGGAACATGCACAAATTACATAACAAATATAGGCAACCTTGGAAAAATTCTCTTCCCCCTAAATTATCATCTAAATTGCATCATTTATTGACCATTGTGACCGTAAACATATTTGTGAACCCCCTCCCTCCATCTTTGATCACGTAATGTGTGAACGTTCCCAAACCCAACTGCCAACGCATCGATAATCTTATCCAGATACAACCATTCTGAATGGAAAGAACATAGGATTGTACTCAGTTAATTCTTCAAAAGTGAGAACCCTCTCAGCTATTCTATATCAGGCATTTGAAATAATTCGCATTAGTCATTAGTGAAGAAACTAATTTGCGCTGGTCATAAGTCTTGGTTAATCACAAGTCTTGGGCGTTTTTGAAGATTTCGGAAAACCATTCAATAAATTATACAATTACGAGGAATTAGCAAAAACTGGTGGAAATTTGATAAATCATTGATATAGTTTTTCTCAATCTAATGGTGAAGCTAACTAAGCTGTAAATCTATGACGCCGAAACCATAACCACGGCGAACTTTTTATGCAAACGTTCTTTCGAGAGGTCAATTGATGGTTGTAATCAATTTTAGTTCTTTGCGAATATTAATAATTGCCTTTCAAAAGTTTTCAAGTTTTTTGAAAAATATAACTCGAAGAAAGGGCGTACCAGGAAATTTCGAAGTGTCCTGGTAGGCCGAGAAGCGATTACCCTCAAATGGTAGTCTTTTTTGACAATAACCCTCAAATGGTAGCACAAGGACAGAAATTATGTCCTTACATAAGAAAACAACGCGCTACTGTGACATTGTGGACCTTGTTTCACACTCTTTTTACTTACCCTTTTCAGCATGGTGAATCATTTTTCACCGGAGAAACCTCTATATGGCAAATTGAGCAACAAACTGAATGCAGTCATTGCATTGGGGGAAGCTCCAACCAGGACAAGCAAAAGTTTCAAAAGCCCTGGGGTAAAAACAAAATTTAAGGCCCTTTATTCTATTCTTAAAATGGAATTCATTACTTTACGAGGTCCCCTACCTCTATTCAAATACAAGATTGAAATCAAGAGCACTTAAGGCTTTTAAATATTTAGGAGAAAACTTTAAGGGGGCCCCCGGGCCCAGTGGGCTCATGGGTAAATGCGTCACTGTCTAAGCAATAATCCAGTCTCTCCATTACCACAAACTGTCATTAATAGAGACAATGATGACAAAAGTCTATAAATGGAGTAAGGTAGAGGCAGTTTGAGTCTGACTGCCTGAGTGTTTGATTTATTTTTGTTAAGAATTTCTGATCTTTGTGGGCTCGGGCTAAAGAAGTTGAAAAGCTTTTGAATGTTACCAAAAAATGCGATTGCAACAGGCAACATACAGCAACATGTATATTATACAGATTTACAATATGGCATGCACGTCTATTTGCAACTGTATGTCGGTTGTGATAAAACTAATTTGACGAACTAAACGTTATCCATTTTCTAAGACTTAAAAACTTCTTAAAAATTTTCATTTTTATGCATTATGGTGTTAAGATATCAGTAATGCTCAAATTGTATCAAACAGCAAATAGAAGTAATAGCCACAAGACAGGGGCCTAGATAGAAAAATTCATAGGAGGGGTGAAAAACTGGATTTTTCAACAAAGTTCTAACAAGTATTTTCAGAAATTTTTATATAACATAACGACATCAGAACAGTAATAAATAAATATTCTGATATATTCAGATATTCTTATGTTTATTTAGCTTTAAAATATTTGCTATCAAAACATAGCAATTAGATAAACATAGAAAATTTTGTTAAATTTCCGACACGACCAGAGGAGTTTAGCTTTACAAGGGTTTTGGCCCCTTCTGACCCCATTCTATCTACACCACTGCCAGCAGAGCAGTTTAGCCATCATAGCAATTCTAGCAACGAAAATAGCCACCAGAGCAATTTAAGCAACCATAATTTTCGAAAATTTCTAGGGGGGGGGGGCATTCCTCATTTTCCAAGAAACATCTGCCTTAGGCATGCTTTACTCTTTATCTTTCGTCATGACCCGGGGCCCATGAATCCTCTCTGCGGCCCTGCCCTTGGGGTGGAGCTTATCAACTATTTACTAAAACTATTAACCTTTATGTATTGGCTGTTACTTCATGACCTTTCATATTATTGCAATATTTGCTTCCGAGTCGGGAAAACTAGGAAAATTTGCTTCATAGCACTGGCAGAATGAATTTCAACGCAAATATTAGCGCCCGCGCGTACCCACGCGGTGTTTTGAACGCCGACCGTGCACGAACAACACTACAACGAGGCTCTTGCGAAATGGTGTTATCGGAGTGAAAGAAAGCAGAAGATTTTCAATTTTCATCCGTTATTTACGACCGAAAACTGAACTGGCAATATGCCGCAGATGGCTCAGTAAGTGTTAGACAACTTCTTTACCTTTTTTCATTTTAAAAGGAGATTTGAAGTCAGGAAATAATTACCTTCCTCATTTTAAGGAAAGGCAAGGAGGGCCAGGTGAAAGCAAAGATCAACCAGAAGATGACAGAAAGCGGGGAGAAAGAAAGGTAACAACAAACTTATTTTTGGCAAATGATATGCGCAACTAATTGTTGCCTTGAACGTTTTGACTATTTTTGAGTAGATTGGAGAGTGATGATGAGGATTAAAAATCAGAAACTGCATCAGACCCTTAGTATTTCCCACGGTACATTTCATGGTTATAGCAAACCCCAAGATCTTCCTGAGTGGAGTTATTGGCGTTGCGTTGGCATGAGATAAGCATCTGTCGACCTGTGGGGTAACCTGTAATGTTGGTAAAATAACACAGTTATGCAGGACAAATCTCTTTCTGTGATTGTTTGTCTATACTTAGTGCATCTTCACTTCACTGATGTATTAATGCATTGCCTTAGAAATTTTTGGTCAGACTATGTATCATTGTTCTGGCACAATTATTGTGAAGATTTCCTTAGATAGTGAATGGAGGGCCTTCTGTCAGTAGTTAGGGCCGGAAATTGTTGCATACAGCATACCCTCGTCACCTATTTCTGAAAATTTTTAAGCACACACACACCAACTGCCCCTCCTTCCAATATGCTCTGGATCCGACCCTGCCCTGGATTACTTTTAATGGATTATTTTTGTTATCATCCTGATTGAATTTATAGTTTTGAGTCAATTGAATATTAGCTGTACCTTTTCTAAGAATAAGTAACTGTTTTTTAATGGTTCTTCAAACTATACTTATATTTGAATAAAGCTGTACATTTAATCAATAAAAATATTTCACCGCCATAAGTTGTAGGGACAGGAGTGCTGCAAAATTTTTAACCAAAATTGAAATTGCAATAGCAAGTGATATGATCCTAGGTTGAATTTTCATCTAAGAAATTATGGAAATTTTAATAAAGGCAAACAGAAGCAGTTAAAGACTTGCGGTTGCCCTGACCTGCTGACCAAATATATAATGTAGGTGTCAGCAGTACAAAATCTTTTCATATGGGTACACAAGATAATGGTGGCGGAATGAGCTGATGGAGCTGCAGCACCCCGAACCTTTTACTGAGTAAACACTTTCCACTTTATTGATATAGGCACTTTGTTAATATAGGTCTAAAGATAATGAGAAAACTTTCTAACAAATCATAGATGTTATCCTTTTTGAATTTGTAGGCCCTTGACGCACTGAACAAGATTTCAGGAAAAACTTCTGAAAAACGTAATCTCTATTTTTCATAGACAAAAGGGATTAAGCTTGTTAGTAAACAAATGCATCATTTATATCGACCTGCAATGGGTTGTTAAATGTATTTTTGATGATGCTGATTTTCCATTGTGCCCACCAAAATTGCCACTGGACCAAATTCACTAATTCCAGGTTCCATCGTCCTGCCTCAGAGCAGGAAAAACTCTGGAAAACAGGATGATTAGCAATTATTGCATTTTCTCGTGCCACACAAATCCAGAATTCAAATGTATTCTTTGTTTTAAACCATTTAACATTAATCGAAAATCAGATTTTCTTAGTGAAAGTTGAAAAGTATTCTTGATTTTTCACTTTGCAAAGACAATGAATTTTATGTCAGAAATCAGTGTGCCCAGGGTCCTATTTCCAAAAGCCCAATACTGGATAGAATTTCCCTTGGGAGAAATCTATACCCGATTGGGTGTCCCAAACATTTTGTGTGCTTTAGGGGGTGTATGAGCGAATGCTAAGCCTGTGACAGAAAGCAACAAAGGTTTCTTCCTTCTACTAAATTGATTCAGACCTTCTAGAAATGTCACAGAAACAGTTCAATAACAACAACAATAAGCATCTTCTTCTAGCAAAAAGCGTGCGTGAAGCGCTGAAAATCATGAATGATGACAATATTTCGGATTTAGGTCTCCATTTTGCTGAAGTGATGCAGATTCTGGCCACTATGCCAGCAGCATCATTCAGCTTACTGAGACCAGGGGCAGATCCAGGGCATATTTGAAGGAAGGCAGTTGGTAGTGTGGGCACTGAAAAATTTTCAGAAATTGTTGACGAGAGTATGTTGTATACAACAATTTGAGACCCTAACTAACTCTATTCACTTTCTAGTGAAATTTTCACAATATTTGTGCCAAAACAATGATGCATGATCCAAGCATGACTAATTGTCCTCTTATTAAAATTTATCTCTTAATATATCAATTTTCCAGCTGAACATTCACTGCTCCGCTACGTATGATGCCTCCAACTCTGCTAGAGTACTCTGCAAAAGAGGCAGACTTTTGAGGCACCCAGAAAATTTACTGCTTTTGGTTTTATTTTTAATTGGAGTATGACTGTATAGTAAGATGGTACTTTAGTGAATGCGCCTAAAATTTAACAGTACGTCATTACTGCAAAAGGTAAGATTGATTGTTCAGGGCTTGATGGTTGGCGACAAAAAAGTTCACCACTATGACATTCCAGAGATAGCTGGAAAATGGGTCAAGGTATTTACAACATCAACTGAGAACCAAGGATTTTAGGCACAACAGACAGACATTCTACCACAAATGACATTCTATTTTTTTTATTATGACATGAAGATTGGACCGAAGGCAGGAATTAAAAAAAGCACAACTTTATGGAAAGCAGTTGTTGTCTTCCAAAGCATGACATTTTTATAGCAAAACATGAACCATTATTCATAGGTAATTCTTAGAGTAAATTACCCTATAGGTCTCAGAAACTTTTCACCTGATTCTCATTCTTCAATGGGAATCAGAAACTTTTTTACCTAATTCTCATTGCCCCTAACAGCCCCCCCTTAGCTCCGCCACTCACTAAGGTGCATAAAGTCATATCTCTGTAACAAAGGCTCAAGAATGTTGCTCTCATTAATTTCGCTAAATGATTCGTATTTCTTTTGTGAAAAATTGAAAACTATTTAGTAACCTTGTAATGTTTTTGAAAATTTGTTGAGATAAAAATGTTCATTAGTTAAACTCACATTTAACTAATGTTAGAAGCTTAAATGTGTTTGAGTATATTTAGTAAAAATTTGGAAATTTATTTTCTCTCTGGCAAAAATTTTGAAGCCCCTCTATCTGAACTCAACCCGTACACCTATGTTTATTGATAAACCAATAATTTATTAATGGCAGCCTCCCTAAGGCAAATTCCTTCAACACCCATGCAATTTACTGTATACTAAGCCAAGCTTGGGCAACATCAATGTTTACAAAAATGCGTTGCAATTTAAAATCTAATACTTCACAAGTTAAATGTATCAAAGTCAGATAACTTTTTCCAATATATATGATCTGAAAGGCATTTTTCTTCAATCCATTCTTGCAAAATCACTTTTAACATCCTGGAAATAAGTATTTCTCAAAATGTCTGTTCAATTGTTATTAATGTGGGTTGAGCCTTTATTGACCTTTTTTTGGTCCAAAAGGCCTCTCTGCAGCAGGGATGATACAGGGACAGCCATGGCAGCACCAGCCACTACGCTCTGACAAAACAAAAGATTTTAGGCCACGCCCTTTTTTGCACCAGAAAACGCCCTTTTGCTAACAAGGAATGTCATTTTTACCTGAAGGGAACGCCCATGGCTCACTTTTTGCTATGTAAAGGCAGTTTGAAAATCATAGGATTACATCACAAAAAGTATGTTGCCAAGATATTACCACTCCCCAACATTTTCTCATCGAACTTAGACAAAATAGAAAATTGATCCTACCAAGAACTGTCCCCCTGAGTGCCCCCCCCCCCAATGGCACCGCTACTGATGACATTGTATGTGGGATGACGAAGGTGGCTATAAGCATCAAAAAAGGATTGCTGCTTGCTCTTTTCTTTAGTTGGCTTTCTTTTTTGTACCTGGTCTGTGAATTTCAGTCAGCATCTAAACAATCATTTTAGATTGTTGGTTGTTGCTGTTTCTAATCAGTCAGGAACTGTCACTTGATTTACAATTTCCCTATTTCATCATATTGAATTCCGTTTTTTAGATTGCAAGAGATGTTGAGGCTCAAGTTGACTGAATGTGGCTGGAGAGATGAGCTTCAAGCTTACTGCAGAAGTAAGTTTTTGAATTTTAATCTTATACTTTTATTTAAAGTATCACACATGTTTTCCCTCCTTTGCATTTTTACATTACAGTCAATACAGTACATTTCATTTAATAAACATCAATCTTGAACGCTGTTTTTCATACTTAACTTTGTCCTCTTGCTGAATCTGAAAATCTTTGCTTGGTAATTGAGGCTGTAAGAACTGTAGTATTGGATGCTTTTGGAATAGTTCTTCTTAAAATCAATAACATGAAACTCTTTCTTCTCTATCTTTTGTTTTCTTTTCGATTTTGACTAACACTCGCCCTTCAATATTTGTATGGCGTACAAGATTGATCACTGTCCACAGCTAGACTTGGAATATGTGCTGGGATCTAGAAGACTGTTGGGTCTGCTCACGATGATCTGTTTATAGAGCTAGCCTTCAGCAGCATTTTCTAAATGTGACACACAGGCCTTGTTTTGGCTTTTTCCTGGACTGACACTAGCCTTTCTTAACCTTTTCTTTGTAGAAAGTATTTCTAAACACTTTAAACAGGTTTTCAACTGTAGCTTTGTGTTAACCTTGACTTTCTTTTCACGATCTCAGAATATCCTTAACCTCTTATTTATACAAACTTTCAAGTGAATTTCTACATGTTCTGGAATTTTTCTTATATAAATTCCCCCTTCAGTTGCCCAAATGAATGGCAAATGCGTTTTACATCTAGAACAAAATTGGTTAGCAATATTGCTGGATATAAACAATCACTATGTCCAGCAAATAGAGAATGCAGTCAAATTGTATCTTCCTCTTCCTCATACGATGTTTCTAGCAAGCAAACAAGTACTATTATGTAGTGTGCTGTCTGCTGTCAGGGCTGTCGCTAGCAGGGGGGGGGGGTAGGGATTGCGGTACCCCCCTAGAATATTCTTGTAGGCAAATTTTTGAAAAGTAGAGTTTTGTTGGGTTTTGATTTCAAAGTTCCCAAAGCAATAGCTTTAGCAAACAGTGGGGACGAGATAAGGATAAGACCAGAAAGTATCATCCAGAAACCCTCAGCAATTCAAATAGTTACAAATAGCGCTATGGGTGTCACTGAGGGGCAAATGACTTCCTGTCGGCAGCCAAAGTCTAGAACCTAGCAGATATCTGTCGCCATATCCAGGGCCACATAATTTTCTTTTCAAGTTTGGGGTTTAGGGAAGAGTGTAAAACTCTGAACGCTAAACCTAGAGTTACTGGAAGCCCCTGTGAGCAGGGCCGCCCAGAGGAGAGGCAAGGGGGCAAGGTGCTTCGGGGCCTTGAGGTCTAGGGGGCCTCATATAGTAATGATTTCCATTTTAAGAATGGAATTAATAAGACGTAGTAAAAATATGCCTTAGAATAGTAAAATGTTCTAAACTATTGCAAGAAATGACTGCAAGGAATGACTGAAATGCATTTTAAGATAATCTAAAGGGCGTGGTCGCAAAAAATTTACCTCCTCTTTTTGTCTTGCCCCAAGGCCATTAAAACATTTCGGCGGCCCTGCCTGTGAGATCTGCTCATACAAACTAAGGTTCTATCCAAACATACTGAACTATTAGAATAAATTAGGGTATCTCATTGCTGAAAACTTGACTTTTAGAGTAAAATCAAAGAAGGTACTCCCAGGTACTCAGGCAAAGACAATTACAGCGCGATAATCGAAGCGATGATTGACTGACGAGAGCATTCTCGCAAGCCACGCCCTATTTTGTCGGCAAATTGGTGACTGGCACCCCCCCTGAGTGAAAGTGTTTAGCGACGGCCCTGCCCGCTGTTATGCCTCACAATCTTGTAAAATTCTCTTAGGGTAAATGCAGGAAAATTTGGGGGTTTCACACGCCATGGACACGGCGGATGGTGTCTGCAGCCCAAACAATTTCCAAGTTTTGCTCTATTTCGATTGAAACGAAGTATGGAATGGAGGGAACAGATGCATTGCGTTTTCTATTTTTCAGGCCCTCCATTATGCAAATTTTGTTCCGTATGCAGTCTTAATTGAATGAAACGTCATACTCTTTGTGTTTATCATTGCGAGGCTCTAATCGCATGCATTTGGCATTTTCTGTATTTATTTAAAACTGAAGTCGACAACAATAACTAAGGTTGAAGTCGACAACAACAATATACATCACAACGCCATGATCGTAGATTCAGTAAAAGATGTTTTCTTTGGACAAACGTTCTTCTAACAAACGACCAGGTTAAACACGACTTTAATTTCAAAAAGCAACTTGGGTGTTCATTCCAGGATTTGAAGTATTGGAATATGGCTTACTTATAGCAAATAATTTTCTACTGTTACTGAAGTTAGTAAATAGCCAGTAACATGTAGAGATACTAACACAATGAATATAAATCAAGTTTGAAGTAATTTGTATCCACTCCCCCATCAAAGAACTAACTGTTAGTTTTTGTATCGGTTGTTTTGTAACTCTGTAAAAAGTCTAGTTTGAAATTTAAAAATTGCGCAACCACTCACTATACATAGTCTTAATTGATTAAATAATGTCTAGATGTCATGGTGCTAGTGTCTCATTTTATTTAAACCTTCACTGTGCTCGAACTGTTGCGTGGGTGCTTGGATATTTTGCGGCTTAGTCATGGTGCCAATGCTCCCGCACATTTGGATTTTTCTTATCAAATAAAGACAAAGTCAGTGGAACATCAGTAAATACATTGTGTAATCAAACAACACTGTGTTTCAAATAATCGTTATCTCCCTTTTCCACAATACATCTCATTGCAAACATTTGCTGCTTCTAATAACTTTTCTTTAATATCTTCTTCTAATTATAGCTGGTTTACCAAGCACACTAGATATTCATATAGTACTACAGAGATTATTGATTGTGTATATGTCTTAAATTCTGATCAGACGTTTCATTCAGTCAACTACGCTGGCCTCTTTAGAGAAAAGGGAATCTGAATTTCTATGAATATCCTGTTCGGATCTCATAATCCTTTGGAGCATCGTTTGTCTTTATCAGTCTGTATGAACGAATCATGCAACCTTAAAGAAGGTTGATATCCTTATAGGTACGCTATGTTTAGTTATCCTTCCAACCCTTGGGGCTTTGTTCGCTGGTATAGACTTGGAATAATCTGAGTTACAGTTTCTTTCTCATTAAGCTAAGCTCATGGACAAAATAGTCTTATCTTTACAGTTATACGCAAATTAACTTTAACGTACTGGTCCTCTCATTGATGCTATATTTCTAACAGTGAAAGGCGTTCCTAAGGAACTCTGTAGTGCAAAGCCTGTTAGGGCTCGAGGTGATATCTTGGTGGCCCTTGTGGAGCCATGATGCTTATAAAGACTGAGACTTTAATGTGGTCATTGAGAAAATTTATTTGATTTATCAAAACGTCGTTACATTTCAGACGCATTATATCTTAACAATGTTAGGGGAGCTATTGGCAATGTTTGGACAACTTTCTCTCCCACGAGGGGAAATCTTAATGAATCCATATGCGGCGGAGACTAAATTGTCGAAAAATTAGAAAAATGTTTGTTTTAAATTGGACATCACTCAAACAAGGTTAACTTAAATTGCGAGCCAAAACTTTATTTAGCAACCAGTGGTAAATCCGGTCCATTTTTGGTTTTTTGTAATTGTCAACCAGATTTATATATCAGATGCTGGTTTATAACAGGATTACCTCGTGTTAAAAGAAACAGTAAAGTGGGTGCCACTTATCAAAATCCTTTAAATGTATGGTCATTTTTCTTGTACACGTGTAAGACTGTCGATTAAGATTGGTTTAGTCTAAATCTTTGCATCTTTTAGAAATCTTTAATTATATAATTTCACTTATAAGTTCAAAAATAGATTGTTTGTAGAAAAGAGTTGTGTTGGGATTACAACGTCTCCATCTCAATGCTGATTTGATATTTGATTGCACTCTGCCACCCGTTATTTCTAGTCAGTAAGCCTGTTAGTAAAATTTTTCAGTCTCTGAACATATTATCTCATGATCTATGTATCAGGAGATGATAAAGTTATCGATTAACCACAACTTGATCTTTGTATTTCAGATTACAATAGGTAGAACCCAATACCCTTGATACAACCACAATTAGTCATACCCTTGATGCAACTGTCTTACTTCTTAAGAGCAACATGAACATGTGAAGTTGCATTGGCTTTGTATTTAGACGTATCTAGTTATCTATTAATATATGAGAAAATCATCTTCTGCTTCATTTCTATTAAGATGTGAGATAAATATCTAACGTGAGACAACAATTAGCAAATCAATTTGGAGAAAAATTTATTGGAAGGACATAAATAAACCATTTCTTGCGTTGACGTCAAAAGTCAGAGTGGCTGATCCATGTGAAGCTCCTTTGACTACTTTTTGTACCACCTTTGTGCCATTTTTTGCCGTCTTCGTTCCATCTTCGTACCATCTTTGTACCATCTTCGTACTATCGTCATTCCATTTTTGAGCCATCTTTTGGAATTTTTTGCATTTTATGTATTATCTTGGTCAGCAATATCAAATTGTGTAAGCAATTGTTTCTACGAATCAATCGTAAAACTCTAGCTAGTTTGCTGAAGGCTTTTCATGTCTCTTATTTTCAGTTCTTATAAATTGAATTAAATGTTCTCATCACAAGTGAAATCGTAAAGTGTTATCTTAAGGTGGTCCTCGACCCTAGATTTCATCATCAAAAAATTTTTTCCAACTTTTTTGCTTTTTTCAATTTTATAATGCCGTAGGTGTTGTTCTTTCTTTGTTAAATGCCCCTGTGCACATACGGACCGAAAACGGGTCATAAATCAAGGTTTTTCAAAGAGCAGTCACAAATATTCTTCTTAGCAACGAGAAAAGCTGGTTGCTAGGGTAACTTCTCAAATCTTTTTTACCCTTTTTTGGCCACAGGTAAGACGAAATCTACCTTGGAACACGATTACAATTTTTTTATTGAGTTGAATTTGTTTTAGTGTGCTTTACATGAAGTATATTCTGTAAATTTTCACCACGGTGCACCTCGAAATACTGTTTTACGTTTGTCAGAGTTAGAATGCCTGGACGAAAGCAAAGAAGCCTTTACCGTCAAAAGAGAAAACGTGGTTTTTACGGAGTGCAAAAACAATTTGTAGAACAAGAGGCTTCCAGAAACGATAGCGCTACAGTTGATGACGACGAAGATGTGGTACTATCACAAGAACCAGGCCCATCTCCCCCCTCCGCGATTCCAAAAAATTTCAAGAGTCCATCTGGGAAATTGATCAACAAATCATTAGAAAAATTGAAAAGGAATTGTCCTTTATTTGCCGAAGAACAGTCTGAGTACATAAATGAAAGAAGGAAATGTCTGGATTTGTACAGTAAAGACTCACTTGGCCTAGCTAGTGGAAGAGAACTTGCACATGGCTTCAAGGTGATGAACACTAGCAATCTGCTAACCAGTTTGAGTAAAGCAGCCGTCTGCCGTCTCTGTAAGGACCCAAAAGGAACCTTGCAGCTATGGCAAGACAATTCTAAAAGAAGAGGTCTTCATGAGGTTTTATTCTGGAAATGTAGCAATTGTGACAAAGAAACAGATTCTTTCAGCACCAGCCCTTTCGTAAACAATGATAAAATGGATGTTTCAGAAATAAACATACGTCTTACGCAGGGAGGTGTGGAAAGTGGAAATGGATTGGCAGGTTTGTCAAAAATATGTTGTGCATTAGATGTCCCTCCACCAGTTACAACAAATGCCTTCAGTGCAATCCTGAAAAAAATCACCACATCATACCAGAAGGAAGCCCAAGAGTCTCTTTGTAAAGCAGCAAAAAATTTAAAAGACCTTATGCAAATAAACACTGACATTAATGATGAAGTTGTTTCTTCATATGTCCCTGTTAGTGTGTCAGTAGATGGTACATGGCAAAAACGTTATGGCTATAGTTCTTTGCTTGGTGTTGTGTTTATTTTATCAGTTGAGACTGGTGAAGTATTGGATTATGAAGTACAGTCCAAAATTTGTTTTGAGTGTAAATTTAGAGAGAAGTGGGAAAAAGAGTCAGAAAAGTACAAGAATTGGTATTCTAATCATGAAGAGCATTGTGAAGTTAACCACAAAGGCTCCTCAGAGGCAATGGAAAAAGAGGCTGCTGTAAAAATGTTTCTAAGATCAATGGAGAAACATCAGCTTGTATATACAACTTATGTTGGTGATGGTGATTCATCATCATTTGCTGAAGTTGCAGATGCCTGTTTCAAAAAATTTGGAGATGGATACTTGGTTTTGAAAGAGGATTGTATAGGGCATATCCAAAAGTGAATGGGCTCTAATTTGCGCAATTTTAAAAACAAAAACAAAGGTAGAAAGTTAGCAGATGGTGGAACGATTGGAGGACGTGGTAGACTAACTGATGCAATAATAGACTCACTGCAAAATTATTATGGTTATGCCATTCGAAATCACACTAATAATATTGAGGGGATGAAAAAAGCAATTTGGGCAATATTTTATCATTGCATTCAAGGTGAAAATGAGCCGGATGAGGTTCAACATCAGTTTTGTCCTGAAGGAGAGAATTCATGGTGTAGGTTCCAGAGAGACAGAGCTTCCCATACAGCAACCTATGATCAGAGAAAGTGCTTGCCATCAGTTTTCAGGAAGGAGTTAAAACCTATATTTGAAAGGCTATCTGGTGATGAACTCCTGAGCAGATGTCAAAAAGGTCTCACACAGAATCAAAATGAAGCCCTCAACAATGTCCTTTGGTCAAAATGCCCCAAACGAGTCTTCTGTGGTAAGCAGCGCTTGGAATGTTGTGTTGCGTCATCTGTTTTGCAATGGAATGCAGGAGCAGGCAGTGCTGGGAATGTGCTGAAAAGACTAGGTGTTTTGTCTTTGGGATCAAACACCATCAAAGGTTACAAATCTGCAAATGAGAAAAGGGTAAAGAAAGGAAGGGTAAGAAAGCGGAGGCCAAATGCAAAACAGATTATCAGAGAAGACGGCAATTTTAAGGAAGATGAGAAAACAAAATACAAAAGCAGGAGCAGCTTACTGCTCTGAGGTTTTTCTATCCACTAAAGTGCCAGACAAAAGACCTATGCAAAGTTGATGACAAGGATAACATGGATGTAGTGTTTATTGATGAAAAGAGCCTTGAAATGGTTTATGTTGAGAAATCAGCAAAAAAGAAGAAAAAATTCAAATAACGTAAAAAGACAATTCATATAACCTTATGTACAGCGTACCTTTTGGAAATACTTTATTTCCTAATTATATAAGGGAATAATCTAAAACCAATTGGTCACGGACCATTAAGTACCCAAATTTAACCTCTTTTGGTTTTAATTTATTTGCGAGTATACAATTGAATGTCGAGTTTGGTTGAAATAAATCGCAACCTCAGGAACTGTTTAATAGCTCCGTTTTCTCAAATGCGCATTTTAATACTTTAAGAAAGGATAAAAAAAGAAGCATGCAATATTATTCAATCAAATTTGGTAGGAGGAATTGTACTTATGGTGTCTTTGATATGAGTTGACAAAATTTTAATCTGTCTACTCTGTTGATAGTTATCCAAGAAAAATGGTTTTTCCAGTTTCCATAGCAACGGTTGCTATGACAATAATTTTCTCAACTCATTTCAATGCTTTCTTTATGTTTAGTAATTTGAAATAGATATTATCTTAATGTAAGCTTACACTTCTCTAAAATCGTTTCTCAAGCATTTTTTATGGTCCAGGTTTCCTGGTCTGTAAAATACACCATAACCACGTGATCATCTTATTGTTATGAAAAAATCTGCAGTAATTGCTATTGTTGTTTGTGTGAAAATTTGGTGTGATTTGAACAATAGACTTAAAAAATATTCAATGATTTTCAAAAACATAGCTAAAATCATCTTCAGGGTCGAGGACCACCTTAAATTCTGCTGTTTAAATGCCATTTTGCGACAAAAATTATTTTCTTTTTTAGGTTTTTTAAACTACTTAACAAGACTTTTGTGTTTGGAAAATCAGCAGCTAAAATTTCTTACATTTAACTTATCTTATGCAGCTGTTCTTTACAATTTTCGTTTCGATGTAAGTATATTGTGAGACACGTGATGTAAGTGTATTGGGTGTTTTGTGATTGGACCAATATCTTACAGGTATTGTGAAGGAGAAGGGGATTGATAACGTCACAGTTGATATGCTTATTGATGAAGTGACACCGAAAGCAAGATGTAAGTTTTTCACTTCATATAGCGTTTTTTCTTAAAGATGCCGTATGCGTAAGATCGTAGCATCTAAATTGAAGAAATACGACTGATTGCTATTTTACTCCTTTGATCATTTGTGGTTTAAAAAATGCATCTAAAATGCTTTAATAGTTGAAATTGGCATGCCAAAACTTAGTTTGGAGTCAGTTTTCTAATGAGTTCTGAGGGAAACACTGATTGATTTTCAATTTTTCAAGTTACTAGTAACAGACTTTATGCATAGATGAGGAAATAATGTAAAGAATCTTTACAAAAGTTTACTTAGGCATTTTAACGAATTTTTTAAAATTTTCACAGAGCCAAATATCGAGTCTATGTATCTTCTCTTATTTGGAACTTTGGATCGTTTAAGATGCTTAACACTTTTGGTTGAGGAAGCAAAGTTCATTATATAGTTAAAAATGAGTACTTGGTTTTCTATTTCCTGTTGCTTTATCGGCATTTGAAATACAAAATTTAACAAATAATATTAGATAATTAGACAGAAATTTTTTGGTCATGAAGACATCAAAATTTCAGATTAAGAAAACTAGCATGAAATTGTTTTTTGGATATTTTTATTGATATATCTATTAATTGTCAATGTCACCAAAAGTTACTCCTTGACAAGACAATTTTCTAAAAGAAATTTTTAACTTCCTTCTAGCCATGGTTCCTGATGAAGTAAAAAGAGAACTTTTTCAAAGGATAAAAACTTTTATCACAGAGAAAGCAGAGATCCCATCATGAGCTACAAAAACTGTCAAAAAAATTTTACTTATCGGTATTTACCACTAAAAAGCAGGGGAACAACAAGACTCATGTACATTAACTGAGACATGTCATCTACGAAAAGAATCTCTGAAATGTTGATTGATCTTGGTTGTCTGATTCGAAATGTTTTTAGAGAATGGAAGAAACAGTGTAAAACTGCGTCCCAAAGATAAAGACATGTCGTTTTGAAGTAACAGAAGAAGTTCCATTGAAATGTATTGAACGTCCTTTTATGTTCGATAACAACATATAAGCTGATGCCGTCAATTTTTTCTTGAATATTCACATCGTTTCATAACTACCCTTTTAAGTGTTTCTTTGCCACGATAGAAGAGTTGAAAGGATACCTGGATTTACACAAAGCATTTAGATGCTCGGAAATCAATCTGGAATGTAACAATTGACTTTTTGATTCGTAACTTACATCCATTCTACTAAACACATCCCTTTAAACTGATTAAAGTAAAAATTTGTTTCTCATCAATGTTTAATTATCGCTCCATGCAAGGTAGAAAATCATATGTAATAAAGTGTTAAATGCAGGGTAAATGCAGGAAAATTTGGGAGTCTCACACGCCATGGACCCGGCGGATGGTTTCTGCAACCCAATCAATTTCCAAATTTGGCTCTATTTCGATTAAAACGATGTACGGAATGGAAGGGAACCGATGCGTTGCGCTTTCTGTTTCTCAGGCCCTGTGAATCTGTGTTAAAACCAAACCATACTATATGTAAGCCGGCACTGTCAGTTTCTAAATTACTAACTGTTATACTTTACCCAAATGACAAGTACCGTAAATCCTCGAATAAGTCCCCGGAGGCTTGTTTGCAAAAATGAATTTTTGGGTGGGGGCTTATTCCAGTAGGGGGCCTATTTCAAAGTTAAGTATTTTCCTCAAATTTCCAAATGAAATAAATTGAAAAATTACAAAAAGGCTTTTTTGTAAAGGAAGCTTAACAGTCAATAACGATTTATGATATCATTTAAAGAGTTACAAAGTGCTGTGTGAAGATCTAACAAATATTATAATTTTTTTATTATCACAAAAGTCCCTTTTTTGCTTTTTGGTCTCCAGTCAAAGGAAGTAATACTGTAAAGCTATTGTTCTGTGGGGGCTTTCTTGATATAAGATATTATTCTGCAATTATGCTTCCCTCGAATAAGCCCCCATGACAGCTTATTCGAGGGGGGGGGGCTCATTTGCAAGAATGATTTTTTAGGTGGGGGCTTATTCGTGGTGGGGCTGGTTTGCAAAAATGATTTTTTAGGTGGGGGCTTATTCGTGGTGGGGCTGGTTTGCAAAAATGATTTTTTAGGTGGGGGCTTATTCGAGGGGTGGGTGGCTTATTCGAGGGAAGCATATTATTATTATTTTGCTAATTATAGTGCTAATTATTTTCAAGCTTTTCCTTTTCCACTTCTGTTTTCATCAAACACAATCTTATGTAGAAAGAAACATGTTCAATTCAAAGCTAGACGTACACCCTCTTGAGTTGCAATTATAAAATTTTAAAGTTTTTCCAAAGCCTTATTTTAAGAGACTTAACATATACTTGCAGGTATTTCCGTTGCATTCTTTATATCTATTTCTTCTGACTGTGAGTTTTGTAAAAGCATTGCCTAACGTGTGGATTTTTTAGTCTATTTACAAGTGTTGATTCTTGGAATTATGATTACCTTTCGACTGTCTTTGTCGACCGTCCGATTTAGTATACTCAAGTTGTCTGGTTTGTTTATCCACATAATTTCCTATATGCAATTCGATATCACAGTGCTGATTATTATTTTTATTATGATTTTATCCTTATCACAAATCTGAGATACCACAACACCACAGACAAGATTTTATCAGATCCCCAAAATGACACTTGATTACTAAGTGAAGAAATGATCAATTCGCTTGCCTCGTAAATTCACATTTTATTAAGGAAATTGCCTCGGCTAAACATTTTACTGAAACATCTTCAAGCTGAAGGCCTTCAGATTAACTATAATCTTGTCGTCTATAGTAGCGACGTCAATGGGAGATTTCTCACCACAACCGATACGAAAAATAGGATTCCGGTTGTTTCACGTCATTTAAATTCATTGCCTTGATAAAAAGAAATAGATTCAGATAAATGACGCCTTATCAATGCTCCTATATCATAAGGAAATCGCAAGGAATAGATACCCATATCTTGCATGAGTTGATGAAAACTCTTACCAGCCAAATACTATGTGACTTGGTTATGTACCAAAAGAGCTTCTACTACCCACCTTTTAAATTTGAACCATCCGTATGTGTCCCTGCTCGGTACCAAGGTTGTTCCATGTGCAGTCCTTTCACGCCATACTCTTCAGTATCACAATATCTATCACAATATCCAAGAGAGACCAACAAGAAACCATCTTCCATACTGATCCTGAACTGAAAAAAGTTTAATTGTATACGAGGTATCATAGACAAATATGTAGATGGACAGTGCATGCATAAAGGATTCGAAGTTATTGCGCCCATCATTATATTAAAATTTCACTTTAGAATCACAGGCAATTTTCTTACGAAGTTTCGTTGTTTCGCCATTCCGACTTTCTAAGACATATTTACGATAAAATTAGCATTCAGCTATTGATAATTTGCAGCAAAAGAAATGTTCAACTTTAGGTGTCAAAAAATGTAATATCTTTTAGAAAAGGAATCAGTTATCAAGTTTTATAAAATTGAGCTGACATGAGAGGTTTAAGGCATTTCTGGGCATTTAACAGGCTATTCCACTAGAGCTCTCCACAATCTGAAAAATTCCTCGTTTGATTTTCCTACAAACAAAGACATTAATAAATTACATGTTTTCGACTTTGATATAAGTTGCATTTTTATGGTTATTAGTTTGTAACTGAAGGTAAAAGTTCGCTCAAACGATAATATGATTCACATAAATTTTCAGATAATGCGATGAGATCATTGACAGTCTTGATGGGAGGCCTTTCGTTTGATTAAAGATAAGCCTACAAATCTACGATTCCGCTTTTTGAAACAAGGTATTAAGTCGAAATAATATACACAGCAGGTTTTCATGAATTTGCTAATTCTACCTCGACTGCTAAATCGCTGTAATCAGTCAAAATTATTACAGATTTATAAGCTGATAATCTAATTTATAATTTATCCTTCCAGTATTAGATCCTACATAATGAGGATCATATTGTATGGTTTTGTTTGGCAAATGCTTCAAAAGCTTGCAGCAACGGCTTCATGATTCTTTGTCCCAAATCAGATTTCCGAATCCGCTTTTTTAACTCATTATAAGAGTGCAATACCTTTCCCACAGATTTGAGTACTTTTTAGAATTTTCCCACCAAAACTGATATTAGAAATAGACTTTTTTGGCACGCTGGCTAGTTTATTTATTTGTCAGCCCATGTACATACCCCTGAGAAGGATTGGAAGCCCCGCAAGCTTTCGGCCGTTTGTATTTTCTGCAAGAGGATAAAGCGCAAATGACTAGACCTATATACTTCGACACAACTGTAAAAAATATCCAGACAACTCTTTTTCAATTCAACTAAATTCACACAAAATAAAAAGCTACAATTGTACGAGAACCATATGTCCATTAAACCATAGGGCACACAAATGCCAATAATGATGGGAGCACACCTGCCACCAAATATTTCCAGAAACTAAAAAGTCTGACGCGAAATAGCGATGGCCACTGTGCAACCCCACTTATTCAATTCATTGGACTCTACACCTAATTAAAGTCCAGCCAAGGCCGAATTAAAGTTTCTTTTTATGCGATAAATGTACATCTGAAGTTTTGGTTCAGTAGGAGTTACATGAGACAGCTGGAGTAGTTCCACTCTTCACATATTCAAAAGCCTGTGATGTATCCAAGGTATCGGTATCTAATGTGATATGCTACGCAAAACAGGTTACCTTTGAAGGGCATTCAATCTTGCAAATAGCGTATGAGATGTCCACGAAAACAAATTGACTCCCAGGGATTTTAATATATAACAAGAGGATTTCAAAAAAGGTGTAAACGAATTCTGTGGAGTGCTTTGCCCATCATGTACGTTCGTGTGCCATTCCGAGTACAAGGATCCAGGAGCAACTACTAGCTTGCTGCAAATCATTTTCAGTGAATGTTTACTTCTGCATGCCAGAACTTAATGACCTGGCTCAGTCATTTATTGTCTGTCTTAATCATTATATCGATACAGTTTAGTGCTTAGTCATATTCTAGGTTTTGTTAAGACCGCCAATTATTTAAGAAAGAAACACTGCCAAGTTCCCAGAGAAAGTGTCGAAAGCGTGAATTCCCTTACAATTGATGATTCAATTTTAGGCTGACATTATCATTTTCAAATTATTTAAGCTCTTGTTAGGGCCATTCCATTAAGGTAAACGCAATGGTCTTTATCGTCTGCCAGTTTTCTTTTTTAGTCAAAAACAACACCTCCAGCTATGATCATTGTGGTATTCAACAAAAGTATGTCAAATTCTAGGACATATTGTTGTCATCTATGAGAGACGAAATTTTGCTGTTTGATCCGTATTCATAACGTCAACGGAATTCTCACAACACTATCAGTGAATTTATCGGAACATTAACAGAAACGACACGCTTGTATCACATTTCCAAGTCTGCCGGCCTTACATTCCTTTCACCCTCTTTTTCTTATTCCCAAGACTTTAAACGTGGCCGCATGTCTCAAGCATGTGAAAAGCAGACTAGATGTCTCGCTTGGAACTTTCCTTTCATTAATTTACATCCATTTTGGATACGCTTTATCCAGGTGGCCCGTCAAGCTGAAATCCTTTGAACTTGTAAACATTGCAAGGAGCAGGCAGTTCAAAGACAGATGACCTCTGTCTTTTGTTACAATTTGGCCACATTTCGTTTATAAATTGACGTTAACAGTGTTGTCAGTCAAAAACGTAGGTCTTTTTTGATAAATGAGACAGAACAGAGGAAAGATGTCGCCTAAAAACATCTATCTTGACCAGGAACATGGTGCCCAGGACACAGGGATAAAAGCCATATTTCATTGTCTTAAACATCTCTTGTACTCTTTTGTCGGAGATTTGGTATATTTGTCCCTGTTACAGCCCCCTTCCTGCCATTGAGAGTTACTGAGACAGGAGTGAATGTTATAAGAACATTGAAAGAATACAGCTAAGTTTTCCAGACCTACACGAAAAAACTAGGTAGGCGGTAAGATTAAATCAATTTGTAATTACTGAAAACTTATTATCAAGATTGAAAATTATTTCCTTCAAAACATGTCGAAACTTAAAACAGGCAACATACTTTGCTTGAACCTTCAAGACAACTTTATCTTATAACGTTTGTTGTTGGGGGTATTAGTGAGTGCTATACATTCAGGTGGACTTGATGAGATTCAGGTGGATCTTGCCCGAATATCATTGTTTTATTGAGATAAAACTGCCAGGATGAGCCTGAAATGCGATAAATTTTGCCTGATTAGGGGGGTTGCAGCTTTCCCAGCCCCCATTTTGCTTACACATTTTTTATAAAGAACCTAGCTCAAGGTCTAGTTCCTGAAAATCCTCTTTTTTGGACTTCTATTGATCAAATTGTAGTACGAAAGGCTACTTAACTTTATTTCAACTGCATATTTTTGCCGGAGAAACAGAGCAGACGCAAGAAAATCTTAGATTTTCTGAATTTTGTATTAAATTGTGGCTAGAAAACAAGGCCAACAACACTAAAGCGAAGTTTGATATATATCAATGACAATCAAGAAGAAGCATTCAATGCATCCGTAACACACAGTCAATGTGAGTTTTAACTGCAAATGAATGGAACTTTCACATCACAATACAGAAAATCATGTCTATAGAGTCACTGTCAACTGTAGAGAATCTTCTGCCTTTTGGGGAACACCCTGGTTAAAGTGAAGGTGGTTAAAGTGAAGAATATAAAGAGTGTTTTTTCCAAATAAATTAAGATACAGAAATAAAAGATTAATTTATTCCTAAGCAGGGCCTCCGACGAAGGGTGGTAGGGCCATGTCCCCACTTTTTTGCAAAACAATTTTTTCAAAATCTTTTGTTATGGGTGTTAAATTACCCTTGCCCACCCTCACCCCGCTTTCCAACTTGTTTCGCAGCCCATGCTAAGACAATATGTCATTCTAGTCTGAATTGTTTTACAAGTTGTGTTATTATTTTTGTTTACTTCTCAGATCATTCCTTCATTAGAGATGATTTTATATTAACAGAAGCGTTCCCAGACTGAAAAGGTTGCTTTTTTCTTATAAATCTGCCGTTTGTAGCGTAAATCTTCTGTTTAAGAACTTTTGTACTACTTCATTTGTATTATTTAAAACAATTTTTTATCAACTTCCATTGTCTGGTCAATTGCGCAGGACCAGTTTGGCTTTCTAAACAAAGTGACAGCACCGTATATTTGTTTTGCTTTGAATGGTCCTAAATGTACAATCTTTGATTTGAAAGCCCAAAAGAAAGTACAAATTAGGACAATTTTGCATATATTTAGGTTGGATTTAGCAAAGGATTCGTCGGGTATCCTCAAAGACATCTTAGCTTCCAAACTTAGAAACTTATGAATTGTTTTACCAATGCCGTTATCTTTTCCTTATTTTTTTTAAAATTTCCATTTCATTGTGATTTATCACGATTCATTTGCTAATTAACCTGGAGGCGATAAAATCCTTGGCAAAATAAGCTAAGACCTATTTTAATCTGGTCACTATTCGAGTTGATCTTTTTTCTGCTCGTAAGTCAAGTATTTTTCTTTCCGAAGATGCTGAAATGGGGATCGCCGACTTAAATGCAGATGAAAATTGGAAGGTAAAGTCTGCAATTGAAAGCAGCTTCCATTGTGCTATTATTTTAACTTGTTTTTTAAAAACCCAGCTGCAGAGATCATTTTGGGTTGTAAATGAACACCATCGGCTCGTTTATGCAAGTCTAATTCGAGCTAATACGTACACTCTAAGACTTGCAAATTGCTGAGTTAACTTTTCATTAAATCCAAGATATCAAAATCGGAAAAATGTTCTTAATACATCACTGCTTCTAGCAAGAAAAAAATTGAGGTGCATACCCTTTGGAAGGCCAGAAAACGCCCTTTTTCAAAGGAATTTTTCCCATGGGGGGCGTCCACCCCCTCTTGTCTCCCCCTCGCTACGCTACTGTGCCTATTTCGTATAGCTTTAATTATTCAAGCTTTACCAAGGTTGCTGTTCATCAAAGATTCTATGATAATGTTTGCTTATAAATCAATCTTACGTTTATAAACGGAATTGGTTATTCACAAGTCTCGAGATAGGAGGCCAACACGAATCTCTTTCACGTCTTTACAGCGCCAGAAAACTCGCTGCGAAACCAACCACCGCACTTAATGGCCGAAGGAAAGCCAGGGTTGGAGATTTTAAAAACGATTAGGGCATAACGTAGGTGAAAATGGTGCACCAGCTGTAGCGGCTCTTTGATAGGGATGTTCTGAAAACGTGATAAGGAAATCCTTGTCTTCATTCAACTGCGGATCCTGGAATTTTTGCTCTTCAGGTTGACGTGGCCATGTGTCGCCAAGGTCATTTTGGCAGGGTGACCTTGTCGATTTTCAGAGTGAACTATCACAAGAAATTGGCTATATTTGAATTGCCCAGCTGTACTTTACCACAATGAAATTCACGCTACAGCTACTGAGTAGGGGTTCCCCAAGAGGTACCAACCAAATAAAAGAAGTTAAAGAACCGTTTGTATATTGTCACAGTTTCATCACAGGCTGGCGGACGTGGGAATAACAATTATCTTGTTGAATTAGACATAGCGCCGCATATCACGAACAAAGAACCGTTCACTAATCTTCCTCTGGCCAGTCCAGTCACAATTCGTAAAATACTACCGTACCTACTACCTTTATGGGTACCCTGTGGAATTAGAAAATTGGGAATTATTTCAGTATTACGGGGATAATCTGATCTCTTTCTTGATTAGGAGCTAAATCAAATAATCCGCTGGGCTTGCTCTATGTTCTTTATTCTCTTCGCTATCGATTTTTCGCTCAATTTCCGCAATTAGACGTACAAACAAGCCACATTCCAACGCGTCAGATTTGCTTCAAAAGGATAAAACTCGTGCACTTGGGTAGCTGTGCTCGGTCTTCATGAATGAGTTTAAAACAAGTGGAGTATGTAGCACACCGGACAATTTGGCATTTGAAAAGAATTGATAAAATGTGCGAAAGCCTTTGTTCCTTTTTAATTATATGGGATTATAAATGGCTTTTAAGAGTCTTTTGGTGGATATCTTGAGAGGTGAATTGAGCTAGGGTCATTGAAGTATCGCTTTACCTGAAAGAGACATCATTGAGGAGATGGCAATGATGACCATCAAACAGTCATTACGCTACTGGAAAATTGCTGAATTTCTGTTAATTGTCGTTTCCGTGGCCCATGCCGGTTTTCCGTGGCTTGTCAGTGAAGACGAGAAAAATTCCTGGTTTTCTGGCCCATCAACAAGTAAGTGAATTCAAACCAAGATGCATTGTTTTTCTGTGGTTTTTTGACCCTAACTGTTTCTGTTCGTTTGGTTCTCAAACCTAAGTAGATTCGTATGTTCACGGACTTGAGGTAGGTGTTATGCATTGTCCAAGGATTTTATGTTACTTTAACGGGTGAATTTTAACAGCACATAAAAGAAATGTCATGGAAAGAATAAGACTATACTAAATTTCTCAAAACTCATTAGTAGAACCTGGTATAAACATTAAAGACTATTACGCATCGTAAGCTGTTTGCCAGTCTCTGTTTGACTAACCTCCGTACTCGCTCTCTGATCATTTCGAAAACTTCAGTCGAGCTAGAGTCGTTGCTCGGGATCAAAGGCACGATAGTTTAAAGTAATGATTTATGTTTTAAGGCATAAGTGTCACGAAGCATTCTGAGAATTACGCAGTTTTTAACTATAAACAAGAGAGATTTAGAGAAAAAGCGCTGCCTGAAATTAATAAAAAGAGAGAAAGTAATTCATCAAAGTGCTTTTACTGTTGGCTACAGCATAAAAAGCTACGAGGGGTAACAATTCTTTTCAATGGCGTAAAGGAGAAATAACAATTTATGTTAATAATTCATAAAGGCAGGCGTGGATGGCTTTTGCTTAAACCAGAGCCTCCAGCTTATTTCCTAACTTTTTAATCTCCCTACCGTCCATCCGTGAAAAAGGATTAGACAAGCTTCGTCCAAGAAACACTAAACCGACAGCTCGATGATTATCTTTAGAGCAAACAGTAATGGTTGCTCACGGGAAGCGTAAAATAGTATGAAATATAAGAGAAAACTGCTGTTAACTATGACAACTATGGGAATGGCATCAGTTGTATTTTGTGTTGGCTACTCAAGTAAAAATATGATTAAATGATGCTGAGATGCTTAAAGATAAGTGAATTATATCTGCAAAATCAACGGTCTTCACCACTGATTACTTTCGATGTATGTACTTTTATTTGGATTAAAGCTTGTGTATGTACTCTTTTGTGCCAGAGATTTCTCTTTTCTGCACTGCGGCTTTCATTCATTTAAAAGCCTTACCTTCTTTCGTCGGTCAATTATTTTTCACTTAATTCCAGCCCTTGACTTTATTGCAATGAAATCCAACCTAGAACCAATGTGCCTAATAAGTTTCAAAGGTAATTGCTTTGGATTTTTCCAAACTTAATTCATCTTTTTTCAAAACACAACTGTAGATAGCAAAAAGTGGAACGGCAGTACGCCCCCTAGCTTCTAAAGGAGCAGATCCTGTTTTCAAGGTGAAGCTTTTTGAAGTAGCAAAGGGTTCTCTTTTAAGGACCCTCTTTTAAATACCAAAGTGTTAATTTATTAAAGTGATAAAACCAAGTATAGCATAGGTTAGCAACCCCACCATTTCAGTACATTCAGCACATGTGCAAGGTTGTAAATAACGAATCAAAGCATTATGCAGCACAAAATATTGACCTGATAAGTAGCCTTGAACAGAAACAGTGAGAAATCTTGGAAAAGCACTCCTGGAAACTCTCTCTAGGATGTCTTAGGAAAATAACTGACATAAACAGGCAACTGAAAAGTTGCTCATTAAAACGTTAGTGGAGAGGATCTATATAGCCCTATCCTTTTTCCCTTTCTTCTCTTCCACGCTCAATCAATTTCGGGAATCTGGCATTAAATAATTACTGGTGTTCTTCATTATCTCACACCCCTTCTCCATTTCAAGTTCAGAATATGTAACTATCAGGCAATATACGAAAGATATGTTAACTACTGCCGCTTAAAACTTTTATTGAAGAACATAGGTCAACAAGAAAGCTAGATGCATCGTTTCTGCAACCCTGCCTGTCAAAACTATACTGCTGGTATCGTACAAAAGGAGTTTTGTTGTTTGTCAGGACCGCGGCATACTTGTTTCTTGGATTTAGGTAAATCTACGCTCTTATTTCACGTAAAATGATTGAAATGTGAGACAGTTTCTTTGCATTGGATTCTTCCAAAGATGCGACTTTACAATTGTCAATTGAAGCATTGTTACCAAATTAAGAGCATACCATGTTGAACAAGGCAATAGATGTCAAGTATCATAGCGGCGCTGAACCAGACCTAGCAATTAACGGGCAAAAGAGATATTTTCAAAAGAGATATTTAAACATTTAACTGTCCAATATGCTCAACTTGTGGTTTTCACGTCATGTTGGCAAAGAAAAATGATTTTTATCCACAAAGGACTTGGTCAGCGAATGCTAGTACAGCTAGCTCCTAAGGCTTTATACACAATAAAAAGTATCACTAAATACATGCTTTTGGGTGTGTTTTTGCGAGTATCAACCCAATCTGGATATTCCTACCCCCTCAGTCAGATAAAGATTTAAAGGTAACGCATTTTTTAAAGAAAATTCCATTTTGAAACCCAATTTCTTTTAAAGCTCGCTTCTCTAATTGAATTGACAATTCAAACTGTTCACAAATCGTTTTAGAAAACCTGCTAGCCAGCTAGAATAACCCTAAATCATTTTGTCACCAAGTTGCGGAATTAACCAACAAAGGAGCCTGGTTTACGCTGAAAAGTATAGGGGATCTCTATTAACAATTCTATGAGAGAAGCATTTTGCGGATGATTACGTTGTGTCTACAAGTCTCGATATATATAGCTGAAAGTTATGAAGGGTTGGGAAAAATATACATAATAATTGAACTGGTCTAAGACTTTTTATTAAGGCTAAAATAAGACTCTCTTGAGCAGCCACCTTGATGAATGGAACATACGTAATATGCTGTTTCAGGGATTTTCCACAAAAGCCAGGTAAAGGGTTTAGAATCTACTACAAAATATATGAGCTTTTCCCTGGAAACAGTCGTTCTGTTTGGAGTGTGTTGCAATTCCGCATCTTTCAAAAGAATTCTACGGAACGGTAGACAGCTGTCCCCATTTGCAGATCTCGTACGCAAGGTGTACTTAACAAGTAGGGTACTCGGGAAGCAAGTTAAGATCTACACTACAGGACGATTGTATTTCTTAGATACCTCTTGTTTCAAACGGATGTTAACAACACATAGATATCCCAACATAATATTTAAGAATGACAAAAGCTATAACTCAGCAGTAACCAAATTGACCGATAATTATCTGAGCCTCTAATATTTCAGAAAACTTGGCAGAGGTTACAAAACAAGGTAATTTTATCTGTCTCCTTCGATCTGAGGTGTCTCGCTATTCTGCTTCTGTCTGCTTCAACGATTTCCTGCATTGAAAACCTCTACTGTAATCATTTAGCATCTAATAAACTCCTTTTACAATTAATGCTATCCCTAATTAACAATGCCCTGAATTCGTTAGAAATTTAATATAAACCGAGAGAACTTTTATTAGAAACTTTACCTCATGTGTGTTTTTCAGCAGTAAACTTTCAAGTTTGTCAGTTCTCTACCACTGCTGCCGTCCTGAAGGAAGCATCCATTTTTTTCACTCAGAATTATTCTAGTGTATCTAGGATAACGAAATACCAAATATTATTGACGCTATGTGAGACTGTGTGGAAATATCATCATTTGCATTGCAGTATCAAATTCACACAATAATTTGCATTGTATCAGTATTGTACATAACAAATCAAAGTATGACCATGATTAGCATTTGAAAAGATTCCCAATTTAATAATGTGAGAGAAAACTTTTTTTTGAGATTTTGAAACCAGGCTGGTGTAAAAAATCTGGATCCAAAATAAAAAATACTTTAAGATAAATCTTATCATTACACAACCTGATCAGTAAACATCGATTATCTTTGCATCAATGTTGAAACCTCAAAAACGGTCAATATATTCAGAAACACATTTTGATTTGAAATAAGACTATATTTACAACGTTTTTTATGCAGTCTATTGACCCTCATGTAGTTCACAAAGGTATTAAGCAGGAATTTAAAAAAGCGATGAACGCATTTGATGTTATTTTAGGTAAACAATCTTGAAAAATGTCGAGCCCCTGTTTACCAGCATGGACTGAAATGAAGGTATTCTGTAGAAATTCTGATGCTAGTATTGATTCTGATATTGATACTGATAAAGGATTCAATATCACAAGTCTGGTGATACTCAAAAGAACAACACAGTTCTGAGGCTACGTCCTTATTCCTGAAAAGACGTCATCTCGAGAGTTCACGACGAAAGCAACAAGGTCATCTTTCGTCTAAGTCGTTTACCACCTAATTATTTCTTGTAAAGAGATTTGATTGTGGTTCAAAAAGTAGCTAAGTTTTACCCTCCGGTAATTCAAATCATAGAAATCAGCCCACCCTCCGTTTGAAGATAAAAAAATACCAAGAAACCATTTTCAAAATGCTAAAGAGTTAATAAGAAAGAAATGGATTTTGCATCTGGTTTTGATGAAATCTTTTCAGGAAGAGCAATAGACACTTTGGATCTGCTTTAAGCTGGAACAGAATTCGAAATTTGTTTGTAAACTGAATTGAAGTAATCCTGTAATATATTTCGGGGTTCAAGCTTAGCTCAAAGGTTAGATTGCATTCAAAATAACGTTAATCATTTCCCTTTACCTGATGACTGTTTAGAATCTACAGACGCCTCCATCCAAGCATAATAGAGTTCTAAAGCGATGACGTCACAAAAATCTATTTTTAGAATGTTTTAATTTGAATCCCATAACCTAAAAGAGCATCATGAAATACCTCTAAATGTGCAAAATCAGTCAAGTGAATTACGAAATGGCAGAGATATGGCCACATGTTTATTGGTTCTCTCCCTATCAAACCTCTGTATTTTGGTCTCTGTTCATAACTTTATGAACAGAGCCAAAATAACAGTGATTCGTTATCAAACTTCAAATCTTTCATTAGCCATATCCCAACCGATTTTAGACATATTTGGCCAATTTTGCGTATTTGAAAGTATTTCATGGCGATCTTTTACGCTATGTGGTTAAAATTCAAAAATTCAAAAATAGGTTTTTGATGACGTCACGCTTTAGAACTCTATTAAAAAAACTTTACTTTCTACATTTCTATACTTTTCACTAAAGGTATTAACAATACTTTTCTACAAACAAATTTTACATCTCTAGCCACTTGTGACTAACCACTTTTACCAAAAGCATGCCATTTTATTTAGAGATAAACAGTAAATATGATTGGAAATAAAACCGCTTCAATGCTATACCACAAAAAGTGGTGCATCGATAAATACTGGGTGAGTAATTATGCAAGAAGGCAATAGTTAAATGACGTATGTTATATGCACTATCATCTAGGTGGCTTATTAAATCTGTATCACGTTGAAATATTGCATGCAAAGCCAAGTTCTCCCAACATATAAGGCCATCTAACAGTTCATAGACTCGAACCAATGCTTAACGATACGAGAGACACCCTGCTGCATGGGCAGTATAGAAAAAATCTGGTTCGATTACAACTAAAAATGTCAGTATTAAGAAAAAAATTAGAAACTATTTTAGGATTTTAAGGAACTCCCTAACCTCATATAAAGCTATCCTTTTTAAAAATATTGGTGCTTAAATTTGGAATCTTTCGGATTGAAAAGTTCCCCTTGCTGGATTCCAGTTTTCAGTTTCATTGCAATTGGTATTAGCTGCAAAAAATGGAAATTATGGAGGTTTAGAGGCAACTACCCATTTTCCTATGCTGATATGACTCGACCAATTCACCTCCAAAATCAGATATTACGGATGAGCTTCTCTAGATTTGGTTGGAAAAACGTTTTCCTCTCCCGTGCTAGTCCCACCCCCCCCCCCCTGGTAATATTTGGTTTGAGGCAAGAATCCTATGAGCTATTTTAGCAATGTGAAATAATGGGAAATATTTTTGCTCGTACTACAATAAACATTTGCTTTCTGAAACTCCAAAATTTTCTTAAGCCTTTACATAGTTACTCATATTGTGGTATATTTGAAGCGGGCACATTTGAAGAGTACGAGTCTGAAAAAGAGATAAGGAGCAGTTCATAAAAAACTCTAATCTGACGTGTCCTCCTCGAAGATTGATGTATCATAATTAATAGGTTTGTTTAAGGTTACGGATAGTCTTTTTTTCTAAACATAAAGTGTACAATGGCCTAAAATAATTTGCACCTAAAGCTGTAGATATATAAAGAAGAATGTATATATATATAAACAAGGCTTGCCACCCAGTAAATCCCCCTTCGAAAGGCTATGAATGGGAAAATGTGGATAACTATCTGTTATTCTCTGTCTACTAACCAATCTACTGGCGAAGCTCTGTGTATTGAAAGTGACTGAACTTCTCCACTTATTTCTTTTAAGAACTTACATTGTCCTCGCCTCGCATTTCTTTATGTTAACTGGTACAGCTGAGACCTTGAGCAGTTAAGATATTTTAACAGTTGGCAGTTTTGCAGGAATTTCTAGTAAAAGGCTCCTTATAAATTGCAGCAAGATAATTTCGAACAACAAGACTTGACTTTGTGCTGAACATAACCTAACCACAGGTAGACCCGATGTGTAGCAGTTTGTGATCGTCAAAGAATAACCCGATGCCATTCAATATTTCCCGTTATTCCAAAGGCAGACTCCTTTTTATTTAATACCATTTGCCGCAATGCCTTCATTCATTAGATTTGCCTATAGATAATTTGTTTTATTTCATATCTAGCAACATTGCCAACGGATTTGGACTGTTTTAGTAATGCCGTTAGAGGACCGGATGCTCTGGTAGGAAATTCTAATATAACATCGGCAATAAAAAGATACTTTAGCAAAAAAGTATTTGGCATGAAAATTGGAAGTTTGGCATTGAAGTGTGGAGTTTGAGGGGGCCAGTGCTAAAAGCCAACAAGGCAATAAGATTGGAGGAGATTTGGCTCCTCGAGTTATGATTATTTTCTTTCAAAAATCCATTTGAAGACGAGACCTGTATGTTATCTCACTTGAGGATTATATAATAGTCCTTGGAATTAAAATTTGTAACAGAAACGTTTAATACCTAACAAACTGCTTTGCCGTTGGGAGTGTATCATCCTCTTCTATCGACGGGACAAAAATTGATATTGGGGGAGGGAGAAGCGGGAGAGGATGCTTCCCAAGTAGCCATTAAATTGGCAACTATTTAAGAAGCTGCTCTCTAGGCTTTTAGTCTAATGAACTGATGCAGAATGACTTGTTCACAAGAACGTTGATTATTTGCGACGAAAAACCCTGCAAAATACCTATGATGGTACCGTGTAAAAAGTTCTTAAAAACCTTAATATCAAGGACATATTTGAAGCATTTCTTTTACATTCCAATCTTTCTTACGGGCGCTTGTGGTCCGTTTCGAAACTTGCGTCCCGTATTATCAGTTTATTATAAATAGCTAAATTGGGATTATTTCAATGATTTCTGTGTAACCTTACTGAATATTTTATCAATGTGCTTAATTATCAAAATAATTCAATTGCATATGGAGACATCGCGGCCTAGGGATTTGTAGTTGGGACATTAATCCGATTTCCTTATGATTTGTCAGTTTTTTCCTTTCCCGTGGTTCATGTTTCAATTCATTATCTCACTCAAAAACCAACGCTCTGAATTGAATCAGAAAATGCTCCCTTACTGAAAATATTTTGTAAAGAAAATTCAATGGTGTTATTCTTCAATTAAAATATATAAGTTAGAAAAGTTGTTTAAGAAGTTTAAGATCGTTGAATAACTTTGCTTTGCAAAATGGTTGAAATCTTTATAACGTTGAAAAAAGTTAGCTTCACGACAATATCACTTGTGCATTCTGTAGCTAGATTCACACTTGGTCACAATTCAAAAAGAAAAGGGCAAGCGTGAACTGTCTCGTGTCTCTTCGTTAGTCCCAAAGAGTACGTTTGCATTGGATCGTAATGAAATAGACATCAATCTTCTTAGCCATCTCTATTCAACATAGATTTGTTCCAGTGTATGGACAGTCATCTGATATACTCTCTTAATAACGATATATGCTTTGAGAACACACTACTTGAAAATGATCTTGGTTTAAAACTTAAATAGTATGCTTATATGACCTAGGGTGTTGCTAATGACACACAAGCCCACTGAAAAGTCTGTCTCCATTGACAACTGATAGAGGTTTGTTTAAGTAAAGACATCTGTGTGTTTGAGCGACCGTACTCCTGCCTCTTTGGTCTATGGTCCTTGTGACAACGTAAATCTTTAAAGGATTTTGGCTAGACCCAGCGCTAGGGGCAACATGATGGCGCCTTTTTGATCTTTCTTTTGGTCATGAAGGTTGCTGTGCAATTAACTAATAACTAGCTAAGTAGTTTAACTTTGATCAAGACACGATTCTTTAATCTTTCCCAACCAAACCAAAGTTGCTTCAAAGCTGTACAGTCTCGCAGATAGGATAAAAAAGTGTTTTCAGTGAGGTGGTCCTGCAACTGGTGGTCAACATGAAAATCCTAAAATATACTTGAAGTGCATTGACATTGTACAAAGAACATTACACGACCAGACAATTATCAACATAAAATCTGAAGTCGCTCATAATCTGAAACACTCAGTAACAAGTTTTAAATCATATATTTCTTGCAAGATCAACTGTGTAAAAGTATGTATAAGACCCACAGAACAGATTCATTCAAATTTGCAATGGGTTATGGGAAAGAACTTTATTTGAATTAGTGGATAGACAAGGCATAGTCCGGTAGTGCAATTTGCAGTTTTTAATGCAAATCTTATAGCAGATGTTAGTGTCCAATAACATATTTGAGGAAATGATTCTTCGAAATAAAACTATAGATCTATTGGCAAACGCGCAACGAGTAATTGTGGAATAAAGTTTTGCTAAAGAGCTGAGCAAAAATATATTTGGTGTTAAAGCAGCAGAATTCCCATTAGTACCTTGTTATCTTGTATTGGTCCCGGTTCTTAAGTAGCAAATAGCAATAAAATTTCGCGTTTAATAATTCAATTGCATAATATGCGTTTCAGTGGATCAAAAATGGGAAACATGTGGTAAGACTTACATAGTCTATTTCCAATTCTATGTAGTTCCCTCTTCAATCAGTATTCAAGGAGATACGAGAAAGATGCCAGCTCAAATGACAGCATTAAGATGGTTATAAAAAAGGAATGTCAATATTCCTTTTGCAAGATTAGGAAAGATCCATTCTGTCACTGCCCAAAGGTAAAGGATGGAGATGGTGCTAATTAACGCAGAAGGCAATATCTTTACGCAAGGAGTGCATTGCTATAAAGAACAAATGATTGATTGAAATCTAAAAGAGTAATTCTCAATTCTGAATAACGTGATTCTGCGAAAAACTTAATTAGCTTTTGGATTGTTCCGCAGAATCAGAATTGCTTTCTACTCAATGTCTCCCCAAAACCAAGTTCAAATGCTTATCCTTTCTCAACTTCTGCTTTGTTTTGTAACGAGCCTTAGGACGTAAGTTTTGCTGCATCTGTATCAGCTGTAACTGCTGTCACATTATATGCTGATTATTTATACGATCAAAATATTGTCAATTAGACTGAGCTGAGATTTCAAATTACACTTGCAAGCATTTTTCATACAACCCTTGCTAGCATTTTTAAAGAAAATTCACAAAGTCCTACATTATATGATTGGTTGTTTCCCTTCTCCTGATTATAATTACAAACTTTTAGAAATACAAGCTCAAGAAGTTTGATGGTTCCCGATAAAATGCCATCTAGCTAATGTGTTGTAAATATATTTACTTTAAAGATCTACATCATTCTCTGTGTGGAAGAGGGGAGTTTAGTGAAAGCGCTGTTACTTTTTGAATAGAAACATATGAAACTTTTTGAAATTTTTCAATAGAAAATTGCAAATTTTGGGCTCAGAAGTAAAGATGAGATGGGCTCAGAAGCCTTTCACCCGTGGGATAGTTTGTGTCACTTTGCATTTTTCAAGTCATGCTTTATCCAAACAGAAAGGGAGGGGAGGGAGAGACAAAATAAAAAGTCAGCCTAGCCATAAGCATTAGTTTGGCGTTTATAGCTTAATTGTGATTTTGTGAGTAAAGCAAAAGGAAGCATTGGAAAATTTATTGTTTTTTGGGAAAGGGCAGATCCTTATAGTATCCCTTTTGTGACACGATTAAGTCATCTATGAGTACTGGGGGGTTTCATAAGGTTGGGGGGTTTACTGTGCTGTAGGGTTTTCTTTAAAGGTAATGTGTCCATATAAAAGGACTGCGTATACCCAACTTGTCACGCCACCCATCAAAAAAAAGGCTTGTGATTGGTTAGTCTTAGGATGCAAAACTGCTCACATGAAAAGCTAACTTCGCAGCAGGGTAGATAAACAGAGCGACCGTAATTGCCGGGGCGATGACATGTAAAATCACATGTTTCTGAAAACCCCCGCAGAGTTGCTTGCTTTAGCTGGACACATTATCTTTAAGGGTCCAAGCCATTGACCACACCCAACGTATCATATAGTACAAAACTGGATATATGCTATCTTTGTAGTCCATGGAAAACCTATAACAATACCAATAGGGTTGCTTTGTATACAAATTTACTGCGTATACGGTAATGAAGGGTAGACATGCTCTCTTCTTTGCAAATGTAGAAAACCTTTGTACCGAACCTTTTTCTAGGCGGGTAATACAATCTACTTCTACTTAGCAAACTTAACAAAATGCGCTTAGAGTTGTGAGTTCAGACATAGTTTGAGCAAACAGAGTCGATTAAATTGTGGTTTGCTGGAGTCTAGATATCTGCTAGAAACAGAGATCAACACGGAAAACCGATTATCAAGGATATCGGGAGCATAATCCATGGAAATATGGATTATTTGTTATTCAACTGTGATTCCTATCTATAAGAAACGTCGAGTCACGGTCACAGAGACATGCTTGGATTTCAATTTGATATAAATATTTCGCGATTGATGGGGCGCCGTTGCTGTATTCTTTGATGTCCATTATCATTAAAACATTGTATTTATGTAAAGGCTGTATAACTTCTACAATGGTACTTTGATTAGTAAAATGACATTAATATCAAAGGGAATGTTAAACTCTGCAGTTCGCTCACCTAATTTCCTATCCTTAGATATTCTATACAACCGCGAGAAACCATCAAAGTCATTCTCTAAACCAGGTTAATAAGATTCAATATCACGAAGCTTCTTAAGCGCTGAATGCTCTGTCAGAAGTCCTATCAACATTCAAAATTCAAGAAACGTTCTCTTTCTGATCAGGATGTCATCGAAAGCCTGCCGTTAATAAGGCCACTTTCCATGTAGTCGTTAGCTACAGTAGCATAACTTATGCTACACTTTTCAATTCACCACATAATATGTTCTTCAGTTAACCTTTGGATGCTTGCTGCCAGTTCAAAGGGGCCGTCTACGGAAGAGTTAATTCTTCTGCCGACAAAGAGCTCAGAAATCTTTTATAAAGCATTACTAAAGTCTTTAGGAATACACAACAGGTGTATATATACTTGTCTATTCATCATTATCCCTCCGTTATGTGTGCAAAAAGCCAAGGGTAGGTAATACATATCAGTTACAGCGATGCTTACGCCAGATTAAAATGCGAAACGTAAAACGTTGTGGACATAGCAAGCTAGAATAGTGAACTTTCCAAATGACTTTTCTACGTGCCACTTCCTTGACCAGGCCAAATATTCTCATTTCTCGATATATGCCCTTTCGCAATGAGCAGAACAAAGCTTATCCAATACTTATCAGCCATTTAAAATTTATAGTCTCACATAAAATAGTTAGATATGGAATACCTAAAACCAAAATAAACATGCATTTAATATAAGGACTGCGATTCCCACCTCTAAAAAAGTCTCTTTGAGGCTTGAAGAGAGGATCTGAGCACCCTACCTTACCTTGGCGCTACCTACGTTGCATCTCTAAAGATGTTAAGCCCACGATTCACTACTTCGATGATATACTTCGATGGTTTTATTCTTTTAAATCATTTTTATCCATAGCGGTCATAATGTATATACATCGATTCTTTTCCAAATCATCACGAAGAAAGAAGAAAATGAATAAAACGATTTTAACTGGCTTTTCAATAATCCAAAACCCTAATTGTACCTATTTCTTTGGACAAACTAACAGTTGCCTAGGCAATCGATTTATAAGCCTTGAATGAACAAACCACCAAATGGTAATTATATCGCAAGTTCTTGATGTATATACATTATTAGATGGTAAAAAAGTGAATTATAACTGAAGCATGAAAATTTATAATATTTATGCATGTTTTGTTGGTACCAAAAACTCTCCATCTTGTGAATCAAAACTCTATGATAAATTCATCATGGTTTTGATTAAATTATCATTCAAAACCCACAGTATCATGTTCAGTGAGCTTTTTGCCCACATTGGCAGAATTATTGTGTCTCCTCTTGTTGTTTGGAACGATTCAATACCAGATTACTTTGATTCTATAGATTTCGAATCTTCATCGTTATAAAAGTAAACAAATTTCTGAAATCCACTTTGGTCCAGGGCATTACTTTGCTATAATATTTAACATTTTCCTGCAGCATTTTCGGAAAAAGTTTTTCTTTATGATGAGATTTATCAAATTATATCTATGGGTCATCGAAAATTAACACCAATCAATCATTTAATTAAGCAATAATTTATTTTATGATGAGATTTCTCAAACTTTAACGCTCTGTCTCTAAAGTTATAAATAGTGTTGCATAGTATCACACAATATCGCAAAATATCCCATAATATCGCATAATATTGCAAAATATCACTTATACTTTGCAAAATAAAGCAGTACTATGTAACATTTTGCAAGGCTTCTAACCAATTGCTGCCAATTTTTGTCTGGTAAAATCAAGACTTAAATCATGAATGATTATGTTTGGTGCATCTAAAAAGAAAAAGCTGTTTTATCTTTAACACAGATCTAAAGCTTATACACACAAATCAAACAAACTACAGCTTAATTTGTTTTTATCGATTTGAACATCAAATGTCATTAAAATGTCAAAATAGTCTAAGCTTTTATTATAAATTTTCTGCAGCCAGTTCAAACTTTTGACAGAACAGAACAATGATTTAATTTCGTTTTAACTCTTTACTTTTCAAAATAAAGATTATGTGTACAATGACATTTTTTCACGAGGATTATATGAAACTGCAATAATTGTGTTGATCAAGGAATATTTAAGAGGAAAAGAATATCATGTCTATTTTTTCATGATCATAACAGATCCTGACACTTTAAATCGAATAAACCGTTGCTTGTTCACCTCAATCTAAAGTTTCATACTTTTTTCTGATATAGAGTGTCATTTTGCAAACAATTGGTACGTGATAGGACAGAGCTTCTGCCCAGTCCTCCATCCATTTGGATTGATGCCATGCATGAATTGTACTTGTTTGAAGGTAAGTATTTGGGGATTTATCCAGTGTTATCTTCTACAACTGATTACGAGGTATTGCAACAGGCAAAACCAATGTATATACAAAACCTGTAAGTCAACTAGGTTTCAATCATCATATGTAATCCCCCGTTAAAATCATATCTGTGAGAGGAACATTAGAAGTGTGTCGTCGTAAAATTTGTCTCCTTATGATGGTTTCTCTCGCTACCAGATTCAGTACACTGAGTTTGGTGAAACCGCTAGTTTGGCACAATATGAGCTGAAAGCTGCAATTCAAGGTCTTTCGCAAGAAAGGGCTTGCCTGTAATGTTTACTTCTTCTTTAGCTTTGCTACAAAGAGAAGCACGTAACCAGCTTCTCTTAAAAGTAAACATAGATCCATTGTGGAGTGCTGCGAATAACTTAAGGGTCATACACGATTATGACAGCTGGATCAATTTCTTTATCACTTTAAAACATTGGCTGGGTGCTTAAAGGCCTGTTACAGTCAACGATACACCTGAGCACTTATTGGAGCCGCACAGAGAAAAGACTCCCAATGTCTAATAGCATTGGTTGCTCAACAATTTTGTTAAGCGGTATTTTGCGTTGAACGTTGCTGATCGAATACAACATTTTCACCCTGAAAAGTTAGATGATCCAGTATCGATGTCCAGTCAAGTGGTCACTTTGTTCGGCCAAAATCCTACCTAAGCCATGGACGTATCTTTCAAACACGCCCACTGCTGTAGTACATATATATTACAGCTGCAGTTCACCAATTTCTGTCTCTGCCTGTGCAGTGTGTGCCTATTGTTTACTTAGTGTATGCTACTCTGATGCATATCATTTCAACTTTACGCAGTTTATGAGTTATTCAACGAAAGTACCGGTGATATCTTAAGAGTCTTGTGTCTGGACTATTTGAGTGAACATAATAAGGAATTTCTTATGTTTGTGTTTCTAATCTCAAGGATATTATAACCCAACACCTCTCATACTTTTGCTCGTGGATTCATTCTTTTGTAAACAGTAACAGATGACAGTTTAAACAACGTATTAAATCCTTTGAGTCTTTAATCAAAGATCTCAGGATTCATTCTATAGTAATTAAAAGCACTAGCAGGTCAAATACTATGTGGTAATAGGAAGCATGACATAATAACTATGTCGATGACAACATTGCTATACATTGAAATGATTTCTCCGATCACCCAGTACCTACGTCAAGTGTTGATTCTAAAATGCTGTTTGACATTGAAAAAATTGATGACTCTGCAACATATTTTGAACGAGCCATTTCCAAGTGAAGCGACGTTTATTTTGCCTTGTTTTTGTAAGCTGATCAGAAATACATTTTTTGAGCATTCGATCAATACAAGAATCTTACGTTTCTGAATACTTTCTCTAATTGAGGTGTCCCTTACAATAATATCATAAAGCTGAGTATTTATTCTATTCCATACATTCAGAATCCGCAGTTTGCATTTCTAAGACCAAGAGTCTCATGTCGCAGCGTGCGGGCTGAGTGTCCACTTGTGCCATGTGCAGACCCAGTCACCAAAAAAGGACAATGCTGTTCAACTTGTCATAATGGTATGTTAATGAATAATTTTTTGTAAGATCTATCACTAATTTTTTTATAAAATCAATTAGATCATCCAAATCTTTGACGAGTAAATAACTGTGTCAAATTTGACGATTCTTTTTGGAAAATTTTACCTCATGGAATTTTCTCTAGGTCACTATACATATCAAACCTCTCAGACATCACTTTTTGTATGCTTAGTATTGAAACCTTTAGATTAACCACGTGGGTATTCTTTGAAAATAGATACTGGAACAATTGATTGCAATCAATTCAATTAAATGTTTTGTAGAGTACATCGCCCTTAGTGTGGCATCGCACGAATCTTCAAAGAAGCACCACCGAAGGCCTTTAGGAAGATTCCATTTGACAATTTCACGAAAGTCAATGTTCACCTGCATAAAGTTCGAAAGGTAAATATTCTTTATGCTAATGTTATGAGTTAAATGTTACTAAACGCTCGATAAAAAAGTACTTTGATTGAATATTAGCCGAAAAAAGGCAATGCAAAATTTTTAAAAAAATTGAACGTTTAATCTGGCTCATTGACCATGTTGAGTTGCCTTATGTTCAGATCTGAAACTCATTGCTAAGACATAGTTACTTGAAAGATCTTGCTTCAAAACACCGAGGGCAATCTGCAATGAGCAATGATATATGTAGGCTGTTTGATTCAATATTTGTCTTTCTATTTCACTCAATTGGATTTAACGAGGGATGTTCCTCGATAACGATAACGAGGGATGTTCTTTAACGTGCGTGTTGCCACGCGGAATGCCCCATAGCGTGTCGCCACGCGGGGATATACATGTTCACACCCCGGGTATTGCTTGAAGCTCTCCGCAATGAAAAGTTAGAAGTGCAATCCTAAACCTAAAGAAGCACTTGCAAGGAGCAAAACTCTTTCTAAACTACACTGAGTATTTAAAGATCAAGGCCCTGAAACAAATGAATCCCCTGCTCCACCATCTTGTTGTCCCTGGTAAGACAGGCTTAGTCCTCAGTGTGATTTATTCATTTCAATATCTAAAAGGTCTTATTGACAATGTAAAAAAATTGTACAGGCAGTTTTGTCTTTTTAACTTTTTGCTATTTTGCTTACTTAAACTGACCCAATGTTTGGTTTGAGTTTAATTTTGCCAGGTTGGACCTATGACTCTGAATAGTTATTTTGACTTAAAATTCCTAGAAATAAAAATGCTTTTTTGACCATATACCACAAGTGATAAAGATAATGTTTTATAAAAACACTCGACTTTGTAGATTAAAAGGTAGTTATTTTTCTTCCCACTTCATGAGCCTATATGTGTTTCAAAAGATTATATTCTTGCTTGAGTCTATATTTTCTATCAATTTCTCGAATGTCTTCTTTTAAACAGTCATACAAGAAGAATCAAGTTCCTTAGACTGAAAAACAAGAATGATGACACTATTTATCACTCGATTAACGAGGAAAAGTTTGTCACACATAATGACAACGGCAAGGTATGGTGTTTCACCATTTTTCTGTATCGTGCTTTCACTTAGCTGAACAACCGTATTCACTTCCTTGCAAACACAATTTGGAACAAACAGGGAAGCGAAAGACAATTTAACAAATGACAATTCAAAGTGGTCTCCTTGGTCGTCATTTTGAGGGTTTTGTTCTGTTATAAAATCCAAGAATAAAACATAGTTGCCATGTCAGAACGTAAAAAACTTTGCCCAGCACAGAGAGCCTCGATGCAAAGAGGAGGCGAACTAGAAAAATTCATGGGCGTTAAGCAGCAAATGAATTATTTGCTCTAACGATGAACATCCAGAAAATACCCAAAATGAAATGATCAATTTAAGCATCTGGTGCTTCTTTATTGAATCGTGACTTTTATAGAAACCTAGTGGCCATAACTTCGGTCTATTAACTATCCATGATAAAACACTCCTTTTCGACTACTTGTAGTAGCTACTTTGAAGCAATTCGTTTATTGCACTGCAAGCAGAAAAATTCAGCCGAAAAGATGTCCGGTCTTTCTCTAGTTCTTTGTTTTCCTTTTCAAATAACATAATCTATTATAAAATTGCACACAGAAACCGTTGGAAGACGGTCAGATTCTGTCAAATCCATTCACCATTTATTTCTTTTATATCTCCATTTTACATGTTAACCAATCATTGGAAGCGATTTTTTTGAAGATTATTAACCTAGTTGGCTATGTATAAGTGTTGCAACTTTTGAATTGTGCCTTCAATTCCATTTTTCAGTCTGTTTGTCTGAAGCTCTAAAATATCATTATCCTCTAAGGATTCTTCGAATACTAGTCTTGTTGATAAGTCTCTGTAGTCAAAGAATTAGCGTCTCCTGTGTTTTCCATTAGCTACTGTGTCTCTTTTCCGTTGGCAACAAGAGTACAGTTATGCCATAGCATTTTAATTTTTCCTATGTTTTCCTAAAAGGTGGTTTGTGTTTCAAAACATTACTTCCAATTCATTGTCTGCCGAATGATTCCAACTAATTTGCATGTCCAATATGAAACAACATTTACCCAGGATTAAAAAATTAATTCGCTACTTTGTGCTGAAGATTGGATCAAACAAACACCGTAGGTGAAAGAAGCGTATTCAATGATACGATTAATAAGTTAAACTTTGAAGTGATCTTTTACATGGACATTGTCTTAATACTCCGTAGTCATAGCTATGTAAGAATCTAACGAACAGACTCAAAATATGCAGATTTTCACAGTTGATACTTACTGAGCAATCTAACATTCAAAGTAAGACTTGCATCATATGAACCTGCTTTGAGTATTATAACAGCGCAAATAATTTGTCATTAGCTTAGGCCCTATGAAATAATAACAGCAAATCGACCTAATTTCTTATAGTTTAGATAATGTAGGCTAGCAGTTTGCGAATCTAGTCTAATTCTTCTTCATTCAAAAAACCAAAACAGATACGTTAAAGCATTCACACAGCCTTAATTTTTAAACAGCACTCTGTCTATTAAAGCCAGACTCTACTAGCACACGGCATACGTTAGAAAATTAATAAGAAACGTTTCGTTTCAGTATTGCCTTGAATCTGAACTGCCTGGGTCCCAGATCGAAGATTTGATGAAAATGAACAAAGTTGTTGTTGAATTGCATTTGAATGATTCCACGGACCTGAAAGGAGTTATATCACCATACGAAAAGTTCAGTGAAGGTAAGCTTCGAACAAGGAACTGTACATAAACGAAATTGGTGTATATGAGGATTCTAGCTCTAGGGTCGACTTCAGAAAACGTATTGTTGAGTGATGATAACCAAAAAGATGAATTTGGATCATTATATATTCAATGTCTCAAATTTGTCCCTATATGTCGCGTTTTCAACATTTTGACAATACCAAAACTTTGCTTTTCCATGACATTCTGATGTGTTTAAAGTTGATAAATCTAACAGCATTTCATGAAAGATAGAAGTTTTTGGGAGGTTTGTGCCAGGTTTCGGCCGAAACAGTTTAATGCCGTTTTACATTGAACAATATCAAGAAGAAAACATAAAATGCTTGGAATCAAATCACAGATTTGATTGGCTCTTTCTGAAATTTCGTGATTCCTGTCATTTCTAAGAAATAAAAGCCCTATCATATTTTTTCTAATTCTATCAAATTGTTTTCATTTCTACACAAGTTTAGTTATGACGTAAAAATCCACATGCCCGTTTTTGCATACCTCCAAGACGTCTGACTGTAATGTAGATTTGTATCCACTACGTATAGAAAAGTAAAACGACTTGGTTAATAATTATGATTTTTTTTTCAGTACCGTTTGTAGCTTTGCTGAGTCCATTTCAGCAATTCCTAGAGACGCCTCACATAGCTGCTGGCATTGCCTCTATTGACACTGATATGTACGGCGATGAGATCAGTTTGAAGTTAGGCATGCTTTTCAAGACGGCTCAGTTCGATTCAAGTGGTAGGCATTTGACTTTTGGGGGTTTATATGTTATTAATAAACCGTTTGAATTCATTCTACTGTCTTATTCAGGGGCGTCGCGGCCGGGGACAGGGGGAGTGACCCCATCTGCTCTGTTTTCAAAATTCGACGGATTTTCGGGAAAACCAGTCGGAAAGTCGGAAAATTCTCAAACTTAGACAAGAAATGAAAGCGAGAAATGAAACGAACCTTTAGCGACATAAATCACTTTCTGTATTTTCGAGGGGCAAATCACTTTTGTAAAGAAAATACTAGATTTCCACAAAAAAACTATTCTACCCTAGAGTGATTTGCTGCTCGGATTTTGTCAGTTAAAATTCAAATCTTCAAAGGCCAAGTTTGGTTATAGAAATTTGCAACATTGGTCGAAAATTATATCTTTATTTAATAATGAAGACCAGGACAGTGTCAATTTTGTGCTTATCACCAGTTTTGGAAATTTTGTTCCAGATTTGAAAATTTATGCAGTTATATTGCATAAGGTAAACAAGGAAAATTTTGAGCATAACATTTTATTACTGAAATTTTCTCCAAGGAATGCAATTTCCGGCGAACTTGTAGCATTAAGATTATAAAAATTTTGCCCTTTGGTGGCAACCATGGTGCCACCTCAGGTAGTGACTTTATTCAAATCCTTGTCCTAATCTACCGATCTATAAGGTTGCGATATGTCAGGGACTTTCACAGTAAGTATGAAGAAAAAGAGACAAAGCAAAAGTGCATTTTAAAAATCTTTCAAGCTAAGGCAAAGGTTATGTGTTTTTCTCCCCCCCCCCCCGAAATGTTTCTATTTGATTAAAATAAATCAAGGGAATTTTGTCGGAAGACTTTTCTTTCTGGTCCCCTCTAGAATTCATTCGCCACGACGCCCCTGGTTTCAGTTAACAGTTATAATGAAGATTGTGTGAATCGTATAGTTTCCAATATTAGAAAATTTCATTATGACCAAACTTTTGAAATTTGACTATCTTAAAGGTTGATTTGAATCATCATTTCCATAGTTACTTAGGTATGTGACAAAACAAGACCAGGTTACTTCAGAGTTTCTAATTGTAAAAGATCAGCCTTAGAAAAATGGCTTCTCGTTCATATGAAATAGACAGTGCCTTTTTATATAAGGGTGAAATATGTCTTCTAATAAAACAACAGTTACTGGCAAGATGTTGCCACAGCAACAAAAAACATATATCTGCATTTATGCTTTTAGGTCATATGAAGCAAGGCAGCGTTCTTGTTAAGGTCATCAAGCGTCCATGGAAAGCTGACAAATTATCCCCGATTTTAAAAACATACTCTTTCAAAGTTACAGAAGAAGAAATGGTGGGTATCAGATAAAAATGTTCGATTGGAAAATTTGCCATAGTTCATTTGATATTATGTCACTGTTAATAGGAAGAAAATAACCAACAAAATTATTTAATAGTGATTATTCTTCTTATCATTTGCCTTCGGTACTCATGCATAAGATGCAAAAATCATGGCATCTTGAGGATCGCATAGCACTGTCTTTGCTTCTTAGATTGTAATTTTGATATAGATATGTTAGTTCTCTGCTCATGTTCCCAAGCCTCCTGCTTTATATTCGCGAGACTTCGTAATGTCTACTGCCAATTTGTTTGTGGCTTTTTGATAAATCTGGTTGTTCCTAATTCATAAGCTATGAAATTTTATCTCTGGTAACTGAAATCTGCGCATCTGACCCTCTTTTCTCTTTATAGCTGCGATTCGCCCAACTTCTAACTGAAAATTGACATATTTTCGTGCTATATAGTGTGTTTTTGAATTATCGAATTTACATTGACTAAGTCAAAACTTTGACATTAACTGATTTTGCAGACATCTGAAAAGCTGGTAATGAAAGAAGTGAAATGGAGTAGGCCACGACCAGCTCATTTGCGATGGGTGGTGCGTGGAATCATATTTGTGACAATCGACTTTAAAGTGGGAAGTCACCAAAGTCGTGTTTTTGGCAGGGTATCTATACACGATTCCTGTGGAAGTAAGTCCCTATCATTTTATTCTGGCACATACCTATTAATGACAGTTTCAACTTATCAGTGAAATAACACTGTTTTAATTGATTTTGGCTTAGTTTTGCCTTAAACTCTTCGAAAAAATGATTCTTTAGATTATTTTACAAAAAACATTTTTAGCGCATAGAATCGTTTCTTAACAAGTATTTTAAGTTATTTCTAAAGCTAATCTTTTGAAATTGTCAATCCTTTCTCACGTTTGAATCTATGCTCTTAATTCATAGCTTCTTGGAAGGTTAGTTTTACAAACTCCCTTTAAATGAATTATGCTAAAATGTTGCCGTCGTGTTGAGGCCGTCGTGTTGAGATATAGCGTTAAGTACGCAGAGCAAAATCCACTATGGTTTTGACAGTTATTTGACTTTGACTTGTAAATCCCATATGATGCGTATCGAATATCACACACTACTCTACATTCGTCCTAGAATTCTACACTGTTCTATCCGGGGGTGGTTTGAAAAGACCAACAGCAACAGCAACAAGTGGTTTTGCCTCCTTGTCATTTAATACAAAATCGAGGCTTCGAGTCAAGGTGAGCTGATTAAGATGCATCTTATGGTACTCGAGTCTTCAGTCTAGCTATTTATCTTAAACGTATTTATGTTGCCAATTAGTGCTGAATTGATCTAATTAGTGGTCAATTTTTTTAATCAGGAAATCATCTAGGGTATAGGATATAGCACGGTGCTGTTAAGAGTGATGTAATATTCTAGTAATATTGGCCAAACCCGTCTCTTTTTTTCTTTGCCCGTGGTTTTGAAACTTTTCTACTTGCATTTTGCCTTGAAGTATTTTTGTGCTCTCTAGTACCAACATTTGCTTAGGAAATAAGTAAAAGGAAGATTCTTGAAAAAGAAACCAACATAACTGTATTTGTTAAGTAAGTATGTAACGGAAAGCGACCATGCTTTTACAGGTGTCTGGCAGAGGAATACCAAAAGCACACAAAATGGACATTAATATTGTTGACAGCAACGACTTCGTTATGAAGAAGCTGGCAACGATCAAGAGGGAGCCAGAGGAAGACAATTTTCAAGTAAAACAAGCTTTTTTAAAACTACATCTTTTATATGTCGATAATAGAAAGAGTGGAATTTTTAATGAGCAAAAATAGCTTTTATAGTATCTTTTAAGGTCTCTAAGGTATTTTAATGCCATCAAATCAAGGCACAACATCTTTCTTATCTTCATCTCTTTCCTTTGAAAAAATTTCTACAGTCAGGAATATGCAAGTCTTATTAGTCTTTGCACCTCCCTCAAAATGTTCAAAAGATGCTGTACTGGACAAATTTTCCTTGCATTTGGATGGCAAACCGAGGGGCGAATCAGTTCCATGAAAATCTCATACACGTTTCAGTGGAAATCCTTGAAAAATTCATTTGTTTTTGTGCAAATCACGTACATTTATTGCAAGACTGAATTACCCCTCGGACAACACTATGTAGATGACGGCTTTGTAAGAAAAGAGTTAGAGCAAAGATATGATAGTCACAACTCTTTAAGTCATTTCAACATAATTGTCCAAGTTTAGCAAAAGGGCTGTTGACAGCTAACTGAGTTAAAAATATTAAAAATAAGATGATTATTTTCTTTAGGCTACGGGTGTGTGGGAGAAACCCACTGCTACTGCAATAGCCATGGTTTTCAAAGGAAAGCTATTCATTAAAGTTGCAGCACATATAAAGGCAAAGGACGACATGAGAGGAAGAGTACAGAAGTCTCTTTACATGAGTAATGCTGATTATGACAAAGGTATTGAGAAAGTGAATTAGTTAACATTTCAATTAATGATGTAAACAATTAATGTTTTGGTATAGCATAATAGCATATCTTCATGACAAATAATATCTTCATGACAGCATTTACAAGTTAGTTCGGTAGTTCTTAAATGAAAACATCTTAAGTTGCAAGCAGCTAAAGAGGTTTTTAGATCACAGATTGTTTTGAACACCAATTAATATAAAAGATTTGCCATAAATGAAGCATATATAGGTTTATCATATACCCAGATTGAAAAGGTCTCGAAACCTCTAACCCGTATTAGATTTATAAAGAAAGAGATTTCAAGTGTTTTTAGAAAATTTTAGAGAAGATTTCAGAACTTCAATCTATTTTTATCAAGTTAAAAGTAGCAATGAAAAACATTGATTCAGAGTAATACTGTTTCCATTCGAAGCTGAATCTTATAAACACTAAACTAGATAGAAACTCTCTAACAACATGATTTATCAATCGAGGTTGAAATACTAATTTCGTTTCCTTTCAAAGCGTCAATCGTCTCAATTCATGACGTCGACTCAAGAGCGAATGCAAAGACAGCCGCGGTAGCCCTTTTAACTGCTGACCCACAATGCAACATCAACTACGTCATCTTTATAAATGGGTATGCTGATTCGTCCACAGCATATAAAAGCATGAATGCCCTTTTGAAATTGGATTTAGTTTTCAACAAAGGAAAGGGGGAATTGGGCGAAGTGAAGCTGGAGGCTTTCAACGAAAATTTCATTGTAAGTAGAAGGTTACTACACTGTGTAGGTACATTGGTTATGCTTAATCAGTATATGACTGGGCAAATTTTAAATTGCTCAAGAAAAAGCTTTTGTTATAATGAAAAATGAAGACGACGTCCAGAATGCATCTATCAACAAATAACAAACATTTCGTACCTTCTTTTAACTACACATAATATGTGAGCTTGAATTTCAACATAAATAGCCTGATAACCAACCCATTTATTCTAAATCTATTCCTTTAGAACAATAGCCTGGTATTCAGGCTACAACATAAAAGAATGGTTGCATGTGGATACATGAATAAGTTTTGGTGTTGTTATCGGTAAAGAAATTCCACATTGATATATTTACCAGCTATATATTAAAAGGGATACCATTTATATATTGCTTAATCACATGAAGAAATGAAAGCACCTTGCCTCTCTCTAAATACAACTTTGATGACAATATTGCTGAAAATTGCAGGCTCGAGGTAGTTTGGTCAACCCTTCGGATGATTTTCTAATCGGTGTTGCCTCTGGAATGGCGCATATTCAAATACAAACGCACCGGTTCACAACACATGAGTTGAAAGGCCACGTAACGTTATCAAGCAATAAATGTGCTAAAATCCTGAACAAAAAGAGCCAAGATTACCTGCAGAGATCGTTGGCTGGATCGGACCTAAATGCTGGAGTCTGCTTGCACCAAGGTCGCTTTTATGACGATGAAGCCGAATGGCATCCACTTGAGAACGACAGGGTCACAAAGATATACTGCAAAAAATGCACGTGCAATGTATGTTAATTTCAAAGTCGATTTCGTTTTTAAAGTAAAAAAATGCAGTCAAAGTATGAGTCAATGGAGATAATTCTAAGCGTATAAATGAACTTTGAACATGAATCTCGTGCAGTCAAAATTCAATATTAAGTGTTGCTCTTGAAAGAACTAAAAGTGAATATCTGAAAAAGAAATTATTTTCTTAAAGCGAAAATATGACCAAAGGTTCTTCACTGCCATATCTGACTGTTATTAATGGCGTTTTCATTTGGACGTAAACAGTGAGATATACTTTACCTGTAGCTATTCAAGTTTTTTGTAAACAAAAACAAATTATTTAGCTTTGTGAGTGGAAAGATAGAAGATTGACATTGCGCGTTGATTATATGCTTATAACCATATTTCCACTTGTCTATGAAAACTTAGCTTCTTATCTCTATATTGCAATCATTTTTTAAACTTTATTACAGAAAAGACTTGTGACTTGCAAGCATATCAACTGTCCAATGCCCCTGTGTCCCAATCCTGTAAAAGTGCGCGAGCACTGCTGTCCGGTTTGCACAAGTAAGTGAGTTTGTGTTCTTCAAAGTGCATTCTACAGCTTTGCTGTTCATTAACTAAATTTCCCCTCAATTCAATCGTACACTGCTTTAGGCCTCGTACACTGGAATACTATTTGTAAGAGCCATATAGAGATCTTCTGAATCTCAAGTTTTGTGTTCCAAATAACAATTATCAGATCACTTCGCTAAAAGATGTACTTTCTTTGTAAATTCAGGTCCTCCAAATGGCAGAGCTTTAGATCCGAGGAAAGGTGCGTATGATGTTCCTATTATTTTTTACTAATTAACTGGCCAATGTTTTGGACACAAGATTTTGCAAATGAGAAACTACATATTCTATATTTGGGTTTGCAACCAATTGGAATGGATAGGATTAAGGGTTGAAGCTTGATGCAGCTGATTCAGATTTAAAGGCATCTGGATAGGTTCCTCGAAAGATTTTGATATTCATTGGAAAGTTTCAAACCAGTGTAGGATAATCAGGAATTATCTATTGAAAATTATTGCTTATTTTATATTTCTATAACCTTTCAAAAAAATGTAGGCAGCGTTCACTAAGTGCACAAAAGAGTCTCATATTATCGTAGAGAGAAAAGGCAATCAATTTGTTGATTACATTCGTATCACACTGTAAGAAACGATCCGATCAATTTGAACTACAAATTCTTTTTTCAGTTAGGTGGTGAACTATATCTATTTTGGCAATGACTGAGTAGAATTTGTTAAAAGATTTTCGCTATTAATATCAACAAGAGAAAATCCTTATCTGGGCAAGTCGCTGCTGGCTAAACACATCAAAATTGTCACTAATCAGCCTTGCAAAAGAATGAAAATCAGTATTTAGGGACTTTCTACAGATTCTAAAGAAGCTAAAACCATCTGTCAGTCAACAATTGGCCAATCAGTGAGCGTGATACCATTCACAGGCCTATTCATTGGCTAATTTTGAGTGACAGATGGCTTAAGCCACTTGTATCTATCGACTGCCTTTATGTTGAGTATACAACAGCATGTTATGAATCTTTGTCCACCTCTTTTCAGCTTGCGTAGTTGGCATGCCATCTCGAAATGAAATACGTGCAATTGGAGAGGCATGGCACCCAAGTATCCAGCCTTTTGGCATGATAAAATGCATTGTATGCATATGCAAGGTAACATCTTTTGTATGAAAACTAAACATGTTATGGCTTCTAATATGCCTAGCTAACAGTGTATTTATGTTTTTTGATTATTCATATATTTACTATGATATGTCCATACCCTATTTCTAAGTCATTTAGCTTTGAAATTTCTAGAAGATCCCTGAAAATTTGTTGTTGGATTTCGAAGAATTGAAAAATCTATCTGAAATGAAGTGGGCAGAAATGCTTGCGAATATGTTCCCTGGCACTGCCCTGTCAATCATAACCCATATGCAGCCTTCTAACCTGTTTTTTGATCGTAGGGCGCTCCAGGAAATTACAAGTGCACGACTGTTGTTTGTCCTAAGTTAGACTGCCATTCACCTGAAAAAGTTCCTGGATCATGCTGTCCAGTATGTCCACGTAAGTCTGTCTACAAGTTGTTGGAATTGCTTGTGTCCCTATTCCCTAATCCACTGAAGCCTTACTCTGGGTACCAGAGCCACAATATTTCGGGTGCGGAAATCTTATCTTCTAAATCCGCATTCAAATTTATGAGTCTCTGGTACCCAGGGTTTCGCAGCCTCTACTTGAGAACATCTGCCACTAAAGAGCATCTCCCAGAGTCAGACAAGAGCTCTAGTTACTTATGCCAATAATGCACAAGGTATTGTTTAATGCGCTCTCGTTTTCATTGTTTTCAATTATCTAGATTCAAATTCCTCCTACATTTTTTCCTTTAAATGGTACTGAACTTCATGTCGAACTATTTTTGGACTCCCAGAACCTGCAAATCTATTTTTACGCACCAAATTAGCACCAACATTTTATAATGTAACAAGTCACAAATAAAAGATGTATCTTGGCACATTTTTCCTGAAAAATTCTACCCAGAGCTTTGATATATTGCTATCAAAGCTGTTAAGTTAAGATCAATTCTTTTTACATGGAATACAAGTGAGGAAGATTTTGTGCTTCTGGCCCAGGTTACCATTACTAAGTTATAATCGAACAGTTAGCTGATTTTGCTCATCATTTGCAATGAATGTTACGTTGGTTTATTTGACACTTACAACGGAGTGTTGGAAATTTTCACACAGAGTGCAAACTTAAGGAACAATATCCGCAAAGAGCATCAACTTTCTTTTATTTTATGTGAAATTTCTAGCTCTAAACCACATATCTGCTTTACTAGATATTTTTCAAAATCGATGAATATTTATTTAATTCTTCATGTATAAAAAACTTAATAAATTAATATTTTTGTCAGAATAAAGCTTGAGGCCTTCTTGGGCTTAACTAAAATTTTAATTTGAGCTAAATAATGACTACTTCTTTTTAATAGTGAAAAAGAGTTTGAGCCTTGAAGGACCAAGACCTAGTACTCACTCTACAGATGGACTGACAAGTAAGAAAAGTGAGCGAAACCATTTTTTCTTAGTAGTTATAAGAAAATTCTTTCAAGATAGAGCAGATATCAAACCATAGTTGCTGTCATCATACCTCAAGGCCAAATCGAAAGAGAATTTAGTAATGCTGAAAGTATATTGCTATTTCTAGCATTGAAAATCATAGTATTCAGTTCAGTTCCATATAATTTTGAAATTCCATTACATATAATCCAAAAAGACAAAATTTAAATACAATTGAATATAACATGCTTAACTAATTAATAAAAGATAAATACTACACAAGAAATCTAAAAGAAACATTATATGTTATTACATCAAGAAGACAAAGGAATTGTATGTAGGGGCATTTCTTAAGGAGGTGCTCTCTCAGTAGCTAGGCTAATCGAGGAGAGAGCTCCCCCTATATATAATTGGTTAGCTAATTCTTTCAAAATTTCTTTGAACAATTTTATGCAACTTCGGACGGATGCTAAAGACGTATATTAAGTTAAGAAGTTTTGTTAAGACATATGTTAAGACGTTTTGTTAGAATCACGCAGTAACCCAACCAGCCCTCAAATCAGTTCATAATCGTAGTGTTCATGACATTAAGATTGCTGTATTGACATTTTTCCTCACTATATAAATTATCCTGCAGAATCTGGTTGCAATTATAATGGACATTTGTATATCCATGGTTCATCTTGGAAGCCTGTGTTACCTCAATTTGGCATCCTGCGTTGTGTGATTTGCAGATGCAAGGTTAGCCCAAAGATGTTTTGTTTATTATCTGCTTCGTGTCTTCAGCCTAGCTTCGAAAGGCATATATTTATTGGCCAGTGCAGAACGCACACTACACCCTAGTTTGAATTTGAGTGGTTTCTCTGCGATTACAATCTTGCAAAAATTTTGTAGTACCTCATAGTATAGTAGATTGATATTACGTCGATATCAGAGTTGATAATAATCGATCATGCCCAATTTGTGTTATAACACAGTTTCATATTTGACTGTACTTTGTAAATCACCAATGAACAGAAAGTCAAGCATTGATCTCTATGTTCCTTAGTGATCTTACCTGTCTCTAATAAAGAACTTAGTATGACTTTAAACAGCATTGCAATAAGAAGCAAAACAGATAGATTGTAATCATACATCGCATTAAATAACTTCTATTTAACTTATTTTACAGAATGGACGTGTGAAATGCAGGCGATTACGATGCATGAAATCTGCAAGGTGCCGTGGCAAAGATGGCAGAGTGCCGAGCGATCCTTGTTGTCGACATTGTACCTTTAGGGGAAAAACATAAAATTCTTCGTCCATATGTATAATTTGCTGGGGAAGCAATTTGGCTTAGAGCATTTGCAGAAATGTCAAACATGAAACTGCTACAAAACATAATCATTGGAATGAAAATTTTTTAGTAACAGAAACCGCGATCTTGGTTTGCCATAAGGTGGAACACTCGAACAGATATCATGCTGCCTAGGTGGAACACTCGGACAGATATCATGCTGTCTAAAGACTCACAAGAATCTCCACTGATTTTACAAAACTTTATACCAGGTCTCATAATATTGTACTTAGGACCTGACGAAACAGAAAGTAAAAACAAACCTCATGTTCTTTATGCATTAATTGAAAGTAATATTCCTAACAAAATGATACCAAACACCCAGTACACAGTTCTATGTCACACGTACCCAGTACCCCATAGTATTCTCCTGCTAACTCTGATCAGGAAACCTCTGCCTTGATAGCATTAACCACACTGAAAACGAATTTAGAATCAAAACTATCATGATTGCAAACGATTGGATGAATGCCCGGAATAGTTGACGTCATTATTATCCTAAGCTGAAAAGAAAAGGCTTTCAAAAGTATTTTTAGGACGGTACTCATACCAGCAGTGCTAATCATTGATCGTGCATTCCTTTTCTATTGTAAAGATCTAACTTCTGTAGATAGCTGAAACTTCTAGGCACAATACTTCCTTTTGTAATATGTAGAAAATTACAGGTATAATGCTATATTGAAAATAAGGCAGTTTTGGGACTGCTATTCTTGCTATCGAGAGACTAGTAACTGAAACGTAGCACTTTTATCATCAATCACTTGGGAGACTTTATACTTTTCAATCATGAAAAATCACTTGAGGGACTTTATTTTTATGTTTGTTAAATTTAATCAATCAATGTGGTTGTATTTAGATTTTATCTGCCTCCTATGAATTAGCAGAGACAGCACCCTTCCCTATACATTTGTTCTGATTATATTAACGGTCATTATTTGCTTTTGATAAAGGAAAGCTTTCAAAAATACTAAGCAAATGAATCGGACGTAGCATCCTCGTTAAAAATAACATGACAAATTGGCGATAGCTTTATCCAATTCTGCCTATATGATAAAGATTATTCGTACCTCCAATGCCTGCCAAAAGAACTTTTAACACCCAGCAATTTGCGTTGCACTTGATATCTCTAATTCTTTTCCCGAAAAGAGATCACTCCTTCTGCCCCCTTCCCCCTAAAACAATGTTGATAATTTAGAAAAATATCATAGAAGAAGAGCAAAAGAAAGTGCTTCCTAAAATCCTAACTCGTTTGATAGTAAACCAACATTATTCTGTAGGGGAGAGGGGGACGATTGATTCTGACTTTGGAAATTGACGTCAGTGTTCCAAGACTTTTGGCAGGCATTGTCCATACGTTCTAGGCAGCCACAGGGTTTTGATCAAATCAGAGCAAACTTGCTAGGCAAATGGTTAAAGTGTTTTTTCTAATTCACTGTCCATGTATTTGTCTAAGTCGGTTATTGAGTATGTTAAGAACTGTGCATCACTAGTGACTGCAAGTAGATATCAAAGTATAGTATGAAGTGATCTGTAGAAAGAGGATTTAAGTGTCTAACACGTAGTGTTTATATTGACCTTGATCCAGATTTTAATGTAAATATGTATACATGGATATTGCCTTCAATATAAATTATTTAATTTTGTAATCAACAGTTTTCATACAAAGATCCGAAGACAAAAGTGGTTTTCTGTCTCTTCTTTTATTCCTCTTGATGGGAAACACTAACGCATGGTGAACAGTTCGATTAGTATTTAGACCAAATGAAACCTCTAAAAGACTCTCTTAACTTAACTTACAACTTACATGCAAATCAATGAAATATCTCATTCATATGAGGCTAGATAATGTACAACTGAAATTACAAAACTGTTTTATTTCATTTTTCTTCGCATTTATTTTCATCTTTATTTCTTGCACCCCTTACAATTTCCCTCTCTCCTCCCCTACCTTTTCTTCACAGTTGAATTCGTGTCGCCTACCTTTTCTTCATCCTCGTCCTTCCAACTTCTCAATTTTCTAAAGTGTTCCTTTTCTTTTCTCTTTTCTTTTTCTGCTTATTCTCTCCTTCTTCGTTTTCTTCTTTCTTCACTTCTTTGCATAAAGACTTTCACGTAACTTCCAGTGGTGTAGTGCTATCAAAATAACAAGGGGGGCTCTTGCCCAAAATGTTGCGAAAAACAATAGCAAAAGTAGTGATCTGCCAATTTTCAGCCTCCCGAGCCCCCCTTGCTCTACACCCCTGGTAACTTCCGCTTCTTTTTCTTATTAACAATATTTTCTTCTTTATCTGTGCCTACCTTCTTGCTTTCTTCGTTCCCCCATACTTTCCTTCTTTTTACTTTTTATCATATTTTTCTACTAATTCTTCGGTCCTCTATATGTTTTCCTTTCCTTTTTCTATACAAAATACAGGTCATTTGCGAAAGTAAAAGTTAGCCCAATTTTCGAACAAGAGCACATTTTGGAACATCGTCGATTGCTTTACAAACACAACCGAGGTTCTTTCAAAAGGATAACGTCGCGATGAGCCATGACAAGGAAAATACCCGCCAGTGAAAATATTCCGCAGAAAAGTTAAAACATTGGACTACTCTGGGATGAAATAAGGGAACAAGGAAGGTAAAATATACCTTGATATAGCCTAAAAGTGCACAAGCACAGGATATATCATGGAGTCTGTTGATTAACAGATTTTACAAAACCATGGAGATGGATGAACCCTGGCGCAATACCTAGTAGACTGGTATTTTGAATTCGAATTGATCAGGCTTAATCTTTGCCGAATACGATTTGTTGAAGAATTTTCACAGTAAATTTAAGTTGGCTTCTTTTATCCATTTGTTGTTACAATGGCAGTGGATTATTTTTGGAGAGCGGACGATTATCATTCATACCATAAAACTGAAAGGTACGTCGTTTTTCTACTTTGTTATTTTTCTGCCTTATTATCGTATTGATGGTTCAAGTTAAAGTCCCAGTCTACTAATGAATGAAACTTTTGGATCTTATTTGTCATCTACTTCAACATCGTCATTTTCAGCACAGTGAATGGTCTTACTAATTTACCGCGCTTTGCGTTACTTTAATGTGAAGTGGTTTGACTTTTAAACCCTTTTATAAATGAATTAATTTTACATTTTAGATTCACTTTACTTGTTTTGGCACCAGGGGAAATATATTTTGAAGACTTTAGTGTCTTTTATTACCCAATTGAGAAGTCAGAAGATGAGGCATTTAAAAGGTAACATGAACCTAGACTTTTAATTTCATTTTCTCATATCTTGTTTAAGCTGGACTCTGTTTTGCACAAACAGGAAATTATTGCTAGATATAAGCTCTTACTTTTGGTGTGATCTTCTATATATTCAGATATAGTAATACTAATCAGTTGAAAACCCCAGAGCTAGCCAGAGAAGCACCAGAGCCATCTAAGGTGAATTCCATGTAAACATCAATCTGAAGGTAAGCCAAGGCTAGGCAAGGTATGCACCAAGGTTAATGTGCAATAAAAAAGAACAAATAACATAACAACAATTCAACCGTTTCCCAGTTCAGTGTTTTTGTGTGGATAGATGGAGAAGGGTAGAATTTGGACTATATGTGAAAGCTATTCGGCTTGTGATTTACATTTCTGTTTATAGCTCCTTCCAGGATGTACATATGAGAAGTGTGTAAAATGAGTGTATGGAAACCAGGTCTAAATGCCTGTCAAGCCTTCTCAGGGAAGGCATGCAGTACATATAGCCAGGGGCGGATTTAAGCAACAATGATTGGGGGTGTTAGGCATTAATTTTGGTGCCACACCCTTCAGGTCACTGGTTAATGATGGAAACGCCCATTTTTAAAATTTGGTTTTTAACTGTGGCATAGCCAGGTTTGGAAGATTGGTAGGCCAAAGAGAAAAATATTTTTGCTGATCACACCCCTAAGAATTTGGGAAAACACCCATTTTGTAAATTTGTTTGAAAAAGCCATGGCATTTTTACGTGGCAATTTCCCTTTATTCAATGTCATAGGTGGCTGACCATATTCTACAACTGTCTATTTCCTTCACAATTCCACTCATGTTTATATCCTAAATTGTGTAAGGCGAGGAATCTCTATGTGTAAAAAGTGATTTTCCAAAGTTGTAATCAATTATCTAAAAAAATTAACACTATTCAAAAGTTTTAAACCAAGTCCATTTTCTATGGAGCAAAGTCCATGACAAGCATTTCAGAATCCAGTTTTTTTAAGGGTTGGACTGCTTTAGCATTTTAGTTTCTATGTTATCAGGAATGTCTCATCAACGTAAAAGACTTTCTATACAAACCCCAAAAAAGGGGGAAATTACTGAATACCAAGGCTCTAATTACTGAAAATTTTTGCGACGATGCCCTTGAGATTAGTTTAAAATACATTTGAGAGTATCTCCTCGCTACGCTACTGATAAGAAGATAAAATAAATACTGATAAAAAATAAATGAAGTAAAATCTTTTGTTCCATTTTATTGCTACTGACTACCAACAAATGATTTTACCGAATGAAACAACATTTATGGAAGGACACAGAACTATTGGGGGTGTCGCACCCCCTACACCACCCCCCTAAATAAGTCCCTGCATATAGCCTACCATATCTTTGATCACTTCAATGATCCTCTAAGATCAGTAGATGTACTATTGCATTGTATTGTATTGTTAGCTACCAAGCTTTCAAGGAGTTGTTCTTCATGACACTGAAAAGCTATGCTTATCAAGCAGTGTCCTGGCTCTTCCTCTTATTGTAACCACATCTCCTGATTCCTACTTCTGGAATAACAGAGAGCTGGTGACTCTTCTCACTCTGAGGGAAAGTTTGATCATGTCAGGGATTCAAACCACAGACCCTTTGGTCTGTAGGCAGTACCTCTAACCATTGAGTCATCCTGGCATCCTAGCGTTCTATATGTATAACATTGGCATGTTTACAGTTATTTTTCCTTATCCATCAGAGAACATGAAAAACATTTCTGATAAAAAGCCACTTCAGAGGGCATACCCCCTACAAATGAACAACAGTTGAAACAGAGAGAAAATGCACATATCCAAACACGTTTTCAAACTCTGCCCCATCTAGATAGTTCTTCTCATAACTGGAGGCTGCTAAGAAATATGGCAAAATGCCAACAGCCCTCCACCATCCTCCTTCAGTATAATCAGACAGGAAGAAAATAGGCTTGTAATTTTTCTGTTGATAACAAGTAGGATTCTTCTCCTTAAGTTATTTTCAATTTTCCTTTTCATGTTGACTAATTGATAAGAATTTTTTTTAAATTTAAACTTAGATACTTTTATTGCTATTTTTATGTTCTGAATGTGGAACATTTCTGCAGGAAGCAAAAAGGAAGACTGAAATTATGTTCAAAGTCACTGGTCTTTGATCCTATTGATAGTTCATATCCAATGCTCAAGGTATGAATGTTCCTGACTCTTATATTCTGTCCATAGATATTCTCTTCTCATTGAACCAATGCATTAATTTGCAAATCCATCATCTTTGTCTTTGTTATCATTCTTGTGAATAAACAATATGTGCTATAACTTGATGCTACTAAAATCTTGATATATATAGTTATTCATTAACGTGTTTGGAAAAGTTTGTACTAATCTTCAACAGCTTCAGTACAAAGATTTGGTCAGTATAGGAAAATGGGATGGATCATTGCTGTCAAGGTATCTATCTATTCATTGTCTGCCAGTTTAAGAATAATTCTGTAGAACAATTAATAAGAAACTGAACTGAACATATTCTATACCTTGAACTACATTAATAACATAAAACTGTAGCATATCTCAAGCTAGAAGGTAGCTCTTTCTTCTCCTTAAATACCTTTAATAAACTTGCCTAGACTTTTGTGAAAAAGACCCTTTTGATAAAAAGAAAAATAGATAACAATTTTTAGCGTTCAGAGCATCAAAACTTTCAGCAAATATAAATCTAGCTAGATAGTGTAGAAGAAAACAGGTTCCAACATTTACAGGCTGACAAATTATTCTTGATATGTTGCAAGTGAAACCCTAGCTAAAGGCTTAATATGATGATGTTAAATTTTTTATTTTGTTGTCTAGGCTTGCCAGTCAAGGGGATATTCTGATGGTAGAGACAAAACAGGTAAGAAAACAGACAAGATGCACAAAGCCTGTTTTTTCTCCTTTTGATAAGAACTCCCAATACCAAGAATCTAAGTCCGATAAGCTTGATCATATGTTAGTTGTAGAGAGTATCCTATTTGTTTTTGCTGGTATGTTTTCTATCAGTGAAAACATTAGCATAACCTTTAGCAACCCTTTTCAGCCCTAACCTAGGCCTTATAGTATTGATAAATATGTTTTTTACATAGTGTATTCAGATGAAAGAGTCAGGGCTTTTGGGACCATACAAGCATATAAGGGTATGTATCAGTTTAATTGCTTTTACTCAGATACAAGAAGCATATTTTGTTTTCTCTTTTAATCTGGCTCATGCTGAAAATGTGAACACTGTTTATTGTCAAAATCTTTTAGTATATAGTTGCACATTATTTTTTCATGTATCTTTTGTTATGTCTTTTTTCTTTGTTTCTGTCTAAAGGAGAAGAAAAAGCATTTGTTTTCTTTGAATTTTGGGAGTCTGTCTACTACATTACCACTGATTGAGCAGGTTTGTATTGCATTCAAATATGTGTCCAGTCTAACCATAGCTTTAGGACATTCATTTAAGAGGCTCACATCCCAAAGGTTACCCTAAAATCATATTCACTTAATTCAGTCATCAAATGTGTTGATTATGGCATTTCTTCTAGGTAGCTTCTCAGACAGATAATAAAGCTCAAATTCAATGATGCCATAAAAATTTACTTTTAGAAGTTTTGACTTTTAGTCCTCAGAGCTTAAAGAAAATCATGAAGCATTTTGAAATAAATATTTGTAGTTCATAATGGTTATTTCTGTCTGCTTATTTTCTCATTGCTTTGACCTAACACAGCTTCACAGAGCATCTACATTGAATCCACACGATGAAGCCTCAATGGTATGTCGATACATATAAATATACCTCACTGTTGTAGTTCTTTGTGCAACTTAGATATTGCTAGAGGAAGCTCTCGTGGCTTATGAGATTTATTTATAATATATATTTATTTGCAACAGGACTCCATTTTCCCAGTCATTTTCTTGCAGCATATTGTAAAATAATTTTTCTCAATTGTGTTAAGAAGCATTATCTTGTTTCTCAGATTTAGTTGAGGGTCAATTTTTTAGTATTCCGCCATCACCATTTAGTTCAATATCAGTTACTATTGTCACATAATAATTGAATTTTTAATCTCCTCCTCTTACTAGATTGCAACAATAGTCCAATCAATTCAAGCAAGAACAGCATTTAATACAAGTTGGTGAGTTCCTATAGTATCACTGCTTTCTTTGTTTCTGAAGCATGCAAGCTTAAAGGCACTATGTCTCAGCCCATTTCGCTGGCCATTCAATTTTCCGAATGACTTGACTACACGAAAGGCCTATTGTTACATATCAAATCAGCAATGTAAGGTAAATTCTCAATGTTTTCCTGATCATGAACGTGCTGCAAAACCTATTATTAACCCTGAAAGGTTGCTAGAAATAAATGTAATCTGTCCTTAGCTTGAATATCCTCAAATTCATATCAATCTTTCAGGATCGAAGACCTTTATGAGAAGATCATACTTGAAGTAACAGGTATTTGTTTGTTGTTACTGTACCCTCTTGCATTAAAATCTTTAATAAGAAACAGCTTATCATAATCAGAAGGATTCATATTTAACGCAATGTGGTTTGAAATATTCCACTTAGACTGATTTCACTAATTATATTAAACATTGTTAATGTTCAGCTGATAATTTCCTGAATCGAAACATTTAGAAATTGGGATTCATAATGATGCAAATATATTGATTATAGGGGAGAAGATAACACCTCTTGTCTGCAATCCTGGAAAAGTTCTTCTTACATCATCAAGACTTTATTTTCAACCATTTAATAACGTTGAGCCGGTATGTAATTATTTTTATGTTACAAAGTACTTTCTATTCTGTTTTGCCAACTGAGAGCAAAGTAGAGATTGCACATTTCAGGAATAAAAAAACATAGAAATATCCTACTGTTCTAGCAACAATTATTGAGAGCTTTTCCAAAGTATATAATGTTAAATCTATTTAAACATACCTACTTCTTCAACAATGTAGTTTAGTGTGTTGTACGTCGAATAAGGGTAAAGAAAATTAGCATGTTTAAAATTCGACTTTGTTCATGAAGAAGTGATTATTGTTACCCGATGAAGCATCTTAGCTCGAAGCATCTTAGCAATGTTTATTTTTTCAAGTACAAAGTAAATTCTTTATTAAGTTACAAGATGTTTGATGCCTACTTCTTTTCAGTAATAGTGTAAATTTTGATTTGAAAAAAGTGATGATTTTCGAAACAATATCGTTGTTTACTTGTGCAATGTTGTTTATTTCTTTTTCTAGTTACCAGTTATCAAAGTAAAATTGTCTGATGTAAGCAAAGTCATAAAAAGAAGATATTTGCTGAGACATGTGGTAGGTGGAAAAATGTGGCGCGAATTAAAATTACCTGGTGCTTTTCTGAAGAATGGCCAAAGGAATGGCTGTAGTGTAGTAGCAAAACGAATTAAAAAGGGGAAAAGAAATTTGAGTGATGGCCTAGCATAGACATCAGCCAAGAATCGAACAGAGTGTTCTCGACAAATCAATTTAAAATGTATCTTTTACTTGGCCTAACAAGTAAGAACTGAGTTTGGATTGTGAATATTAAGCAAAGTCTTCGACACAAATATTTTTAAAAAAACCGGAAACTTTCAAAATGGCTGCTTTGAGAAATGTATATCAAAATTAAATACCGTATTATAGTAAGATTTACACAATCAAGATAAACGAAGAAGGTAATTTGAACTGAACTAAGGGCTGTTTTCTCAGATAATGGGCAAGGTTGTTTCATCAAGAAGCACGTGGCTTGTTGAGTTGAAATTTCTGGGCTAATTTTTCAGTATATGCAGATAGTCAGCATGAAAACAAGCAAATAATTTTTACTGGCATTGATTAGAACGTTTTGTTATTTATTTTGCATTTGTGTTCCAGGGTTTGGAGATATCTTCGTCAACATCAAATCGTCCTTTATATCTTGTTTTTGAATCTGAAGAAATTAGAAATTCTGTTTACAATCGATTGCTTGAGCAAGAAGGTATGTGTATGTATGTATGTGTATGGGGGGCAGGGGGGAGGGCAGCTGCCCACATATGTGTAAGTCATGGCAGGTAATAGTGTCATAGCCTCCCTCCCAACTTGATTGAAATGTAGTTACCCTGAAAAAGAATTATGAATGAATAGAGCGAGTTCTGATTGCTCCTAACATTGAATGTTCCAGATATGGTCCTCATTAAACCAATGACTCCTCCACAAATTAATATTTCTTGTTTGCACCCTACCTATGCAAGATTATAGTCTTGATATGTTGTTCTGTTTTAAAAAACATCAAAAGAAGTTCTCACAGAATCATAATCCACTGTAATTGATTGACTTTCCAGAAGAAGTATTTAAGTAGACATTAAGGTAGACGAATGTTACAGATGAATTTAGCAGGTCAAATGAAAAAGAGGAGTTGTTTTTTGTACTTTTGAAGATCTCTCATTGGAGGAATCAGAGCAAGAAAACATGTTGCTGAAATGGCAGGCGGGCGCCATTTCGAATTTCGACTATCTAATGTATCTAAACAGGTAAGGTAAAATGAAACCTTGTCAGATTTTCAATTTCGCATGAATTTTAACTCTTTTTAAATTTTTGGAAACTGTCAGTTGATATTTAGGAATTTGCGGTGGATGTAAATGTTTTGATGCCTGAGTGACATGTGTGTTAATGCAAAATTTGCAATGTTTTTACTTAATTGATATTTTTTATATATCTATTAAAAGAACTAACAACTTTTAAGCAAATTCTCTAATACTGAGCTATGTTTTGCTAGAAGAATTCATATATTGTGTGTTACACTTTGATAAATTTCTGCAGAGTTTTCCAAATACAGTAGATGCCTGACGTTTGCCGAATTTTACTGACATCTTAAAATTTCCTATGAAGTTGCCTATCTTTAGTCAATCTCGCTGTTAATGTTGATCTATGTTTTAACTTCACGTTAATCCTAACGAAGTCATTTATTTACGGTTTCTTGGCATTTTTAGCCAAGCTGATCGAAGTTTGAATGACATAACACAGTATCCTGTCTTCCCATGGGTGATTCGTGATTATGAGAGCGATCATCTAGGTATTTCATTATATACTTTGATTAAGTAGTTGTGAAATTGTGAAAATTTTGTTAACGAGTAATCCATGCTTATAGACAGTGCTATACATACTTCGGTGTATAGAACAAAACACGTTTTTAATTTGCAACTATGATTTTCACCGTTCCAATTCCATATAAAGATAATAACTTCAGTATTTGATATGAAACTCAGTTCTCATTTAGGCATTCTGAGAGAGATATAGCTTCACTTTTTCCCGAAGCTTGTACTAAAACACTAGGTAGCATTGTACTTTTTCTAGTTCTGATCAAAACTGAGCTCCTATTCTACAAAAAGTGGTCATCAATAAAGTGCCGGATTCCAGTAACTGGCTCATTATTGCTAGAAACCTTTTTCTAATTTTACAGTTGACTATTATTGCTTTACTGCCATAAATCATGTTTTTAGTTTCTTTCTTCGGTTCACTTCCCAAAGTCAATCTGCAATTGTTTAATGTGTGGAGCAAAAAAATGTTCGTATTTGTCCGATGTACAATACACTTCCAAAAATTTCAACCGGGCCCAACCTGTTACTCAAGATAGGCCATCTCAACCCGAGTTGGTTGCGATTGCACAGCAGAATTTTGATCTTGGTTTGCTCAATCCGATTGACTTGGTAAATTGGTGAATAATGATAACAGTGTTTAATTTCCTTTGCACAATTTACCTTTTCATTCTGTTCTAAAAATAAGTAAGATTTTTTTCATTTCATGTTAAACCGTAATAAAAAACTTTTTTCTAGACTTGGAAGATCCTAAAACGTTTAGAGATTTATCAATACCAATTGGAGCGATTGACAAGTCCCGCTTGCAGCAACTAAAGGTAGGGAGCTTTTTTCAACAACAATACTTTTATGATTCATGCATTCGTATTATTGATCGAAAAACAAAACCAAGGGAATTAGAGATAGAAATCAATGCTAAAATACGGAGTATTGTATCGTGCTTTTCAATGTATCCAATCTTCTCGTTTTTATTATTATTGTTCCAAAAAAATGATTCTTATTGCTTATTGTGTAGAAGTATCTCTAGTTTTTTTCAAAAGCTCGCTCCAGGTAGCGTCAAAATGAGCCAGATACTTTCTGGGGTCCTTGGTCCTGGGACTAACCTGAGATCAGATCTTCTTCTGTTGATGACTCTAGCTGGACCTATTGCTCACGCCATCCTATACGATAACGTGCTAATAGCAGTGATTTTGTGGGGCCCATTTTCTTTCATAAGCACATTCTTCATATTTATTCTGTCTAGGTCCGCAGCAAATCAATGCCAGAACCGAAGTTTCTGTACGGATCTCATTATTCCACGCCTGGTTTTGTTTTATATTACTTGGTACGAGTCGGTAAGAAAGATTTCTTCATTTTTTGCTCGTTGTGTCTCTCGCTTAGTAATTTTATCTGGTACCAAAACCTCTACCTGTTTAACCTACGATTGGAGAAGGATATCGAGGTTTCATGGAACTGGAATGAATATAAAGGACACGTTACCCACCTTGTATATTTTCTTGCACCATGTGCTATTTATTTAGCTCTGAATGTTTCTCTTTCAGCATTCTCTCTGCTGTCTTATTCACTATGTTTCCCTTTTTTCCCCTTTTAAGGTGTTCATTAATCCATTTTCTTTGTCGTGACAAGTTGTCAGCAAATTTTTCTTCACAGATTACTTGCATTGCCGCAAATCACTCATTCAGTTAGAAGTTTAAAATAGGTGATATGTTTCTTTTTTAATATAGCACCTGAGTACATGCTTTGTCTGCAAAATGGAAGGTTCGATAAAGCAGATCGCCTCTTTAACAGGTACAATTTGTGCTCCATGCATTATCTTGCTAGTGAAACTGTCAGAGATTTTCAAAACATAAAGTCTTTGATACATAAAAGTCTCAATGCAGTCGAAAACGAACAGGACTTCCGTTTACCGTGCCTTTAATTAGTGCTTTCTTTTTGCTTTTTGTAACCTTTATAACCCTGAAATATTTATTAACTATTCGTATTTCTACCTCTTAGCTTTCCTAGTCTAATAATTGTAAGTGACTGGAGCATTAGATTTGGACCAGAAGGCGACTGTGTTACTTTAGATGCGGATGAAACCAATAGGAATATCGACGCCCCTAATTATCTTTGCTCTTACCAACCATGTCTTCTGACCACACATGTGATTAAAGAGACACGGCGACCTTCCAGTCTTGCTTAGATTGAGCTTCTATTATAGACACAATCTTACATTTCTGCTACTTTGCCTTTATTTCTTGCATTTTAAAGTATGCATCGATTTTAAAATTCATCTTTAAGCGAATTTATTTCCTTCTTTCTCAGTATTAAATCTTGTTGGGATAATTGCTGTACAGGGCATTCAGACTTCAAAGAGGTAGGCTTATTGCCATTTCTCTGTGATTTTGGTTTTTAAAAATCAATATCGCTCTAGTGATTTTTGTAAAAGGAATTTTATTTAATTGGAGTTCATCATACGTTCGTGGCTTATGCCAGCAATATAGCTTTAAAGCTCTTTGTTATTTCAAATTAGTTAGCTCACATTATTTCAAAGCTCACCTTGTTTCACACCTTGTTTTAAATCTTACCTTGTTTTAGAGTTTTTTCCATATTGTCCATTGTCTTAATGATCAGCTTATCAGGAAAAGATTAGTTCCAATATGAAGCGGGGAAAACCCCAATATATTTCAAATGGCATAGTGATTTTACCAGCACTCAGGTATTGATAAATCTAATATTATTTTCATGAATACATCCGATAATTTGCTTTTTCAGTTGATTCCAGAATTTTATTCCTCTGATGGGAAATTTTTGCAAAATAGAATGAATTTACAGCTTGGAACAAGACAAGATGGAGTACGAGTGCATCATGTGGCTTTGCCTCCTTGGGCTAATGGTAATATCAATAGAAATTTATCTTCGATTCAATATCGTTTTTGATTATGTGTGAGAATGGCCCCTATGGTAAGGGTCGCAGACTGGAAATCTAACAGTCTGAGTTTCGAGTTTCACTCAGAGTGAGGTGAATCACATGCTGTCTGTGGTTCCAGGTATAGGAATCACGAGGTGAGGACTCATCAAGAGGAAGGACCAGGACACTACCCAATAAACATAGCTTGCCCAATAAACCTCCTAAAATTTGTCTTCGAAATTGCATTATGCTTTATACTTGGAGACAGCACTGCCATCATTTCTTTCTTAAAGCTATCGCGGTGCCTGTAAGTTGTCTGGATAAAATGCAAGCCCGTTTGAATAATTACAATAGGTCAATTGTTGAAAGAGTTTAATTAGAATTCACTCTAATTAATGGGAGGATGGCTCAATTGTTAAGGACTCTAATTATAGACTCAAGGGTGTTTGGTTCGAGCCCCTGACATAACTTTTCTCAGTATGAGGAGAGTCATCAGCTCTCTGTAATTCCAGGCGTAGAAGTCACGAGGTATGTTTACATCGAGAGGAAGTACCAGTACACCTTAACAATACAATGTGTTCAGAGTCCCCTCTTACAGCGTCTGAGTATGCTGATCAGAATAGTACTGATGATGTCATCAGTGTTCAAGGCTCGGTTGTGTTATGCTGACGAAGTTGATTGTAGTCTGAGTATTATTTTCAAACGTAGAACAGTGGATATAGTTAAAGGAGCAGATAGTAGCAGGGCGTTAATGCTATTGGTTCTAGCAAATTTAGATAGATTCTTTCTTAAATAAATTTGTTTGTAAGTTAAGTAGGTTCTGAATATTAAATTATACATTTCTAATTAACTTGCCGCAAACTATGGTATAAGATTTTTATTAATGTAAAAAGGTTTCTTCTGATTTTCATAAGTCACTATGTTTCTGCGTTTAAAGAACTTTCAATTGGTTCGCTTGAAGGCTAGCTTTACTTCTTTTTTTGGTACATTACTTTTTTCTAATATTTTTGTTATTTTTTCGCAACATAGGCGAGTATAAAATTTTACCAAGGTTTCGTAATTTTTATTCAACGTATTTTCTCTCGATTCTACTAGGTTTACTTACCAAGTTTTTCTCGACTCTACCTTTTTAACATAGCAGTTGTATTTTTCTACTTGTCTATTTTCGTAACCTTTTTTATTTAGTTTTTGCCTATTTTAAAAAAATTCTTTCATTTTTTGGCTAAACCGCTAGATGGTTTAATTAATCCATTCTTGTTTCATTCTGCAGACGCCAAAGATTATATACAAAAATCCCGAGATGCATTGGAATGCTCATATGTCTCAGAGAATATCCATCACTGGATTGACTTGATTTTCGGTTACAAACAACGTGGCGAAGAGGCATGGAAGGCGGACAATGGTATGGTATATGTAGAAAAAACATTTATATTTCTTTAAGTGGAGCGTGAAAGAAACAAGATAGAAATAGCAAAAACCACATTCTTCTAAGACTATCGGATTATAAAGAGAGGAGAAGAAATTCTACGTGTAAAAAACAAAATTTTAATGTAGAAATAGTGTAAGAATATTGTCAGATATGTATTGTTCAAAAGTTTTCCTTTCTCTATCTTCAAAAGTTAATATTTTTGCAAGGAGCTTAGACTTCTCTTTTTATAGTGCACTCTTTTCTAAAGATTATGCCCCTTTGATTTCATCGTAACAACTTTTTCGCATTTTCCGCCTTGAAATATGTATTCTAAAGAATTAATTTGAGATAAAAATATCAATGGTTCCCCTACTACGTAATTTGACATAATATTATGTTTTAATTGCAGTCTTCTACTACCTGACATATGAAGGTGCCGTTGATCTTGACACGTAAGTCCTAGTATTTTTAAGCAGTATGCTTGGGTATCATGTACGTGATTTACAGACAACTTTTTTAGTGTACATTAATATAAACAGAAAGCTTTGAAAAATATAAACATTTGAAAAAAATATGCAAGTTTTTTTACTCTGTTTAGAGTATCTCGAAACTCTGCCAATTACCCGAAACATGTCGCCATTACAGTTGTAAGCACCAGCCGTGTTTCCTAGTAAATGCTGTGCGATGGTAGAAGTTTTTAGATCCTGTGTTTGATTAGTTATTCTGATGTTTAATTCCTTTAGTGTACTAGGTGTAAATTTCATTTTTTTATATTTGAAATCCAGAGATATAATCATGGATGATTTGATTTTTAGCATCACCAACCCTAACGAGCAAGAGTCTTTAAAGCAACAAATTCTAGAATTCGGACAAACACCAAAACAGTTATTTATGCATCCACATCCGCATCGTAAGGTAAAAGATTACTTGCTTCTATCACTATTCTCATCTTGCTTTTCACCAAGACTGATGAAAGTTCATTTAAAAGCCATGTCGTAGCAGACAGTGTCTTACAAACAATATCCATTATCGGGTTTTTATAGACTAGTACTTTTTGGACCCTGAGTTACTTTGATAATTCTTGTTTACCCTAGGCACAGAACATACCACACCCGATACCACTAGAAAGTTTACTTGATACTGATGAACTGGCTCATCATGGATTAAATGAGGAGGATATTCCAGTCATAGAAGTGAAATGTGAGTTTTAAAGCCAAAGTTATCATACTTTTGAAAAATTAAAGTGATCCGAACGTATTGCTTTACAGTGAAAAATGAAACATTAACATGTAATGTTATTTGTTACTTTATTTTGTTGATTCATCCGTTCAGTGATATCATTTTTTTACCTAGTGGAAGATATTGATTCATCACAGAATCTGGATGAGAAGAAACCTTTGGAAGATTTGTGCAATCTGAAGCTTGTCCGTACAATGAAAAGTCACAAAGAGTAAGTTATTTATTGAATCTATCGGGTGCACGTGAAAGGCTGCGCATAGATTAGCATTCATCTTTGCATGTTTTTTTAGTATTTAGTTTTATTAGAAAAAGGTCTGCCCAGCACAGCTATTCTTGACATCATGTATGTTAATTGAATTTGCTCTCGTTTATTTGTGTCAAGTACACTTGATAGCAAAGAGCCAGAATGTGATGATCAAACCAGAAGGCTTTTCCCACCATGATTATTAAAATAAAGCATGATTATAATGGCTAGACCCCACCTTGTCTTCGATATCATCGGCATTAAACCCATAAAGGAGAAGCGCTCAAAGATAGACAAATAGTCATAATGCGCTTCTAAATGTAACAGGCAAAGCAAAAATCTTTCTAATGCTACCAAGAAATATTTTTGAATAGGTTAAAAGAAGATGGCCATTACTGCATACATTTAATGCTTTCATAAGAAAACCATCACCAAAAGTCTTGCCCACCCTTTCTCACGAGCTAAAATAAAGGCGTTGATGTGGGGTACAAAAAAACCTTGATAACAGGCTTTGTACCCAGATCTTTCATGCTTTCAAAATTTTTTTTATTTGTTTCTTCCCAGTGCGGTTTTAGGTCTTAGTATCTCCGAAAAAGAAGACAATATTTTTTCAGTCTCTCTAGGTAGGTGAAAACTTTGCTGGTATTCTTATGAATAGGCTTGCAGAACGTTATTCATTTCTCTGTACCACCTTTTTCATTTTAGCTCTGTGTTAGGCCTAAGTGAGTGGTTGCAGATCTTTTCCCAAGATCTCTCTCTCTTTTTGAGGCTTAGTTTAGACAGCGCGTTATGGGCGCAGCGAATTATTTTGATTTATATTTTGATTCATAACGCGCTGATAATGCGCCCAAGTGAGCGCATTATGAGCGAATTCAATTATTTGCTTCGCTCTCGGATTTAGTCAGCGAATTAAGAGCGCATTAAATTGACACTCACAATGTTTTATGGTCAATGATTTAATTCGCTGCGCCCATAAAGCGCTGTCTAAACTACGCCTGAGCTGCAAGAATTGCAAACGTAAAATCATGTTTTGAATACCCATGTGAGAAATGCCTATATGTGGAAAGGGCCCTTCCGGCCGTTAGCCACGATATGCAATTCCATCGGGAACTTTGAATTAGTCTCAGAAGAATAGAACTGTAAGTCTTTGCACAAAAGCCCTTTCAACTAGTTTGTTACTCGAAAGGCCGTTTTTGTGGGATGCTTTTCCTGTTAATTCATACAGTCATAGGGATTTATATAATCTTTGAACCTGTGAATAACTGTTTCGGAAGCAAAAAGCTCTAGCCAGATAACAAGCCCAGTATGATACAGTAATGGACTGGTAATCAGGCTACAAAGGCCCTAAATTTCATAAACCTGGAGTTTCGTTTGTTACAATTTGCCTAAAACTTCTTCGACTCCTTCAAAAGCAACAAAAGGCATTAATTCTCGGAGTTAAGGAAGAATTCGGTGGAAGCAAATGAGATTGTTAAATGCTAAGTTCGCAAAGTATTAGTTCTAATGGCGCCAACCTAAACTTGATTCGGATAGCAACCCGAGTTGTCAACGTATTCTACGGCAACTCTTATTGGAACTCTAATCTTTATCTGAATGTTTGAAGTGCATGAAGGAAATATAAATTCGTCTACCTTTGTTTGTGCGATTCCAGATGCCTTTATAATGATTCGGCGGCCAAAGTGAAAGAAAACAGTAAACATTATTGTGCTGAATGATCCATTTTCCACAAATGACATTTTAAGGTTATGCAGCACTTTGAGTCAACAAGGCTTGTTGCTTTCTTTACCGAAATCCCCGAGGGTGATTTTGCAGAGCTTCCTGGCCGCTTTTCATCCCTTGGGAAAAGGACCAAGAAATTGGAAATATGCCATTGTTTCCGGCACTCTTTCATGCCATTTTTTAACAAGCATAAAGGCCCTTACCAGAAGAGTATTCGAATTTTATCATTTTCGGACGATGGAGACATATCAATTATAATTTTTATTTTATTACATCTAATTCATCCCTCTAAAGGCTATGACAAGATTCACTTGACTCTTTTAGATTCACAACTGAAAATGAACAGTTTGGAAGACGGTACTCAGATTCGGGGGATGAATTTATCAAGCATGGTAAATAATGTTATTCGGATACGCTTAGTTTTTCTCTGAGCCGGGCAGTCGTCGTGTGAGCCTTGGGTGCAAAGGTTTTAGTTCAATTACCAATCGAGAAACATATACTGGACCAAATACCATATGCCTTTTTTTCATTCTTTCTGCTGCCACCAGGTGATTATCTAAAGGGGGTATTTGATCAGTCAAATTAACTTTAATACTTTTTGGAGAGTCCGTTAAGAATAAAGGCTGTAGACTTGTGGGTGTCCACAGACTGTGACTAATCTAGTATAGACTGTGACATCCAGCCTCCACAGACTGTGACTAAAATAGTTACTGGCGCTGCTGATAAACTTTCTGGCCCCTAAACTGCCCAGGGAAGCACTATCACGAATCTTCTTTTTTCCTAGGCACTGTCTTGTTGTGTGCTAATGCCAAACTCAGATTTAGTGCTGGTTGGCTCTTGGGACAATAATCTGTGAGTAAATGTCTCCGAAAATATGTTCTGATATTGCTATGGTGTAACATACCAAGGATATTATTGCAAAGAAGGTGTATTTGTATTACCTCCTCTGTTGTCAGCAGCATTGTGCATTATTGTGTATGTTATCTTCTCTGATAGATTTCTTTGTAAGGCTCACATCTATTGCAGTCAATTAAGAGCTATGATTATGTGACAATTTTACGATCATTAGCCCATGTAGATAAACTAACTTCGATATCAGGTTGTTGATTGCAACTAAGAATGAACTGCTCCTTCAAGATTCACCATTTTTTACCAACATTTTATTTGCATTACTTTTATTTTGAGTTTTTCTCCACCCTCAAGTCGTTTTTTTGAAACCTCAAAGGATCTAGAGGAAATGACTAATTTATACTCTCTTGTAGATACGTTTACTCAGTGGACTTTGGAAGGGCAATATTTGAGAGTAATATTCATAATGATGCAGGTAATGTCCAGTTGGCTATGCTCATCTTGTCTTTGTTTTGTTATGATGTAGGCAAACAAATTACAGAAAGAGAAATCTTTAGATAATTAACTGTATTTTCTAGAATTCACGAAAAAAGACAGTAAATTTTTTCGAAATCAAGAAAAATGTTTCAGGATTCCTCGTGTAAACATCGAGGCAATAAGCAAGTCATCCAGTGGTAAGAAAGTTGTGAAACCCTGAAGGAAAATTGGTTATGAACTTTGTTAATTTTTTAACATTAATAATGATAAATAGTTTATTAAAGGCCAGCCACTAACTAAAACGAATATATGAAATTAACTAATCAATCGTATTTACATTTTTTCCCTACAAACTGCAATTCTATCAATTGATTATCTTTAAGATCCAAAGTTGCAGTTACCAAATTGAGACTTTTTATTTTCTTTTGATATCCAGCCAAAATAGAAGACTCTTTTATTCATCTGTTATAGTATCTTCAATGTGTTGGAAGAACAATATTTTGGTGACAGCTTCGTGGGATTCAACTGTTAAGGTTTCCATTTTCACCTTTCTTTTTCTAATACCAGCTGAAAAACCGTTTGCAATTCTGACGGCTCCCCAGATTGCAGGTCTGATGGCTATGTCCTCATAACAGTTTGCATCGAATCCCCAGATTTCAGTATAGAATTTTTTGCTTGCGCAATCATAATACTTTGATAAAATCATACACCGTGAATGAATATTCCCAATTTTAGATTGGTTTTCAAAAAATCAAGATAACATTTCTACTTTTGAAGTTAATAAACCTTTATATATAATCTCAGGTATGGTTCTTCGATCCCAAGCAATTCTCGAAAAAGCGTGGTCCTCCAGAACTGCAGGTAAGAATTTTACGAATCTCTAGACAAAGGGGATGTTCTCTGATTTTGCTCAGAGGAAACAATTAGCCCCAAATCATCATACTTATAAATTTGCATTTGCATTTTTCATTTACTTTTTGTTGAACCTTGGCCAAGGTGGCCCATATTTGCAACCATAAAACTCGAGGGCAACCCGATTTAGCTAAAAAGAAACCTGTCAAGGTTGGGCATAGCATCAGCAAATCCATTGAAGCATAATGTTGATTAGGCGTTTTTGACAAGGTATTGCTCTAAAAGCCATTTGACTTTTTCAAAGACCTTAATGCATCATTGCTTCTTTGTAGGGAGAGCTTGACCATGATACAGAGGTTAGTTGCTGAATTCTTCGAAATCCTAATTATGATATATTTTGCATCCTGTCTGTAGTGCTTTTATGACGTCTGCAATGCTCAATAGAAATATCTCTAGTCGTCGACATTTTCAAACCCTTCCGGCAGTAATGAATTGCGCCTTTTTTGAGAGAGAAATTTCAGTTTTTTACAACCCTTCAAAGATACATAAAACACTTATATTTTGTCAAGAGAACACTGATCTATCGGAAAAAATACCTGCGACATTATTCATCCCATATGAATATTACTTGGAGGCAAATATAATGAATATGCAGCGCTGTACACTCTTTGGTGTACACAACTGGACGGAGAATTTGCGTGTAAACAATATAAGCTTTTTTAATTAAAGATCTGCTTAAGAATCTATTCTAAGAAGGTTAGAGATATAACATATGTAAATAGTTTTATAATACGCAATAATATAACCATAACACGAAAATCTGCAGAAAGCTCAGGAATGTCTCATCCTAAAATCAACCTTTCTCCCAAAGTCCGAAACACGGGAGTGCGTGCACAAGGACTGTTGTCACCTTGTCATCGAAAGTTTTAAATAGGACCCTGACTATTTAGCAATTTTGCGACTCAGTCTCTCTTTGATGAATGCGATTGTAATCGAGTTTCAATGGACCCTTGCCCAAGAGTCGTCATAACCTTTAAGAGTTTCTTAGAATGATAATATTTTTATTGAAAATACAAGCTAGAGTTGTTTTTCCTCCTAAGTTTCACAGCATGCAGTTTTTAGCCTAATGTTCGTTAAGCCCAATCTCCAGTGAGAAAAAAAACTGCGAAATGCGAAAAAGTTCGCGCGAAATACGTCTTAGGCATGCGCAGTAATCTTTTGCTGGGATTTCTCGCGAAGAATTTCTCTGCGAAAAAAAGTTAAAATGAGTTTAACTTTTTTCGCTTTTCGCTTGCGAAATCCTTCAACAGCCAATCATATTCCGTATTCTTTTGTCACGCTTCCAAACTTTACATTCCAATGTCGTGAGGTCAACAAAAGCATTCAAAGGAATTTGTCGCGTGAAGTATTTCGCAGCGAAATTTCGCAAGACTTTTTCTTACTGGAGATTGGGCTTTAGACATACTTTTGTAAAACTGATTTATCATGATATCATGTGCCTCGTAAATTCACAGGTTACAGCTGTTGACTTGCATGTAGATGGCGATGAGAAATTGATTGTATCTGGAACCAAAGATGGTAAGATTTGACTCATTGGAACAGTTCACTCTGTTTTTGAATATACGCACCTTCTTTTCCATTTGATTTTTAAAATTCTCAAAAATTCAATTTACCTTAACATAAATCGCAAATTTACTGAGTTACTGTATTTTACAAACCAAGTATTAGATACAATACTAATTTTCTTGTATAAAGTATAAAGTACACAATAATGGTAGAAAGTTGTGTGATGGGGAATTTCTTGTGGAGAAACTCTCTAAGTAGAAAAACTAAAAGAGGAGAAGTCGAAGTAAACTAACTTTGAAATAACGATTCTTTAAATTTAGTACATGAGAGTAAATCAAGAAAAAATTAAGTTGCTTTTATAATACCCGTAGGGTAACAGTTTCATGTGTGTTACAGGTTGAATTGTAAAGACAAACCTTTTTTCAGATGCAATTTGTAGGTAGTGTTATTAGAGATGTTTCGAGACTAACTAAGTGCAGAAGAAAACGATATAAATTGACACTAATAAGGACAATATATATAGGAAAGTAGCTGACTGAATAAAAATTGGAAGTTCCTAAGGACAGTAACCGAACCACTAGAAGAAATATCAATTAGTGCTGGGTCCTTTTGATATATTCTTCGGTATTAGTTGTTCATATGTTAGAAAGAAAACCGCTGAAGTTTTCAGGACTTCTTTATTGATTTTGCCCTTTTATATCCATTCGCCTTAAAGACAAAAACATTCAAATTTTTTTTCCAGGGCATATTTTTCTCTGGAATCTTGATTCTATGGTCCTGCGAAGCCAGCATTGGAGTAAGTTTTGAAAGATGATATCCTTGGTATAAGTGATGTCGTGTTATACAAATTCTCCTCTTTATATCCTCTCTGGATTTTTTTATTACTAATGCAAACACTTCTTTTTAAGATCATCAAGATGTTGTCACAAAAGTTGTTTTCAGTCCAGGTTTGTTTTCTGTTTAAACTCCTGCCATATTTGTTCTTTGTATTAATTTCGATCAGATTGGAACGGCGGTAGATAGAGCAAAGTTTTTCTGAGTTCTAAGTACTTGGATTTTGGTAACTTTCACTCATTGAAAACTGGTCTTGTTTACTTGATTTTCAAAAAGCCAAGATTTATGCAAAAAACTGCGTTTTACGTCATCAGTTCCCAGTTACATTCCCCTGTGTTGATAGTGAAAAGTTTTGTTTTTATAGATGGTCAAAGAATCCTGAGTTGTAGTGAGGATCAATTCATGAAGGTGATTGATGTTGACACTGGGCTGGAGATTTATTCAAAGGACATTGATCAGCCAATAAGGTAAGGAAAATTCCTAAATATCCTTAAAAGATTCACCTTTCTGCATCTCTATCCAGAGTTCCTTAAAAAGAAGGTTACTTTATCTGGCAATGATTTTAAACCAAAGCCTGTTACATGTTGCAGCCATACGATCACTGACTGTGAAATAAATTTCTCCTTAGACACGCATATTTCTAATTAAAGCAATTTACTAAAGTTCGATCAAACGTCTCAGTTAGTGGGGAAATAAGACTTTTTCAAGACTTCATGTCTTGTTTCCACGTGTCTCAGAAGTCTATATAGGGAGCACTCTACCTGTATGTTGTAAGGCAGTAAGCCGCCGAAACAGGGCCTTGAAATTTCAGACGAGATAAACGATTGTCGTTTTGAGATTTTAATCGAATACCAGTCAGCAGAAATCTCTATCCAGCAGTAAACTAAGATACTTCCTAAACAATTTTGTGTTTCTTTTTGGTAATCATATCGTGTCTCAAGACTTTTACATTGTCCAATTGATGCTTGCATCTTGGTTTTACCTATTTTGATTTGATCTTACTTTTACAGCGGTTTTTAGCCAAGCACAAACCAGTATTTGACAATTGTAATAGTTCTTATTGTTTTTATGCCAATGTTAACAGATCCGCATCATCTGATGGTCAGCTGGTTGTTGCTGGGGTCGAATCAGGCGATGTTGTTATTTGGGATCTGATAAAGATGAATTGTGTCAATACAATTAAACTCAGTGAAAGTATGCAACTATTCCTGTATTTCAAATTTCCTGCTTTGTTTTACCCTCTCTTCTCTTACTCTTAAGGTTCAAATTTCAAATTTCCCTTTATGTACTTAAGCTCCTAAAAGCCTTCAGAAAAAATAGTAGCATCTTTCAAAAAAGACGTCATAATACCTTGCTGGTAATTAATGTTCTATAAGTGATTTTGCAAAGCATTCTTCTAACAAGCATTATGTACCATTTTAAAGAGTAAATTTATATTGTGTTTTTGTCCCATAAAATGATCTTGCGATACCATATTGATTTATTTTAGTCAAGCTAATGGCTCTGTAGTTAAGTACGAGCCTCTGACTCCGTCAACTGGGGTTCAGATTCTTGCTCTTAGATATTGTGCACAGCTGGCTCTTGATGATTCCTGGTAGAAATCAAGAGGCGTGGCTCATTGAAACGAAAACAAAGCTGCTCGAGATTTTCTGCCTTTGAGCACTCGTATCACTTTGTCTTTGCATCAAAACTTTGTCCTTGGTAGCAATGGATTCCAAAAACCCACTCAGCAAGGGCTTGTATAGGGTTTGTGTCTGCAAAAAATCTTTTAAACCATCATTATCTTTATTTTTCTCTGACTCTTCCACAGAACCTATTCGAAGCATTGGAGTGTCAGCAAAGTCGAATATCGTTGTCGCTGGTAGTGACGACGGACACGTGTTTGTTCTCAAGCCAGCAGGTTCCCAACTATAATTCCTTTTTCAATGAAATTTAAATGACTTTTCAAGATATTTTTTCAACCGCTTTCTTTTTATCTAATTATCCATGGTAGTATGAATTTCAAAGGAATTTAGCATCACTTCCAGTTGCATTTGAACTGACGGGTATTATCTTTGAGACTTTTATAAATCTTCACCCTTCAGTTCACTTCATTCGCTTTGATATATGTACGGCCTCATTCACTATAAAATAAACATTTTCAATATGCAAGCATGCGTTTTTAGCATTCTCGAACGTTTTGAAAATATTATTGGGAAAGATTTCACTGCAGTATTTTTATAACTATGAGCAAAGGTATTTAATTTTTCTCAAAGAGAATAACCGGCAAGTATAAAGAATATAATGCAAAAGTTTTGTTGGTGCCTTCAATTTTTCTCAACAGTTTAGTGGGAAGACACTGATTTTGTTCAGTTATTGTAGCTAAAGTTGAACGTATTATATTTGTTCGGATATATCAGGCTTTTCTTCCAATAAACAAACCTACCCCCCCCCCCCTCCCTATTTATATGTGAATGGACTTGACACTTTCTTATTCGTGTGTTAAGTACGGGATTGTTTCTATATCCCACTGATTTTCTGATTCTGAATTTTACACCACATTATTTTTAAGATGCTGTTTGTATGCAGGATCAATGGCATCGTCTTTAAATTGTCTGACCCGATCCTCAATGCTTGGAAAAACAAACTACCAAGTTTATGCATCCAATAATCAGCGCAGTAGTCTCCCTCGGGCATTGTAGGGCATATTTAGTAAATGTAGACAGCCACAAACTTATTTTGTTCTTGGTGGGTTTGTGCTGTCTTCTTCTGTCCTTTAATGTGAATATTTTCCCCTTTAGATAACTGATAAAAAAACATTTTTGACGACCGTTTGTGTATCTTCTATTGAAGTTTGATTTGTTATGTTCCAAGCTAAAGTCGTATTTTGTTCTTGATTGTCAGATTTGATTTAATATTGTACCTTTAATTTATTTTCTGAATTTATTTGTGATGTACTATGTGTGTTTCGTTAAGAGCGAGATTATGAAATAACTTATTAAATGGCGAATATTCCTTAGTTCCCTGACACTGTGATTCATACTGATTCATACTAAGGAAAAGGCAGTATTTTGAATGGCTTTGTTCAAAGACTGGTGGAGGAATGACCTCTTTGTATGGATTCTGTCTTTAAATAAGTTATTTTTAAAGCTCCGACGCAAATTTAAAAGTTGAAAAGGACTGAAAATTATAAATTAATAATAAAAGATATGTAACGCAAGTTCCTTACTTTGCACCCGGCATCAGGAGCGCTGCACCCAGGAAAAAAGTCTTCAAAAAGGATTTATTGGCACAAACCTTTCCTATATTCAGCCTAAGATTTGTAGAAGAGGGCAGTTCTAAGTTTTATCTTCGAGTTTTGCATCGACTTTGCACTTACTGATAATTATTGGCCGAAAAGTGACATTAAAAAGCTGTGTCACTACAGATTAATTTAGACAGTGTGCACAAAAACTGTCAATGTGAAGGTAAAGTTTAGACGTTTTTCTAAGTATCAAGCCGTTTATCCAAACTCGAAGTCAACATTTTAGATGCGGATCATGGTACCGATACCTCGCTAGCATTGTCAGAACAATTCACAGAGCAATTCAGCAGAATAAACCTGACCGAACTCTGAATATCTTTCCTTTTAGATACTCACAAGTGTCGTGAAAACCGTAACAGAAAAGCGTTAAAAACTTTTCTGATATGGTTTTCTCGACACTTAGATGTTGCATTTTTCGAATGGCAGGGGGCCTTCAATTTGGGATCCAGAAGCAGAAAACCACGCATGAAATGTTCAGCCATAAGGTATCTGTAAAAAGAGTGAATTCTTCAACCGTAAAAAGATGATGCCCCAAAGGGAAGAATTCTTGAAAACGGCTAAGTTTATCCTTTCACTTCCATCTTGTAAACATTCCATGGCTTGGCTTGTATTCAAACAGCTAACATAGTGAATAACAGTTCCGTCTGAACCATATCACTAAACCATCTTCCCTAGAATTGCAAAAACACCCCAGCACCGCAGTCTTTCGTGAAGGTGCCGACTTCTTGGGGGCTATGGGCTCGAAAAACACCTGAAATAATTTGGGGGCTCTGCCAACACTCGCAGATTTTTGATACAGAGCAGAATTTATTTTGTCGATTTTAAAATCGGCAAATCAAAATAGGTGATTTTAGAAGTCCAGATTCTCTGTTAAAAAAACTTTTGATGCGTTCAACTGGCAACTAATCATCACCTTGCAAATTATATGAACCCCTTTTTCATGACAGTAGTTACATTTGAAATTTTACGCCATCCCTGGAAAAACTAGAAGTTGGCACCTATGCTTTCACGAACGCTGCCTGTTGAACTAGACTGCAAGGTCTTCAAATGTTCAGCCTTACGAGGGGGACCAGGTATTTTGGCGTAATTGCGTGATCGGCGTATTTTTGATGCGTGAATTCGTGAAACAAATTTTTATTATGCGTGAATGCGTGAATAGACATTGACGCGTGACCTGTGAATTAGCATTACACATGCATGATTGCGTGAAAATGAATGCTGCAAGTGAATTTCGAAATTGAGTGCTTTCGTATCACAAGCAGAATGTCTTGGTTTCCGGTACCAGACCAGGTAAATATCTCAATTATTCAGAGATTCTAATGCCGATAGCTTTACCAACAAGAAATTGCTACTTTTAGGTAGTTATTAAAAAATTCAGAGAACTTCTAGGGGGCGTGATCGTGAAATTAAATTTCCAGTACCGTGAAAGCATGATTTGCAGTTTACGCGTGATTGCGTGATTCAGCGTGGATATCTGGTAACCCCTTACAACTCTACCTCTCTCTTAACTAACTTGATAAAATGGCCAATGGAATAGGTACATTTCAAAGGTTGAGGCGCTGAGATTGCTTTAGAACGAGACCTTAAGGTCCTTCAAGTTATAAGAATGTTTGAACTAGCAAAAAACTCACCGCGTGCGGGAGCCGAACATTGTGACGTAGCAGTGTCATCAAATCGATTTGTCTCTGTTCGGTTGAATTTCGCAACGAAGCAGTTGGTTAATAAGAAAGTAGTAAAATTTTTCGGATGGAGTTTCTCTTTATTCATTAGTCCTCGTAAAACCACATTGCTAAGGGAACAGTGAAGAAGTATTGAAAACCGATAGAACTGAGCACTATAGCAACAGACTGTCACCATCACAAGGATGTTTAATGAATACGCTTATGGTTGGTTAGAAAATGATGTCAAACTTAGCTTTAAATACTGGTTACCTTTTGAAAAAATTCAGTTGGTGGCTTAACTCAAAAGATATCTCGAATCTCGATGCTGCCCAAAATAATGCTAAATTGGCATCTACCAGCATTTGCAAGCGTCTCTCCCCTCGTTGATGCCATAATTGACCCAGAAGTAATCTGCATGGATAAAATAGATGCAGGAAAGTGCATCACAAATACAGATACTTACTAATCGGTAACAGTGAGCGTACCTCGATAGATTTTTGCAGCTGAAGGCGAGTTTTCATTTGATACCACAAACAGACCAGAAATTGCCTTTCTGTGTTTTTAATAAACAGGCCAAAATCATATGTGGATCGTCACGACACAACACAGTTATGGTGTGTGTATGATGAAGATACGATCGGTTGCTCGTTTCCTTTAAGATAATTGTCATCATTTATGCGATTTTAACAAGCCCACCCAGTTTAATACGCAAAGGTTCCTCCCAAACGTCTCCAGTAAACACTGGTGATCCCTGCTGCTATGTTACTGCGGTTCCTTTTGTTGACTCATCTGTGTGCACTGTTTGAAATGAACCGCCTTTTTATTAGTATTCTTCCGAAACTTTTCATATTCTGAAAATGGCTTTGAAAAAGGCACACATTTTACAACATACTTACGCTTTTTCGACTGACACTCCTCAGAGTGTATCGCGTCAGAGTAAGGAATCACGGGGATGGTTACAAGCTTTTAGTATGTTTTAAAATGTTTGCTTTTTCAAATCTAACATCAAATTTTGTACTGCCAAAAAATGGTAAGTGGCGAATTGTTGGGAATCTACGGTAACATGATCCCGGGCCGTGATGAGATTGGCAACGGAATAATATTTCAGCCTGTGTTGAACTCAATGCAAGCAGCCGCTATTACATAGTTTGTCCAGCGATGAATTTAATGAACAATCACAGAACAACACATTGCAATGTGTACATCGCCGCCTTCACCTTGCATTTGTCGCTCTAGTATTAATGTACCCATCAACCCTGAACTCTTTTCGTCTATGAAGCAATTTTCGATTGGCATCCCATTCCGGGATACTACATTCTCAGAAATCTTACGGACGGCCTTACCAAATTCTGAAGAATTGTCTGGTTATAATAACAGAAATCTGAATAAAATACCTTTTTTTATATCGAGTGTTTAGGAAAACAAAAGATAACAACAATCATCAGCCGGTCAGCTAAATTTGTTAATAGAGACGGAAAGGGACTCTCCCTTCAAGTAAGAAAAGGTTTTTTCCCTACGCAGGGCAAAGGCCAGATGTGAGTTAGACCAAAGATCTCGGGGTTCCATTGGAAATGAAATTTTTTACATCAGTTTTGAAAGAATATGTTAAGCTCTCAAAATGAAGAAATTTGTGACGTGAATAAAGCAGGCCTTAAAGGAAGCGTACATGTTTTTTAAGTTTCATGTTTTATCATTACATTATATTTGCAAGTGCTAAAAGCAGCGGGATGTCTTTTGGTAAAGCCTCAGTATTTCAATAAAGGCTGTTAGTTTCAGTAAACGCAACTTGCGTAAAAACAGCGACTAATATCATATAACAAAATAAATGTTTGCTTCTTGTTAGCTTTTAAAAAATAGTGCGATAATCAAAACCACAAAACACGCTTTTCGGAGGCTTTGAATACGGGCCTTGAGGGTTGTAGCATTCTTTCCAAACTGCGTATGAGATTCGTTTGGAACAAAAGTATTTCAGTGATTTTTGGGAGATTTTTCTTGAAACCAAAAGGATTTTTACCAACGGAATAGGAGATTTTGGTTGAGTCCTATGCCCTTTGGTGTTTTCCTCGTTATAAAAAGAAGGTATTGAATTATCTATAAAAGACTATCGTTAGATCTAGGGCCTTCTTACAACACAACATAAAATTCCAAACACTGCCTCTAAATGTTGACTTTTCTCAAAAGTTGAGCATAAAATGAAAAAATTTTGCTCCTATTTGCATAAAGTGTACAGATTTGGCCACATTGTGAATCAAAAGATAAACAGCGAACTACTAGGAATTTGCAGATTATTATGTTACTGTAACAACTTTTACGGGTTAGCATACTGTACAATTTTTACAAAGAGTCTAGCAAAGGTTGATGCTAAATAAAGGAAAGTTAAAAAGTCACAATATCTTTATGAAAGCTAGTTTCTGCTATCACATGAGTAATTTGCCTTGGGGAGGGGGCAGTTTATAAAAAAGCGGCTATAAGGGCAGATATTTACACAAATATTATATTCGAAGATGTTGCTGTTATCCAGACAGAAGCCTAGTCTTGCCTCTATCTCCTTCGTTTTGATCCAGGAGTACCTGGTGCTGGGGATGATGGATTTGATGAGGAAAAAAACTGTCCTCGTCTCTTTCGTTTGGGTGATGGAACACTTTCAGCCGCCAGTGCAGAACTGATTAAATTTGAAACAGCTAAGTTTGTTGGTCGTTGAGAAACTGAAATGAGAAATAATTCTACACAAGTCAAATTTATTCAAAGGTAATGTCACTAGTCTTGATAAATTTAAATTAATAACAACCAAACAAAATTCATCAAAAATACAAAATATCTTAATTAACTATCCAAAATTTATAAAGAAGGAAAAGAGATGTATACCTGGACCATCTTCAGTAGAAGTTGCAGGGGAGCAAGGTTGTGAAGCTGCAATGTCAGGGTTAGTTATCTCCTCTGGTAAACAGAATTCGTTTTCACCATTAGGAAATGGCAGACTCTCCAACTCATTCTACAAAAATATTGTAACATGGTCAAAAAATTAAAAAATCTTAACACCAACTTTCTATGTTACAACGTATCATAGAAACTTGTCTTTGATGTTTCAGGTTTAAGATAAATTAATGGGTGATATTTTAGCAGTGACTCTGCCGCAGTATTTGATGAATCTCCAAACAAAGAACAAACTTTTATGGGGAACATAGCCAACCACCACTGGCTGATTAGTTTTTACGATCACAAGCAAAACAATTGTGGGATGACTGTGAAAGCTGCTTGATAGAGGGCATAATCCTTCCAACACTTGTGAATTTTATGGTAAATCAAGTTTATGATGGGTTTTAGTAAGCTTAATAAGGTGCAATATGCCATTTAAAATATAGTGGCTTTGTTTTCTCCCGAAATTTAATTAAAATAATCCAAATAAGCAGCAGAAATATTTGACATTTAATGTAAGACATATTAAGAGGACAGTAAATGTACTTGGAATGCACCAAAAATAACATGATACTGTCCATGCACACTTACTAGTGTTTCTAGACTGTACATTTCAGATAAATGTTTCCAGATGTGCTTAGAAGTGATTTCAGACTTCCCTGCTGCTGACAAGAGTTTTTTGTGTATGCAGGCCATGTGGAAATATCTATTGATACCTGAAAAAAATCAAATTACTATCTATCAAAATACAGATTTTCAGACCTGTCAACCTGTTGTGAACCGTTCTCATTAGAATTCTGTTTATATGCATTTTCATGTCCTTTTATTGTTCACACACAATTACCATTATTTTAATGCATTTTAAATACTCTTTGTTGTTTTTAATTGCACTGCACATTAACTCATATCCATGGAAACAATTTAGTTTATGTTAGTTTTTGTTATGGGGTGTGATGGTTCAGTTAGTAAGGATCGAGGAATGAAATTGAGATGGAGAAATGAAAGATTTTATTAATTTATTCGAATTCTCAAGTGGTGAGTTCGTTCCATTTATTTTATGTATATACATGTATATCTCTATATAGAGATCTCTTAAAAAACCTCAACAAAACCCTCCCATTTCAGCTGGGAGACTCCTGGTTTTGATTGCTTTCTCCCGATCTCCCTGTTTTTAAACTTTTTCTCCCGGTTTCAAAGATGTCTAGCAGAATTTCTAGGAAGATTCTTCACCGAATGTTCGATTGAACTGCGCATCTTATGCTTCAAAGACAGGTCCATTGTGTATGTTTTCTTTTCACAGAGGTATAATATAATGGTCACATTGACTTCCACGTGACAACAATTTTTTGTTAGTGCTTACTGATTAACAAAAAAACACTAAAAATTATTATGAAGATACTTCTCATGATCACTTCTGTCATAAACTGTTTGCCGAGCACAACATTTTATCAAGTATATTTAATCCCTTAACAAATTACTGCGATCTCCCTGTTTTTGACCAAATCTCCCTGTTTTTCTTTAGGAAAAATCTAAAATCTACAGGTTTGGAAAATTCAAGGTTGACAGGTCTGGATTTTGATAATTTCAGAAGATTCGCCAGCTGATTCGTCTTTGAAATTGCATGCAATGTAACTATGTACGGAAACATACCAACAGGTTTGTGTCCTTTCATCGAATAAAATAAGCTAACTTCTAAATCTGGGTTCCATTGTAACGTTTCCTCGCTCATTTTGTTTCTTTGTGATTTTGTTCCTTCCTAGTTTTGCTTGTTTTCTTTCACTAAAAGCACCACAGAATTCGTGGCAAGCAGCAAGGCACACATTAAAGGCCGCCTTACTGTTTTTGTCTCTGTATGATAAAGAGGTTAATGGTCCTATTTGCACAACATTTTCCAGTGGACGAGGACGAGGATGTAATGATTTCGGGCAGAAAGAAGTATAGTAAATACTCGCGAAATTATTGTCATGTTACCATCAGTGGGTGTATTTGGTGGAGATAGCTCAGCTAAAGTCATTATATCAATATTTCGCAAAGTTGGCTTCACAGTTTCTGGAGTATGGGCAAACACAAGAGAAAAGGCCAAGGAATTGGCCTCGCTGATTGGCATACCGTTTTATACGAGTAGATTAGACGAACTTCTTCTCCATAATGATGTAGATATTGTTTGTGTTTGTGGATCACCACATCAGTTTGCTGAAGTGGCTGTAAAAGCACTCTCCATTGGTAAACATGTATTTTGTTCAGCGCCTGCAGGGTTGAATCTTCGGGATGCTGAGAAAATGGTCAGTGCAGCTGAATACTATCCACAGTTACTTTCATTGTTGAGCCACCCATTGAGATTTGTGAAAAGCTTCATACAAGCAAGAAAATATGTGGCAGAGGGGTACTGTGGTGACTTGCTTGTCTGTGAATGCACATTGCACACCAACAACATAGTTGGTAATAAATACGACTGGCACTGTGATCAGTCAATGGGTGGTGGCATATTGCACCTCTACGGTTGTCACATAATTGACATCTTATCATTTATCATAGGTGAACGTGCTGCTGAAGCACAAGGCTATCTGCAAACATTTGTGAAACATACAAAATCAATGCCCACCTTCCGTCAAATCACAAGTGATGATTTCTGCTCATTTCATCTCAGGTACCCTAGTGGAGCCCATGCCAATGTTATATTAAATTCCCATTTGCCACAAGACTTCAATCAAGAAATTCTAATTGTAGGCACAAAAGGCTATTTAAAAGTATCTAATGGACATTTGTATGGAAAAACAAATGAAAATGACTCCAAAGAAGTTGTATTTACAAACCCAAATGATCCAGTTAAACTAGAGCTTCTGGATGTTGACTATATGTTACCAGAGATTTACTTGCAAGGACTTGTCTCATTGGTTGAGGGAATAAAAAATGCTTTCCAGAGTACCCAGAATGCAGACAGAAGAAATGCAGACCACAATCAGATAGCTGCTGCTGCTAATTTTGCAGATGGTACGTACATATTTTCTCTACATTGCAAGTAACTCAATAAGAGTTTTAGATGTATGATGTTGATATGTTTGTGAAAGTCAAATTTTTATATGAATTGGAATTTGTGAAAAATGATGTGGCCTCAAAAAGTGATTTTTTTAAAAAAAAATTTAACTGTAAGATTTCATTTGATAATAAGTCAGAAAATTTGCCAACAAAGCACCCATACATGGCTAAATACTTCTTGTTTTTCCAGTAATTTTTTTCAAGGGGGTGTCACACACACATACCCCACCCTAGAGACTGCCTTGATGCTGTCTTATTGCTGAATGTGAAACAGTGCATCCTGTAAATCAGAAAGCATGAAGCACTCTTCATTCAACATTTTATCTTGCTTTATGTAAACAATACAAAGAATAGGCAAAAATATTCTGAAGAAAAAAAATGACAGACAATGGCCTAAAGCAGTGCCGTCAGAGCAAAATTCATATTGGGGGGAGGGGGGGGGGCTGCCCATTGTTTTCTTTCTCATTCAGTACACTGGTATAAAGAAAACAGACTACAGTTTGGCAATTATTTGGGGGTTCCATCCCTTCCCCAGCCCCCCCCAGCCCCCCGGTTCCGATGGGCATGTAAAGACAACCATACAAGATTTATACAATAATTTATTCTTTATTTTTAAAAAAAGGTTGCAGATTCATTATATACAGTTTAGCTGTCAGTCAAGCTTTCATTTAATCAATTGTCAAAATCACTTGAAACAAACCTGATGTTATCTGTTTAAATTATGTCTTTCAACAGGATGTTATGTGCGAGCTGTGATGGATGCAGTTATCACGTCAGATAAGGATGGGCACTGGGTCAGAGTATACCCTCAATGTAGAGACAAAGATGAAGACTCTTTTTGGTCACATTCTGAAACAAAGCAGAGGAATCCTATCCAGAAAAACATTTTGAATCCTAATCCAGGTGTAGTAAAGGGATCCCCTATTACTACAAAACGGGAGAAAGTTAAATGAAAATCTGCTCAGTAACTACATTTTATTAAAATTTGCACATAAGTTATCTTAACATGAAATGGCCAATCTCTTTAATAATTCATTTATTCTGCCTTACACCTTACTGATGTACAATTATCTAAGACTCCTCAAGGGAAGAAAATTATTAAAGAACATCAAGAATAATCTCATATCATATATTCCATTTGCAAGGTTGACCTTCAGCAAAAGCTGTTTTCAAGCAGTCCTTTGATAAAACTTAATATAAAATGAAAACATTGTTAGCATGTTCAAAAAAATGACATAGATTTCATTTGTCTTTTAAACTCTCAGACTTCATTTCAGTTTTTGAGACAGTTGTTATTATACTTTGTGGAAAGGACAATTAATGAGAACGCAACATTCAAGAAAAATTTATTGCCTTGCATCCTTTATTCATTTGGTTTGGAAAACTTTTTATCTTTTAACATGTGCAAAGAATTCTCAAAGGAAGGCAACATTCAAGATTCTAAGGAAGAATAGTTCAAGAAATTGCTAAGAAGTTAAAAGAAATTTTTGAACTTTTAAGCAATTTTGAAATATATTGATCAGTAAAATATTTCAGTCATAATTACGCTGAAGGGTTTGAGAGAACAGAAGAATTCTTCAAGTCTTTTGGTTTAGCAGAGGCAGATGTTAATCCTTTGAAGAGCAACAGCAAAAAAGCAAAAAGCTTTCCACCTTAGTTTAGCAAAAATAGAGAGTACAGCCCTGTGCTACTTATCCAAGAAATCATTTCTATTTTCAGAATTCTTGATGTACTTTGTTGCTTATACTAGGGTTTTTTCTTGTTTTTAGAAGTTTTTATCCATTTGTTATCAGTAGTGAACAAGAAGTTTTTTATGATACCAGTCCTTAAAAATCTCGAAAATGTTTACCAAGATTCCAAAACATATGGTATTCTTTTCAGTATCAAGAAGTAGTAGATGAATTGGTTTACTGTATTACAACCGTTGTCTCAAGTTCAACCGTTATCAATTCAACTGTCATACGAATGACACAACTACAAATACAAATGCGCGCGGAGGAGCAGGGTTGCCACTTGTAGGGATTTCTACCTACAGTAAACATTTTTTGCCTTTTGTAGGTTGTAGGGATAAACCTACAGGCTAAAATGCAAAATGTAGGTATAAATCGCTCAAGTTGTAGGTATAATCAAGATTAAAGAATTTTCTTTGAGTAAATTTTTATTTGCACAAGAAACATTGAACTCAATGAAATTCCTTGTACCTGGTATGCATCTTGCGTTCAAAGTTGATCCAACACATTCTCCAAAATAAATTGTAACAAAACAAAATTGAGAAACAGATTGACAGTCCGCACGATTGAAGCCCTAATCCGAGTTGGTAAAGGGTTCCTTTGATGTTTTGAAGTTAGTGCTAGGCTATCGTCTCTCTATTCCACTGCCAGAGGATCATATATGGAAAGATACAATAATAATGACCGGGAAGACGTTGAGAACATTGAACAGTTTGACTGACTATTTACCTGAAGCAACTTTCCCTTTTTATTGTGTTAATTGGGTAGATTGATTGCCTTTTCTTTGGTTTATATTTTTTTAACTGCTACTTGCATCATATTATTATTTTATATCATTCTAAAGTTATAACAGCTTCATTAAAATAGACAGGTTGCAAAGCGGATTGAGTTTTTTGTCATTGTGTGGGTTGTTTTCGTGGGTATAATTCCGAAATTGTGGGGATTTGTAGTGATAATTGAGGAAAAGTGCGTAGGGAGAAAGTAGGGAGAAAACGCACGCGCTGTAGGTATATCTTGCTTCATACAGTGGCAACCCTGCGGAGGAGGCTCGCATATACGAGCTGGCCTAGGCATTTCTCTGGTCGAATTCTAGACGGAGAAGCCGAAGACAAATTACATAGAGAGGATAAGTTCTCCATTCTACCGCGAAATGGATATAGACAATTCTTCAATGTACGATACGGATGATGGGCTCGACGACTGCTCCCCAGGTAGGAAACAAGGTAAACAGTCACACATTCTTGCAGAGCAAAAAAGAAGGGATGCTATCAGACGTGGTTTTGAAGGGCTTCAAGAAGCTGTACCTGGTTGTGGTATTGCCGAAGACCTCAAATATTACAAAATGAGTAAAGCACAAATACTGCAAAGATCGTTGAATCATATCAATACCCTTTTACTAGAAAAACAGATACAAGATGAAGAACTTCAAGCTTTAGAAAAGGAAATGAAAGCTCTTGAGATAATGAAAGAAAATTATGAGCAGCTTGTGAAAGCAAGCCAACCAGAACTGGAAAACAAAAATGAAGTTACAGAGGATGAAAAACTGGCAGTTTTCTTGAAAGTAAGCGGATTCATGTGGGATTCATTCAGAGAGGTTGTCTCTGTCTCCTCCTTTCAAGCATTATCAAGTTCTTTGTTTGGATGGCTTGAAAAATATTGCAAGCCGCAACCCTTGAATGATACTGTTGTTAATTCGATGCGATCAACATTTGCTGAAAGGTAACGATGTGGAATACTTCAAACCAGACACATATTGTAAAGAAGTAATAAATTGTTAGGCGAAAAAGACAGAAATTTCACCACTTTTTAACAAATGCAGTCTGCTGACATTAAGCCAAGTATTTACCTGAGTAATCTTTATATCTTACCAATGATATAAAGGTTTTCAAGCTGTTTCCTTTAACAAATGATTCTACATTACAGCCAAAAACTGAAAAAAGGACTGGTGCTTTTCCAAAGGTGTAGAGACGTTTTCAGATGCAGGATAACATGTATTATAAATTTATAATTAGATGATAAATTTTCATACTGGAACAGGCAAAAATCATTGCAACAATGGTGTTCAACACAGGGAGCCAATGATGCTCACCAAACCACCCTTACAGGGGGAACTTGCAAAACTGGCTCAAATTTAACTGGTGTGGTAAACTTTAAATATTCACACCCCCTTACCTTGAGATAAGTGCTGATATAAATATAAATATATATTATATATTCTTGATAGACTAAAATAAACAGACTATTGTTACACAACTCTGAGTTTCATGTGTAAACAATCATCAGGTGTATAAAAGAACACAAACTGACTGCAAGCAAGATATAACTGTAAAAAAGGAATAATCAAACAAAGTCAAACCAAGCTAATTGTGTAGAGTGATAAATCGTAACAACTACATTTTAAAATTGCTAATCAAAAGTTTTTTCTGGTGTCTACAATATCTTATAAATTCTGTTCTATTATTGAGTATTTTATTATCCCCTAAAGATTGAATGATATAAATTTTTCTGTCAGGCATAATTTTCAAAAGTTATTTCTAGCCGTGCTCTTTATTTTCTTGACAATTCTCCATTTAATAGTAGGTGTCTTTCCTTGTTCCTTCAATTTCCAAACATATTTTGAAAGTTCAGTACTCTTTTTATATCTTTTGTGCTTTAAAACTTTGTTATGGTTAGCATATTGTAATCTGAATTTAACTCTGGTAAGGCCAATATCTATAAATTTCTTCTATAAATTTCTTGGGTTGATGATAATTCTGATATCTGTTTGTTAGTGCCTTTAGGTAGCTCTTTTAATACTGTTGGCAGGTGATTAGATTGTTTGTTGATGTAGACAGTATTATTATTTGGTTTTTGATATGGTTGAATAGTATTGTTTTAAAGGTCAATTTTTGGTCCTGATAAATTCCTTATAATACCTAATCCATCATATCTGTATAGCCCAACCTTTCCGTTTTTCCATGAACAGGCCAAATAATTTACTCCTGTGGTTTATCTCCAGTATAGATAAAAAAATAATAGATATTTATATATATAATTTATAGATATTTGTGATGCCAAATATTATACCTGAAATTAAAAGTGTGCCAATTAGGCACCTGTACCCTTCAAAATAGAAAAATATGCTGATATTGGACTTATCCTAGGTTCAGTTTGCCACAGAGCTCTGGCTTCAGGGGGTTCCAATTCTGTTTGGTTACATGTTTGCTTTGAAATTCATGAATCTACCTATTTATTTTTGTACAATTCAATAATATTTGTCATTCAATAATAAAGCTTACTTCATTTAAACTTGTAAAGCTATTTTCATGAAAATGAAAGAAAATGATGCCTGCTTTTGTATCTTGTGTGTTGTTCTCTTGTTCTATGTTGTTGTCTTGTTCTGTGTTGTCAAAACACTCATCATTTGCTGAACAATTGATAAGCATGTGAGGTGCTGTTGATTGATTACTACTTAAATAACGTTAAAAAATAACAAATTACATATTTTTCTGCATTATAAATGTACAAAGTAAACAGTTTTAGTAAACGTAACAAATTATATTGGATATCAGGGGAAAGTTGTTGTGAAGATTGAATTTGACTGAGATCCTGTTCAACAGTATCCTTCTAAAAGTATAATTCTGCGCAATTGGTGTATGTTCAGTTTATTTTCTGTGAAAATGCAATTTGCCCAAAATCCTTTATCCTGCTACAAGAGTTCAAGAACCTGCAACGAAAATATGAAGTTTAAAAAGGATAAAGATGAAATCAAAGATATGAAATCAGAAAATTAAAAACCTCAGTGCATATAATAAAATAACTATGAATTGTATAGAGAGGTGACATTTGTTGACCCTTTTTGGACATTAATTAATTGAAAATTGTGGAATTGTTTGACCATGGTCTTAACTGTATATGATGGCAAATTGCAGTGTACAAATTATGCCATCAAATACTTACTCTTTTGAATAGCAATATTTGTAGAGAATGGTAAAGTCAACATAAATTGTCAACATTCTAACTGACATGCATTGAGAACATGGCTTAAGTCATTGACTGCTATTAAATCATAAATAAGTGCAAGATGATAACCTGGTTTGTATTTATGATTGTGACTCCAGCATCCTTCATATTTGCCCGAGCATTTTTTATGGATTCTTCTGATACACCTCTGCATGCATCTTCAATGAGAAATGTTGTCAGACCATGGTTGGCAGCATCAACTGCACTGAATGCAACACAAAAATCAGTGGCAAGTCCACAAATGAACACTTTTGTGATGTTATGCTGCAGCAATGTTGTAAAGAGATTTGTCTGTGAAAGTTTTCCATTATCCCAAAATGCTGAATAGCTGTCAATTGCAGGTATAGAGCCCTTGTGAACCATCAGGGCAGAGTCTTCAATCTAGAAATAAGCATATGCCAATTTGAAAGAATCTTTTTATCCAGATACCAGTAAAACAGACTTGGTTGGAAGGACCCATTTCTTAAGAATGTCAGTGCTAGTTTTCTTTTACATCTATAGAAAATGTGTGTACCAGTCCACTGTTCTGGGAGCCTACAAATTTGATATTAAATATACAGACAATGTTAATTTTTGAACTGGCTAACTCAACAAGACACAAAACCTCATTTGTTGGGAAAAATAGGAATATTAAGCTGTTGGTCTATGAATACTAAAGGCTCTACTCTATTTATATGTTTTGAGGTTGGATAATGTGCACTTTCAGTTCTGCCTTTGCATTTCTATTATAACATTAAGAAAAAGCTACTTTGACAAGAATGTAACTTACTGGTCAGTAATTTAAGAGTACCCTAGACACTATGGTCAATTTCACTGAACATTATTTGTAAACATGGTTTGATATTAGTTTAACATTACTCAAATACCTTCATTTATGTGTCTATATATAAGAAAATAAAAATCAATCTTGTTTTTTCTGAGGGATTATGATGAATCTTGCAGTTTAAATTAGGTTTTCAAAACCATGTTTGTCTTCTGTCAATAAAAATGGTGAAATATGAACTTATACATTAAAAACCTGAAGATCTTCATGAAGTTTTGCTCCCCAGCTACCCTGCTCACAGTGAACAGGCCAAAGAATTTGCTCCTGTGGTTTATCTCCACCATAGATAACAAAATCATACATCTTAGCGTGATCTGCTTTTATTTTACATGTCTCATGAAATGGATACATCTTGACATTTGTATGGTAAGAGCAATGATCAGACGGATGCCAGTCCAAAGTAAACACTATCAGATCAAACTTGACATCTTGCTTCAGCTTGTTTATGACTGGAACAATTTCTGCACCATCTTCCTTGGCAGGTTGATTTTTCAGTGCAAGCGATCCAGAAATAAAGTCATTTTGGACATCAACAGCAATGAGAGCAGATTTCTCACTGATGTCCTAGAAAAGATTAGAATGAGATTTCAAATATGTTTTGAACTATGTTGGTATGGTAGAAGACATCTATCCTTGATAATTCTTTCTTGGGATTTTTATTAATTACTGTATGATTTTATGTTAATATCGTATGGTAAAGTTATAACCTTTCTTGCCCAGTACTTGACACATGAATTCCACATATCTGCATCAATCTTGCCTTGCAACTGAAACAAAAGAAATAACTTTCAAAGAGGTTGTGTTAACAAAGCTTTGGATTTGATTGAAAAATAACATTGAAGTTTTTTAAACAGAGTTTAACTGAAACTTGGTACCTTTCTTAGAAACATATAAATCAGTCTATTAGACATCTAAAGCTCGGGCCTGGGCTACTGATGGTGTGGGGGGGTCACTCCATTGAAAAATCATGTTTCTAGAAGGAGGTGTTTTTCCTCTAGTGGTGCTTCTTCTGCAAATTTTGAAGGCAACTAAAAGATTGGCTCACACACTTTTTGGCAACCTAAATACCACACTTTATTGGAATATCTAGCAAGGGCCAAGATACCACCTTACTCTTATCTCTATCTTTAAAACCCAGGTGTAGGATTACCTCTATTGAAATGCATTGTGCAAGCCAAGTGCTGAATGAGTTTAGCAAACAGAATGCATTGTTTATTACTAGATAAACACTCTGAAACCAAAGGAGCAGTTATAAGCAAACTAATAAAAAACCAAGAATACTACAGTACTACTAAATATGCTTTTCAGAAGTTTTTGAAGCTTTGGTGATAATAAAGTTTGGCATTAAAGATTTTAATTGCATTTTAGGATGAATGAAAGTCAATGTAAGTAGAGGTGAGTAGCAAAGAGATTTTTACAAAACAAGGAGGCTTTAAGACACATTAAACCAAAAACAGAGATACAACTTTTTGTTTTGAGGGAGGGGCAGACCTGATAAATCAGTGAAACAACAACCATATTTCACAAAATAAAAGTATTTTACTTCTACAACTTAGGTTTTTTGGGGGCAAGACCCTCCTGACCCCTCGGCATCTCGATCCTTGCCTTAAACTAAGTAAACTATAGATGACATGAAAAGATACCTATGAAAAGTTTACTTACAGAATGATGAGTAAGAGCTTGGATTATATTGTTAAGTTGATCTGCTGAAAGTTTGCAATCTTCCCCATTAGCAAGATCCTTCAGTGCTTTTCCAAGGTCTTCCACTGGAACATCTTTCCAGTATTTGAATCTGCAAATAATGTCAGTTTTATATTGTAAATACTGAAAGGTATGAAAGCCTCAAATAAAATAAACCTGAGTGCCAGATGCAAAAATAAAAAGCTTTTGAAGGAGATAATCATGAATTCAGAGAGAAAAACAAGTTAGTCTAAAATCCTTCGAATCTAAAAATCCCAATTCAAAAGTACATGATTCTAAAAGGCTGTGCTGCTTTTAGCTTCTTAACCACACCTGGCGCTTGAAACCTGCAACATTATTTCTAGTGCGAGTAGGCCGTTGCAAAGGATTTCATTTTACCTTGTAATGTTTTGCCTTTTGAGTACATCTTTGGTGTTCTGCTCGTTTAAATCAACATTTGACTGTCGGAAAACATCGAAATAAGTGGTTACTTCCTTCATGTTCCATGCCATTGCATACAAAATCTTCTGAAGAGATGCTAATACAAAACCAGGTATTTCTTCTTCAGCTCATCTACTGAAAGGCAGCTCTTGCCAGTTGAAGCAACAATGGAAATCCTTTTGGGGCTTCAAGCAGGATTGGTAGATTCTTTTGGGACTTCAATCCAAATCAATGTATACCACCAAGCCAATCAATAAAGCCAAAAAAGACCAAGATGTAAACGAGGCAGCAACACTATAACACCATTTCCGCTGTGGTAATTCCAGTTCAAAAAATGAAAAAAGAACTGGAAAAAAATCAAACAATGAGAAAAAAAAATAAAAAACACGAAGTGGAAGTTATGAAAGTGCCGACATTGCTTCAAATTTTTCAAAAATTGAAGTACCGACGGAGGGGCTCAATGAATTTTTTTTTTGGGGGGGGGGGGCCCAAGCACCCTCGGTGGTGCCATCCCTGTTGACACTATAAACAATTTATCTAGCATCACTAATTAAAAACATTATGTTTGTTACCTAATTGTATGTTCATTTCATTTTGTAAACCGGCAGCCTATCGTTATATAAACAGTGCTAAATTCATATATGTAAACTTCCGTATATACCAACCAAGAATAGCAAAATGATATATAGAAGCGCCGCTCTTTACCAAATTTACCAAGGAAATTGGTTTCTCACTAAAAGTTTGCTAAAGGGGCATTTGCTTGAGTTACAAAAAGTTGCTGTCGATTTTTCTTGTGGTATCTTTTTTCTTATGTAATATGTATACATTACTTGTGTCTTCCTTTTGCTGGTATATTTCAATAAATCATGAAACAAATTTATGACATCATATATTTATAGACAATAACAAGTTGAAACAATTATTTATATCGTAAAGAGCATAAGCCTGTCTTTTTAGGTTCATTTAAGTGAATTTAAGTGAATGTCAGCTTCTCAGCTACGCTGTATCTTTTAGTTCTGACGCCCATAGTGTACAACCCATCCCTCTCTCTTTAAATGGTGCTATGATGATCAGTCCAAGTTCAATTTTTTACAGCTAATAAATTTTGAAAAATAGGGGGGATGGTCGACCTTTTAAGCCCTTCAAGAAGGGGAATGGATACATAGATTGTCTCCGTAATATGAATCTACCCTTAAATTTGGGATATTAGTTTGATGCTGAAAAACAAGCAACCCAATCTACAAAATACACCCACGGGACCAGGACTCAGGCTATGCTGCCAATTGTGATGATGGTTTGAATTGCAAAATTTATGTATTTATGCAGTGATGAAAATACCTTAGAATATTGCCTGATTCTAAGGCGTAAATAAGCTCAAGCATTGGAATTGCGACTTAATTTATGGACTTCTCTAAAATTTCAGACTTATTCACAGAATTTCAAAGATCGGTGGAGGGGAGTTTGACACGGGCCGCGGAGACGATTCATGAGCCCCGGGTCAAGACGAAAGAGATCAATAGTTAAGCATGCCTAAGGCAGATGTTTCTAGGGGTATGAGGAGCACTCCCCTAGAAATTTTCGAAAATGATGATTGCTCAAATTGCCCTAGTGGCTATTTTCGTTGCTAAAATAGCTATGATGGCTGAACTGCTCTGGTGGAAGTGGTGTAGATAGAAGGGGCCAAAACCCTTGTAAAGCTAAACTCCTCTGGTCGTGTTGGAAATTTAACAAAATTATCTATGTTTATCTAATTGCAAGGTTTTGATAAAAGATAATTTAAGGCTAAATAAACATAAGATTATCTGAATATATCAGAATATTTATTTATTACTGTTCTTATGTCGTTATGTTATGTAAAAATTTCTGAAAAAATTATTCATACTTGTTAGAACTTTGTTGAAAAATCCAAGTTTAGTTCTTCAACTTAGTTTTATCACAACCGACACACAGGCAATTCTGTCTGCTGTACACTTTATTTCAAGATTTTCCTTTTAAAATTTTATCCGTGTATTGCAAATCATTTTGTTCCTCTAAGCATTTGTATATTGTATTATTATATTTCTTTACCTAAATGTATTTATTTTTCTGTACCATGGCTTATATCATTGTAATCTAGTTTTCATCTTTTTAATCAAAATGTTCCGGGGTTGAGGGTCAATTGACAATTTGTGGTTCTGTTTACCTGGCTTTAGAAATAACGCAAAAGCATTATATTTTCAAGATCATGGCAAAATTGTATCACTTGTTTTTATCTGCTGTACAATCTGTTTGCAAAAATAAAGGAATTTCAGTACGATTAGCAGAATTGCTTTAGTAAACATTGCTTAGAACAGTGCATTTTCTGGCGAACTAGAATCACAAAAGTTTTCCTTTCCTTTGGCGGTAACCCGGGTTGTTATGAAAAGCCATTACGGCTGCAATTTTACATGAAGTATTTCCATAAGACTCTATCGGATTTGAACTTACTGTTTACACTACAGGTTGACTGTTGCTACGAGTAATGGCGAAGATGCAAAGGCGGCAAAGAGGAAGAAGATGCATAATACGAGGTTTCTTTCATGGTTTCATTGTAATTCATCACCATTTGTAACAGAGCTTGGTGCCATTTTACTTATCTTTAATGACAGATGCCGCCTTAATCACTTTAAAGTAAAAATCGGAACTGGGAAAGTTAAATCCGAGCTGCTATTTATGCATATGGCCTAGTAAATCCGCAGGACAATAACTTCTGGGAATTGCATTATAGCAAGGAAAAGTGGATTTCCATATAATTATATTAACTTATTGACTTCGATGTGGAAGAGGAGTTGAAACGCAGGTGTACAGGAGGCAGGATTGAGAAATAAACGAATAATAACTAAGGTAGGGAAATGGCTGAGTCGCCCTCTAACAACGGTATCGAAAATGGTTCAGGGAGCAGACCTTCATCAAAATTTCGGAGCCGTAGGAGTCAAGCAGAGCAGAACTTGAAAAAAGCATCAAGATTAGCAACTTCGCTTGCTCCTGGCGAAACAATCAAAGACAAACAGGTGAGCTTTTTCAATATACGGATGTAAAATCCCAAATTAGGTAGTGCATTTGGTTTCGTAGAAAACCGCCTGTCCCACTTTAGCACAGCTCTTGCAGGATAATCTTATTTGCTTAAAATGAGTTCTATGTAATAATCCTTTTACGATTGTTTCATATTCTGAATTGAAGAGGGTCATGAAAACAGGATTCTCTAACTAGTTGCGTAACAGAGACACTGGGGTCCTTTGGAATAAAACTGCAATGAGGCCCCAGTTTAGAGATAAACTGCAAGATTACTATTAGATGAAACTGAACGAACTTTTTAACTAGCAGGAGCTGAGTAAGATGAAGATGTTTCATGTAAAGAACTTTCTAAGTTGTTGAAAACAGGTTGAACTTAAGCAAAGTCTTAAAAAAATGGACATTAAAATATCTTGGGGGCCCCTTTTTATCTGGAGCCCTTTAAACTATCATACTAAGGTGCCTTAAACAGTATTATAGTACTGTCTCTAACCCATTGTTGTACATTGTAGCAAAGAGCCAAAGAAGAAAGAGAGGCAAAAAAGGCAGCCCTAGATGGGAGGCATGAGTATCTATTAGCAACAGTTTCTACTGCATTGGGACTTGACTTCAATGATGTTGTTGACAACATACTTGAAGGGAACCAGGTAAAGGAATATTTGTATTTCTTTAATATATACATCATAGAAATATCACATGGGTTGATTTGAATAGTTCTTTGTTTTATAAGAACTGTATTTTGGTAGATTGCATCTCAGGATAACTGGGGCTTTTTTTATAAAAAACCACTATCTCTTTATTCTTTTTCAACTTGCAGACAGACCTAAATACTTTCAGAAAAGCATAAAACAAGTTATGTCAGATGAAAGATAAACAGGATAATGATTTCAATGATATTGAATCTGTAGATTTTTGAATCTTGCAACCAGTGCTGTAAGAGTTATAGGCAAGGACAAAGCAAAATACAGCAAGAAACAAATATATATGTTGTAAAATAGAATTTTAAAATAAATTAGATGTTATGCTTATATTTCTCCCTGGCATTCAGAACTTAATCAGGGTAAAGTCAAATTGATAATGTGACTTGTTAGTGTTTGCAGTTTTTTTAAAAGCTTGCATTGGATTATCTACATTATCTATATATTTGCTAACAGATTGACCAAATGGATGAATTTTTGAATCCAGATGGAAGAGTTCAGTTGATGTTTTTCTATCAGGACGTTGATATTTATCAATCGCAATGTAAGTCTGAAAAGAATATTTCATCACCTGCATAGCATGAATCCCTTTTAATCCTCCTATGGTTGTTTATTTGGTCATGTCTTGTTGAAGCTATTTTTTTCAAAAAGACTTATGAAGCCTATTTTTTAGACATAATCACAAAAAACAGGTATATTCACTATCAGATATGTTTGTTGTGCATGACCTTTTCCATAGTTACTATTCACCTATTCTCAGAATGTATACAAAATGTATGAATTTAAATACTAGGTTACTATAATGTGTGATAAGATATCATCTTTAAAGGTAGGCCACAAAATTTTTCAGGATGCTGATGAAGACAGTGGTTTTTTTAAAAAAAATTTATTTTGGCTTGACCCTAAATAGATAGTTTTTTTGCCATCAGCTAAAAGCCCAAGAGTTGGAACAGCAAATGCAGCAAGACAACCTGCAAGGGTTTTGAAGCCAAAACTGTTCATCACTGATGGAAGCAATGACAGCCTCACTGGGAAATGCTTATACTTCATAAAGGCATCTAAAGAAAAAGCCATCACAACAACTAACGTCAACACAGTATGTTTAGCTTCTACAAATGCCTTCTAAAGATATTCATCTCTAAATGTGTGATGTTTTATTGAACTATTAAGATTGAATACAGAATAGCAACAGGTGGAATTGATTTCTTGTAATTGATTTTGCAAATTTATTAATGGTGTTAGCAGGTGCTCTCAATAATCAATTTGAGCTTTCTCTGAAACTTTAACAGGCTGTGACAACTTTTTATACAAATGATCTACAAAATACCTCTTAGCTAGTTACTAGGTTTTAAGTACTTGATTGAAAATTCTGCTAGTGATATACAAACAGTTTTCTTCATGCACAGTATTTTCTGTATACATTTTATCAAGCACTATATAGTAAATGAAAAGGTTTCTGATTAGTAAATGGTTCTCCTGTAACAATAGTTACTTTTACTTTTGCGTAAAATCATTAAGAATGATTCCTGTATTAGATACTAAGCATATTGATAATGCAACCAGTAAGAGTTTAGGTGACCACTATGGAACATAGTTCCTTTAAACAGAAATGTTCTATATAAGGGTTTATCAGTTTTGCTAGAAAAAGTTACCCCAACAAATTGAGGCATTTTACTAGTAAATATGCTAATTTGTTTTTTGGTTGATTATGCCTTAATTTACTTGCTAACTGTAGCAGCTTTGTATTAGAGAAGAAATGACATCTTCCATGCCTTTTTATTAATCAAAATGCAATATCAATGACATCAATATGTATTATTGAATATGTTGGACTGTATTGCTACATGAAATTTGAATGATTGTACATGAACACCTCAGCATCAGGGCTGCAGATTATTTTTAACTTTTATACGTATTTTCCTTCTTTGCAAGGATGTTAATTTTGGTGTGATTGATGCAAAGCAAAATGGAATTCTGTTGGGGATCAGATCTGTGTTATCTGATCTATACATTCCAGCAGTATCAACATCATCTAATTGGGGAGACCTTTCAGGCAGAGAGTGCTTGCCATCACGAACTAAATTTCTTAATTCCTTGGAAAACTTCGTTGAGATTCTTACTGGCGCCCAGGACAGTTTAGAAGATGGAGTGACTTTGGAGGAATGTCATACAGTTGACCTCTCAAAATTTTATTCACCATCTACGTATGTTATTGCAAAAAATTCAAGCGAAATGCTAGAGGCCATTGAGAATCAAGCTTTGATATGGATTAAACAGATTGAGCAGGTTCGATTTTTATTATTCCCTAATTGACAAATTTTCTTATTCTCTTTAGGACGGGCAGTTACCATTATCACAAATTAAGATCCATCACTTTTCAACGTTATTTAACGCTTCTAGGATTTTAATTTAGGTTATGAAACCTTTGTTCTTTGTCATAAAGACATCAATCACGCCTTGAATTGATTGATGTCTGAATTGAAATGCTTTGAATTTACGCCAATTAAAATGAAAGTTTCGAATACATTCTGTTCAAGCCAACTTTCTTTGTCTTTGTTGACGTCGCTCCTTTAGAGTGAACGATAAATAGTGTGATTTACAAAATTTGCTAACTAAAGTATGTTATTGAGGACCAATATTGAGACCTCTAACACCTAACCAATAGCACAAGATTGATATGTTTCCTTTTGCTTACAAAGGTATTAGCCGAAAGTGAGCAAATGCGTCGTGAAGCAGACAACGTTGGTCCAAAGGCTGAACTGGAACATTGGAAAAAGCGAATGGCAAAGTTCAATTCACTGCTGGATCAAATTAAGTCAGCTGATTGTAAAACTGTCACAGGCATCTTGATTGCCGCCAAATCTAAAATCGTTAAGGTATGATTAAAACGAATCTTGAGAACTTTCATTTGTGCTTTCCATGGTTTTTGTTAAGCGTAAGGCAACGTGTTCTGCTTTACTCGTATTTCAAGTCTAGTTACATTCTTCGTGTTAGTTTTAGTTCTCCTATCTTGCAATACCTTTCAATTCCCACTTGCTGCCAATCATGTTATGCCTTCAAAGGGCAAATATTCGGGAAGGTAATGAAAATTACTATTTACCGGTCTGTCATAAAGTGCTCGATATCGTATAAGCAGAGCTGTAACCGCTTGGAGAAGCAACTTAGAGCCGTTTGGTTCTATACACTAAATAGCTTATTAGGGATTGTATGTAGATATTGAAATACTAAGTGCTCTCATTCAAAGCTCCCCTGTCATTCAGATATTGAGACAGAGGTTTAAGTTAATGTTATACACAATTCTGTACAAAAACGATATTTTATTGAATTTCGTTAAAAATCTCTACTTTCCAATTATGCTATACTATGTGCAAAAAGATCCATATTTCAAGGTGTAAAACCAAATGAGTCCATGTGATATTGTAATATGAGTTTTAGCATTTATTGATGTACCGATTTGGAGCTTTTTTGAAATCCTTAGCAAATCTCATATAATCACATTGCAATGGTTTCTTATTTATTTGCAGTCGTGGCGTGAGCTGGATAAGAAGATCACAGATTTTGCTAATGAGGCTAAAGACAACGTTAAATTCTTGTACACGTTAGAAAAGTTCTGTGAGCCGTTATACAATAGTGATCCAGTATCAATGCTAGATGCGATACCTGGACTGTTAAATGCTATAAGAATGATACATAGCTATTCAAGATACTACAACACCTCGGAAAGAATGACCGCCATTTTTGTCAAGGTAAATCCCCAGTTATCTACGTACTTGATCTCGAGAACTCAAAGCTTTAGAACTCGAGTAGAGGAATAATTTTGCATAGAAAGGACAAGCTTATGCACTATAAACCTTCAGTTGACTGTTTTTTCTACAATTTTCAGGGTTTAAAAATTTGATAATCGCTATCGACGACAACCTCTATAATATGAATATATTTCTTTTATAAAATATATATATTTCTTTATATATTTTAATTATGAAATAAAATGTACTTCTTTTGGCATCAGGACATTTGAAAGGAAGGTCCAAACGTAAATGTGAAGGGTTTTTTCTTTCGTTCATTTTGTACACATAGCCAAAGCTCTGTTCTTAATCTGAATTCTCTTAAAGGTCACTAACCAGATGATAACTGCATGCAAGAGTTACATCACGGAACACAATGCAAAAACCATCTGGGACATGGATCAGCATCTAGTCATTAGCAGAGGCAAAGACTGTCTAAAGCTCAATGATGAGTATCAGAAGTCATTCCAAAAGACCAAGAAGAAAATTGAAGAGCATCCCGAAGAAAAACAGTTTGAATTCAGCGAGACGTACATCTTCGGAAAGATAAACACTTTCACGCGACGGCTCGAGAAGATAATCGATATATTTTCGGTTTTAAATAGCTTCCAAAGACTTGGCCTGTCAAAAATTGAAGGAATCGACATGCTGAACGCAAAGTTTCAGCTGATAACAACAACAATGAAGAAAAAACCATACGATATGCTTGATTACAGAAAAATGGAATTTGATACAGATTATGAAGATTTCAAGAGACAGATCAGTGATTTAGAGGTATCAAGAGACATTTTTTTGGTTTAGGCTTTACTTCTAAATTTTCCGTTCTAGAAGCTTTGGAAAGCCAATCGCCTTTTCTTATGGAAAACCAACTTAAGTCATTTTGCACCATTTATCAGTGTTTTAATGGCTGTTTCTCTCTCCTGTCTTCTTTTCATTTGATGATTAGGTCATTCTCAACAGTACATTAATTATTGAAACAATGATTATCTTTCTTGTAAATAGCCTCCCTCTCTACAAAGTTCTTAAAATCGCAATGACATTTGGGTTATTTCTTTCAGAACCAGTTGACAGCTTTTATGGATACCACTTTTAAAAAGATTACAAATATGCCAACAGCTCTCAGAATGATCTCAAGATTTGAATGGTTTGTGATCCATTTATTTTCTCTACTTATAGAAAATGTTGATGACGATTTGTTTCTCATTCCGCCCTGCGCACTTCACTATAAATACCTCAAGTCTGCTTAAATCAGCAATCTCTAATAATAACTCCAGAACTGTTTTAAATATCTTAAAGAATCAAAACAGGCTTGCTTTTGAACTTATTTACCGTCTGTTTTTCATCAAATCCCCTCATAAGTCTTCAGAACGTTGTTTATTATGTTACTCCATATGTAGCAAATGCTTTTAAGTGTTTAGGCTTTTGCAATGGCGAAAAAGCTGATGGTCTGACGACCGATAAGTTTAAATCGATTTTCATTAACGGATATCACATGACACAAGTCCTTCTTTTATTACTAAAGGAGATTGACTTCTTACCCAAAGAAAGTTAAGGAATATTTTGTTTTTTTTCGTAGAAGTAACATGTCTTATATACCTTAACTGGCGTACACTTTACTGTGTAGTATAAAACGCCCATAGGCTACCAGTTTCACCCTTAATGCGATCATCAGACAAATGGTTACTACGCTCTTTGTTTATTTCTAATGACGGAGCAACTTTGAGCCGTCGTGTTCTACATGCCAATGCATGAAGAGCTTTGTCTGTACGGCATAGACCACTTAACAGTCGACTGATTAACAGTATTCTTCTATACAAATTTCTTTTTCTTTATTCTTCAACCAGGCTACAACTAGAAAGTCTAAAAGGGCCAATTCAAGAGCAGTATACGAAGCTGCTATTACAGTTTGGTAAAGACATAGACCAGACGACTAAGGTATATCAAAAGCATAAGAATGAACCTCCAATTGGTAGAGATCTACCACCAATTGCAGGTAAAATAGCGTGGGTACGACAGTTATACAGGCGCATTCAAGATCCAATGGAGTATTTCAAAAGTCATCCAACTATATTAAAAGACCCTGATGCCAAGAAGGTCATCAAGAACTACAACAAAGCATCAAGAGTTCTTGTTGAATTTGAGTGTTTGTATTACCAAGCGTGGAGTAAACAGGTATTTTTTTGATTAATTGTTCCCATTGCTTTTCTTATTTGGCACATCTGCTGCAACTTGTACACATCTGCTTTCTTACTCTATTTGTTGTGAAATCCCTGTCTACATGAATGATTGACCAACAACCAATAAACATAAAGCTTTGTCATCTCCTCCTCGCGTTGTATCGATTTTTATTTTTGAGAATTTTTTTTAACACTTCAAGGCGAGCAAAAGGTGATTTAAAAGTTATTTCTGTTTGCCAACATCGGAAATATATAGCACTGATTAAGTTATATTCAAGTATCAAGAACAAGATTTAGATCCCCCTGATAGATTGAAGTAGAACAATCACATCAGTTTTGCTTTAAGGCCTGAAAAGGTAAAGGGATGCCCTGTGAAAATAGAGATGTCATTCTCATGTGATGCCTTCGATAAAAAAATGTTAGAATATGGACAATATTTTCCAGTTTTACTTGTATATTGTTTGTATAATATTTTTGATAGTTTTATTTCCTTGTTACAAGTTGGGTACTTCCTCCGTGTTAATATAGTTTGCTACAGTCGTGTTGTCTGTTTGCATTTACATTGTCGAAGACATGCATTCACAGATAGCAGATGAAAGCATTCTACATTCCCACTGGCAGATCATTTGTAGTGTCGTTGCTTCCGTTTTCTCCTACGACGTTATAACGAGTGTTTATCAAAAAAACTATTTTAAACGATATTTGCTGTCGTACCATATTGTGACGTATAGTCATGTTCCCGGTGGAGAGGTGGTGGTTTTTTCCCGGTGGAGAGGAACAAAGACCAACTCAATTTTATCTGCATCAACATTTTTTCTTTCCACTGCATTTTTCAAACATTTTTGCCCTTTTGTTTTTAAGGTGGAAGTGGCTGTTACAGGACTCCATGCTTCATTACTTGTTCGGCATCCAGATGACAAACACAAGCTTTTTGTCAACTTTGATCCAGACATTCTGGTGCTGATGAGGGAAACTGAGTGCATATCAAGAATGGGTCTCAACGTCCCCTACATGGCTCTACCTTTGAAACAGAAGCAAAGTGTTTTTAAAAGGAATTATGACAGGCTGGCAGTAAGGCTTTTCTTGTTATTATATTTGAACCGTTTATAGGGAGTATTAAAATGTTCTGATTATAGCTGCTCTATCCTGCCTGGGTGATGCAATAAATAAGCTCGGTTTTGATTCAGCTCAATTTTTTCAAAAACGTTGAATGTAGCGTAGCTGGTGTGTTGACAATGATGGTATTGATAGTTTGCAACAGGCACAGGAATGCCCTCTAGTTGTTACAAAGGCTGCTCTTTGGCTAGATGATTAAAACGAGTGGCGCCAATGCAACAAAGGAAGATGCTTTTGAAAAAAGTACCTTTGATGTTTCAAAATGTGGAAAACCAAGTTGACTGACGCACCAGTCGCTAAGGAGTGGGGAAGGGGGTGGTAAAAATAATTACCTTTTAACCTTTCTTTGCTGTCATTAGTTAAATTGGATGATGTAAGCTCAAACGAATATTAGAAACCTGTAGATTGTGTAAGTCTTCAGTGGTTGAGTGTTTGACACTCTCAGATTTTAAAAAACTCCTGAATCACCGTAAGATTGTTTTAATTCCAGATGATGCTGGAAGAGCGAAATCGCGTCCTAGCTAAGATTCCATCCACGTTTCGCCCTCTCTTTGGCCCACACCTGACCAAACTTGAGGCTGCAGTGGAGCCTGGACTGACGATGTTAACTTGGACATCAATGAATATCGCAACTTACATTGAAACTGTATACGAGGCTCTGAGGGAAGTTGAACTGCTGATTGACAGGGCAAATGACTTAGTCAAGTATCGAATTGAGAATATTCTCATTGAAATGTCAAACGTGCAGCTATGTGAACTGCCTAATGACACGCCGTGGACAATAGAAGAGTTTATTAAACGCACAGAGGTTTGTAACTGTTTTTGATCTACTTCTTAGTATATTTTGTCAAAAGAAACCTGCTATACCGGATTTCAAAATCGTTGTGAAGAGCAACAACGTTTAAAGTTTATAGGCTGATGAAAAGAAAACAATTGAGGGTTCGGCTCTATTGTATTTTGAATATATTTTCCCAAGGATTGTAGACTTTTTTGCCTTATTGGCTGTTGAATTTGACCATCATTCTAGAGATTGTAGCCCCTCCGGTCCCCCCTGCTTTGCACGCTTATGATTTGCTATAACGGTAGAACACAGCCAATTCTCAACGACAAAGAGCAATATACGTGAAAAGGACTTTGATGTGAACTCGTGCTAACCATCCTGCTTACCTTTTATTCTGATTGACATCTTTTATCCTTTCTTGTTAGTTGTGTTGACATTTTATCAGCGTCAGTAAAATTTTTAATCGAACATATCGTTTATTCATCTTGAAAACAATCCCTAGCTAGAGTTGCATTTACTACTACTTTCAAACTGCTACTTTTAAATCATAATTTTCCTTAGGCTTAACAGTTTTGTAGAAATATACGATACATTAATTTTAGGTATTGTGCAAGAGAGGTGCCGAGATTCTAAACAACAAAAGTATGCTAGTGCAAGATGCGGCAAATGAACTGATCGAGATGTTGCTTGACGTCGGGGAGGATTCTTTGGCTGTAAAAGGTTCTTTCCTTTCCTTTTTTTCAAGAAATTTCGGCTGTCAGTCATTTACATATTTAGTATCGCGTTTGCTAATTGGTCAATACAAGGAACCAATCAAATATGTCGTAATTCCTCTCACATTACCTGTGGTCCTGTGATACATATCTTTGCTTTCCCTTTGGTTCTTGCTTTCATGCGATTATCATAGAGTAGTCATGAGTAGTCAGTGGTAGAAAACCAAACATAACCTGAACCCTAGTTTCATGAGTGAGATTTTTGAAACAAGAAATGTACATTATGATTTGCGAACTAAAAATAATCTTTGCATTCCAAAAGCCAGGACAACTTCTTATGGTATAGAAACTGTGAGATATTTAGGTCAAAAACTGTGGCAAACACTACCTCACAGTATAAGAGAGTCCCAATCATTGGCAATATTTAAAAAAGAATTAAGAACACACCCTATAGAATGCGACTGTAGATTGTGTAAAAAATTTATTGCTGGGTTAGGTTTTATTTAGAACATTATACCTCAAACCTTTTTAATATTGTATCATATATTTTTATTTCATACTAACTCTTTATAGATAGTTGGCCTTAATTAGCTTCTTTAAAGCTATCAGCCGTTCATTTAGTACGCCAACTTTAAACAAATTATTTATTATTATTATTATTATTATTATAGAGTAGACATGTACGATATGGTTGCGCTTTAAGAAGAAATTTTCAAATTATCTTTTCGAATGGGACTGTATTTTTAAGAGCATAGCCTACAAATTTGCTTTCACCAGGGCAGAAAATCATTTAGGTTTAATCCCCAGGTCTCCACCCTGCAAACCGTCACGATTTAAAGGTAATAATTTTTGTTGTTACTGCCTGCCATTTAAAATATTTGATCGTAAAAAGATATATACTTGTTCATTTGCAGACGAAGAAGATGAAACATTTAATGACACTGAAACACCACGGCCCTCCAGCCGAAGCAGTCGAACAAGTAGGCTAGGGAGTGCTGTGATCAGTCCTACAGCCGCGGCTGCTAAACGCAAGAATGACATCAAAGATTACTTGGAAGAACATGCTTTGGAATTACTGAGCTTTTTTAACGCACGGAATTTAGAAGCTATCATACGGGTTACGCGGAATACATTAGATGCGATGAAACGGCGAGTCACCTTGACGAGTGGCGTGAGTTACATTGAAAGTGCTATTGGGTTGAAGGAAGAGGTGCTTCACAACGCTGCAGCTTTTCGCTCCGATGTCGTATTGGCGATTCCAAGTATAGTAATGCAGCCGGCACTCGATGACATACAGCAGGCGATCAACAAGGCAGCGGCCATGGTCGTTTATGTCTCCAAAGGCATTGGGCAATGGGATGAAGTGTGCAGGGCATTGACAAAAGACAAAGAGGTCAAAAAGGAAAGCCAATTGTTCTTAAAGCCAAAGGACCTTGATATTGAAACACAATCGCAGAGAAGCCGCGGTGGAAGCTTCAATTCAGCGCACGATGATGGCGCTTCAGATCAAGGAGGGCCGTCGCGCGGCAAGATCCGAGACGCGTCAGTGATGTTGCTCCCTCCTCCGACGACTACAGCCCAGAAGAAGAGTTACTTCAAAAATGTTGCAGAAAACAAGGAGGTTGCAAAGTTGCTGTCTCTAATACAAACTATAATAAATTCGCAGAAAAAAGCTGTCACTACGGCGCTTGAGCAGAGCAGCCATCCTGAACATTGTTCGATACTGTTTTCATGGATTTGCCAATTGATCATCATTTTTGAATCGTCATCTTGCCTATTTGGAAAGACGATCGATGATTTAGAGAAAAATGAAAAAGAATTCATTGATGAGAATCCGAACCTTGGTGAATTTGAATCTCAAATCTTGTCGCTAAAAGAAACTGAAGAGATTGTTCAGCTAGAGCCAGAAACCTACAACGTTGGGGCCATAGCTTTGTTTACAGGTAAGTTTTCATTTGTCCTTGTTTTCAAGTTCTTCATCCATATATGAAAGCTAACAGGCAGAATCGCTATTTGCCTCTTTCAAATCATCTGTAAGGTGCAACACAATTACAGGATTGTGCCGAAAACTATTTCTGTGCAGTGTTGAGTCTTTTATCTTTGCCATTTTATATCTTTGATTTGATATCTTTGAACCTGATTTATGTTTCCGTATGGTGTATTTTCTATTTTCATAGCCATCCTGAACATTGTTCGATACTATTTTCATGGATTTGCCAATTGATCATCATTTTTGAATCGTCATTTTTGAAACGGATTCATCAATCATATTTTTGAGATGGCATTTTCATCATGACCATGTAGACATAATTCAGATAGTTTATATAGATCACTTTCTCTACGTACAATTTTATTTTGAATTAAATAATTTAAACAAGTGAAGTATGTTGTAAGAAATGCTACATAAAGATCTATCTGTTAGGCCAATAATCCAATTTATTTATTCTAATTTTAGAGTTTTTCAAGAAAGATTTAATCATAAGCAATGCAATTCATAACTACATCAGTACTAACATATTCATTTATATCGGAAATGTCCTTCATGGATGTGTCAATCATACGTATGTCGTACAATAACCAAAGCGATTTCATTTCAGTTTTTTTGTTTTTTAAGATGTCAGTTTTAGACTTTTTAATAATGTAAAGAATAGTGATATAGATAGTAAAGCTTTCTTGATACTGAGACTTTTATAATGATTACTTAAGTTTGTATATTTATCAAATTTAATAATTTAACTTGAATGTGATTATGTTATGTAACACGTATGAAACTGGCACTATGTACAGAAATTCGTTCTTGGGTTCACTTGTTTGGGCGCAATGCGAACACAAAGTATAGGACGCAAATGGAAGAAACCTTCGCTTTCACTGACGATCTCAACAAAAGAAAATTAGGCCCATCAAGGACTTGGATGACATTCGACTGGCAATGAATGCTTTGAAAGAAATCAGAGAAAACGAGATTCAAATTGACATGAATATTTCACCGATTGAAGTAAGTTCAGTTCCTTTAGATATCGAGAAAAAACCGACCTGAAATTAGCAATCACCATTCAAATGTTCCTAATTATAGTTTGTTTCAAGACTATCAATTCTGTGACACAGTTTTTGAAATTGCATTTGTCGCTGCCCTAGGTAGTTTTTAGGCTACCAAGAAGCTTTACTTGTCGAGTAGTGTTCTGGTCCTTTACTTTGATGTGACCACACTTTATGTTCTCTTTGACTGAAACTGCAGAGATCCGGCGACTTTCCTCACTATAAGTGCAGGTTTGGTTATGTAGGTGACTCGATACAATCTGCAGAACCTCAGGGTTGTAATTACTGAGCTATCCTCACACCTCGAGCAAGTCTTCATAAGTGGTCCATTATTATATTTCTATTAAGTAAATTGTCAGTATGAGTGAATTTGTATTGTATTCCTGTCATCTGCCTTGAGAAACAACATGAAGCTCTTTTGATTTTTGCATCAGGTTTTAAGTCAAATACCAGTTAACGATCTTCTGTTTTCAGAATCCGTAATTCAATGTGCCTATAATCATTCAATATATCATGAGTGTCAGTAGAGTATTGTTATTCATGCGAATTACCTTTCAGACTTCAGAACATCTTGCAAGATATTCCTTTGTAGTACTCTCTGCCTTTTCAATATATGATGCAGTTATACCTTCTTTCCACGAGAGCCTCATATAATAAAGCCAATATTTTTTTATTTCTTCCAAAGGAATGCTATGCAATGATGAATAAATATGAGCTCGTTTTGCAAAAGGAAGAAATGGAACGTGTCGATACGCTTCGATACACGTGGCAAAAATTGCTCGCGTTGGCTGTAAGTGACTCAACTGTGTTAACTATTGCTTAGTTTTATTCCCATCTTCCTATATATCGTCCAATTTATTCTGATTTTCCCTGTCGAATATTCCTTTTCTACTTGAGCAATGTGATAATTTGATCCGAAAACTCAATCTGTCCATGTTTGTTAAATCATTATTAATGTTGCACATCTGGTTGAAATACAGCCTGGCTTTTATTGATGAAAGTTGAACAGTTTGTCGTCGACATAAAAATCTTTGCCAAGGAATACGAAGAGGTATGTCAAAACTTGCATGTGTAAAATATGCAAAATTTTGAGTGAGTAAGCAAATGTTGCGTTTTCAAATTAACCTTCATTTCATTTGCCATCAAGTAAACGAGCATACCATAAATAAATGTTTGTTCTACTTAAATTCTCATATCAATATCTGGTTAGCTTTATCAATCTTTAAATGCACAAGCCTAAATCAGTAGTATAGACAGTTTCGCTGCGAGGTAAGCAGAGGGTTGGGGAGATTGCTGTAGGCCCCGAGTTGAGAGGGGCCCCAACAAAGTCGCAAGCTAGAACAACTAGAATAGAATTCATAGTTTCATTGACGTTATCACCGACCTCATCTCTCTTTTTGCTTCAGGACCTAGAGAAGCTCTCAGGGACCTGAAAAATTGATATCTTAGGCTCAGTTTTTGCCAGGCAATCTAAAGTTATTTCCGTGAGCATGCAATTATTTCATCAGAAGATAGTATATCTGTTGTATCTTTTCCATTTTCAGGCTGGTCCAATGGTACCCAATGTTCCACCGCGAGAGGCTAGTGACAGATTGATAATCTATCAGGTAGGTACTATTTAGTATTTACTATAGCCGTAAATGTGCTTCGAATTTCAATGAAATCACTCTAGCGGGGTTTCACTATTTATTACGATCGCGTCGATTAGTCCTGACAGTGTTTGGCTTATCTTTTCGATGTCTGTCTAAAGAATTACGTAAATTATGTAAACTGTCTGTGCTAATTATGTAAACAGACCCCAGTCAATGCTAATCATGAATACAGAGCCTAGTATTTGCTGATTCTGTATGCTGTGCTTCAATTATATATTCTGAAGGAAAGTTGAAAGTTAAAACATTTTGCCAGAATATTTATATCCAATTTTCCTTTTAGAATCGCTTTGATAACTTGTACCGCAAATTCGTCACATACACTGCTGGGGAAGAGCTTTTTGGCTTACCGGCAACAGAATTCCCAGAAATCCACAAGATAAGAAAGGAGCTGAACTTGCTACAGAAGCTCTACGGGTTGTATAATGACGTCATTGAGAAAGTGAATGGCTACTATGATATTCCTTGGGTTGAGGTGGATATTGAGAAAATCAACCAAGAGCTGCAGGAATTCCAGAACAGGTAGGCCAGCTACGTGATTGTTTTCAGTTACGTTTTTTGTGACTGGCAACGGTACAACTGATGCCATCAACGAGCACTTTTCTCCGAAACAAGCAGCCACATTTTTGCAAGAACTTAGGCTCAAAGCTGCAGGCACGACAGTCAAGCATTCTAAACATTCGGCAACGTCGATTACTGTAATTGCCGGTGTAGCTAAGACAGAACGAATAACAGTTTTTAAAGTGCATGGATAAAGCTTCTGTATTTTCTAAGTAAAAGTATGCAAAAAGGCTAAAATACCTAGCTAAAGAACTTCTAAAAGTAATGAGAGCTGCTTTTATCTATGAAGTAACAGTGTGCTCTCGCAAACTTGCTTTAAAACTGTTATTTGTATCTAAATATTAAATTTTCTTGTAGATGTCGAAAATTACCGAAAGCTTTAAAGGACTGGCAAGCATTTAAGGATCTAAAGAAAACAATTGACGATTTCAACGAGAGTTGCCCATTGCTTGAGCTCATGGCAAACAAAGCGATGAAGTTGCGTCACTGGACGAGAATCGGAGACCTGACGTCACATGTCTTCGACGTTGAGTCTGACACATTCTTGTTGAGAAATATAATGGAAGCGCCACTTTTGAAACATAAAGAAGACATTGAGGTATGCTCTTTGAATATGTCTACAAGATGCAAAGATCTTCACTAAAAGTCATTAAGTGATCACCTGTACATTGAAAACTATTTCACTGAGTAAATTGAGCATTTTCATACATTATAGTATTTGCAACATTTGTCATTTGACTCTTAACATCAGATTTGATAAGAGGACTATTTTCAGTCACTTCTTTTTAATCTCTACATTTGCATTTCTCTGCATTCCTTTAAAGTTGTTGCTCATTCCTGTCTAAAGAATTTAGATTCGTCGCCAGCTGCTGAAAAATTCTCATACTTTATAAAGGGTTTTTTTTGACTAAATGTTTGAGTTAGGTTAAATGTTCAAGAGTTTTTGCTTCTAACCTGCTGTATTTTTGAAACATTGTAAAAGCCACTGGAGCTGCCCTGATCAGTAAGCAAGAAATTGTTACTTCAGGATGTTTGCATTGCCGCAACAAAGGAAAAGGACATCGAGGCTAAGTTAAAGACTGTTACCAACGAATGGAATACCCACGATTTGGCGTTTGCAAATTTCAAAAACAGGGGAGAGCTGTTGCTACGTGGAGACAGTACATCTGAGAACATTTCCTTGTTGGAAGACAGTCTAATGATCTTGGGTTCACTTATGAGTAACAGGTAACTTAACACAGCTACTTTTAAAATCGATCATAATTATTTGTTGAATAGAGGATATGCCGATTCAAGTGTCTTTAGAAACCAAAGTTGGACGAGAGAGCAATGTTGTTTAATGTCGTTGCTGTGATTTTGTGATCGACAGTTTGAGCAATCTAGTTAAGCTGTTGAATTCTGGTTTACATGCCTTCTATACATGAAGTTTGACTGTTAATGTCAAATTTATGTCACATTTATGATATCATAAGACAAGGCAAATCTATCTAAACAATTCAATGCTGTTAGTTTGACTGCATAAAGGTGAAAAAGGCCGCCAAAAATGCACATACCATATTTAAGCTATTGCTTTGAGGAAAAAATTAATATGGATGTAGTAAAAAGTACTATATATGTTTTAAAATTTCTAGCGATCATTAAACTTCAGTCGTTTAATTTTCTTAGAATGTTCATCTCATAAGATTTTGCCTTTGTCAGGTATAACGCACCGTTTAAGAAAACCATTCAAACATGGGTATCGAAGCTATCAAACACGACTGATATTCTTGAAAACTGGATGACAGTTCAAAATCTTTGGATATATCTTGAAGCCGTTTTCGTTGGCGGAGACATTGCTAAACAGCTCCCGAAGGTATCTACCGTGTCTTACCCTTTTAAAGACTGAGAGCCAATGCGAACCCTTACCGTAATCCTACACTTTATTTCTACTTCCTCTCTTCTTAGTTATTACCGACTTATTTACCGAAGTCTTCGCAAAAAAATTTGAAATAATATTTACAATTGTAGAAGAATGACAAGTGATAGTCTGAAGCAAAAAAATACAGTTCAAATTACTTTCTATAAAGAGATGTACACTAGATAAGGCGATGCATCATATTGTTAGCAATTGACCATAAACTCCGAAATATTGTCTTCTACGTTTTAATTGATCTGTAACAAACGTTTTCAGGAAGCGAAGAGGTTCTCAAATATCGACAAATCATGGGTAAAGATCATGACCCGAGCCCACGAAACTACAAATGTTGTTGCTTGCTGTACCGGCGATGAAACTCTGTTTCAACTGTTACCCCACCTTTTAGAGCAACTGGAACTTTGCCAAAAGTCTCTCAGCGGGTAACGTTTTTTTGCAAACTGTGAATAAAACGTTACCTTTACTTTACGTGTCTTACTTTGTAGCTTTCCTTCCAAGACAGAACTTCGTATATTTTTCTAGAGTTTAGCATGAATTTTTATTAATTTTCAACAGGTAGGACTGTCATTTAGAGGTTCTGGGATCATACTGGAAATAAGGCTTATGTTAGGAAGCCTTTTTGAAGATTGATAACAGAGGAAGGTTTCAAGGTCCTATGACTGACCATATGCCTTAGCAATAAAATCCCCCCCCCCCCATAAAGAGCTGAACATGTGCCAATTTCCTGTAGCTATAGGGGGAAGAAAAAGCATAATACCCTTCCTACCGAGATGTTTACAATTTAGTTTACAACACCTTTTTTTTAGAATTTGAAGATATCGAATAGCATATTGGGGAAAAGATAGATCTTAAGAGAATGGATAGGTAGAATTCAAGTTGTGAAGGTTGAGTTTCACTAAGAAAAATTAAGAAGCAAAAAAAAGAAATAATCAGGAACTTACTGACTGACTGCTTCGATTTCCTTTAGATACTTGGAGAAAAAGCGGTTGGTTTTCCCACGATTTTTCTTTGTTTCGGATCCTGCATTGTTAGAAATTCTTGGCCAGGCCAGTGACTCGCATACAATACAGGTAAGTTTATCATATCTAAAATCTATCTAAATGATGTGTAGTTGTGAATGTGTCAGCAGCACCTGACAGTAATATATGACTAAATCTGCTCTAATTGCTGGCAAATCTTGTCTTCAAGTTCACTCCATTTTTATTCTAGCGCTGTCAGTTAATTGCATCTGTGCTTTTTAGAAACATTTATTTATTTGAGTCTGTTTTTCTTTGTAGAATCATTTGCTGAACGTCTTTGACAATATCAAGAATGTGAAGTTTCATGAAAAGGAATATGATAAAATCCTAGCTATCATCTCACAAGAGGGAGAGACTATTGAGGTAAGATGTACGACGACATCTACTATAAAGAAGTTTACAGGAGCTGTATTGGCTAATCTTATCGTTCAATGGGATCATATTCGTATAAGCTTGCATAGTATGAGCTTTTCACTGCTCTATATAAGTTCTATTTACACATGAGTGTTAATAATTTTTTTTGTACTTGCCTTTGAATCGATGCACGAGTATCTTGTTTTTCAATCATATCATAGCGAATTCCCAGCCTAGCACATAACAACTTTTTCATCGTGAGTGGACATCTAGCCGGCCGTTTTTTGATTGATTCTGTGTTGCATGATTGAAGTATAGCAAATAGGAACATTCATATTTTAGCTTGACAAGCCAGTACTAGCTCAGGGGAATGTGGAGGTATGGCTTGGGACTCTGCAGTCTGTATCACAGAGATCTCTTCATGGTATCATTCGACAAGCATATGTTGCTATTAACGATGAAAACTTCAAGCTAATGGAATTTCTGAACACCTTTCCAGCACAGGTATTTTTTATGAATATTACTGTTATTATTCCTAACTCAGGGTTTTAATGAGAGTTGTGAATAAGTTTATAAATCTAAAAAAACCTGTTTTCGCCAATTTTTCTCCATGTTGCCATGGATCCTTATTGCATATCCTTGTAATATTAACACATGTCCATAAATCTCTACACATTAATGGTTTCTGCATGTGTTTTGACATGTCTATGCGATGAGATATAGTGGTGGTGTGGAAGGTTAGAATAGTAGATCTTGCGCCTTGTTGGCCAAAATGTCCTATCTTTTCCTTCTGAGTTATTTCTTATTTTAAATGCACTTTAATTTTATAGGTTGGTCTTCTTGGCATTCAAATGCTTTGGACCAGAGATGCCACGTCAGCATTGCAAAATGCAAAATATGACAAAAAGGTCATGCAAGAAACAAATCAAGAGTTTCTCCTTCTGTTAAATGAGTTGATTGTGCAAACGACGAAAGATTTGACAAAAATGGAGAGGACCAAGTTCGAGACTTTGATCACAATTCATGTACATCAAAGAGATATTTTTGATGACCTGGTAGGTCAATTTTTTTCTTCCTATTAGATTTCTTGTATCATCAACAAATCACTTTTTTCTCCATATAAGTACATTGAAGCACCTGACACTATATCTTTTTAAATATTTGTTTGTTTATCCAGTCCAAAAGTAAAACTGCATGATAAAGTTCCGTTTTAAGCTTTTTAAAATTTTCGCTAATAACATATATATTTTGATGCAGTTATTATTTTCAACGATCGTCTTAAACATTTAACATTTTCTTCCTTGATCTTTCGTATTTCCTTAAGTTTTATTATCAGAAGCAGGTTCCCCTGTCATCCAGTAATCGTGAACTCAACCCATTTGTTCTTGTCTAAAGCATACAAAAACTGTCATTTGATTTCCAGGTAAAAAATCACATCAGAAACCCATCAGACTTTGAGTGGCTGAAGCAAATCAGATTCTACTTCATTGAAGATGCAGACAGATGCCTGGTTTCGATAACAGATGTTGACTTTATTTATCAAAACGAATTCCTTGGTTGCACTGAGCGTCTGGTAATTACTCCGTTGACTGATCGATGTTACATCACTCTTGCCCAGGCTCTTCATATGTCAATGGGAGGAGCCCCCGCAGGACCTGCTGGAACCGGAAAGACAGGTAGACAAATTTTTTACGTTAAAGTAATAATTGTAGACAGTTAAGAGTTTTATAGTAAACTGTACATTTATAAGGACTGTTATATTGTAGGCTTTTATATAGTGAGATATAAGCTAAAAGCTCTTTTTACGATATAATTTGTACCTTACCTATGCATATTTCTGTTCCACAGAGACAACCAAAGATATGGGTAAAGCACTTGGCAAATACGTTGTGGTTTTCAACTGCTCTGACCAACTGGATTATCGTGGTCTTGGTAGAATTTTTAAAGGTAATTGCCGAAAACTGGATAGCCTTTTTGATCTAGATTATCATCAATACCAGAATTGGAATTTCCTTGCTCGCTCATTCTGTTATCTGTTTGTGCAGCCTGTTGGAGCGAATTTTTATTCACGGCTCAACAAAAAGTTTACGGATCGGCATTAGTACATGTTTTTGGGTCCTTCTGTCTTCATTAACAATTCTTACCTTAGCCTAAACGCCCCATTGCCTTGATACTTCTTGTTACATAGAAGCCTGTTTTTAATTATTCGACAATCTTTTTGTTTTTATGCTGATCCCAGGCAAAGTGACTTTTAACAAGTTTCAATGATGACTCTCTATCTGTCTCATTTTCCAGGACTTGCACAGTCTGGCAGCTGGGGCTGTTTTGATGAATTCAATCGTATTGATCTGCCAGTATTGTCAGTAGCAGCCCAGCAAATTTATGTCGTCCTAAGTTGCAAAAAAGAAAGGAAAAAGCAGTTCGTCTTCACAGATGGCGATATGGTCAGCATGAACCCCGAGTTTGGACTTTTCCTCACTATGGTAAGCTCAAGTCTGCTATCGATAGCGTGCATTGCCTTTTTCTGCCATTTTGTTTTCTCGATGTTGTATTTTTATGAAAGTATGAAATTTATGTCATTCTTTGTTTCCATTGTGAATCATGTCTTTTCAATAAGCACCGTTTAGCAGAGTCTAGAAAAAATGTCTTTTTTAGCTCCGGATAATACACCTAAGCTTTTGAATTCATAACAAGAGTAACAATAAAAAAAGGCAGAGTTTGAGTGTAGTTCTTGAGTTTCTGTTACTTTACTGCCTTTGACTATGTTACTACTATGCTTTCTGGGCTCTTTGTTCCAGTCTTTAGAAGTGAAAGGCTAAAGTTTCGAGTAGTTGTTCAGTATATTCTTCTGTGTAATTAAAGCTTATTTTTGCCTATTACAATTCCTGTAGCAATCCTGTATTACCATGCTAGCTTTATCTATTATAATAATCAGTCTTATTTCATTCATTCACTATTCATATCAAGCTTTAAGTAATTCTTTTAAGAAAGGCTAACCTGCTCTCTGCTATTAAATAGCCTTGATACGTATATACTTCTCATAATTATTTGTATATATAGCAAATAGTTTCTTTGCGTTGCATTTCAGCATCTTAACAAATTTACTTAATAACGTATACTTTCTTCGCAAACCATCTAGAAGTTTTATCAGTTATAGTAAGAAAATTGTTTGACGTTGTCTTTGATATACCTTCTATTGAATTATTTGTTTTAGAACCCAGGCTACGCTGGTCGTCAAGAACTGCCAGAAAATTTGAAAATTCAATTCCGTTCAGTTGCCATGATGGTACCAGACAGGCAAATTATCATCAGAGTAAAACTTGCTAGTTGTGGCTTTGTGGACAATATCAATTTGGCTAGGAAGTTTTACACATTGTACAAACTCTGCGAAGAGCAACTTTCGAAACAGGTATGTCACATAAATTAAAGGGTACTTTCTTTTTTTGTGTATGTCTGCATCAATGGAATATCTAGGGTATTATTACGAACATTCAAATTGACAGGAGCACCTTTTAGCGACACCAGTTTAGTGTTATGAAAATTTTATAAGGCAAATTTGCTGTTTTATTTCTACCTGCTTTAGTTAAAGCAATCTTTCATACACGAAAATGTTATAATGTATTTTTAATATAATATAATGTAATTTCTTTTGGTTATCATTGACATTTTGTTTTCTGGAGAATCGATTCCTGTTTATTTACGCTTGTAATAAAGTCTCAGGGTTTATTACTCCAATTATTAATAAATCAACAATTTATATAGATTTTTATAAAGCTAATATGATTTGTAATTATCTGCAGGTTCATTATGATTTCGGTTTGCGGAATATTCTCTCCGTATTGCGTACACTTGGCCAGGCTAAAAGAGACAATCCTGGAGACAGTGAGAGTAAGATTGTCATGAGAGTTCTTCGAGACATGAATCTTTCAAAACTGGTGAGTCCGTTTTAGTATTTCGCTTTGTTTTCTCTCTATAGATATTAGTATTTGTCTGTAACACTGATATGAAAAACCAGTTTAAAGTTCGGACCTGTGCATTTCTACCAGCCAGTCGAAAATGGTTCGTTCAATAGAGTTTTGTTATGAGTCTGGTAAGCCAAAAAGACATGTTGAAAAGCAAGTATCTTTGCTTGCACATTTAATTGTTTCACTGGCGATTGAATATAGTGCAATCTATTCGACCTCAATTTCTATCTTGTCAGAAAACCCTCTTTTCCTACACATAACTGTCTTTCTTTTTTAATGCCTTCCAATTTGGGTTGTTCAACGAAGTATTACCATTATCCTTGTAATTTTAGGTTGATGAAGACGAACCACTTTTCCTGAGTTTGATCAATGATCTTTTCCCTGGTATAACTTTGAGCAAAGCTGGTTATCCTGAGCTAGAAGGGGCAATTCAGAGACAAGCCGAAGAAGCTGGGTTGATTTACCACCCGCCGTGGGCTCTAAAACTCATTCAGGTAAAGCAACACCCAACATTCATATTGTATGTTTCATTGGGAGCTGAAGTTTACCCATTTATTTCTGCCCAGACTGCATTTTAATTTAGAATAATTTTAAGTATTCTCTTTCATAAGATAAAGATTTCGCATCTTCCCGTATTTCAACAGCTTACCATTTAATTCTACAGTTTTAAACGCTTTAGATTCAGCTTGTACATTCTAGTGTAGTGAAATTGTATTTCACAGCCCAGATAACACTTAAAGCTCCTAGAATCAAAGCCTATTGATATTGCTGAAGTACAGCTTTGTCAATGTTGTGCTTACCAATGTTGTATTATCTTTTATGAAGTTACTAAAATGAAACAAGCCTGTTATCAAAATTCAGCTCTGTTAATGCTGCTCAACAATTTGTAACCAAGTGATTTTTTATATTTTTGGTTAGTTGTTTGAGACTCAGCGTGTTCGTCATGGTATGATGGCCCTGGGTCCAAGTGGTGCTGGCAAGACAGAATGTATCCATACTCTAATGAAGGCCATGACCGAATGTGGAACACCTCATAAGGAGTTTAGAATGAATCCAAAAGCCATCACAGCGCCTCAGATGTTTGGCCGACTAGATGTTGCAACCAATGATTGGACAGATGGAATCTTCTCGACACTCTGGAGAAAGACATTGCGTGCAAAGAAAGGTATAGAGGTTTCAACAATCTTCTCCCCAAATTTTTGTCAGTCAATTCACCCCAAGTTTCAGTTATCTTTGTCTATCTGTGTTGAACCGTTTTTAAAGTATTGGATCATAATTTGTATAACTTGTGTTAAAAATTTATCGGGGGGACTTTGCTTACGCAAAAAAGTATTTTTCAGCTTAATCGATTTAGCACTATATATTATCTGATCTTGAGAATTTTTGCCACCGTCAATTTCTCAACTTTTCTTGCCATGAAAAACCGATTTAGTTTTTCTTCATCTCATGCTAAAAATTTCTGCTTCAGGAGAAAAGATTTGGATTGTACTTGATGGGCCAGTTGACGCCATCTGGATTGAAAACTTGAACTCTGTGTTGGATGATAACAAGACTCTCACTCTTGCTAATGGTGATCGTATACCAATGTCACCTTACTGTAAAGTTGTCTTTGAACCACACAACATCGATAACGCTTCCCCGGCTACTGTGTCAAGAAATGGAATGGTCTACATGAGCTCATCTGCCCTTGACTGGAGACCGATTCTGCAAGCATGGCTAAAATCACGCCATGCAAGGGAAGCTGAAACGCTAAGGACATTCTATGACAATTCGTTTCAAGAGATTTACACGTATGCAAAAGAGAGCTTGATTGCGAAAATGGATCTCCTTGAATGCAATTACATTACTCAGGTACAAACATATTTTTTGGTTGCTGTTATGAGAATTTATTCCCAATTACCACGTGTGTTCTCGTCAACTGGGAAGTTTCAAACCATAGTCCAAATGGTCAGATCATCCCACATTGAAGTACAACCTGTAAAGTTTAAACAAGTCATACCCTAGGTTCTTGTTATTAAAAAGTAACTAAAATCTGGGCCTTTTGAGCCGCCATGAGTGAAATCTGTCGTTAAACTCTTTCATCGATGTATAGCATTGGCTTTATGTGTTGAGGGAAATTTTGTACATATGGTATGCCAAAAAACATTTATTTAAGATGTGTGATAAAGGAATTGAAAGCTAGTCGAAGAGCAAGTTGAGGTGATCTTGGTAAAAATAGGCTTGAAAACAGGAATTTGTACATTAAAAAGCCATTTTTTTGCATCGAAAAAATCTTGCCAAAAGTCATTGCTTACCAAACTTTTTGAGGTAGGAGAAAGATTACAAAAATTGATAGCTTTATGGTTTTCTCAGATTTCTCAATTCATTTTGTTTTGAAATTGAATTACGAAAATTTTCAAATGCTGAGGTGTGCACACGTGTATGATTTTATTTTTTAAGGTCACCCTTCCCTTTTTCTATTTTCTCTGTCGCCAATTTTCGTATCCAAATAATGCTCATTTTTTGAAAATTTCTTGTCTCTTTCCAGTCTATAAACCTGTTGCAAGGTCTCCTTCCAAAGCCAGACGAAGGAATTCAGTTGAAAGATATGCATTTGCAACGCTTGTATGTGTTTGCAGTTATGTGGAGTATTGGAGCAATTCTGGAGCTTGACGACAGACTTAAATTAGAAATCTTCATGCGAGAAAATTGTAGTGTAGACTTACCAGTCATTGCAGAAGATTCTGGGAACACAATATTTGAATTTTTTGTATCAGATGCAGGTAAGGAAGTAGAAACATAGTTTTTATTGTAGCTTTTAAGCTTGTTTTGATGATATAAGTTAAACTTATTTTTGTTGGCCTAACGTCTTTCCATGGGCATTTTAAAAAATGATTAATTATGAGGAAAGAATATTTTTGAGTTCTTTTTTGTTTTCCTTGGCTTGTTTGTCGCAACAGAATATTTTAGCAAATAGAAATTCATAAAAAGAATCATTGTTAAATGTTAATTGTGAATGACTTAAAATTACAAAGTTTCTAAAGAAACCTTTCCTGATGTGCCTTCGTTTTTGGTGTATTTTGATACGCGTCTGGTATTAAATGGTCGCTCTTGGAAGCAACAGTCAACCTTTCCTCATGGTCACCATCGTATATTCGTCATATTTCTAACAAACGCAAAAACTTTCGCACCTTTTTAAATCAGCTAAAAGCAAAGTGATTGCGTGCATTTTGAAAAACATGAAGTCAAAGTAACTTGTTAAGCGATTTATAGAGTTTGGTTACTATTTGCAAGTTTACTTTTCTCGCTTAGGTGACTGGGAGCATTGGACCACTCGAGTTGAAGAGTACCACTACCCAAAGGACCATACCCCAGACTACCTGTCCATTCTGGTTCCAAATGTGGACAATGTTAGAACTGATTTTCTTATTGACACAATCTCAAAGCAAGGAAAAGTAAGACATCTATTTTGTTATTAACCTTCAAAGGCTGATAACGAGTTTCGTTAAAAGTTTCTTTCTGAAGATATTTTTGTAGCTTCTACAGGAAGTTTATATAAATGCTATGAATGTCTCTCAAATAGTTTGCTATCCCCAATGGGATCAATTTCTTGACATCCAGTAAGGGGGGTTACGGAGAATGTAAAAATAAACCTTAACAATAATTTTTTGGTCATGTTGTCATTTGCATTTTAGAGTTTAATTATTGAAGTAATGTTATCCATTCAGTATCTAAAAACCTACCAGATTTCTTTTACTTTGTTGTAATTTTCTTGATTAAGACTTATTTTTCTACCTATGGGAGGTTTCAAACCCGAGAGGCACCACTTTGAAATTATTTCCCTCTCTATATTCTTGACATGGCGATACCCGAAAGGTAGATTGAAAACCATGTTATGAAAATCTCCCGCACATGTATTGATATTATCACGTTTTTCTAGATTTCATATTTTTAGGAGAGTGTTCCCTGACCCTAGGCGACTTGTGATTTGTTGATGCAGTCACAAAACTCCTTGACGTGTATGACACGAGGTTATTCGGATTATCCGAACCGGATTCTTCACCTTCGCCTTAAGTTGATCTATTTTTTTCTTTCCAAGGCTGCTCTGTTGATTGGAGAACAAGGAACTGCTAAGACAATCATGCTCAAGAGTTTCATGAACAAATATGACCCAGAGAAGCACCTGAGCAAAAGCTTCAACTTCTCATCTGCCTCAACTCCACTCATGTTTCAGGTGATGCGAAAAGCTTAATTTAAAGCCTAATTTTTCAGCAGATTGTTGCAAATAGCATTTTTATAAAGCACTTGAAAGGTATAAGGGCATTCGAAGAGAGCCGGGAACTTTGCCCCACCTCTCTGTACCTCATACTTTAAAATTCTAAAAATGCTCCTTAGCATTAGATTTTTAGACGCACAGAGATTTTTAGATTTTTAGACACTGATTTTTAGATTCATTTTTTCTCAACAATATAAAGTGTCTCTTGGTCTCGGCGTATTTTGTCAAGACTTTATGTCATATAGAGTTAAGATATTCTGTGTCATTAAGAAATGTGACTTTTACTACCTATACTTCTTTCGCCCCTTTATACGTTTGAGTAATTTATTCTCAATGCACAGACCCTTTCGGTATTAAATTCCTCCATTTTTGTTTCGATTAGGATAATTAATCGTGTTTTGTTTTTCTTGATCCTCAGCGAACAATTGAAAGTTATGTTGACAAACGAGTTGGAAACACATTTGGCCCGCCAGCCGGGAAGAGAATGACTGTTTTTATTGATGACGTCAACATGCCAATCATAAATGAATGGGGAGATCAGGTAAGGTTTCTGCTTGCTGGTCCGTCCATTGCACCGTCCGTCCCTGTACTTCAAACATGTTAAGGTACCCCCCCCCCTCATTGCACTGCAATATTGTTTACACGATGGAGTACCTGGTGACTTAGTCAATTGTAATTGCTGGTTTCAATGATCAATGTTTTTGGCAGAGAATGTACAAGTTTTCTCGTTCTTATCTGCAAGGTAGTGCCAGCACTATGGAAATGGACAAAACTTCTTCGAAATTTGGTTTATAAAGTTTTTTGTTCATCTTGTTTTTGTTTTTTGTTTCTGAAAATTATTATCTCTTCATTTCCTCTAAAGGTGACAAATGAAATTGTGAGACAGTTAATGGAAATGGGCGGATTTTACAACTTAGAAAAGCCTGGTGATTTCACAAACATCGTTGATATACAATTTCTAGCTGCAATGATCCACCCTGGAGGTGGTCGAAATGACATTCCAGAAAGATTGAAGCGACGGTTCAGCATATTCAACTGTACCCTTCCCAGTAACGCGTCCATTGACAAAATATTTGGTACGTTTGTCTCTCTTCGTTAGTATTTTGCAGTGGTGATTTTCTGTTTGCCTTGATGGAGTAGTAAAATGTTGATATGTCGTTGGGAAATGTTGCAAATCACGTAAATGATAACACTGATAGATAATAATATATACAATTAAAGAAGAAAGTATGAAGTGCATTGTACGTGAGGGTTTTTAAATTTGTTGGCCTTACCAGTTGCCACTCACTTTTCCCTTTTGGTTCTTCCCGCTGCCAATTTTGCAGATTGAAACGCACGACTTCATTTCATTTCCAGGTGTAATTTGTGCAGGCCATTTTTGTGCTGAACGAGGTTTTGAAGCCAGTGTAAGAGAACTTGCTATAAAGCTAGTTTCTTGCACTAGAAGACTTTGGCAGCTAACTAAGGTGAGTTTTTAAAGTCTCGACTTAAACTAAAAGAGCCAGAAATGTTTTTGAAATTGCACACATGCCTACAGCTGTCTAAGAATTTTGTTATTCGACTCTTGCCTGTCGATATACCTTCTAATATTTCTGTATGCATCAATTAGGTTAAAATGCTTCCGACCCCGGCAAAGTTCCATTATGTATTCAACCTTCGTGATCTCTCACGCATATGGCAAGGAATGCTGAACTCACAAGGTGACGTCATCACTAGTGAATCGATTTTACTGTCGCTGTGGAATCACGAGACAACTAGAGTAATTGCAGACAGATTCACAGAGCAGCAAGATAAGGACTGGTTCAGCAAAACAATGCTACGTGTTGCTGAAGAAGAGCTTGGTGAAGATAGCGTAGATGCGCTGAAAGACGTTGCATACTTTGTCGATTTTCTACGGTATGTTCTTATTTCAAAGTTAGACACTCAGACAACTAAAAATCTTATTCGTCGAAGAGATACTGTTTCTTCTTTCAAATTTTGAGGACAAAATTCCTTAACAACATTTCTTTAAGAGATTTATATCGTTTACCAGGTCTATGGCTGTTTAATATGTAATAATATGTCATGTTTCCTTGTCTGTTGTCACTGTCGTATACATCGTCTCTAGTCATTGTTTATATAAGCTATTGATTAGTGTAAATAAATGAAGTGTTAGAATTTAATTTTAAGCTTCAACCAGGTGTGTTTTGCTTGCTACTTGGTTATTACACTATAATCGAGGTAATTTTTATTGAAAACTTGTAAAAGAACCAGTATTCAATAAACAATATTTCATTTTAGCCTTTGTTTACTTGCAGCGATCCAGATGAACCAACCGGAGAGGAGCCAGATGACGCAGAACTGGAAACACCAAAAGTTTATGAAGCAGTACGTTATTTAATATTCGTTGATAAAAAGCATGTAGACAGAGTCAAGAAAACTCGTTAACCTTCCTCCAGACAAATACATCCCAGAAGGCAAAACTTCCTTACAAAACAATATAAAGTGGGCGTTGCTTGGGTGTGTCATAGGAGCTTCTATTGTTTTTCGTGTACCTTCCTCCGGTCAATGGCCGTGCGACCGTAATGTTTTCCTGTCTCTGCCTGTAGAATCCTGTATTGATTTACCTAAGCAATCACTATGAGTAAAGTAACCAATTTTGTTAACTTTTCTTACAGATACCAAGCTGGGCTGACTTGCGAGATCGGCTTAATATGTTTATGGAACAATACAATGAATCCATACGAGGTGCTAGAATGGACCTGGTTTTCTTCAAGGATGCCATGATCAATTTAATCAAGGTTTGACTGTTTTCTGTTTCAGAAAAGCAATTGCTTATCGCTTTCCATAGAATAAAAATTCAATTGTAAATAGCTGGGGCTATATTGTAACGAAAAGAGTAGGTTGTTCATTGCACGACCTATCTTCCGCAATGCTAGAATAGAAAGCCGAACTTGCGAAAACATAGTTGGTTAGATTTAAATAGATTGCCAATGTTGTGTGTTTTATTGTAGAAATCTATGTACTCTCTTAGTATTATCAATAGAAACGTTTCTTATCATATCTTTTCTCGTGGTTTTTTTAGTGGTCCTTTGTTGCTCTCCTTCTTTTCCTGTTTGAATTTTACTGTCTCACCAGATTTCTCGAATCATTCGAACCCCACGTGGCAATGCATTGCTTGTTGGTGTTGGTGGGTCAGGAAAACAAAGCTTAACGAAACTGGCCTCGTTTATTGCTGGTTACAAAACGTTTCAGATAACTCTGACAAGGTAATAGTTTTTTTAAATTGTGTCCTGTATTAGGTGTTCTAAAATCGAAAGCTGCCATTGGTACATTGTTTTTTAAAGCAAATAGTTTTTCTTAAATGTAAATTTCGTGCGGATATCACAGCATCAAAATCTTTGATAAGATTAATGTCTATTATCTATGAAAGATATCTCAATGTGAAGATTTTTCCTCAATTCTTATATAAGACGTTTTCTCCAAATTTTCAAAGGTCATATAATGCTTCAAATCTGATGGAAGATCTGAAATATTTGTACCGAGTTGCTGGACAACAAGGACAAGGAATCACCTTCATCTTTACAGATCAAGATATCAAAGACGAAGGATTTTTGGAGTATCTAAACAACCTGCTTTCATCTGGAGAGGTATGTGCCTAACGCATGTCTAGATGTTTATTATGCCAATCATAAAGTGCTTTTTATACTGGAATAGGAATTTCAGAGCTACAATGCATAAAGAAATATAAATTTTTGCTACTTTAATATTGTTTTTGATGCACTGCTGCTTCTAAAGATCTCTTTATTCCAGGGTTCTACGTAAGTGCCAAATTTTCCACTTCATCTGTCTTTACCATTCCTTTTTTTTCTGGCGTTATTTTGTTCTTTAAGTTCAACATCTTACTTGCTTTGTTTTTGTCTTTTAGATTTCAAACCTCTTTGCGAGAGATGAAGTTGATGAGATTTGCGGTGAACTCATTCCAATAATGAAGAAACAATACCCAAGAAGGCCTCCTACTCAAGAAAACCTGTACAATTATTTCCTGACGAGGGCCCGACATAATCTTCACGTGGCTCTTTGCTTTTCGCCAGTGAGTGTATTCTATGTCTTTTTGTGTATGTTCATTGTTTGGTCGTAGACACCAGTTTGATGTAGGCGAGGTATCATGGCTATTTTTAACAATCAAACGCTGATTAGTGTTTCTCAAGTTAGCATCCAGAATGCAGTAAAAAAGCTCGCATATTCCAAACATTTTTATTAAATATTATAAAAAGGCCTACAGGTATGCTCATTCCGACATAGTGGCATCCATTATATATACTTATTTTTCAAGAAGTTTTGTTATTAGTTATCACAATGCCTTTTCTTGTCTGTCTACTTGCTATAAAGATCGTTGTAAAAGACTTCTCGCCAGTTGGCTTCATTAACATTATCTGTATGTTCATTATTGTTCCTCTGAAACAAACATTCGTCATAGACACTTCTTGTGATGTGGGCCAGGTAACATAGATATTATAAAAAATGAAACGCTTCATGTTTTGTTCAAATTGAAATTAATGCTTCAAAATCTAGCATTCTTAGCATCCTCTAAGTATTCCGTAAATAAACTCTAGGATTTCAGACATTTTTATTGAAAAACGGCCTGCAAGACTGCTCATGACATCATCAGTGAGTCATCACTTTATAAGCCAAGTGATTAAAACATTTTTACCTAAGATCAGGCACCAATTTTCTTCATCGCCATTTTTTTACAACCAGGGTATACAGATTTTTAATGGCAAGTTTATTCATTTCAATGCTTTTTTGTATCTCAGGTTGGAGAAAAGTTCCGAAGCAGAGCTTTGAAATTCCCCGGTCTTATTAGTGGCTGCACTATCAATTGGCTACAAAGATGGCCTAAGGATGCTTTGATTGCCGTAGCCAATCATTTCTTTTCAAATTTCCCAATTGTTTGTGAAAAAGAGGTTAAAGCACAGCTTATCGGTTCTATGGGATCTATTCATGATGGAGTTGCAAAATACTGCAAAGAATATTTTGAACGGTAAATTTCTTATAATTGATTCAATGAGCAAATCCATGCTTTATTTGGTCGTCTAATGTCAATCACCCACTGCATTTGTCCTCAGACTGTTAATGCATCTGCCTTATCTCCGACGAAAAGGAAAAGAAATATGCAAACAATCTTTTGTGGTACAAAACTTGTAAATGGCTTTGAAAAAAGCAAACATTTAGTAAACTAAAGCTTTCCGTCTGACACTCTTCAGAGTTTAAAACGTCAGAACATAGATCGAAAACCCTACGCTAGGAAATATATATACCCAGTTGTGGATCGAAATAGGCCAATCAGAAACACGAGCACATGACTGTATAAGTTGACCAATCAGTGCCGCTTGAAAAGAAATTGTTGAGCCGCTATAGAAATCGTGATATCTTAAATCAAGGCCCTTTCTAATGATATTTTAAGTCAAGGTCCTTTCTAATGATATTTTAAGTCAAGGTCCTTTCTAAACACTATAATTCCATGCAGTAGTATCAGAATAATATTTCAATTTTGCCCTTACGATTTCCAGTAGTGTTTAGTTGAGCAATTTGTGTTGGTTAAATTATATGTTTTTGTGACTGTTGAGAAAATTTTCAGATAAAAACCGGTAAGAATAAATCTATAGTGAGACTATTCACTCCAACCCCAATTCAATGTTATAGAGTATATACATGTAATTCCTTGAGATTTCTCAATGTCCATTTTTGCCCTGTAACATATAATTTGATCGCCTCAATTTTAAAGCTTTTTTACTATGATTTCATTTTTTATCATAGGTATCGCCGTGCTACACATGTGACACCAAAATCTTATCTGTCGTTTATAAATGGGTACAAGGCAATTTACTCAATGAAAAAGGAGGAAATTGGAAATTTAGCAAAGAGAATGAATACAGGATTGACGAAACTGATGGAAGCCAGCGAGTCAGTGGCAGAGTTATCACGTGAATTGGCAGTTAAAGAGAAAGAGCTCGCAGTGGCCTCTGAGAAAGCTGAAAAGGTTTGTGTACAAAAATACGTGATATGCACCGAATTTTGTTTTGCGCGTGTTTGGCACCCTTCCAGCCTCGCAAAGTTACAAATAATTTTAAGAACGATATTCAATTTCTTTTCCTAAGTCTTTCGCTTTCAACCTTGTTCGTTATTGGTTTTAAAGAGCTGGGCCCCCTAAGAGCTTTCGAATCTAAGCCTTCGAATCTTAACTTTGTCATATGTTGATGGCAGAAAAGATCATGTCTATGCTATGCAGGTTGTATACTGAAGGTGGTACAGAAATTTATGATGCATATTTACCACTGCCAAGAGTAACCACTTCAAGTTTGGTTATGTTTTTGTATTTTCAAGAACACACCCATATCATTAAGTTTTGAAACTCTATCTCGAACATGTTTACCCTTTCTTTACAGGTTCTTAAGGAGGTCACAGTAAAGGCCCAAGCTGCAGAAAAAGTGAAATCTCAAGTGCAGGGAGTCAAAGATAAAGCACAAGCCATTGTGGATGTTATCAATGTAAGATTCTCCTTGTACAATTTCCATGTGTGACTTAGTTAAGGATGACGTATAAATCTCTGTCTGTTTCCAAAATTACTATTCATTTTTCACAATATAGACAAAATCTTTCCCGATCTTTATATTAACATGTTCCACTGTTCTCGGAATATTGACGTACAATCACCCTTCTTGAATGACTTTGAATGTATTGATAATCTTTTCAATCGTTTCAACGAAGCCATTATTTTAAAGGTTCTTTTAGTCACATTTCCTTAAGTTTAGTTTGTATTTAGATTGTTGTTGCAAGTCACCACGATTGACGATTTTTTCTAACTAGGCGGATAAAGAAGTTGCATTTATAAAACTTGAAGCTGCAAGACCAGAGCTTGAAAAAGCAGAAGCTGCTCTGCAGGTAAGCAAGTTTTAAGTCTATATGTTTAATATTGTGCATGACCGCTTCAAACTCATGGTTAAAGCATGTTTCCACTTTATATTCCAACTGAGATATCTCCTTTTTGAAAGGATAGTTTTTCATATACATTAAAAATGATAACTCATTTTCTGCTTTGGCCAAAATCTGCAAATATACGTGTCTGCTAGTAAGATTGCAGCAATAGCCTTTCAATAAAGCCATTAAACTAGATACCTAAATCTAGCTTGGCCAGCAATAACTGCTTTGCTTTGTCTTAATTTGGAAATTCTTTGCCATAAACCAAACACAAACAGCTACGCAGTTGTATAGAATTTCATCTGCGTTGCCAGAGTCTTTTATTTTGATATTAAAAAGAGCAACATCTATAGTAATCCTGTTACTGTCTCTGTGACTCATTCCATTTGGCCTTTTTTGATTGAAGTTATAGCTTTTTCTAACTGATGATACGTTTTAAAATTGCCAAAACTTTATTTTTTAGACAATTAAGCCTGCAGACATTGCTACTGTTCGACGTTTGGGAAAACCACCCCATTTGATCATGAGAATCATGGATTGTGTGTTGATTTTGTTTCAAAAGAAGCTGAATTCTGTGCAGCATGACACTGAAAGAAATTGTGTTAAACCATGTTGGGGTGAGGCATTCAAGGTAGGGACGCTACATCACTAGAAAACTCTTTAGTTGCATCATGACAAAATCTTGATATGTTATTGCTACTCCCCTTATGTACTCAAGTCATTTCAGTTTTATCCGCCCAATAGACCCTCCCTGCTTCTTAATGTTTGATTAAGGCACAACAATTATTTTCCATGTTCATCTGTCATTTTTCGCGCTCGCCGTCCCATAGTGAGAAGAAAATTCATATAGCATACCGGGTCAGCTAGTAAGGACTTCATTCAACATCTGAGTTATTGTACTCCTCTAAACTCTGTGTAATTTTCAGTTCATATTTTGTCTAGGAGCTTTCTATACGAGCTCTAGACTAATTTAAATCTCAATGTGAATTTATTGAAAGCTACTGTTTACCGGTCTATCATAGATTGTTCGATGTGTCAGATCTAAACGCTCAGGTTTAAAGAACATAACGGTTCTAAGTTGCAAATCAGAGTTGCCTGATGAATTCGGACAGTGTAGGATTTGCAACTTAGCACCATCTTGGTCTATGCACAAAACCAAAGAAAAAATTTATATGAAGACAAATTTTAGGCTTCAATGCATCTTTATTGCATGTTTTTTAGCCATTGACTCAGTTCAGTATAGTGGAAGTTGGTTATAGTTTTGAAGAGATGTGTCACAGAGTGTATAATTACAGATATTTTGCTGTGAAATTTGCATTTATTATTACCAATGCCAAAAGCACACAGTGTACTAGTTATTTGGTGAGAGAGACAGTCTGCAATTGCTTGATCGCATCATCACCAGCTTTTTTGTCGACATCGGGTCAAATCTAAAAACTTTTGTCAAGATCCTGTTGCCCATTGCCTCCCTTAGTCACTTAAATCCTGCAGAGCGGCACACTCTTTTAAGAACTAACAAAGCTCCATTGGCAAACCCTCATTCCCTTCATATGTTTGATACGAACAGCAACTCATGCATTATCTGTAAGTAGCAAGTGAATTCCCTCTTTCATAGATGATGAGTCAAACCGGATTTCTTCAAGCACTTGAGCAGTTTCCAAAAGATACTATTAATGATGAGATTTGTGAATTGATGCTGCCTTATTTCGAAGCTGAAGATTACAGCCAAGAGAGCGCCAAACGCGTAAGTATTACCAGATGCTTTTCCTATTTTACTTATTGAAAATGATACCAAACAACTTTTTCAATGTTCCTTGCATTTCAGTGTTAGCTAATCTGTTAGTTACCATTTATGTTTTTATACCAAATTTTTGATTGTTTTCTTCAGGTATGTGGGAACGTTGCTGGCCTCTGTGACTGGACTATCGCCATGTCAAACTTCTTTACTGTTAATAAAGACGTTTTACCACTCAAAGTAAGTATGCATATTTGGTTTGTCTGATTCGCATAACAAGTGACAGATTTCTGTGCTAAAGTCTTCTTGCGCTCTTGTAATTTTTTAACAACACCCTCCTCATTCATCCCACTTGACATTGTAAGGTTCAAATTTGACTGGGGAATTAAAATGTAACTGACTTTAAATGAACGGATTTTTGTCAGTCATATAGAGTTTGAGTCCAGCCAAACCCTGGAGTTGTTTTGCTCTCGACAGAGGCTTAAGCTGGCCTGATGGGGACCAAGTAGAACAAGGGGGGCCAAAGATGGCACCAAGATTTCAGCCTTTGAATAAGCTTAGTTTTGTTATACGCTTAGTATAGCCTTAGTTTCGTTATTAATTAGTTGCTTGCTGAGCTTATCGATGCACATGTTGAGTTTACTAACATCGAAGTCAATGTTTCGATATCATTATGAATATCTTTCTTGTTTTCACAGGCAAATCTAACAATTCAGGAAGCGAAACTAGAACTAGCCAACAAAGATCTTGACAAAGCACAGGCACAGCTCAACGAAAAGGAGGCTGAATTGCAGGAGGTCCAAATGTTGTATGACAGTGCTGTCAAAGAGAAGCAGGTAACCATGTGGTTTCCTCTTCATTTACATTTCAGAATAACAGATAGTTATAATAATAGTTCTATCTTTTTTACTGTAAGTTTAACAATAGTGTGAACACTAATATACACTAACATGGAACAATTTTAGAGATTGCATTATGGAAGTTATTGACTGTAAGTGTTACGGACGCATTGATTTTCAAAATACCAATCTTCTATAAGAACTTTAAATTGATTTGCATTTTTGAATGATTTTATTTTATTTGGAACAGAATTCCCAATCTTTTGATCCGAAAAGCTAATAGATTTTATAGTTAAGAATATTCTGTCATATAACCACGTCAGGTTTTTGTCTTGCCTTACACAATTTATTACTTCAATCTTTCACACTAACAACAACAGCTTACACTCTATTTAATTTTATTATCTTTCAACTGATCAGAAGTTAGATAACAGAAATTATTCAAAGAAGACAGATTAATTCTGTCTTTCTTGATAGTCAATTCTGAGCCCCTTTTTTGAAAGATGTTGATCCCGGATGTACCTAACTTTTGATAGTTTGATATGTGTTTGATAAAATAACTAAAACTTATACAGACAAGATATTTCTGTTTCCATTGTGAAATTTTATGCTATATCATAATTATCATTTGATTATGTTAGGACCTTTTGGATGATGCAGAAACATGCAGGCGAAAAATGGTGGCCGCCTCGGCACTTATCAGCGGACTGTCCGGTGAAAAAGAGAGATGGACTCAGCAAAGCAAGGAGTTTGAAGCCCAGATTGGCAGGTATACCTGTTCTCTTGACAAATTTTATGTTTGAACATAGATTCTGGCTCTACTTTCCTTGATAACTTTTAGTAGCCTATTTTGAAACCACTCGTAAATATCTTTTAGCTTACCTTTTCAGGGAATAAATGTGGAAAAGCGGCTGAATTTTTTAGAAATAACAAATCCCCCCTTTTTCTTTACCTGAGTACTACACTGCCCGATTTTTATGTTCTTTTTTACCCTTCAGTCAAATATTGGTAGTTTTATAGTTGTTCGTGACGTTTAAAAGAAAATTATGTTGTTATCATGAAAAGTTGAATTTTATTTTGCTTGCTCGCTTCAAGCTAGAGTTTTGAAAATTTAGTCAGAAAAAAGTTTTCTTGAGGGACTAAATTTTTCCCTAAATATCATGCACCCCGATTTCTTTCTTCCGGCCGAAAGGTTTTTATTTTTGTTTTCTGTTAGGCTTGTTGGCGATGTTTTGCTGTGCACTGGTTTTCTATCGTATTCTGGTCCCTTTAACCAAGAATTCCGATCAAATTTGTTCAAAAACTGGCAAAGAGAAATGAGACAAAGACAAATTCCGTTCACTCAAGAACTAAGTGTTACGTCAGAATTGGTTGATTCTGCTACTGTAAGTCTCCGAAACTTTCTTCATGACAGGTTGTAGAAGGTTGTGTAGTAAATCATCCGTTGATATAATTGTGCCTGCTTTTAAATGATGCTTTGTTTGATCAGTTGATCAATAATATTATAGGTTTTAGCTTGCGAATTGCTTTTTAACTTAAGGGTTGCTTTTTAGATTTTATTCATGTATCATGGTAATGGTAAACATGATCTCGACATCCTCGAATACTTAAATGGGTTATGCTCTGTTAATCACGAATTGGTCAATAAGTAAGCTTGGCACCACTGGCATGCTTATTGATTGGCTAATTTTCATTAACAAATGGCTTAAGCCACTTAAAAACTAATTGAAAAACAATGTTTCTAAACTTATCTGATCTCTTTCTCATCATGTCCTGTATAGATCACAGAGTGGAATCTTCAAGGTCTTCCAAACGACGAGCTTTCACTTCAAAATGGAATCATTGTCAGCAAAGCATCGCGTTATCCGCTTCTCATTGATCCCCAAGGACAGGGTAAGATATGGGTCAAAAACAAAGAGCACACCAGCGGATTACAGGTGGGCGGTGACATATGATACCTCTGTATTCAGTTGATCTTGATGATGTTGTGGTAAAAGCAACCATGTTAGCTAGAAAAGCAACTGTAAATTTGTAAAGTGTATGCACTATCTATGCTAGACATAGACAAGAGGAAATGCACATCTTCAGTCAAAAGTTTATCTTTTCAATGCAGGAAATGCACCGTAGTCGCCTCTTAGTTTTGGGCCTCTACTGGCTACCATAAGTGCGGGTCCTAGGGCTGCGGCTCTGACCGTGGGCATAATTTGCTGAAATTAGAGTTGATTCATAAGTCGTACTACATTCAATTTGGAGAATATCTTTGAAAATTGTCGCAAACAAATATCCTCTACAGATTAAATGACATATAATCATCACCTTGGCAGCTGGTAAATCCCAACTATAATGTGTAAAAGAAATCACTCGATCTCTCTATCTTTTCTTTTTGCAGTTGACTTCCTTGAACCACAAGTATTTCCGCAACCACATAGAAGATAGTTTATCTCTTGGACGACCATTGATGATTGAAGATGTAGGCGAAGACCTTGATCCGGCTTTGGATAACATCCTGGAAAAGAACTTCATCAAGATTGGATCTACCCTAAAGGTGAATTTGGAAACTTAATGCTGATTTGTTTAAAAGCAATGGAAAGTCTGCTTTAATTGTTGACTTATAGCCACGATCTGTTCTATTTTATATATTTATTATGCTTCTATAGCTATGAAAACTATCAACCTTTTGCGTTTTTTGGCTCGCATTAATTGCAGCTTGTTCTAGTTAAATTATCTGTGTAAGGAAAAGCCTTTTCAAGAAGTATTTTTTTTTATTACTTCTGAAGTTAATATTTTGTTTAGTAACCAGCCAACATCCTAATTCTTAGTATCGAGCATATTTTTTGTTAAATGCATATATTTGTGGATCAAACTTGAGAATTATTACTGAATTCAATATAGTTTTTAGTGCCCTTTCTTTTTATAGCATATTTTGTTTTCCAGGTTAAAGTTGGCGATAAAGAAATAGATGTAATGGATGGATTCAAGTTATATATAACAACGAAGTTACCTAACCCAGCATACACTCCCGAGGTTTGTTGCGTTTTCTTATTCTCATTTGATTCGCTCGGTCACCTGCCGTTGCTTTCTTCAGTTTAAATCATTTTTTATTTTAATAAGATCATCAAGTTTAGACAATTAAAAGCTGCCATTGTGTAGACAAAAGGAGTTAGTTTTCTCTCTTGGACTCCATTGGTAATTTTTCTTTAGGCTCGCGGCACTGATTGGTAAACTACACCGGTCTTGTGCTTGCGTTTTTCTGATTGGCCTATTTCGATCCACAACTGGGTATATATTTTTCCATCGTGTTTTTTCGGAACCTATTCTGACGTTTTATGCTCTGAGGAGTGTCAGACGAAAAAGCTTTAAGTATGTTGTAAAATGTTTGCTTTTTTCAAAGCCATTTTCAAATTCTGTACCGCAAAAAAATTGTTCACATTTTTCAAGCAGATCATCAAGTCTTTTTATGCTTCTTTATTATCCTGAACTAAAATAATTTTCAACCTTAAATGCAATTTTAGATCAGTGCAAGAACCTCGATAATTGATTTCACTGTCACGATGAAAGGATTGGAAGATCAGTTGCTAGGAAGAGTAATTCTGAAAGAGAAAAGTGTAAGTATAAAGGACAAATTTCAGTGAACCCTTATTTGTTTAGGTCACCATTCATAAAATCAAACTGAATAAGGTATGTGACCTAAAGCTTCACAGGGGTCTTCGTGTACCAACAACCAACACAAACGCTTTAAACTGCCTCACTTGAATTCAATCTCTTCAACTATGCTTATCTATTCTAGATATCACCTAAACTGGTTCCATTTGTTTTATAAACTTAAAAATATTTCAAAAATCAAAGAATGATTTTTTATGCTTTTTCCTTGAAGAAAAAGGCATCAAGCATTTTCAGCCTTCATTTAGCAATGAAGAAACTGGAATAGCTCTTTTATTGCTACACCTTCCTTGTTTTAGAAAACTTTTTCATCAAATAGGGCAAAAATGTGCACTGTTTGAACACATTCAGTTTTGAAAAAGCTTTGTAAAGAGCTATGCCAAATCAAATATGTTTTTCCTGTGTCTGTTTAGTAAGCAATGGCTTTTGCCTTGATCTTGTGTAGTTCTTGATATTGTATTTGATGTTTCAAATACGTTCTAGTAATAAACTATTTGCTTCATCTCTGTATATCTATAAATCATGTTGTGTCATGTAAATATGAAGAAACTGATCCATTTGATACAAAAATCAATTGCGCTCCAATCATAATCAACTTTGGTGTCATTTTTTATGTAGTTTATAACTGATTCTCCAGCTCCAGGGTATTTTATACCAAAATCGCTAGTCGATTTCCAAATTCTACACGTGCATCTTTTCTATTTCCAAACGGCCTTCAATATCTCTCTACTTTTCATTTCAGGAATTGGAAGCAGAAAAAACGAAATTACAAGAAGACGTATCGGCAAACAAGCGGAAGATGAAAGAACTTGAAGACAATCTTTTATATCGCTTAACGAGCACCGAGGGTTCTCTTGTAGACGATGAAACGTTGATTGACGTATTGAGCAACACCAAAGCAACTGCTGAAGAAGTAGGACAGAAGCTGAACACTGCAGCTGATACAGAAATCAAGATCAACAATGCCAGAGAAGAGTACAGGCCAGGTATTTTCCGTTTTACAATCTTTCACGATCGATGTTTCTAGCTAAAAGTTTGTTAGGCCATATTTGCCTTGACAGTCGCCACCAGCTTTAAGCAGAAAAATCACACTGTTTTCTATGATATTTAAAAGAATAATTTATCATCTTGTTTACAGTTGCAACTAGAGGCAGCATCCTTTACTTTCTTATTGTCGAAATGTCATACGTCAACTGCATGTACCAGACGTCGCTTAAGCAGTTTCTTGGATTGTTTGATTTGTCAATGGAAAGGTGAGTGATTCATTCATTGATTATGTGATTAACTGATTCTACAGTTGTTAGTTGAAACATCAATGCAAATGCAGTGTATAGAATTGCTAATCAACTTGTTGTATGATGAGTTGATTGCTTACTGATTTGCCTGATATATCTTGTAGCCTATTGATCGTTTTGTGGTGCTCTATGTCAGAGATATAGAAAGATAACATAGATGTCCAGAGACATGCTCCATTTCTGGTTTTGTACGATGCAATGGTTTTACTAGAAACGAGCAAACTAAACCTTCTCGTCTAACCACCTTTAAGATCACCGTTTTTTAATTTAATTCCAAATATCTTTCACAGATATTTTGCGTTGATTCTAAAAGTTATTGTAGCCTAGCAAGCATTGTGATTCAATAGCGAAAAATAAAATGGTCGAAGAAACATTCCTTTTTTATGCCCAGAAGCAGCATGCCTCCCAATCCAGATAGTTCGTTCAATGACAGTCATTCAATTTTATAATACTATTTATCTGGCTACAGGGCTTTCCAACCAATTGTCTACAGCACAGGAAAGTTGCTGTCGCCTTTCACTAAATTCATCATAAAAAAGCTCAAATTACTTCTTTTACCAAAATTTACATTGTAAAAGTCTTTGATGATTTATATTCTCATTTTGAATTCATATTTCAGGTCTCAACCTTCACCTATAACTGGAAAGCGAATACACAATATCATTGAATATTTAACGTACGAAATCTTCAGATACTCTTGCCGTGGCCTGTACGAAGATGACAAATTCCTCTTTACTCTGCTTTTGGCCTTGAAGATTGACCTTCAAAACAGAAAGATCAAACACGAAGAGTTCATGACATTGATCAAAGGTAATTAGTTAGTACATATTAATCCTATTGCTAATTTGTGTTCAGTCTACTAACTGCACTGGTCATAAATTTTATTCTTTGACCTATTTACGAGTCCTAATTTTTAGCTTGGGTACTTGGCTTTCAAACCAAATGTAATTTTGACGGACAATAAAAAGTCGTATAACAGACAATTAAGTGATGAAATTATAGTCTAACTGGATAACTTAGTTAGTGATAACGTAGCTTTGGGTTTTTGTCGTTTAGCCAAATCAGGACCATCAAGATGTCAGCTTTGTAGTTCGAGAGAATTACATTGTTGCGAAAACCCATCTACATGTAGTTTGCTTTTTATTCATATGAAAATTTTCCTCTTTCTTGCTGTTTTTAACCAAGTATTTTTCGCCGCCAGGTGGTGCATCTCTTGATCTGAAGCAAGTTCAGCCAAAGCCATCGAAATGGATTTTAGACATGACGTGGCTTAACCTCGTTGAACTTAGCAAGCTGCCTCAGTTTTCTGATATAATTAACCAGGTAAAAGCGGTTTCCATAAACTAATATCTTCTTTTTTTTCTGTGATTTGCCGATGACTAGCAAAATTTCTTGTCTCACAAGAAAATATACAATTCCTTGATTGTCAATTTTATTGTTTTAAGATTGGCTCTGGTGCAGCTTATCTGTTAAAAAATGTCAAATCTAGAATGGGTACTGCACTTTCAAAGTTTTATCTTGAAGTAAAATGCAATCACATTCATCCGCTAGATATCTCGAAATGAAAAACAATGGAAGCAATGGTTTGACAAAGAGGCTCCTGAAGAAGCTGAAATACCGGATGGTTATAGCCAATCTTTAGACACCTTTAGGAAGTTGCTGCTAATCAGGTAAAAATAATTATAATGATTCCTTGTATGATTATTGTTACAATATTCATCAATAACTACCGTACAAAAGATTTTCAGAATCCTTTGAACGTAACTTCTGATATTGTTGATGTGTTAATTGTTAGTTTGTTTCGAAGTACGGTTGTTTTAAAATCATTACCATCAAAATATATTTTTAGAGGAATCAAAGTTGTTCTCCTTTAGACTGCTACGCGGGCCTTCCTCAGATTCTAGCAAATTGGCTTCCGAGAGTGAAGGCTCCTTAAACCAAACCTCGGTCTCATAATGAAAGACCACTCCTCCTTGACCTTCAAGGTGGTCAAATTGCGAAATTGCTCTTGCAAGGATGGCTCAGTGGCTAATCGCGCCGTGGCTGCAGATCCAAGGGTCTTAGGCTTGAGTCCTTGATATGACCAGACTTTTACGTAGAGAGAGGGGAGGCGCAAGATCTCTGCAATTCCAGGCGTAGGAATCACGAGCCGTGGTGACAACGGGAGAATGAGTCAGGGCACTGCTTGTTAAGCATAGCTTCCTAGTGTCCTTAAAACAACTATCGAGTGCTAGGCAGAAATAACTAAAGTACAAAAGCTACAAATAGAAAAAATTCCTGTAAAAAAGAGAAAAGCACAAATCTTGTACGAAATCATGTTTAGAAGTTATTCACATTCCTATGCAAGTTTTTATGCGCTTATGTGGTAATGAAAGCGTTTCGAAGTGTAAATGTTTTAGCAGAGTCCGGAAAACATTACGGCACCACGGCCACTGGCCGGAGGAAGGTTTTAGAAACAAAAAGAAATTGAGGAAGGTGACAGAAATTTTTGGAAACTTGAGGAAGTTGAAGAAATCGAATTGCCTTTTGTTTTTTAAAATACTGTCTGACAAAAAAAGAAACAATCAAATGATATTTATAAACCTCCTGTTTTTCTAATATAAATATGTTCAATATGAACTTTTTATGATTAATAAAGTTGAATTTTATTGTTGATTGGAAACATGTCTCAGGAAACAAGCAACAATATTTTAAAACGTTTTGGAAAATCAGAGTTGCAAGGAGAGGAGATCAAGACTAGTTGTATACCACCAACCTCCTGGCCACGCCCTTTTTAGAAAACCATTCAAAATGAGAAAGGTTTTAAGTAAGTTTTTCTTTGCCAGAGGAAGGTTGAAAACTTTTCTAGACTCTGTGTTTTAGTAGCCATCGAGATTGCTCTCATTTTATGAAACATTCCCAGCATCTAAAGCAACGCAAAATTTTCTTGCTAGATCATGGTGCCCAGATAGAACGCTATCTCAAGCACGAAAATACGTTGAAGAGTCGATTGGACGGAAGTATGCCGAGGGTGTTATCCTGGACCTACAGAAAACTTGGGAGGAGAGCGATATACGGACACCAATGATATGCTTTTTGTCTATGGGATCTGATCCAACAAATAACATAGAATCATTGGCTAAAAGACTCAAATTAGGTAAGATGCCGTATGTTTTCATTAACAAAAGTAAGCAAATTCAAATTTTCTTTTGAAGTTGGAAATGAATTTCTTTTGCTGTAAAGACAAAGAGTATCTTTTCAGCGTTCCTAGAATGTTACCTCTTGATAGAGCAAGCATATTTATGTCTTTCTTCTCTTCCTTCATTTTTAAACACTCCTATGTAAATCGAATAAGTTCTCTTGCTCATCCTTGACGTGAAATGTTTTTTTAGCACATTTTTCTTGTATATTTCGAATTCAACTATTGTCCCTACGTCAGGTTTCTTGCGACATGTAACACGGTGTCATTTTGAATTTTAGAATGTCGAGCTGTGTCAATGGGCCAAGGTCAGGAGGTTCATGCCAGAAGACTTTTGAACCAGTTCATGCAAGCTGTGAGCATACTTTTTCACCGTACACTTCTAATTTCCTTTGCTGCTAGAACTTGTTGATACATGTAATTAGCTGTTATCAGTATACGATCATTATGAACTCATACCGTTAAGTAGAGACGTAATTCGCTTTCCTAATGCGGCTCGGTTTGTGTGTTTGCGTTATGTACCCAACAAAATAGAACGCAGCCAACAATTATCAATTTTCTTGACATTTTGACATTAATTTTCGATTTCTTACGCGGTAAGGTGGATTGAAAACAGAAAGTAAACTCTTAACATATTGAGAATGCTTCTAGAGGTAGCTTTTTCTAACTAAGTAGAATAACTGTTAAAAATGACAGAACAGAATAGTTCCTAGATCTCTGGAAATGGACCGCTCTGCATCTAAGTGCATCGAGAGAGCGTTTAAATGACGTCAGAGCCTTAGGAAGGTCGTTAAATATTCATATAATCATACAATATAATCAAGACATAAAAAGGCCGTGTAACCATGACGTCTTTTCTTGTTAGGGCGGCTGGGTTCTTCTGCAAAACTGCCATCTTGGATTGCCGTTTATGGATGAACTGATGGACCTTGTCACCGAGACAGAAACTGTCAATGAAGACTTCAGGCTGTGGGTTACCACCGAGGTTCATCCCCAGTTCCCCATCAACTTGTTGCAAATGTCAATCAAATTTACAAACGAGCCTCCGCAGGGTCTTAAAGCAGGGCTAAAAAGAACTTATGCAGGTATAGACAGCTTTTGTCCTTAACAAACATTTTTGCACCATTATAAATAGATATGGAAAGAGTCAATATTCGCAATTTTTTTTCAACTTTGTCTTCACGCTTTTTAACTTTAACAAGTTTATTTCCAAGATTTCATTAGGTACTTCCTTTCTACAGACAGGTTTTTAGCGTATCCACACTACCAATATTAAGATTTTACACCAGCTCCCCTAAGTTCAATGTTGATATCATTCCCATTAATACACACAGGCATCTATTTTATTTAGGGGTTTGTTTTAACTTATCCAAGATCGAGCTAGTTGTTTTAAGGATGACATATATTTTCGGCTTCACAGTCTTTCTCCTGCCAATTTGTTTCAAATTTCAAAAAAATGTTTCATATGATGTAGAAATTTTGCTTTAATTGAAAGAAACCCTCTTAAGTCTAAATTTCTTCCATTGGCAGGGCTTTCGCAAGATCAACTGGACGTCACAAATCTACCCCAATGGAAACCGATGCTATACGCTGTTGCAATATTACACACCACAGTGCAAGAACGACGAAAATACGGACCACTTGGCTGGAATATTCCCTATGAATTTAACCAAGCGGACTTTACTTCGAGTGTTCAGTTTGTTCAGAACCACTTGGATGACATGGATATTAAGAAAGGTGTATCATGGAATACAGTGCGATACATGCTGGGTGAAGTACAATATGGCGGAAGAGTGACTGATGATTATGACAAAAGGCTGCTTAATACTTTCACAAAGGTATGGCTGGCAAAGTTTGATAGCTTGTTCTCTTCAATAAGGCTTATTTCGACATTTTCCGCCAGTTTTCTACTAGCAAATACCATGTATAGATATTTTTATGCCCTAACTTCCAAGCCTCGCTGTTACTTTTACTGTTTGAGGTTTGCTTGAGAACAAACTGTTATTGTAATGTCTTTAGTGGATTAAATTCGGTGGTAAAACATATCTAAAATCAACGATTTATGTCCTTATCGTAACCCTTGGTTGACAACAGCCAATTACTAATTTGTGGTCGGTCTTTGCGGAAATTTCAAAGTGTCCCTGATTGAACGTAGGAAAGGATTTTTTTGACTTATCGATTTAAATCCATTGGATAAAAAATGTTAAGTAGAAAAGTATATGGATAAAAAAAATGAAAAGTGGAAAAATGAACAATTATGATTATCCCCGAGAGACAAATTTCGTCCCGCAAGGTGGCCGTTTTAAACTATAAGGCCACAGCTTGCAGTATGATGAGGCCACATTGAATTTTGTCCAATTAGAGCTATGATTAAACCTTGATATTTAAAGCATTTCACTTATAACCCATCCCTTTCAAAGTTATTATAACATTTTTAATAACAATTTAATTATTTTCATCGATATTACGGTTATATTACAGGTTTGGTTTAGAGACGAAATGTTTCAGCAAAACTTCAACTTTTACAAAGGCTACAATATCCCAAAATGCAACTCCATTCAGCAATACCTCGATTTCATTGATGGCCTCCCTTCAGTGGACACACCAGAAGTTTTTGGGCTCCATCCTAATGCGGATATAACGTTAGTAAAGTTGTTCATCAGTGGAATTGCTAATGACTTGATTATTCTGTTGGTTACCTCTATAAGACATCTCTACTGATTATAGAAATGGATATTCTGTTTGCATAGCAATGCTCGATTTAGTTTGTAGACTTAGTGGTGTCCGTGCAAGAGCTTTTAAAGATCTCTGTCTGTTTATGGGCTTTTTCTGAAAACTTGGTATTTCCAACCGAAGTAAATTCTCTACCAATTGCAATGCCTAACAACCATTTCCACAACGATTACCATTTTTTTTAGCTGTGAAAATGCTAAGTAATGATTTTTTTTGCAAGTCGATGACTATGGGCCCTTTTCCAATTTTTAATTTATATCATGCATGACTTAACCATGCAAGAAGCACACTTTTACCTCTTTATTTACTTATCCTAGTTACCAGAGCAACGTTGCAAAGAACTGCCTCAATACCATTCTCAGCATTCAGCCCAAAGATAGCTCCTCTGGTGGAGGTGAAACACGAGAGAGTTTGGTTCACCGATTAGCAGATGATATGTTAGATAAGCTTCCTGAAAATTATATCAGTCATGAGGTAACTAATGGCATCCGTATCTGTACGGTTTCGAATTGCCTGTTTCCATTTCTACTCATAACATACATTGCTACTCATTTTTTCACTCTCTGTTTTGATATTATCCTCCTACAAACATCTGTTGGTTTTGCAATCTTTCTCAAGATATTTAATTGTTTGGAAAGATACCTATACGGTTAACCACATTCGCTTTAGCAGAGCTTTCTCAAATACAGTATCTGCTCATGCAGCTCAAGAAAGCAGTTGTGGGCTTGTTCGTGGGACATTTACTTTCCATTTTTCAATTTCTAACCTATTTTCTGAAATTTTCCTTATGTTAAAAATTTTGTACAGGTTGTTCTGCCTAAAGAGAACTTGGCCAAAGCTAAATCTGGACATCATCTTAAAACATTAGTCATATATTATCCCTTTTTATTTGTTTCCTCGTTGTAACTTTATGCAATCTCGAAGGTTCGAGCACGCATCCAAAAGATGGGAGCCTACGCACCAATGAACATCTTCCTTAAGCAAGAGATCGATCGAATGCAGCGTGTGATCTCGACTGTACGGCAGACCCTTACTGATCTGAAGCTGGCTATCGACGGCACGATTATAATGAATGAGATCCTACGAGATGCCTTGGACTGCATGTTTGATGCCCGTATACCCGCTTCCTGGAAAAAGGTATGCATATATCAATTGTTAGGACCTTGTGATTTAGTCACTGAAAACTCCACCTTTTCAGTGCCAGTTCTTTTAAAAACTGCCACTCAGAACCCAGATTATTTAGCGGTCACACAATCACCGACCTTAGGAAGGCCAGTGAGAACACGAGGAACTATAATCGCCACACTCAACCCGCCTTGTCTTCATTTTTTTATTGCAGAGGGATTTAAGGGGATAAGGATATTGTCCGGAGGCACGATATTTACTTTTCTAGACGCTAGTGCTATTTGCCTAATATGCCATCGATTTTGCAGGGTACTGCTGTCTTATGCTAGATGAGGAGTCTCTCTTGAAAAGCTCAGTTGAATTGGTTTTCAAGATCTCATAGCGGTCCCTTCTAGTTCCCTATCGAAATCGTTGTGCATCTGTGATTAAGCTCCTGTCTGATATGGCAATTTTACTTAATCTTTTTATTGTATAATTAACGATAAATATGTGTTATTAACTATGAAGAGCTGTCAAAATAAGAGGTGACCAGACGTAAAATAGATTTTTCCTTGTATGGAAAAATTTCAACGAATGTTTTATTATCTCACTCAAAATTGTCTCGGGTTAAGTCAAAGTGGAAACCAAGCTTAAACGTGGAATTGTGAACACAGTTTCGCACAGTTTGAAACTGTCTGTTTATCAGCTTTTAAAAGATGTATACAATCTTTTTGAAGGAAGGATTAATTTTTTCAACCAAGGTGAATTTGCTAGCTACAAGCCACTACCCCTGTTTCGCCAATCTTTTTAATCCTAAACCATTTATCTCAGATATCATGGGAGTCATCCACACTTGGTTTCTGGTACACCGAATTACTCGAAAGAAACGCCCAGTTCCGAACTTGGTGCTTCGAAGGCCGTCCGAATACCTTTTGGATGACAGGGTTTTTCAATCCCCAAGGATTCCTAACCGCTATGAGACAGGTATGATTTTCTGTGTTATTATATTAATAATAACGAATTTTTATGTGTAAAAGAAGTGACTAAGTTGTATCATTACAGGGACTCAATCTTCATTAGGAATTTTATACATGTCTTGTCTTTCTGCATACCATTTTCTGCATATCAAATTGAACAGTATTTTGACTTTCATCGGACTTAATTTCTAGTTGTTTTTTTCGTGCTTTTTGAAAACCATGTCTATCCGCATTTTGAATCCCAAAGGAAACATTTGTTTCTTATGTTTTCGTAGTCACTCTAGGAATTGTATGAAAAGCTTAAACCAATATGAGATCAAATTAGCAACTTACAACCTTGGAATATCTTGAAATATTTTATGAAAAACAAATGATTTTCCGAACATGAAGAGGCAATGCAGATAGCAATTTAGTTTGAGATAACAAAAACGCTGAATGCTTTACAGTCCAAATGATTAATATTTGTCTCTGTGACACTGATGACTTTCTAGCCTGAAACCCTAAAAAATAGCAATTCTTATATTTAGTTCGATTAATATTTTTGGTTAATCATTTCACTATGGTGTCTAAACAAGCATTTAATTCTACAGGAGGTTACACGTTCGCACAAAGGGACATCGAAAGATGGCTCCAAAGCCTGGTCACTTGACACTGTCGTACTCCAAAATGATGTACTCAAAATAACAAAGGATGACGTACAGTCACCGCCGTCCGAGGGCGTCTATGTGTACGGGCTGTTTCTGGACGGCGCTGGCTGGGATAGGCGTGGTTGCAAACTTGTCGAGCCACCATCAAAGGTGCTCTTTACGCCAATGCCCGTCATTCATATATACGCCACAAACAACGTCGCCGCTAAAGACACGAAAGCTGCCTTGTATTCTTGTCCTATCTATAAAAAGCCAGTCAGAACAGACCTGACGTACATCGCACCGGTCGATTTGAGAACCACGCAGAACCCGGACTACTGGATTTTGAGAGGCGTGGCATTGCTGTGTGATATCAAGTAGACACTAAATAACAAATAAAAGAGAGACAGTTTATTTACTAAATTATTTTGCAGTAGTTTTTATTACTTAAAGAAGGGAACGATTGCGCAAATGATTCAAGAAAAGTAATTAATATCATGGATCTTTTTATATGTAAATAAGAAAAGTTTTATTTTATACTTGATAACTTAGAGGCTGGCTTACTACAATCCCGGACAAAAATGGTTGAGACTTTTCAACAAAAGGTTATATTTTTACTTTCCTTTAAAAAATTACTCCCCCCCCCCCTCCCACAATTCAACGTTGAATGCGTGATTTTGAAAGAGAAATGATAGAACAACAAATCCAACATTGCTTCGGGGGGAAAAGGGGGATTCGAATTTACAGGCGCAAGGTAAAGTAGAAAATTACAAAAATTGCATTTTGTCTCAATATTTTTGTCCGGGGTTGTAGATCAATTGTGCTGAGTGATTCTAGGAATTCCTTCTGATATCTGTTTCGAGGAAGGTTCACTATAGGAAATTTTGCATTGGCCTTATCGATGCTTAGCAAGAGATTTCAAAAGTTTCTATCATTATACATAGCGATAGTGTTTTTACTGTATTGTACTGTACACTGTTGTTGATGCAGTAGATCTGTACTCACTAAAAACGATAACTGATCTCCCCACCTCTCAAATCAGGCATCAAATAGCCCAGTATTGAAATACCATGTGACCATTGCAGTAACAAATATATGCCTTTACACGCCGCGTCGAAAAAGAGCACCGAAAGGAGATCTCAATTTTTGTGACAAAGGATATTTCTCTTGTGGGTGATGGTTTTCAAAAAGACACGTAGCCAGTCCAAATTGAAAAGAAAACTCTTGAGGATATAAAAATTCCCCACTGCAAATAGCACGCTTTTCAGATTTTTTCCTTTCATAATCAACCGAGCAGTCGTTTTGAATGTCAAATGCTCTTTCACTGCACGTCAGTGGTTTGAAATTGGCCTAGGCAATGCAATGGTTACTTCATGCTTTTCAAGTCATTTGATGTGTAATTATTAGTTTTTTTATAATCAGTGATTTCTAACATATTTATTACTAGAGATTTGAATAGCTTGAAGTTTTAGAATAATTGCTAGTCGTAGAGCAAACAAGCACTTTTGATTTTTAGTATCAGATGCACGTGAAATTTTGTAAATAATTGCAAGAATACAGTATTCGTTTGAAATCGTAGCAGGTGTTATTCGAGATCTCTTCTTTTCACGGCGTTTCTTCATTATTTAGCTTGATTGACGGATACTTCAGTATTAACCAATTAAAATGTTACTGGGTTATGCATTTCAAAAAAGGCGTATATAATGACTCCGGTTATAGCAACTTGTGTCCTAAAATGCTCATAGTCAATGCAAGGCTGTAGTTTTTTCATATTTCTTCTAATAAACATGAATATTCGGTTTTATGCAACCTATAAATTCTTCCGATGTTATTGCGTATATGTTAATTAGAATAACCGAGCAATAAGCGATAAAAGCTCCCAGACTTGAAATCAAACTACTGTTCGTAGTTGTATAATATTGGCGACTAAAACAGGACAATCTTATTTCGTCTTAGCCTACGTCACAGAAGTTTTTGGTCTGACGCAGGCTAGTTTCGTCTATGTGCCTTAATTTAATAGTGATTTTACCGGTAACCTACTTTAGTTAGGTCATTGCTTTAGTTCATCAAATCAGCATTTTGCCATGACTTGCTAGGCCCTTCTTTTCTTTGACGAAACGGGTGGCCTTTGCTCTTACAGCGTAAAGATAGAATGAAGACCAAATGCAGTTAAAATTTGCGAGGGTATTCAAAATATCAATAAAGCAAACCACGAGCAAAGAAATGCAGAAGTTGCCTGTTGAATTTTTGCACAAGATAAAATCAAAATCTAAAGGCCAAAACTGACAGAAGAAACTCAAGCAGTTACGTCTTCCCTAACAACCATTTTCATCCTTTCTCCACCCATGTCTTCGGCTGTGACTACATTGTCATTCTCTTCAAATTGATCTCCCAAGGATTCCAAGGTCTTCTTATCGGCTGTTTCGGGAAGCCAAAGCAACAGGATGGCACAAATGACAGCAGATCCGCCCATTATCGAAAAAGGCAACACCACGTGGAAGACCATGAGCCATTTTGCAACCCAAGGTGCCATTGCAGAACCAAGTCGAGCAGCGATTTGCAGAAAGCCCATTCCAGCACCTCTGTATAGGATATAATTTAACAAAATAAGATGCTTGACCGAACTAAAGAAACGCTTTCAATGCATCACAAGATCGAAGCTAGGCCTGGATTCTAAGTCAAGGTTCATCGACAACAGGGGCAATTGAGCTGTTCCAAGATGACCAATGCTTACCTTATAACGGTTGGATAAATTTCAGTGGACCAAGTGTAAATAGCATCAAACGACATAGTGATGGAAAACTTTCCAAGGATACCAAAAAATACACGCAGTCCGATCAGTTCTAAAAGAGAAACAATGATAGGTCTGCTTATATTCATCAAAATGCAACGGCTAGTAAAAAAATATAGGTCAAAGTAATAAATAATTTTGCAGTTTTTACTTTGACGCTAAGAATCTGCGATCTCTAAAGCCTGATTTACACGAGACGAATTTTTCGCGCGAAGCGAATTTTTTGCTGCGAATTCGAAGTTCAATTTCCACTGGCAGAATTTCTTTTGCGAATTCGCCGCGAATAATGCAAAATAAAATGGCGTCTGTTCGAAGATTGTTGTTATTAAAAAAAAGCGAGCAAAAAAGCAAAGAAAGGGGTACTTGGTTCGAAAAATTTATTCAGAACGTCTACAGAAGGGGGAGTTTCATCTTTTGGTAAGGGACTTACGCTTACATGACCAGGAATAAATACTTTCGAATGTCGCCAACTACATATGAGGAGCTTTTATCGTTTATTGCACCAAAGACGCCTGTTGCTAGAAACGTCCCATTCCATTGTTTATGTTATAGGTGCGGGATTTTCCCAGCATTGTTTAGGCCTAGTCATAGGTTACTCATTCTTCACCCATGTTGTTGTTTGAACCATTGCGTAGTTTTCTGTCGTTTTGCATACTTTTGAATTAGTTATTATTCGCTGCGAATTCGCTGCGAATTTCCTAATCTCCACTTCTGCGCATATTTTTCGCGCATTCGCGGCGAAAAATTCGCTTCGCACGAAAAAATTCGTCTCGTGTAAATCAGGCTTAACGCTTTTCTCCTCTTATTCAATTTACTTTTGATGAATTACAACAACCATGAATTACAAAATACTGTGAAACTGCCATGCAGTGGATACCTACTGTTTTATTAAAGAGATGCCGTTATAATGAGGTGCTGTTTTAAAGTGGTGCTTTTATTAAAAGGTGCCTTTAATTGGAAGTTTCCATTAATAAGGGTTTATCTGTGCACTGTACGAGGGCCCCTTGTAAACTTCCACGAAAACACCCCTGTCATCAACATTCCTCCACCACGAAAGCCCATAGATAATAAACAGCATGTCACTTGTATCATATCAAGAAAAGGGGATAACGCAAAGTTAGGCCACAGTTTATCTTCTCTTTGTCAGAACTTTCTTTATTTGCATGCAAGCTTCAATCAAACCCCCCCCCCCCCGTAAACATTCGACGTTTCACCCTGAATGCATTATAGAACATTACTTGATGAGGTTAACTTACTTGATTTTTTCCCTCCTGATTTTGCAGGAATCAAGGAGACCGCAATGCATGAAATTCCGGATATCATCATGGGAATTAAAACAGTCTTCTTCCGTCCGATTCTGTAGAGAGAAAGTACGTAAGTCATTTTACTTACCATCTAGTTAGTACTGCATGCCTGTTATAGAAATGCACTCTTTTTTTATAAGAACAATTTTAAAAGAACACGAGCCTCAAAATTGGTCAAAAGTTAAGAACAAGTTAAGAACAAGCTGAGGCTGAGCTTCTGCAAAATTCAATTTTGAACAACGTTTTTTCTCAAAATCGAGGATTTTTAGGATGTGTGGGTGCTTTTTCGGTGAATATTCAAATTTTTCAGCAAATTAAGGCTGTCTCACTCACTTGGTTGGCAAATGAGGCCTGAACACCTCCTCAGAGCGAAAAAGCTAGCAATAGCACTGCTTACACCCTCTTAATTTATAAACAACTTAAGAACAATCCAGCCTCAGATTTTCCAAAAATTTAGAACAGTCAGTCTGAACCTAAATTTACTGGTTCTTATAAAAAAAGAGTGTAATGGTTAAAGGTGGGCCTAGCGGAGAACCAAAGGTTCATCTTTGAAAACAGCTTGACATAAGCGGCAAAAGAACTTGTTCAATAAACATAGTTTTCTGACTGTTGATTACGAGAAAGAAGAATTTTACCTAAAACGTAGAATCATTTGTATGAGCCAAGAACCATTAAAATATGCTCAGCTAAAAAGTGCTTGTCTTAGCAATAAAGATGGATTTTGTGAAAATTGATTTTTTTAAGACAGCTAAAAGCAAAATAACGCTGTCATATCACAGCGAAAGAAGCTGCTCACTTGTTGCAAAGGTAAATCGTAAGTATGATTGCTGGAAAATCGACCAGACTTGCGAGGATGTAGTCACGGTACATGTTCCCGCTAAAGTCATCAGCACCAAACGAAACACCGTAAAACACCAAGCCACTGACCACCCTGAAAACAGAATAAATCGAATGGATTTCTTAATAGCAACAGGGGGTATACAACGGTTTTCTCTAGACACGAAAAGATGTGAGTCTAAATTTGACGACGCAAGAAAATATACTAAAATGCGTTCGGTACAATATGATGATTTTAGATAACGATCCATGTAAGTAAATTGTACCAGGAAAATTTTTTTTGAAATAATTAACGACGTTTCGAGCGTAGCCCGTTATCAAGTGAGATAGAAAAGTGACGATAGAACTAAAAAACGTTAAAGGAATATGGAATTCGACGAATGGAATAGGAAGACGGATGTGGATGTGATTGCAAGAAAATATAGGCTGTGAACTCTTTAAATAATGTAATCAATACAATAAGAACCAGAGAAAATCAATTGAAATGTTTGGCGTTTCTAACTTTAGAGTGGCTTAAGCAGCTTCTTAGGATGGGAGAAATTTGCTTTGTAATTGCACTCAAGTGGTTTTCATGATGATAAATACAAAAATAAACAAAGAAACTAAAATATAAAAGAACTGCGGTTGAAAGAAAGCAAAACTGATAAAAAGCACAGTCCTCGTGGCTGTATTTGTAAAAATGGTAGGACAATGCGCCATATGCGACAAATGCATACGAGGGCGAGGGCCTAGGGGCTGCAGCCTGCGAATGTTTATCTTAAATGGAGAAAATCGAGAAAATCGGTTCAAGATTTGTTGGCCAAAAATTTGAAACACAACACGCCAGAACCGAACTTTTTCTGTTGCTCACACACTTATGACGCTCAATATATAACAATCATGCGGGCATCGAAGGAAAATGCTTTCCTTCCTTTAAATAATTTGTTTCCACACACAAAAAACTAAATTTGATTTCCAGTTTTAATTATACTATTGAATTATACTATTGAATTATATTTTCTTCGCCACACCCGTTACTCCTCCCCCAAATCAGCAGTAAATGACGTCATTTAGTTGATGAATGTTGCCAACGATGCCTGCCCGCAAATGTATATCTACTTACCACGCGTATCCCTGGATCAAACTTCGTATAGCGATTTTCTTAGGCTTGAATAAATGAAGATAATGTGTCAGTCCAGGAGAGCAGTCCATTGGAACTGGCTTTAATTTTATATCCGGCAGCTCTTTTCCATTTACCTTGGCAATCTTTCGAAATATCGCAACCGCTTCGTCAGTTCTTCCATTTACATGAAGCCATCTTGTCGACTCCGGAATGAACCTTGCATTGAATTAAGGGCAAGAAATGAGGTGAAAAGCAAACAGAAATGTGTGCTCAGAATTCTTCCAGGGCAAAAACTTCAGCATGCTCATTATTTTTGTTCATAGCCTCATTTGCAGTGGCTTTTGTTTTACAATAATTACAAAGAAGAGAATTTGAACAATTTTTTTGAGTTACAGAATTTGAAAACGGCTTTGAAAAAAGCAAATATTTTACAACATACTAAAAGCTTTTTCGTCTGACACTCCTCAGAGCATAAAACGTCAGTGGTACGTAAATTCATAAACGACGGAACTTTTTTGGCTCGCGGCACTAATTGGTCAACTATACCGGTCTTGTGCTTGCGTCCATAGTAACAAAAATTGGTTTCAATAATGGCACTGCCTTTCATATTGTCAACCGCCCGTTTTTGTCCCAAATCACGGGGTGATGTAAATATTTTAAACGAAGATTATGTATTTGCCATTTGCTTTCCTCTCTCCAGATATGATAAGGTTATTGCAGATACAGTAAATATCAAAATCCTGACTCAAGCAAATCGAATAAACATTGGTTAGAATTAAAAAATATTCACAGAGAAATTTGTACACAACAAATAGCTTTGAAATTTGAATTTGTCAATGGTAAGGCGAACAGGTTAACGGGCAGACACAATATTTCTAGGACTGCTTCGCTTTCCACGCAAAAAATTTCTGATTAAACGATGGCTGCAGTGCAAACGTTTTCAAAACAAACAATGGCACAGAATTACGGGTTAAAGTCTAGTAATATATCTCCTTTCTGCTTTTATTCTCAACAGGGCATGCTTTTAAAAAATTCATAGACATATCATAAAAATGTCATAAGGCGCGGTTCTTGAAAAGTCGATAAATACAAAAAAGTCAGCGAGTTGTAAAATTACTTACTTGAAAAAAACAAATGCAAGAAAATATGGAGCTGTGGTGACTATCATCAAAATCTTCCAAGTTTGAACGAAGATTGCTATAATTCCAAGCACAACTACGCTGAGAGCAAATGAAAACCAAAGTGTAATTCCAGCGAATGGACGCCATTTTGGGCCTACAAACTCTGAAATGATCACAAACATCTGTACAGCACCACCAGGGACGAAAAAGCCCATTAAAGTGCGTGTTAGAATGTAGAACCAAAGGGTCGGAGAAAACGAGGTGATGAAGCCAAGTATGATGACGATCGCCACGGAAGGCAATAAAGTTAGCCTTCGCCCATATCTGAAACAAAAGGGGGTCAAAACTCAAGTTGAATATTGTCGATCACGTATTAAATTGTATAATTTTGTCTAAGAGAAAACAAATTTTCGTCACCTTGCAAGAATTTACCACAAGGATGCCTTCTGAGCTTAATTCTATTTAGCAAACAATCTTTTGGTGGTACAAGACTTGAAAATGGCTTTGAAAAAAGCAATAACACATGACGTAGAGTAAACTGTTAAGACGGTTGTAGTTATGGTTCTTTAAAGGAGAACTGACACGCAAAAATAACTTTGGCTTATTCTATGCAGAATTTGTTGATGACTTCAAATCTGGTAATATTTGCATTTCCGTCAATTACGTCACAGCCAGGACTCGGGAATTTCCCGATTAAAATTCTCGGTTGACGTCACCAGTGAGATGTTAACAATGCCGTTGTAAAGGTTTTCACCGCAACGGAAGTGAAGTTTCGTGTTTTATTGAAAATAGTCTGCGATGAAAAGACAACCAATTGTCAGGCATTTCATTTATAAGTATAAAGAAGCTAGAAAATCCTAGCTGCAGGTCTGCTAGGACCCTAATATCCACATAAAATATATTTTTATGCCATGATATCTTCGAACCAGCATGCTTTGGAACATTGAAAGAACCTCAAGGCTTGTGAAAAAATCGACTTTGTTTGAAAACTGATGCCGTTTCTCCAAAGTTTTTATTTTCAAAACTAGAAATAAATTCGCAATAGCGGGAGGGGGGAGGGGGGGGTTGTCAAGCAATAGCCAAAAGACAAACGAAATCTAGTGGAGACGGCGGTAAAAGCGATCCTGCAACCTGCTTTGAGTGCAGAAATATGATTCCATAAAAAACGTTGGTTGTTGGGAGCTGCGAGTGTGAGTAAGAAAAAAAACACTGAACTTGATTATCATATTTTAACAGAGATTGAGACACTGGGGAATAACCTAGTCTTGCAAAAAGACCATCTCCCATCCAAGTCAAAATTGTTTGCAAAAGAAGATAATTTTCCTATGACAGCTAAACAGCTTTTTCTCCGACTAAGAAATCCATTTCTTTGACTAAGAGCTAGGAGCATATTTCGCAACTACAGATTTTTCAACAGCTGCAAAGGTAACTTGTCGTTTCCCGAAACCTTTCACGCCCAGTTAAAATGGCATATAATTCGCACGATTCTGGCTGCGTTTACATGATACCGGATTACTCACGTATCGGATTACTTTTCATATCGGATAGGGGTCCCGTTTACACGGCCCCACATTAATTCGATACGTCCCGTACCACTTTTGCGGAGTGAAATCACTCCGCTGTGAAAGTGGTATGAAAAGTGATCCGATACGTCCCGTACCACATTCCATCTCGTGTAAACGGGTGAATCCGATACGCTTTCACTCCGGAACCTCGTTCTGAATCTCAAGGAAAGTTCTCATCAACGGATTCTACATCTTTGCCCTTCGGGTAACGTTCACCAAAAACTATTTTATCTTGTCATCATTCGACATTACATCTTTTCAATCCCTTCCCTCGAAAAGGCATTCACTGGCATATGCCTTTACCGATTCAGGCTGCAATTCGACTTCTGCCTCTCGTGACGATTTTCGCCTCGGGTCTCAAGTTGTCGGAACAATAGTCGTTTATCAACTTAAAACGCCTGTATTTCAAAAACGGTAAATGTGATTTAAAAAATTTGTTCGACCCCGGAATCTGCTTGTAACAAAATACCGTACAAAATACAACCTTTTTTGCGTGTCAGTTCTCCTTTAAGCCCTTGTTTCTGTTTGGCCTATACATAATTGAACTCGCTATAGTTAATAATTCTTCATTCTTAAGTTCACGTCGAATGATGTCGAGCAGAGCAACAAAGATGATGACATTTTGCCGTAGACCTAAGTTTGCCGCACATCTTTTTACGATATATGATGAGAAATGCGAAACGGAACTGATTCTTGGCTTCTGAAGTAAGGGTTATTTGCATTACCTCTAGCTCTTCATCGGGATGTTTATGTAACAGCTTTGGTTTGAAGATGCTAGACAGGCTTGTAAGGGGATGCACTTCAACTCTTTATGGTGAGACAACATGGTGAAAAGTTATTGCTTTTGCTTACCGATCTGATGTCCATCCCAGTACGATCGCACCAACTGCCCATGAGAGAAAGACGAGAGATGTTGCCAAGTAGCTGTATACTTCTGTGTCGCAGTATAGGTCAAACTGTTGAAAAAGTGATCCTTTACTTACAGACTATTTATGACTGAATGAGGCATAAATTGGGTAACCTTGAACCATCGAATTAACCCTGGGGGCTTATTATTTTTGGCACTTTTAATGGAGGCAAACGCGAAAATTGGCATCCTAGGGTTAAGGCTGATTCGAGGGTGGGGCTTCTTACTTTCAGAGTTAGGGCGTATTTGATGGGGTCTTATCCGGGGGAAGAGGGAATTCTAGGAACTGTGGAAAACATTTCAAAGAGGCTAAATGGCCTGGTGTTGCCTCCACTTTGCTTCATTTAAAGTAAAGAATTTAGAGAATAACATCATTTCGTTGCAATGGTTTGTAGGGGAAAAACTGATCTATAGCTCCAGGGTGGTCGTTAAAATATTTCCTGCCAAAATTTACCTCCACTGTCCGTCCGCTTGGTGTGACCAAAAAAACATTTAAGCCTTTTTAAGATACCTTTGGTCGTTGTTAAGGTCGACCTCAATGGAGTTGTGTTGTTCGCACGCCTGGCGTGACTAGAGTTACAAATCTAGATTCTTACAAACAGAGGTCGCGTTAGTCGCAGATAGCAGATTTCAATTTATCAACATCCAAGCAAAATCCCCTTTAGCAAAAGAAATTATCTACGCTTTATTCCATCAAAAATTTATAGTTGATGACTAAAATCGCTCTACCAATAGCTGATGTATTGGTTCTGTCTGAGAGGATCAAAAGTTTCTCTAAAACCTTTCATGACTCTTTTCTCAAAGAAAAACAAAGTCACAGCCTTCCTTTCTTATGCTAGACTTTGGATGGGCAGGCCAGAACCCAGAATCGATAAGAAAATTTTTGTGGCACGCCAGATTAAAAATATTATATTGTAATTCTTTTTTGGTTTTTTGGTTGGCAATGATAATTTCCTGTAACCTTCTTGCAACAATTGTAACGTATAAACAATTTTGTAGTAGTAGAACTTTCAAAGTATGGAACTAAAGTATGAACTTTGAAACAGGACCGTATAAAAACAGGACATTAGAGTTTTTATCTTTTGGCAACACCCTTAAAGAGTGAGATACGCCCTTTTATGTCGGCAAAAATCACCTCTCCAAAAAGTTTGTTGGCTTCTCTCCTGTATTTTAAAAGTGATTTCGAATCCAAGACACGGTCACGGTGGCCCTCGTTCAAAAACATCTAACTTTAAACCATGCCCGAGGCCAAAAAGGGGCTGGGAGGCCAAAGCGTTACGACAATGGCTTACCTGAGTCATGATAGAATATTCCTTCGGCTTTGTGAATTGCCATTCTGACCTCGGCATTTTGCATCTCTCTTTGTAAAACTTACTCTGTGTATCGTAGGTGCCATTTAGACGACAAACTGTGCTGTTGGCGACGCACATCCAGGGAGGGTTGTGTTGCACAAAATATGGTATGAGTATAAGCATTGACCCTGGGAAGATCATTATACAAAATGCTGTTTCAAGTAGAACCTGAAACTTTCCGAATTCACCAATTAAAGGCAAAACGTCATCAATGCTCAATGGCTCTGTCGGGATATCAAGTGGTGTAGCCATTTTGAGTTGATTTTGAGTAACCAGTTGCGTTGAGCGGGCACTATAGAGCGTCGAGATAACTCCCAAACTCTGCTTGTAGTAGCTTCAAAACTCTAACATGGATGGCGGATCTCAACCTTATCTCGGTCAATTAGTTTACGGTTCATCTGTTGTGGCATTGTGTTGATTTGTTTTGATGAATTATGAAGAATAGGCCAGATCCAAAGAAAAGAAAATCATTGAGTTTGTGAATTAACAGAAAAGCGAGAAACAAAACACCACAGAATTACTTGAAAGAAATGCGCAGTTCCGAGAATGGTGCTGTGAAGGCTGTCAGATTATATGAATGAAGCGGCAGAGTCATATAAGTAAACGATGCTTCAGATTCTAAATCATCATTACATCTTGTTATTACTTTACAGCTAAAACAACTACTATTTTATCTCTGTGAGACTGTTGAAATATCAGGTTCATCGTTTAGAATAATTTTACAATGGTTTAGCACAAAATTCTACAGGAGGTTACACTTTCACATAAAAGGAAATAGAATGACGGATCTAAAGCCTGGTCACTCGACGCCATCCGAGGGCATCTATGTGTATGGGCTGTTTCTGGACGGCGCTTGTTGTGATAGGCGTGGTTGCAAATTTGTCGAGCCGCCACCAGCTCTTCACCCAGATACCCGTCATCAATATATACACCAAACAAATTTCGCCGCCAAGAAATGAAAGCAGCCTTGGCTTATCCACAAAAAGCTAATCAGGACAGACCGGACATACATTGCATAGATCCGGGCTATTAAGTGTTAAGAGGTATGTATTGGAGATTTGGTTAGCTTGTGTATTTTTAAATTGACGGTATTCGTAGAATGAAAAAATGAGATTCGATTTCAACATCTTATTTTACAATTTTGTAATTACTCACAAGAATACAGTATTCATAGACGAAATCTCGTAATCTACGGCACTACTTTCATATTTATTTTGATTGATCGATGCTTAAGTATAATAAACCAATCAAAATGGTTGCTTTTTAGAAGAGGGCGTATGCATTGCCTACTTTTTTACCAATGTTCGCCCACAAACACAAACAAGCATAATGCAATGCAAGCCCGTGAACCTTTTTCACATTCCATCTTATAAGCATGAATCTTTGCCAGGGAATTCCAGAAGCACAGAAACACAGGCAATTATATGCAGAAATTTACTGTTAACAAAATAAAACCAAATCTTCAAGATATGTCAGCAGATGCTCAAGCAGTTACGTCATATGCTCAAACAGTCATATCAACCATTTTCATTCTTTCTCCGCCCAAATCTTCAGCTTTCACTAGCTTTCACATTGTCGTTCTCTTTAAATTGATCTCCAAACGATTCCAAGGTCTTTTTATCGGCTGTTTCAGGAAGCCAAAGCAACAGGATGGTACAAATGACAGCGGAGCCGCCCATTATCGAAAAAGGCAGCACCACATGGAAGACCATGAGCCATTTTGCAGCCCAAGGTGCCATTGCATAACCAATTTGACAAGCGATTTGCAGAAAGCCAATTCCAGCACCTCTGTATAGGATAAAATTCAAACAAGGTAAGAGGATTGATCGAAATGGAAAATTTCATTTGGTTGCCAAATATTTAGATTGTCTTTGCAAAATAATTAAACATCAACATTGAGTGACGGCCTTAGGTTACTATAAAGCAGACAGAACAACAAAACAGTTATGTCTTCCTGTACACAGACTGCTTGAAGAAGCATCGTCTTCTCTTTGTAATGATTATGTTACTGCAGTAGTGTAGCAAGGGGGCAAGGGTGTGACCGGCCCCTAATGCTCGGAAAATTGGACTCTGAGAAAAGTGAAAATCTGCAATAGAATTAGCATCTCACGAGAGGGCTGTGATATTCTAGACACTCCAGTGCTTTTGTCACACAGAGATTCTGCAATGACAGAGAATGCGATCTTTAGGAAATGGTAAGCAATGCCATCAGGACCGAAATCCTTGGACGTTTTGAATTTACCAAAAACCTTTTTTTATCTGAGGAACACCAAAGGCTTGTAATTTAAACTGTAAATTTTCAGGGTTCACTTCCAGCTTATCTTCAACAAGGGGGTTGGCTTTCTGTGGAATTTTGTCACTTAGAGATTTGCCAATATCACAAAAGAAATCATTCATTGTCTGAGCAACAGCATTATTATCGGTAACATGCTTACCATCAACATCAAGTGACTGAATTTGAGTCTTTTTTGATTTCTTATTGAGAACCATGTTAATGGTTTTCCAAGTGTTTTTAAGATCACCTTGGGAAAGGGCAATCTTATTTGTAAAATAGTCGCGCTTTGAATCTTTGTTTAATCTATTGACCCTATTTCTCGTTTGTTTATAAGCATCCATGAAAATTTTGGGCTTTGAGCGTACAGCTGCCAATTTTAACCTGTTTTTTGTAGCAGACAAACATTTGAAATCCTTCGTCAACCAGGGGCAAAACTTTTCTGAAACCCTCCTGCAGCGTAAACCTCTCAATTGCCACTGGAGTTTTTCCTGAAAATTGGAAAACTGCAAGGGTTGCCCCAATCTTTAAAAGTGGAGAATAAAACAATCGTTCCAATTATAGACCGATTTCTGTGCTCCCATTTCTGGCAAGATTCTTTGAGAAATTGATTTACAACCAACTATATGATTATCTAGACAAAAATAAACTTCTGCATTCTGGCCAATCAGGTTTTAGAGCTCTGCATTCCACTGTAACCTGCTCGCTTTCTGGCACTAATGACTGGCACATTAATATTGAGCGTGGAAAATTTACAGGAAATATTTTCATTGATTTGAAAATGGCTTTTGATACTGTTGATCATGCCATACGTATTCAAAAGCTATCTAAGTACGGAATTCAGGGTCTTGAGCTTCAATGGTTCAAATCATATCTTAGCAGTAGCTAGATTCACTAAGGTTAATAGAGTGGAATCTGACATCGGAAGCATCAACTGTGGTGTTCCACAAGGCTCTTGTTTAGGTCCACTACTCTTCCTAATCTATATAAATGATCTGCCATTCGCCTTGAAAAACTGCAAAGTTACGATGTACGCCGACGATACTAGCATATTCTATTCCTCTAAGAGCATTGAGGATCTAACTGAAACGCTTAACAACAAATTGAAATGTTTGAAAGAATGGCTTCAGGGCAATAAATTGTCTTTGAATGTAATCAAGACTCAGGCAATGGTAATCGGAACTAGACCAAATCTGAAAAAGATTGGTGAAAACACTGTGGGTTCTCCTGCATTCGTTATCGATGATTCCCTTGTAGAACTCGTCGACAGTATTAAGTATCTTGGTGTCCAAGTTGACCAATACCTCGTGTGGGACGAGCAAATTAAATCTGTTCAAGCCAAAGTCTCCTGCTCGTTAGGTTTTTTAAAATATGCAAAGAAATTTTTGCCAAAAACTGTACTTTGCAAATTATATAGAGGTATTGTAGAGCCACATTTTTGGTACTGCTGTTCTGTGTGGGGAGCTGTGCAGAGTTCCGACTTGTTAAGCTTCAAAAATTGCAGAATCGTGCCGCTAGAATTATTACAAATAGCAGCTACGATGCTCCTGCTGAAGCTTTGATTACAGAGTTAAAATGGCCAACTGTGAGGGATATGATCAGAAGTGAGACTGCAACAACTGTATATAAATCTGTTAATAGTCTCGCGCCTGATTATCTCTCGCATTTATTTGTTAGAAATTCTGATCGCAATATTATCAACCTTAGAAATGCCGAAACTGACTTGCTAGTGCTATTCATGAAAATTAGTAATGGACAGAAAGCGTTCGCATTGCGTGGAGCAAAAATCTGGAATGATCTCAGCCGCGAGGCCAAGCAAGCTCCCTCTTTATCTTCTTTTAAGAACAAGATAAAGGGTTTGTTGTAAATTTATTGTAAATAGTTGTAGATAAATTATTTATGATTGTAATTAGTTTCCTTTTCCGGTTATCAATTTAAGTGGATTTTTTAATTCGTAAAGTTTTTGGCACGGCCCCCTGAAAATCAGTCATGACTGACGGGGCTACCGTGCATAAATAATTTTAAAATGAAATGAAAATGAAATGAAGTCCTGCGGATGTACACCATACTTCTTCCATTCGAGGAAGAAGCTGTAATCTTATAAACGAGCCATTGAAACCTTGAACTGCCACTTGGACTAAGTGACTTGATGCTTGATGGTAGTTAAGTTAAAAGATTCTTTTTGGCACCAAGCTTCAGCGCCCTAAAGCGCCTCCGGCGACAGCTCTTTTCAGGAAGACAAGTGCTTACCTTATTACGGTTGGATAAAGCTCAGCAGACCACGTGTAGAGTGAATTGTACGACAAAGTGATGCAAAACTTTCCAAGGACACCAAAGAATACACGCAACCCAATCAAGTCTAAAAGGAAAGAAATGTTGAATGTAATAATAATAATCATCGAATAAAAAGGAGCAATTACATTTAAGGAATTAAAGTATAAAATAAAAAGAATATGGAAACATTTTACATTGACATTTAGAGCCGGCGATCTCTAATGCATTGCTAGTCTAATTCAAATTTACTGATTTGAAACTGTGGCGTAGATAGATGGTGGCAAGAGGTGGTGAATAACCTGCCTGTTAAGCTTAATTGCTATTTGTTGGAAATACCTCCGAGGAGAAATCCAAAAAAACCTTAAAGAAGTATGATTTATGACACTGGAGTTTAATTACTTTTTAAGAGTTTGTGTTCTGTTTTATTTCGGTTCTAATGTAGATATGTTATGTTCAGATTTATGAAGTCATATAGGTTAGATCTAAATTTCTCGCCCCTACTTTACATTTCCTATCTACGCCACTGATTTAATTACATCCATACCCCAGATGGACTCAAACACGAAAAAGCAGTGAAATCGGCATACGGACTATACCGGCTGCTTGTTTAAATGGATACCGTTTTAAGGAGATGCCTAAGAGAAGTGCTTTTAGTGAGGATGTCACTAAACACCTTCTAAATACCTAAGAAAACATTCCTTTCTGTGTTTTCATGCAGTACGATATAAGGCCGGTTTTGAAAACATAATCGCAAAGCATGCCGGTTGCGCAAAGCTTTTAAGTTTTAGGCATTTCTTAATAATGAGTATTGCGTTAACGTACCTGATTTCTTTCCTCCTGTCTTTGCAGGAATCACGGAGACCGCAATGCATGATATCCCGGATATAAACATGGGAATTAAAACAGTCCTCTTTCGCCCGATTCTGTAGAGAGAAAGTGCGTGAGTCATTTTAGTTACCATCTAGTATGCCTACTATGGAGAAATAAGGTTCAAGGTGGGACCTCTCCAAAACGTCTTGTTAGAAGCACAGTTGTCTGAAATTTATTTCCAAGAAGCAAGAACCTGAGAACCTAGAAACCAAGAAACCTAGAAAACAAGAACCTAGAAAAATATTCAACTTGTAAGAGATAAGAATCGTTAAAAAACGCTCCGTTATAAAAAGCTTGTATTTGCAGAATTTAAACCTAGCGTTTTAAAGGGTGATAAAAAATCGTGTTTTGTGTAAAATACACTATTCTGAAGTAAAAAGAAGCCACTGGTGCCACAAAATTTGAAGACAGCACGGAAAAGTGGAAAGATCGCATTCTAAGAGTGTAAACTGTAAGATAATGACAAAAGGTGAGCAGAATGTTGTATCCAGATTAAAATTAAAAGGTAAATGGCATGTTTAGTCATGGTTTGATCGGTTCCCATTTTTTCTTAGGGTGAAAAGTACTGAATTATGCTTTGTTCCAGCTTTTGCATGCTTTCTTCAAAATATTTTAAACATGAACTACAGCAAAAGAAACAGTATACTTGTTGCAACAATATATCGCAAGTATAGTTGCTGGCAAGTCGACGAGATTTGCGACTATGAAGTCCCGGTACTTGTTGCCACTAAAGTCATCAGCACCAAACGAAACGCCGAAAGAAACCAAGCAATTGACCATACTGAAAACAGAATTAGTCGAATATAATTCTGAACAGCATAGCTTTCAACAGGGTGTGAGGCCACAGTTTTCTATAAAAGCGAAAAAGGTGTGAGCCTAAATTTGACGACACAAGAAAAGAAAGACTGTAAATTACTGAAGCGATGTAATCAAAATGATAATAACCAGAGAACGTTACTCTCATTACCCTCCTAATCAGTATTAAATGTTGCCACCGCTAACCGGCTCGGCATTGCTTCATCGTCATCTGTTTGATAAACGTTGCCAACGATGCATGCCCGTAGAAGTTTATCTACCTACCTCGCATATCCTTGGATCAAACTCTTAAAAGCGATTTTTTTAGGCTTGAATAAATGAAGATAATGTGTCAGTCCAGGAGAGCAGTCCATTGGAACTGGCTTTAAATTTATATCCGGCAGCTCTTTTCCATTTACCTTGGCAATCTTTCGAAATATCGCAAGCGCTTCGTTAGTTCTTCCATTTACATGAAGCCATCTTGTCGATTCCGGAATGAACCTTGCATTGAACAAAGAGTAAGCAATGAAGAATAAAGCAAACAGAATTGTGGGGTCGGAAAAAAATGTGCCACTGCACCATTCTGATTAGACAATTATTTTTGTTCATAGCCTTTAATCAGGTAACACGAAAATTAGCAGTTTCCTGACCCTGGCCCACCCCCCCCCCCCCCCCTGGTGCAATAGTTGCAACTGTTACAAAATATTAACAGCTAAGTAGCTGTGCTAGCTAATAAAACTAGTTCATCCATTGATTATGATTTCGAAAATTGTGGCCCATGCGATGAAAAATACTATTACCAAATAAAATAAGACGATGTTTAGATCTATACATGTGGTCCTCCAAAGGGAACAGAGGAACCTGCCATTTTGTAGGAGGTAATGCTTTCTGTAGGAGGTGTGGAGGTCATGAGGAATATGCCGAGCAGTTGTGGGAATGCTCCCTATTTGAAAATAAAAACTTTGAGCATGAGAGCATTATCCAAAAATATGTGGACAAGTTTATAAACTAAAGATTATAACACTACCTGTGTTACTTCCTCAGTGCACTTGGGTAAAAGTAACTGCTCCGAAATGGAGATTTGGTACTATATATTATTTTATTCATTTACTTTTAAAGGCAACATGAGAGCATTTGGAATTTTCAACGTGGATCAAAGGGGAACTTTTGACAAGATTTCCAAATTTTTTTAGGAACATTAAAAAAGTAAGATTAGGATCAGGGGAGAATTTTTTGAAATCTTGTAGGGAACACAGACGTCCTGGGTTGGGGGGGGGTTGGGAGGGCTCCACCCTATTATGCTAAATCACTTCACTTAGTTTGGGGAGTTTAAAAAGAAAATATGAAAATATCGCCCATAGTTACAAAGATTGGTTTCAATAATGGCACTGCCTTTCATATTTTTAACCGCCCGTTCTTAATCCAAGTCATGGGGTGATGTAAATATTTCAAACGAAGATTATGTATTTGCCATTTGCTTTCCTCTCTCCAGATATGATAAGGTTATTGCAGATATAGTAAATATCAAAATCCTGACTCGAGCAACTCAAATAAACATTGGTTAGAATTCAAAAATATTCACAGAGAAATTTGTACACAACAAACAGCTTTGACATTTGACACAATATTTCTAGGACTGCTTCGCTTTCCACGCAAAAAATTTCTGATTAAACGATGGTTGCAGTGCAAAGGTTTTCAAAACAAACAATGGCACAGAATTACGGGTTAAAGTCTAATAATATATCTCATTTCTGCTTTTATTCTCAGCAGGCAAAAATTCATAGACATATCATAAAAATATCATAAGGCGCGGTTCTTGAAAAGTCGATAAATACAAAAAAGTCAGCGAGTTGTAAAATTACTTACTTGAAAAAAAGAAATGCAAGAAAATATGGAGCTGTGGTGACTATCATCAAAATCTTCCAAGTTTGAACGAAGATTGCTATAATTCCAAGCACAACTACGCTGAGAGCAAATGAAAACCAAAGTGTAATTCCAGCAATGGACGCCATTTTGGGCCTACAAACTCTGAAATGAGCACAAACATCTGTAAATTAACGCCAGGGACGAAAAAACCAATTAAAGTGCGTGTTAGAATGTAGAACCAAAGGGTCGGAGAAAACGAGGTGATGAAGCCAAGCACGACGACGTTCGCCATGGAAGGCAGCAGTGTTAACCTTCGTCCATACCTGAAACAAAAAGGAATCAAAGTTCAAGCTAAAAAGTGATCAAGCATATATTCAACCGTATACATTTGTCTAAAAAGAATGAATGTTTTTCAACTATAAGCTTGCAAGGATTTACCACAAGAGTGCCCACCGAGTTCTATTTTATTTAGCAATAATATATGACATGACGGCTGTGGATCTGGTCCTTCAAGCCCTTGTTCGGCCTGTACGTAATTGGACTCGCTATAGTCAATAATTTATAAGAACGATACTAATGTAGCATGAATTGCAATGGTTCCTATCTTATCCTGTGACTTTCCATCGTTGATGTTACTCCGAAACTTATTTAACGTGCAGAGAACACGGAGACAGTGAGAGAGACAGTGTGTTGCCTGTGTAACTCTGATGTGAACTGAACTGAACTATGAACTGGCTAACATACAAATTAACATACTTATATACAAAATAAATGTGCTGACTAAGGATGAGTTAGGGAATGTCCTGTGGTAGGTGATGCCCTGAATGACGTAAGTTGATGTCATGGCAATGGCATGATGCTTGTTTTGTAGCGTTCGCTGAAGCGAACTGAAGCAATGATTTTTGCACAAAGTAGATACCATGGGCGTACCGAGGTAGGGTGTGGGGATGTTTCTGAGGAGCCCGTCAACAATTTTTGGCCTGGCAGTAAAAGTTCAGATTAGGCGCCATTTCATAAAAATATTGAGAGGGTGCAAGGAGTTGTTATTTACTTAAATGAAAAGATTCCTAAAAGGAATTAATGAAAGGAAGAAAAAGCTGAGAAATTATGTCCCAATCTGAAGAAATTTGTGTTGCATAAGCTTAAATATTTAACAACGACACCGGAAAATCGATTAAAACCATCAAATAGCTTTCAGTCTGTGGATATTTATTGAAGAGAAAGCTTGTGTTTTTTGAAAAAGTGCTTCAAAAAGTGCATTTTCCAGCAAACTGGAAGCATTAAAATTCAAATGTTTTCCCTCTTCGGCGGCAACCATGGTGCCGCCTCGGAAAATGTAGTAATACCCTGGGATTTTTCCGATATAGATCTAAAAAGTCTGATGATAATATGTAAATAGATGTTGTGAATTGACACGATGTATTGCGGAGGATGATAAAATTTTTCTATCATGTCCTGTCAGTAATTGACTACCCCCTCTCCCCTCATATGAAGGTCTTACAATACGCCACTGATAGATGGATATAGATCAGTGTGCTTCCTAGCTCTTGCACTTTTCTGCACATTTCCAATACTTTGAAGGAAAATTGGAAGATATGTGGAGCACCATATTGACCCTTTGCACCCCTGCGATCTCATCCCTAGCAAGCCACTATACCACCCTGAGTAATTATTAATTAATCGCCTCTGTCATACTTTCATCGTTACATTGACATCTTTCTATTGTTCATTTTCTTCATCCGGCTCTATTCCATCAATCGTTTAATTTCGTTGAAGTACTGTACTTAGGTAGACAGGATACCTCCGCTTTCTATTCCACCTATGTTATTAGGGACAGCGAACGACAATCTGAAAGAATTTTAGAAGTCCAAACTTCCGAGTTATAGCAAAAATTCTCCTCGGGTGATCTCGCAAAGAAATTTGCAAATTTTGTACTTGAAAGGAAAATCAATGCAGCGATGAGATTATTAGATAGAAACAATACCAGCGGCATATTGAGTCTATTTGACAAGGTTATTGACGAATTGAAGATGAAACCATAGTAACTTCAGCACCAGCGGATCCTTCGACTCTCATGGCTGGATAGATTCCTTTCATTGATCCTGTAATGTTTGAGAACATTGATGAAACAATTATTACTAAGGCTGCATTACATACAAACGGTGCCATCTCGTCTCTTTATCACAGGAGGTAAAGTAAAAGGCCAATGATAAAACTTTAAGTGACCCCTAGATTCGAGGCCCTGGGTCAATTTGCCCCTCCTTGTCCCCCTCTCAGCGGCTCTGTTCATATTTTGTTTCTGTCTGAAAAATTTTAAATTATCGAAGAACTTCGTGAAAAAAGTCCGAATTGTTTTGTCCAAAATATTTTGTCAGAAATTTATACACACCCGAAATTGTCGTTGAATATCCAAGCTTTCTTATCCAAGAAACTGATGACTGTCAGAAATTTATATACACCCGAAATTATTGTCGTTGAATATCCAAGCTTTCTTAGGGGTAAAAGATAGCAAGCTAAACAAGATTCAGGTTATTCATTTGGGGAAAATATGCTGCAAATATTCAATTGGCAAATGTCTGATTAGTGTTCCAAGGTGCTGCGAATAAAGTCTCTTTTTTTCTGCTTTTCTTGTACATTTTAAGTTTACTGCCACAGGAAAATAGGTGTTCAACTTCATCTTCGACAAAAATATTACTGAGCCAAGGTCTCTATCATTGGAGTTATTTATTACTAAGTACAAAGAAGACAACCTTGTGGAAAACAATATATGAATCACATAACAGCGTAGGCATTATCGTGAAAAGTTGTTGCTCTTGCTTACCGATCTGATGTCCATCCCAGTACGATCGCACCGATAGCCCCCGAGACAAAAACCAAAGATGTTGCCAAGTAGCTGTATACTTCTGTGTCGCAGTATAGGTCAAACTGTTGAAAATATGTTTCTTTGATCACAGACTGTGTGTGACTAAATAAGGCATAAACCATCGAATC